AGAGAATCCAGGTGGTGGAACCTTTCGTGAAAATTTAAAAAATACAGGAATAAGTGGTTCACTCAAACTAACATCGATAAAAGCAAAAACTTTTCACTGAAAAGTTAGATATCTACTATGTTCTCAGTTAACAATGTATTTATTAGAAAGAATCTTCGAGGAAATATTTGGGAGATGACAACGTCAACAAATTAAAGGACAGGACGTCCGGCAACGCCTTAGGAAAAGGCTGGTGGGGGTTAATCCGGGTTCACACTAATCCATGTTGTTATTCTAAACGTCGATTATTTTCAATGACTTGAAAAAAAATGGAAAATTATTGAGGTTGTTCATGTCGAGATGTAAACGTTATGGCTTCACAGTGCTAAATTCTCGATTTTTATTAACACAAGACATCATACTTTGACATTAAACCTCAAACAGAGCATTGGATTCCGCGCTCTTTTAAATAGGGCCTTGGAACTACGAGGTTCCATTCCTCATGGGGACTCAGAGTTTTTCTATGTTCCACACCCGTGACATGACAAATAAACATCTCTCTTGTCAGGAGCTCCTGCTCTTGTTCATCACCGAGCTCAAAATCTATCATCTTCCTTATTCTCTCTGCTTTGACATTTAAGCGACAGTGCCGAGGACGTCAAGCAGACAGAATTATTCTTAACATGTTTTATACATATCTGCGTAGACAGGGAAGGAAAAAAACATTGTCCTATTGGTTTGTCTGTGCAGATAAAACTGATCAGAGGAAATGTTTACTTTTTTTTGGCATGTGGCAAGTTTTTTAGGTTAGACTAAGCCATAGAGCAGGCAATGAAGAACACACACGAAAAAAAAAAAACGGGAAAAGGTGAAGGGTTAATTTGCAAAGAGTTTTTAAATAAAAATTGAAGTGTCAATGGCCGGCGCATGTGATCATTTAGCTCCCTCTTAGTAAAGGTAGTTTTGGCAGCTGTCACTTGCCAAACCCGTTGCTGTTTCGATTCGCACAACTTGAGTGTAGCATGCTTTTATGTTACTCAGTGAACAGAGCTGGTTAACTCATAATTTGCCAAACACTGCACCATTACCTTAAACTGAAGTATACGAAGCTACAAACATGAGCTATTATCGCCATGGCGGGCGAAAACCCTTTTATCATGACTCACGGTTTTTAAAACAAGGCGTAATTGATAAGTAATTTACAACATTGTTTTTCAAGGTAATTGCGAATGTAAACCAACTAGATGGCATTTCCGACTGATTAATTTAAATTCATTTAGACCAGTATCTACAACAATGGAACGGGAACATAACCATGTAACAAGGTGTTGACTGGTCATTACCCTGTCTCTTGAACGATGGAAATTCATTTCAGAGAAAAAGTGTTAAAGTGACATTCCCTCGATAAAAGACTGCTTCTTTCAAAGTAAAAGAAGCTGAAGGAAACAGGGTGACAATTGTATCATTAGTACCTGTTATATCAATAACTGGTATAGAAAACTAAAGAGAAATCTTATTTAGATCACGTTAACCTTTACCTGAGCCGAAATTGCCCGTTTTGTGAAAACATAATGTATATTTTCAGATAAAGCCTTCATTTCAATAAAATGTCACCCAGGTTGAAAAACATTCAGTCTTTGAGAGTGGTTAATGGGGACGGTAAATTAAAAAGATAAATTAAAATTTTGCGTTTATTTCACTTGCGTCATGTTGGCAATTATCTACCTATCAGTAAATACATGAAAGCTCAAAACCGCGAAATGTTATCGCCATGGCGACATATTATATTGAAATATAATCGAACATTTAATTTTGAACTTGCAATACGTGTTCGATTTGAGATATACACTGGTGCCATTAAAATTTAAAGAATAAAATAGGAGAGATTTTCAAACTGAACTACAAATGTAAATGAATGCAGCTACGATCGATTGCTCTGTAATAATGCCAAGTTATGTTGCAAAAACATGACACGAAGATAAAGTTCCTAAAACGTTGGAAAGGAGAAAAAGGTTTATTATGAAAATTTAACTACGAACTAATATTTTGCTGAACTATCTCATCATCTTAATAATCGGCCGATTCTGCCAGCTGCGGCAAAGTTGCCCATATTGAAAAAAAGAAAAGCCTCAGAATTTGTTCGGGATGTGTAATATTCTAACTGGATTGAGATTATGGCAAAAACTAAACTCAAACCAACACTCGATGACTTTTTTTGTTTTCATTATCGGTCATAGAAGAACTGTGGAATGAAAACAATTTGTAATGATGATAAATAACCCAACTCCATTAGCAGTAAAATGAACTTACGAAAAAGCGCTAATGCTCGTGCATCCAGATATTAAGCATTTACTTTCCACACCAACCTAACGGCCATTAATTGAATAAAATATGATTATAAAGAAACTTTTCGGGGTTTTGACGTTACCAGTAAATTACTTCGTGAAATTGGAGGTAAACGAAGATCCTGTGGGAGCTTTTTACCCGTTTAATATGCGCAATTTATGATTACGGAGCGCAAGTATGTTAAGTCGAATTTGAATCTACCCAATTTAACCTTTACATGCGTTAGGATTTTCCTTTTTTTTGAGAAAATCTGTGATATTTATCTACATCCAAAAATTCACTGAAAACTGAAATACCTCACCTTAACTGCAAACGGATTCCAGCTTGAAAGGACAGACTCATTAGGTCGTAGGTTTATTGAATGGCATTGTGAATAAATTAAAAGATATTATTTTTGCAATTCTAAAAAACCGGCTATTTACCGAACATGCATAATGATATAATTATGGCCGGCGGCGATGCCATTAAGTTTCACCACGATACTGATATAATAAACACATGTTAAAACTCGTGATGCTTGTGTCTCCTTCCGTAATACAACTTCCTTGGACGTGATGATACATGTACTTCACCCAAATTCAGTTAAGCAAGCGTGAATTTTACTATTTATGGTGTAGATACTTAGCATGTGAGATTAATCATCTTTAAATGAGTGTTTGAGATCTACACTCTATTGAAAAAACAGAACCTAATAAATATAAATGATGTATCTTTGTGAAACGCTCTTTACTTTTTGCAGTATGAGTCATTAACAAGCGAAAATAATTTATATTCAGGAAGATGAAAACTTATTTTTAGCTCAAGAATAAAAAATTCGGGTTTTTTTTCGTTTCTCTTCGGTCTTCAAGAATGTTACTTTTCTCTCGAACATCAAGTATTATCTACATTCTACCATTTCAAGTTAAACCTTGTTCTGTGCAGGATTTTTCTAGCATTGCTTCGACTAATACATTTTATCTCGTTAAAAAAGTATTTTTTGTTTCCCTCCGGTTATGTATTGGTTAGGAATTTGCTATTATCAAGAAGAGCTATTGTCAAAGTCCGGTTGATATCAAGAATATAATTAGTCTAGGCGAAGCATATTTCACTCACTTTATGAGCGGAACACAGCGCATTCAAATTGCGAGAGAGTGGTCGGTCACTTTAACTGACCCTGTATTAATGTTTCATTTTCCAGAATACACAGGATTCCGTGTAGAAAGAAATTTTTGCGAAGATGTATTTTTAGGATTAGCCAATCTTCGATTCGCGATTACCTAACTGTTTCTGCCGAGGACAATTTCAAATTTTCAATTCTCGATTCAATTATTTATAGAGGGTTTTAATAAATTTTTTTCAAGTCTTGGTTATTTAGTAAAGAGGACAACAACCCGACTACATTGGCCGTAGGGCTTGTCTTCCGGTTACCATCTGCTATACGCAAAGTGATCAACAGTGGGGTTTTCTTTAATTTTTTTGGTTTTTTTTCGTCGAAGACTGAGAATTTCTGCGGCGTTTGATTCAATGAGATTTTTTTTATATAAGAACTAATTTTTGCGAGTCTGGGACAAGACAAAAGTCAACCCCAAAAACTTTTCGTGGCAGAAGAAAATTCAACAGAGGGCCTGTTTGTGAAGGAGTCATATCAAAGTGACTGTTAACAAAAGCCTATATCAAGTCTCGGCGACCAAGCCGAGACCTGATTGTGATTAATTTTAACAACAAAATTTAAAAGACGAATATTAAAGTTACGTTAGAATATATTTTGAAATACCAAAGCTTTAGAATCTAATGGGTCAAATTAATTTTTTAAAATTACGATTAGGCAATTTTCAAAGGCTTTCGAAGTGTCGTATCACGGTTAGCGCGCAAGAATAGGTCCTAGCTTGCGCATATTCGAATCTCAATTTTACCACCATATTCGAATAAGGCGAGAAATTTCTATTATTTTGGTACACAATTCGTCTAGCTTGCGACCGCTTTGGAGAGGTCAAAGCACTCTCACTGGTTTTACTTCTGGTCTCCTACGGATCCGTAAAAGCCGTAGGAGAAGATCAGAGAGTGCAAAAACAGGATTTTCCGACCATTCGTTACCTTCGTTTACATGCAGTATTAACAAGTAAATAGTCTCAAACAGTTGAGGAAATTTGTGTTTTGCGAAAATCTGTTAGGAAACTCAAGTCTCTAGGGTTAATGATATACATCATGTAAAGGAAAGTAGATCTTTTTAGATATCAGTGATAGAAGCCCTTGTTTACTCACGTGTTATTGCCTGATATTGCGCTGGTTAAGGCATCTCGGTGTGTTACGGGTTCACGAAGGGTTAACAGCCAAAGCCAAGACAAGTTTATTTACATACAATAAATGTCCACCTCTTTCTACGACACTAGGGTGAATAATTGTTTTAGTGTATACCACACAAGAACCAAAATATTTGTATACGTGTATTCCTCTCAATATACCGAAAAATGTTCGGAAATTAAACTCTTGACGCGCGATTTTTTCCAATGGGCTGCTTGGAGTTGAATAGGACTTCCCAATTACTTCCGAACTATAAGTCATAATTGAAGGTTATATCGACGTAATTATGTCTTGAAAGTTAATAAACTCAAAAACGCCGAGTCTATATGATTGGAGAGGAGTTAGGTTTAACATAAATACACAATTTAGGCACAAAACCAAGGCTTTAATCACAGGTCCGTTTTTCACCCCACAGAGAGCGATACAGGTTCAACTGCAACAAAGTAAATTTTGAAGATCCTCCCTTTTACCACCAAAATCACCATGTGGCCTCGCTCGGTCGTTCTGCTTTCCCCAAACGGATGATTTGGCTAAGAAGTCTGACGAGAATACAACAATATTTAATGGATAGTTACTGAGTTACATGGCATTATGAGAAATGTTGCAGCCAGCTGAGGCCGAAATGCCATGTACCTCAGAAATTGTCTATTAAATAATACCAAAGGAAAGGGAAAGGAGCAGCTTTATTTTTATACCACTTCCATTAGTTTTTCCACGTATTACATAGAGGCATGACAATAGAGTGAGATGGCCGAAAGATTTTACAGGAGAGTACTCATTAAGAGTGGAAATGTGTAGCAAACACACACACCCCGAAAAATCAGGATTCATATGCTTAAGTAGTTCTGTTTAATTTGATTAAAACATTAAAGGACATACTTATTCCGACAAATATTTTAAGTTCCGGTCTTCATTTGCTTGGCCAACTCGGGGCAGATACGGACGATTAAGAGCCGATGTAATTTCAGCTGACGAAAAGTGCTAACCGTACCCTTACAAATCAACGTACCAAGATCATTAGACTCAGTGTTACACAGTGTACATCATCTAGCTTAAAGTGAACTTTTACAAAGCTAACACAACTATAGGAAAACAGTTAATTTGAAAACGCCGGCATCTACGTTTAAGACAAATGCTACCTTTTGAAGCTCAGAAACTGAATGTCCAATCATTATGACTCTCTTCGCTTCCTGGATGTACTCACGTAAAGCTCAAAAACCACACTCTTGGTGATAATTTCTTTGATTTCATATGTCCTCTTTTTCCGCAGACGTTCATATCAAACCCTCTTCGCAAATGGTTAGCCCGCTAGAGACATCTCCTCTAAAGGAATGTCTGAGGTTGCCATCCGTAACCACCGAGTATGTCACCTGGCAGCTGACATTGCGTTACTTCACGTGGAACAAGTCACGTTACGAATGTCATTGCGCTGTGTTACGTCTGTGTCACGGAGCTGTTTTTCTTGTTCATTGGTGGCTTAAGATAGGGATCCTCTGATAGCGTCAAAACGTCCGCTCGCTCTTCTTTCCGATACATCAGGCAACGACGAATGAAATTCTGTGGAAAGAACGTTTCAAAGAGACATGGTATCTGAATTAACGACGATGCTTGTTCTAGGCAATTAATAGAAGTTCCTACAGAAGACACCCGGGGGAAGCAGAAAAGGGTTCATAACTGAAACTAGCCGGGCAAGGAAAGGAATAAACGCACACACTGTCTAGGAGATCTGACAGGATTTTAGCATGGCAGCTTTCTCTAGTCATTTATTTTTCTAGCACCATTCCATTGAAGCATTCTGTGACGTGCACACTGACTGATCCACAAAGACCTTGGTAAACTTAGCTTTAAATTGAGCCATACCTTTGCCTCAATGCTAACAGCAGGTTTGGGCGGAAAGTCGACATCTTTCGCCTTCAATATGGTATTGTTTTCCAAAATTGCTGCTTGAGTCTGATTGTGACCAAATGGCTTGAAGAAAAATTGTAATGAACAATTTTTAAGATTAGAATTTAATTGTGAAAAAAGAAATATATAGATATAAAATACCCAAAAATACTCCAGCGCAATAAAAAGTAAAATAGTCTAATGAAGAGAGCGCATTTCATTCAATAAGATTTATATGTAAGATCATCTTATTAGCTGTATCAGATAACAACAAGGCACGGACTTACCTTTCTTCCATAAAGCATTTGAAAAAATATCACTCCCACTGACCAAACGTCCACCTGAGGAAAAAAAGAACAAAATGTATATCAAATACACCAAAATCATCCGAACAGTTTTTGAGAAAGAGGCATCACTGCAATTGATCGAATCAATAAAATAAAACGGAAACCACTCGTTGTCTTTCAAGGAAACGTGAGGCAGAAGATTTTCTCCTTATCACTGTCTCTTTGCAACAGGTGTCTAAACTAAACCCCTTCACCCCCAAGATCTCAGTATTAATTCTCCTTACTGCCCGCCACACAATTCTTATGATGTAAGTTCGGAGATTTTGGTATTGGATCAATTAATAATCCCTTAATTGACATTTTTCTTTATCATCATCACTTGTCTGCTTGATATTGTTTTTTAAATGCAAGGAGAATTTCCGTCTTGGTCGAGGGGCTGTTGTTGTTTCACACACGCGCGCTATTTAAAGCTCTCCTTCTCTTCAAGCTCTGTGGCAAGACATGGATAAGAATATGTAGTCTTCAACTGAAGACGCGGTTCTTCGCTCCAGCCTCTACTACACTCATCCTGGGTTGATAGGCCTTGAAATAGTGTCTCACTACTCACTCGCTATCCCTCAATCACCATGTGTACTATAAGTCTTAAACAAACCTGTTGACCGAACCTTTGAAATTATACACAGGAGTTCGAAAGAAGCACACCAAGAAGACATCCTACTCGCTTGTACCACCATTCTGGTACTCCGCTTAGACTCACTCACCTGCTGTTTTTGCCACATAAAGTTTGGCCCTCTTTGTTCACTCGTTTTCTACCATAGAACCAACCTTATTCAGTAAAAATTTCCCCCAAAACCAAAATTTGACAATTACAAATTCCCGGTAGTCAGTTCTTAAACAAGTTTCGACTGATATATCTTGTTACCTTGGAGGAGATTTTTGGCGGCTCTTTTCCGACAACAAAGCACTCGGGGGGGAGGTACCAGTAGGTACCGGCCCCCTGAGAGGTCAGATCCATACTATCGTCACTGTTATCCATTACTTTACTGAGACCGAAATCTGTAATCTTCACCTCCCCACTGAGTGCGCCGGTACCCACCAGCAGAATGTTACCTGTTGAGAAAACAAGAAGACAATTAGTAAACTAGATACTTGTTGAGTAATGACTCTTACCAGGAGCGCTCCTGCTCTTACCTATACACGTTTAAGTTGTAATGTGTCACCAAACTTTATCGCCGATTAACAACTATTCACCGAAGCGGATACGACAAATGGTGGATATTTAGTGAGATAATATTCCACATAAAAGGAAGGATTCTAACTCTTTTGTTTCCGCAACAATTGCAATATTTTCGGGTGCAAATTCTGCTCGAGTTGCTCGAAATTGAGTAGCAAAGGATATTCGAAGTTTGAGTAGCAAATCTAAGCGCGTCTTAAACGCTATTCACTGTTTAGTATTTACTTATTGTAGCCACTCAGAGGTAAATACGCGGAAGCTGCGACTTTGTCATTTTCGGTCGCCTCCGAGGCTGCTCTTACAATGTACTGACGTCAACACAACGCATTTCTTACCAGGTTTCAAGTCATAATGAATGACTGGGGGTTTGATCTCGTTCAAATACTTGAGAGCACTTACAGTCTGAAATCAACAAGCTAAAAAAGTCATCAAAATGTTCTTCGATTGTTATTACTATTGGTACATTTTTAGCACCAAATTTAAACTCATTTTAACGACTTGTGCTAATCTGCATGTTCGAGAACACGCACGTGTACTGAGCAATGTGGCAATAATACAGCAATAAAACATCACCAGTATTTAAAAACAAATTTCTAGACACTTTAAACTCTATTGTATCACGTTAAGTTTACTTTTCCTCAGCAAAAACAAAAACAAGCCATCAAATACAACATACCTGCGTGACAATAGACTTCGCCTGTGTGGAAAAAGAACATCAGTGGCTACTACAGTAAAACCCCGATAGTACAGTAACCTACGGGCCAAAACAACCTGGCTGTATCAACTGGGTTGGCCGTATTAACGGGGTAGGGTCAAATTTCAAGACTCTAAGGCCCGCGCAACTGTTCTTTTTGATAAACAATTTCAAACTTCACTCAGTATATAGAACCCTTTTTTAAATCGGCTACTAAGCCGCCGGTTTTGTAAATTTAGCACTTATGGCCGTATCAACGGGAGGAAATTACAAAGGATTCTTCTGTTTGGAATTCTCAAATGTGGCCGTTGGTTCTGCCACAAAAACTAATGATAGACCGTTAAGGAAGAAATTTACCACGAAAACATTTAAGTAACATCCATGAAATATGGACATGGTGAATTAGATTCTGTGTCAACGTTGCTGAAGTGTGCATGAATTTCGTTCATTTCATGAGCTCCTTAAACAACATAAAGAATTTAATCAACTATTTGTAGCTACAGATTGCGAACTTTTTGTCCACCGGAAACTTGGTTCACTTGCTTTAATCACCATAACACATGTGGTGTTACATTGCGTAACTTACCTCTCTCTCAGGCACTGTCTTATGTTGTTTTAAGAGGAAATCCAAGTCATTTCCATCGCAGTATTCCAGAACGGTACAGAAACTTTAAGTAACAACAAACGGAGTTTTAAAACATGACTATAAAAATCAAATTATGTTTTCATTTGCGTAATGTACATTCATCGACGCGATTTTAATCAAATATTAAAAAAAAGAGTCTCTTTTTTGTTTTGTTTGTTGTTTTGTTTTTACTTTCTGTTTTTTGTCTTTTGTTTTTTGTTTAATTTTACGGCAATGAGAACTTACGAGTGTTGCCCAATCTCAAAAACGTCGTAGAGGCGAACAATTCTCTGAAAGGAAAGAAAAAATAAGTGAACACCTAAAATTCATTGAAAGTTTTATAATTTGTAGCTTCAGTAAAATCAAATAATGTAAAGTAACATTGCCGTCGAGGAGATAGATATATTTCATTTACCGTGTGGAAGGTCCCTATAGGAAAAACCAGCTCTGCCAGAGGTCCTGAATGCTTCCCGAGGCCGACAGCCGAGAGCAGGTTTTTGCCATACGAACCGATTTGGACCGTTAAATAACTTTTCTTTTTCAGCTGATTTGTTTTTTCCGCTTTGCTGCGAATGGCGCGTAAAACTTCCGGACCGTGCAACAGCATGCAACCCACGTGCAAATTGTTCCTATTAGCCAATCAGAGCGCGTGCTTTTGCAAAGCTATGCTACAATCTATCTTATCAAGCTGCTATTTTCATTCTTCCTTCAAATTGAAAGTGGTTTTGCTTGAGACAGAAGATGGCCTAAATTGTCGCGAAAAAGTTCCTTGAAAATAAATTACATGGCACGGAAAAACCAGAAATTAAAAGTACTCACAGGGTGGTCAAGAGATTTATGAATATTGTATTCACGCAGAGCATGCCTGTGGAAATCATCGAAACAGTTAAAAATGAGTTTAGCGGGATTGTCGCACAACATTCCCAAGAACTGCTGTAAAAGAGACCGTACTTCTAAAGTAAAATAACCAAAATGGGAGGCAGTTGATTTTGATGGAGTCGGTCATGGTTCGAGTGTAAGGTTCATGAAAGCGCATCTTCTGAATGCGTCACGTAAGAAACTTAACAATTAAAACAAATCAAAACAGGAACAAACATAACTGTTAACAGTTGTCATCACGCTCTAGGACGAGTTTACTAAACTTTTTGCATAGCACTTTACGATCACAATGCCACTCTACTTGAGAGTATAGCGGGGGACCGGCGAACTGTCAGGATTCTCTGAAAAAGTGCTGGGGAAATCTGGTATACTGAGATAAGCATCTCATCAAGGGAAAGTGAAAATACTTCTTTGCCTTTACCTTGTGAAACAGGAAAAAGGATTAATTTGGGGAGGATGAGCCAGCAGGCTTGAACGCTTCCAAACTTACTTGATGTAGTTTGTTTTCCTTTCTTCTTTCCAGTCATTACATAACTGATGTATTTTGCACGCAACGAATCTATGCTCTTTGAGATCATATCCCTGGAACAGGAACACAACTCTTCAATTGACTCAATGAACAAATTATTATGAGGACAGCTATGTTAAGGGTGGGTGATAGTGCACCCGATAACTCATTTCACTTCAAGAATTTCTGTGTTTTCATTAAACCCCTTAACCCTTTACACTCTAATATCAGTAAGTATATTCTCCATACTGTTCTCTATACATTCCTAAGGTGCTGACAAGGAGAATTTATCTAACAATCAAGAGCTTCTTTAGTTGGTGATCATAACCTTTATTCTCGTGACCTTATTGTATGATTTAGAGGCGATATTGTAAGGAGAAGTAAGATGCTAATCACTCTTATTGTGTCTAAGGGTTAATATCCACTGGTATCGTCATTTTTAAAGTATTAAAATATTAAAATACGTTACCTTATAAACTTCACTGAAGCCTCCTTTTCCTAATAAATTTAGTAACAAGTATCTTTCGTTTAAGGTCGGGTGATTTTTAAACCTGTAAATGATAAAAACTTAATGGTAATACAGGTTATTGATTACATCACATGACTTTTTCATTATTCTTTTCTTTTCACCTCAACGTCTGCCACCAGCGTCCTCCGTGTTTCAATTGCGTTAAAATCCATATAGAGGGTAAAACTAATCTTCTCAGACACTTCCCACAGAAACTCAACAGATACACCAGGCTTGAGCGTTTAAAAATACGCCTTCTCAAACAAGTCAGCCATAATTTAGTAAGAGGAAATTATTGAGATAAAATGATATGATTCATAGCCAACAAAACTAAAAATCCACACCTAATCACACATACGTTTGCTGTGTTCAGTGAATTACAACCTGCGGCTCCACTGATCGTTTAGGCGGCTCAGCGGTCTTCTTTTTCCATTTAGTGCCGAAAGAGCCATTATGTACGCAGCCTATATAAAATTGAGTGTTGAAAGTAGTCCAAGACAGCATTGGTCTTGCTTTACTACGCTCTGTAATTCTTCCAGAAAACCCGCTCCAATTTCTTAACCAATCAGATGCAAAAGTAGCGCCAATCACGATTTGGTCACCCGCGTTTTCCCGCGTTTTGGGCAGTTTGCTTGGTTTCTGTTTGAGTTCTCATTGGTTCCTAAGGATATTTTCCTTTCTTCTGATTGGTCGTTGCATCGACTTTAGTTTTGATTTTACAACACTCAATCGACAAGCGTTCCGATAACATCATCGATAAATACAATCGTGATATATTGCCGGAGAGGTTATTCAAATGTCTGACTCACTTTGAGTTATCCTCATTATGTATTCTTTTGGATTCTCGAATGTGAAGGTTCCTTTCTCTGTCCAATTTTTCTAATTCCATTTGAAGGTCGGTCTCCTCCTGAAAGATGCAAATAAACAGACACATGTCAGCATCATTTTATCGAAATATGCTGACTTAACTCCCAAGATCTGATTGTTAATTCTCCCTTTTATCTGCTATTCAACTCCTTGTAATCTAGTTCGGAGAATTTGGTGCTAGATGACGATAACAACTTCTACCTGATACGTTTGAGTTTTCTCATTACCTGTTTGCTAGATAATGTATAGATATCATGGGAAGAAGTCACGTGTTAATCACCTCTGGGAGCTAAGGGTTGATGTAGATCGAAAGATAATATCACTGGATAACATTTCAATACTTGCACAAGTTATGCTCTCGTAGGCCACAAAAAAGACCAAGATGCAAACACTGTACAAAATATACATGTTCCTGTACTGACAATATCAAATTACAGCTGTATTAACAGGTGTATTCAATCTAGCATGGTGTCTGGGCTCATGAAATATACAAGCAGTTACAAAAGGAATTCAAGCCATGCTCCTGCTCTCACTTATGGAAAAGAACTTCCTCCTTGTGTGTCCGAAACCTTTAAACAAGTACTGAGTCCAAACTGTTATAATATAATTTCAGGTGATTCCTCAGTATAGCACTGCGCTTCCTGTACTGCGCATAAAATCACGTAATTAGGCGAATAGGCAAGCGCCTCTGAAATATTTCTTTCAAATTTTAAAACCCTTGCTTTCAGCTTGCGCAAAATGCACAGTGAACCGATGAGTTAGTGCGCGTGATAAGTAACATTACAGGCATAAATGCACAGACAATATGATCGCATCGCACACCTGGGATCGAACCATTTAATGCATTGACCCTTGAAATCCCAGGATGTGACTGTTAATTCACCCCCCTAATTGCTAAACATTTCCTTAAAAATCAGTTTCAAGAATATGGTACCTTTTTCAGCGCTATTGCCCTGAGTTTTAAGATTTCTTCTCTCTCATGGTACTCCATTGGAGAAAGTCTGTTGAAATACGAGAATACAAAACAAAATAATTCATTAAGTTGTTAAGAAACCCTAAGTATTTATATAGTAGAGCAGATGCATGTTTTAACAGGGTATTCAATAATGACTGTACATGTACAACGTTATTGATTCAGAATTTCTGTAAGAAGCATCAAAAATCAGCTAGCTCAGTTCAATTGGTAGAGGTTGTCCCAATCTCTACATCATGATACACCTATGGCAGCTTCTGGTGGATGGATTGCTTCAATTCACAGCCGTGAAATGAAATATTTACATATGTAGACAGTGGTTTGTGTCATAAAGGAAGACATGTGTCAAGCAATTTGTCCTTTGCCATTATCTTGCTGTAATAATAAATAATTAAATCATTTCCTCAAAAAATGCAGATCAAGATGTATAAAAACTCAACACTTGCTTCTGGAAAATCAAACCTTAAACCTTGAATATTGATTCTGACTTTCAAAACTTTTGAGATTTTTTTTTGAGAACTGAGTTTTGAGTTGGGACTTTAAAATTGTAACGGTTATGATTAATTGGTAACAGCACTTCTGTGATCCAATTCTGTCTGTAATCATAGTTGTGATTAACAAATTGGACTCCCACCTCATGGTCATCCAATTTTGCTGATCACTTGTATAAATATAGACCAAATAGGACTCAACTGGCTCCTATTACCCTTATTAATAGTTAATTAGATGTATATCTTCTACTTTTTAGCAACTAGATGTATCTAACATATTCTGTGATTCCCAAGATAGCCACAACTATTGAAGGCAAACAATCTTGTACAGATGTCCTCCACATAAGCACACTGTACTTACACAGGTGATGTTGGTCTTGCAAATTGATCACCATCTGTGCTGGCAGACTTAGACGGTCTTTTTTCTTTCATATCTATAAAATAAAAACAATTTAAGTAGGGACTACAGTTCTAAAGTATTCGACTAAATTAATGTACACTGTCCCTTGTTCTAATCAAAAGTTTGAGATCCTCTCTAGATCCAACTACAAAGGAAAAAAGTTAGAAAAATACTAATACAAAGACAAAATAACAGTAACTAAATAAATAAAATTTGCCTCACTCCCAAGGTGTGGCTTTGCAAATCAGTTGATAATAGCAGCCAAATAGTCTCAGGAGGAGGCAGGGGTTCAAGGTCTAATTTTTTTCCTTAGCTCTTTTGCTGCAATTGCTTAAAATTGCTTTCCACCAGCAAAGATAATTTCTTTACTTGATTTTCACCCACAGGTTGAATGAAATTTCATTAAAAATTATAACTAGAAACAAAATTGGTTCAACTCTCAAAAAACAAGACAAGGAAATATGGGAGTTCTGGATAATACACAATAATTTGTGGTTCTATCAGTTTCAAGTTATCATCAAATAACATTGAAGCATTCATTGAAGCATTCATTGCATATTCCCCAGCTCTTTTGCTGCAATTGCTTAAAATTGCTTTCCGCCAGCAAAGATAATTTCTTTACTTGATTTTCACCCACAGGTTGAATGAAATTTCATTAAAAATTATAACTAGAAACAAAATTGGTTCAACTCTCAAAAAACAAGACAAGGAAATATGGGAGTTCTGGATAATACACAATAATTTGTGGTTCTATCAGTTTCAAGTTATCATCAAATAACATTGAAGCATTCATTGCATATTTGAAAACATTGCCCCCTAAAAAATACAAGTTAGAACTCAGAACACTTGTAAACTTATAAACTATTTAGTAATATGTATCTACTTGGTTTGTAAACTTACTTGTGGTATTTGAAACAGGTTTTCTTTTTGCCAAAGCTTTTTTCTGTTTCTCTAATTCTTCTCTCTGTCGATTGATCCTTTCTTGCTGACTAAAAATATAAAAGAATAAAGATACAGAGGATATCACATGGCCGTGCGGGAATATGAATTTTATTTTCAAGTGCTGAAAGTATCTCTCACTTGTTCACTTTGTTCAATCATGAGAGATACTTTCAGCACTCGCAGATCAAATTCATATCCCCAAGCGGCCATGTTATGTTCTGTTTATTTTATTTATACTGATGAAATTTCAAAAGAACCAGCTGCATGCCTGAGCGGGAAGCTCTCTTGTAATCGGCTAATCATGTTAGTAACCATGGCGACACCAATATCCTTGCATGTGAAAGATAAAAATAGTATCTTCACCGCATGCAATGAAGATATGATCCTTCAGTAAAAGGAAAAATCCTGGGTATTTCATCAGTATTTGTAAAATAAAATAAAGATAAGATAGTAGATAATAGTAAGAGTAAAACTAATAATACTATTTATTCTAATTTTCATAACAATTGTTCTGAACCTTGCAAATGTTAATTATCAACTGATTGATGGTTATGACTTGCAAAAAGACAAACAGGAATAAAAAATTGAAAGCTGAAACTGTAATAAGGAACTTTTTAAAATTTGTTAGTTTTCCAGTGATTTGTTGCAGATTTCAACATCAGTAATGTCTTTAATAACTAACTCATGTTTTCAATTGTGCATCAGTTACTACCCAAGTTGCCAGAGTTAGAACCCAAACCTCCCATTCAATTGACATATGAACCAATAAAATGTTTTCTCTCCAACAAAAAGATTCCGTATTGCCGTGCATCTTTTCAGTAATAGATCAGAGACAACATCAAAATACAGCAGTAAGAACAAAAAAGTGGCACACAATAAGCTACCAAGCATGTAACTGATGTTCTTAAACCACATTTTCAGGTCTTTGTGATCTATATCCCAGAACAGATACGCAGGGACATGAAATCTCTTTTTTAATATGATGAAAAGCAAAATGCAGTGAATGGTGATGTTGTCAGCAATGCATCTGTCCTTCACTAGATCATTGGTACAAACCAATCAAAATGGATGGCTGTATAATTCAAGTGATAGAGAAATCACAATGGTGTAAGAAAAAAAGAGATAATTACACTGTCAATTCTTTAAATGCATGTCCATCCACCCAGTTCTCTACAAATGACACTCCTTGCCTGAATATCCAATAACAAATGCAGGGAAATAATTAACTCCAATCACATAGACAAATTTTACTGCAGTTTTTCATTGACTTACAGAACTAAAACAGCTTGCCGCAGATTTAAACTTAACTACATATATACAGCAACAGCATTTTAACCCTTTAGCTCTCAGGAGTGATTAACATCTAACTTCTCCCTGCAGTCTCCATAAATTATCCAGCAAACAGGTAATGAGAATACTCAAATATCAAGTAGAAGTTGTTGTTTTGATCTAACACCAAATTCTTGTTACTAATTTAAAAGGAGATAATTATGTCGTAGCTAGAGGGGAGAATTAGCAGTCAGATCTTAGAAGTTAATGGGTTAAGAATTGAAAAATATATGGACAAGCCTAGTACATATTCATTTCTGCTAAATGTGATAATGTCAGAAATTATAACTTTGCAAATTTATTGCTGAGATCACTGAATAATATTGGAAATAACAAAAAATATATTATGTCTCTTTAAATAAATTACAAACCATACATTCATTGGGCTAAAACTGAAATGTCAGCAAATTGCCAGTGATTGTTATAGCCATTGCTGTTACCATGAGGGTGCAGAGTTTAGGTTTGACTTAAACTTACAATGTAATGCATTTATTTGTTTGTATCATGCACTTGGAATTTTTCTGATAATTTTATAGGCAATTCATGGGTCTATGTAATTCATCTAGGTGGTAGAAATATTCAGAAGTTACATGTAGTTGTTCAAAGAGAAAATAACATAAAATATTATATAATTTTTCAGTTACCTCACAGGAACAAAATAACCAAGTTTCAATCTGTTCTTCATGCACATCTCTCGGCCGGCTTTCTTTTCAAGTGTGGACTATTAAGCCCCCAAAGAAAATGCAAAAAAATGTTAATGTTTGGACAAATACTCTTCCATGTGGCATTTCCCAAGGTACACATGAATCATAACAAACAAAAAATACATTTTCAGCACAAATTATCAATAAATGCTTTCTAACTTTGAATTGGTCATTGAAAATGAAAATAGCTATATTGATGAGAAAAAAGAGAAGAACTACAAACTTGATGATGATAATGATGAGGAGGATGATGATGATGATGATGGTTGAAATAAAAAATAGAACAAATTCTCTTAATTAACTTACCGCTGTTATTAACAACTTCTTGTTAATTTCCATACACTTCTCAAGACTTTCTTTCACCTTCTCAAAAGTTTTCTGGAATTTTGGTTCAAAAGAACAACATCAAGATGTACACTGTATATAAATCCAATGGGAAACAAAGATTTACATCTTATACTTTTACTGCTCTATTCAATCTCAGCAGCTGCAAAGACTTGTGCCAATTCTTTTCTGTTTCATTAAACGCATGTAGTTGTTGAACAAATGGTTCATAAAAGTGGAAATTGGATGTACCTGATGAGCATCAACTTGGCTTTTGTATTCATCAACCAACTGCAGAGAAACCGCAAATAAAAATGACAACTCCTGACCATTGTGTATAACTTTATTGTAATTATAATCAATTACCATGAAAATAGGGAATACTACATGGGCATACATGGATATGGAACTCATCTTCAAGTGTTCAACTTCATCTACCACTCATATCAAGTTGAACATGAGAAGAGAAATTTCATATCTACAAGCAACCAAGACTTGCGTTTTTTGGTTTATTGTATAAACACAATATAGCCCTATAATTGGCAAGAAAAGTCTTCAAATTATTAATGACTGAAAAAAATAGGATCCACCCCTAGAAAGAGTCACATAATGCATTTCTTGATTAGGCCAAGGATGAAAAAACGCATTGAAAAAACAAACAATGGGGGTAACTTTCAATCAACAAAATTCTCAGTTACTGACTTCTTCCTAATTGACAGAAGAAATCTTTTCACATACACAGCTAAACTCAGCCTGTTGAAAATCTTCCAGTTGTCAATTTTCACTTTCAGCCTTGAGAAACACCATTAATTATCAAAGTTTTTCTTTTTTGTATTTTGGTTTTCTTCCCCTTCAAGGAAATCTTGAACGTCACTGTCTGTAATAAATTTTTCAGTGTTTTAGCATTGTGAAGGCTAATTTGCCATTCATTCATCAACATGACAGAGTGGCACAAAAGGCATGTGACGTGTCAGCAGCTGATTGGCAATATCAAACACTTCGTAAAAATTAATATGGTTTTTTTTTTTAATGTGTTGTTGCTGCTCAGGGCTGGAAATCCTTGTAATACCAGAGTTTATTTGATAATGTAATCATTACATGTCAGTCAAAAAAAAAAGAAAAAAAAAAAAACACAATTCACTGATCTGAATTGATCCATCAGAAGAAATTTATATCAGAAAACAGAAAATCAAACAGACTGTGCTAAATAGAATATTTTTCCCAATTACTGTATGACAATAAATGATTATTTGGAAGAATCTTCAAGTTTTACCCTCGTAAGTTCTGTGATCTTGTTCTCCTTCTCCTGAGATGAAGCAACTCCAGTTGACAAGGAATCTTCCATTTCCTATAAAGATAGATTAATGTTACAACACAATTACACAATTTCTGTAGAAAGTTGCAATTCTTTGTTCATATCATTTGCAAATTAATCTGCAAATCAAACTTATCAGGGGGTGCAAAATTGAAGCCTAGCATGAGTGTATGGTTTGAAGAAAAAAAGAAACAAAACAAAAAAAGTTCACATGTTTATACCCTTAACTTTCTGATTACTATAAATTTCTTGAAAAAATACTGCTGTAGCACATAAATAAAAGCAATCAGATCAGCCATACAAATACGACGTTGGTTGTTTGAAAACTTATCACTGGTAATCTGAATTTCAATAGGCCATAACTTACAAGTCTGTGGTGCTTGAAGAGTTGGCACATGGCTACACAGGATTATATATTATTATCTTCATGTTCATTGTAAGTAATGATTCATTCTAAATTTTCATGTGTTGTTAATTCTATGTGGATAGTGCATCTAACAAAATTTCATGTTAAGTAACATGTACATCATTTTCCTGATACCAATGATAATGATAAAAATGGAAAATTAATCACTGAGAAGTTTTAAATTAATAACTTGTTACTGTACCTTCAGCCTTTCAGTTGTCAGGTTTGTCTACAAAAACAAAAACCAGAAGAACTGCAATTAAAAAATCTGGTGTAGAAATTGAAGGCAAGTGATCTAGTGTTTTAGGCTAAATTTACAATTCAGTCTAACTGCCACCTTCTGCCCACTTTACTGGCTACATATCTGTTGGGTGATAGGGTAATTTAGTACCATCAATTGAGTTGATACCATAGAGAGTTTTAAATCTGACATTTGTGTCACATAACTAATGGTCAATCAAGTTCTCCATTCTCTAAGCAAAAAAAAATTTGAATTCCTCCTTTTAGTGCAAATTCTTTTTACTTTAGACTTCTTAACCTGTGTGGATTCGTGAACAAATATTCCAGCGGACTCAATGCCATCTGATCCATCGGACTCTGATTCAGGAGGACAAGCTTTGACATTCAATGGACATGGAAGAGTGGAACTGCTATCTGCTTGAAACTGAAAATGTAATTGAGGAATTACATCTATATCCGATGGAAACAGTGCTAAAAATGGTCTTATCAGTTATTTTGAAATAATTCCCTTCTTCAACAAGTCGATAACAAAATGCTGTGTTACCTTCACAAATGTATAAAAAAAGCCCAGTCATTTCTCAAGATGCTCTTACTACTTTTTGACAGATAAGGTTTTCACTACAACATTACAGCCTCACTATTACATTTAGCAATATGAGCTTATAACTCAAACACAACTTTGGCTGCCCTTACTTTTTGTACTTTTTCTATTTTGTTTAAATAGATCTGTACATTGTTCAAGAACCACCAAATTTTGTGAACTTTTTCACAGTTCTATATTAAATGAACAGATATAATCATTAAACAAACAGTTAACCCAATAATTGCATCTACATCTATATGCCCATTGTACATTGGGTAACAGAAGCAATACCTGAGATGTAAATGATGGTAAGAGATTCTGTGGACTTCGTCGAGCTGGGGAACTCTCATTCTGTATTCAGAGGTAAAAAAGTAAATATTAATCCTATAAATGCCAAGATCTGATTGTTAATTCTCTCATTTAGCTGTTACACATTTCTTTGTAATTTAGTTACAAGAATTTGGTCTTCTATCATGATAACAACCTCTCACTGATAAGTTTGAGTAATCTCATTACCTGTTTGTTGGATATTGTGGGGAGAAGTTACATGTAAATCACTTCTGAGAGTTAAAGGATTAAGTCTGTCTTAGACCAAAGTGGCCCATTCAGCTGGAGCTTATCCCTCTTAGTCTAGCATGACACATCTACACAATTATAAAAGATGCGTAAGAATTGCTCGAGGTGTAGCCTCAAGCAACTCTAGCTTCTTGATTGCTCTCCCAAGTGCTTCATATCTCGATGAATGTACAGCTGACGTATGAACCAATTGTCTTATAACATGTTCAACCCGATGGAAAATTTGTTTTCTCGAGGGATTTGTTTGCTGACATCATGAGCGTGAACAATAGGAATATGAAGCACACTTGTGCAATTGAATTTGACTAGACAAATTTACTAGCTATGTTATAATAACCACTGACTACTAGAGAGTGCTGATGCTCTTTGCTGTTGACCCCATTAAATTGCATTTAACTGCATGAGATAAACAACTTCAAACGTAAAGATCAGTCAATATGTATAAGAAAATAAGACATTGAAAGTGTCTTAATGTACCTTGAAATACTCTGTGATTTTATTTGTTGGTTCTGAGCGCCCACTTTTACTAAGAAAACCTGCAAAGCAAAGCTAAAATTCATCATCATAAAGTTCTTCAAAAATTTAAACTTACAATGAATAAGAAATAAAAAAGACCTTTCACAATGTGCTCTGAACTTTCTCCAGACCAACAAACACGTTAGACCAAGAGAAACTGCTTGTTAAATGTATGCTGCAGTCTACAGAAGTTCCAGGTTAAAATGATATCAATCTAGTACAAATTTTCTATCATTCATGTAATGTACTTGGAACAATAGAAGATAAAAATTAAACTAGTTTTGTATCAGTTCAATCTAGAATTGACTCTTGAACAAAAACAGGTGTTTTTCAGTTCTGTCTAAAGAAATAATTCAAAGCATACATGGTTTTGCCATACCAGGGGAATCTCCATCTGCATTTGCTTTCCGTTTTCTTCCTAAATGTTTTTCACTTCTCTGGCTTGGTGTGATGCTCTGTATAGAAATTACTATAGATCAAATACATTGCATAAATTAACATAAGTACCATTTGCTTTGTATTTATATCAGACATTTGCTTTATCACTCGGAAGCAGTGGTTCAAAGACAAGTTAGTTGCCATTTCATAGACACTTTAAAAAGTAACATACAGGCCTTTAAAATTGACCAGTATGACTTTGCAGTGTATACTGTTCTTACAAATGTATTCAAGCAATTACAATAACAATAGGAATAAAAGAATAAACACCAACACAATCATTTATTACAGTGTACATGATGAAATCATTCTTTCAAGTGGACTGCAATAAATTGAAGAATTGCAGAAAATGAAGGCTGAAAAAATGGGATGATGCCATGACTTGCATATGACTTGGATTTAAGTGAAGAAGATTTGAATAAAGTCAGCTTCACTCTCACTTCCTGGATCAATGAGCCAGGATGCTTTTGGAAGGTGACAATTTCTGTTGCGGTTCATTCCCTTCTCCTTTTCCTCTTACAAAGAGACCTACAAAGTAATGAGGCTATTGCTGCAACCCAAATAGGAATGGCTTAAGGGCTGCTGATGCTTGACAAAGGCATCCCAGACTCTAGTGGATAGAAGTGTCCATTTTCCCATGGTAGGCTAAGGAAACAGCCTGTTCTATCATGGTGTCACAGACCTTTATGTGGTTACCTGTATCTCCACTATAATTGAATTATAGGTAAGTCAGTAGGGGCACAGCATTTGAAAGGGTCTCACTGAATGAGAAGTAAGTCAGATCTTTGCTTCATAATGACAGCCCAAACACATACTTGTAACAACTGTACCAGGCAAATGCAAGTGCGCTCTGTATAACCTGAACAATATGCAGCTACCTCAAATTCTTTATCACTTGCTATTGAAGAAACACTGGCATTGCTGTGTTGAGAGTCTTGATTGATACTCTGAGGGATAAATTGGTAAAGTAAATTTAATAAATAGATTCCATGTTTGTGCACATCTGTTCAGCAACATATCACAAATGACATCAAAATGAGGTTTGAACAAAAAAGTTGCAGACCAGTTGTAGCGCACGTACTAACTGAGAGATGTAATGAGTGAATTCCTGAGAAGGGGTTTTCTTGGTAACACGGAAGTGATGACTGACGTTTCGAGAACCTAGGTAGAAGTCATCATCAGAGTCAAGAGGATGGTTGCTGTCAGTCGAATGTATACTAACTGTATACTGCCGCGAATATCTAATCACGAGACATTCTCTATCTTCTACTCTTCTAAGAGTGAAAGTCTCCTGTAAGGACTGTCCCAAGATGTATTTCCAGATTTCAAAATTCTAAAACGTGGTGTTCACTTACTCGAGGAGTAGAAAATCTTGCTTCCAACAGTTCACGTTTTTGCGGGTCTACATGTAGAGCCTCAAGGCGAGAAAACTGAATTTCACCTTCACCGTGTCTACCTTCACCGTGTCTCCCTTCACTAGCTGTTGCAGCCACTAAAAGGAAGTAAAAAAATTAAAATTTCAAAATATCGGCCAATGAAGGTCTTGAGTTTACGAAGACATTACATGGAATTCCAATACTTGAGCTTACTTGTTGGATGTTTTTGACTCATTTGCGAGGAACTCGTGCTGTGTTCTAGCTGTAACTGAAATGCAGGGCTAGCTACTCCATTGCCATATGGCTCTTCCATGATTCATGCTACTATTCAGTACACACAGACAGACAAAAGTCGTCCTGTAATTGTTTCGATTTGTCTAAAGATTCATGGCTCTATTTTTGTATCTCCCTCGAGGCTGCCGCAATATGTGACGAGGGCCTGGCTACTAAGTCACAATCTTACAAAGGAGATGGCCAAGGAAGCGACCCGGAGATGGGGTGGGTCGGGTGGGAAGGGCATGAAAAAGTTGCTTGAGATCTCAACTTGGTACTCTTTTCCCGAAATTCCCGGTATCTTTACGCCCTCCAGACAACTTATATTAGGCAAAGGACGGACATCATCGAAGAAAAAAACAATGACGTAGATTGTTATTTAAAAAATTGTTCCAATATCAAAAAGTCATTCCGGACTCTTGAAGCGACCAGAAGTGTTAAGGCACAACCACGTGACTAGTCTAAAAGTTTGGCGGGCTATTGGCGGCAGCCATATTTCCCTCGCCACTTTAAGTTAGTGATTACACAAAGCGAAATGTCTTTCTTTGAAACTCTCGAAAAGCTGTTAGGTACGAAAGATTTGTACGAAGCACTAAGGCTAACTAAATCAGCTTCTGAGTCGGAGATAAAGCGAGCTTATCGTAAAAAATCGTTAGAAGTTCATCCTGATAGGGTTCCCGAAGCGGAGAAAGCGAGCGCCACCGAAAAATTCCAATGTTTGAGCAGAGTTTACACAGTTTTGTCTGATCAAGACAAGAGGGCGTTGTACGATGAAAGTGGGGAAGTTGACGACGATGTTGTGGTCCAACAACGTGATTGGGATGCCTACTGGAGACTACTGTTTCAGAAAATCACTATGGAAGATATTGGAGAGTTTGAGAAAAATTACAAAGGATCAGAAGAGGAAGTGAACGATCTCCGGTCGGCGTACTTGGATTATGAAGGTGATATGGACGCTATCTTGGAAAATGTGCTATGCTCCACGATCGGCGATGGCGAAAGATTCCGAAAAATTATTCAAGATTTGATTTCAAAGGAAGATCTACCGACTTTCCCAGCTTTTGTAAATGAGGATAAAAAGAAGAAGAAAGCGCGCAAGCAAAAAGTTAGTAAAAAGTATTGGTGGGTCTTTTATATCAAATGTTATTGTCCTAGAAAATATCCATAGTCTCTTAAACAGGATCATTAGAAATTTTAGACGGGTAGCAAAGTCTTCTGTGGAAATGCCATCATAATGTAGTTATCTGATATACCTCCACCAAACTCGTAGAGGTGGTGGAGAACAAAAGAATATTTCAGATGTACGTCGGATTTCGTTTTAGTTTATGATTGAGTGACACTGTATTAAAGTTTTGTTACTAATAGAAATTATTTGAAAGAAGACTTGTCTGCATGAGCAATTTTTATTTCACAACATTTATGCGGCAAATTAATTTGGTCGCGTAGATGTTAGCAAGCATTTGTAAAGAATTTGGCAACAGTTCAAACTCTGTGTGCTGGTTATGACTTTGGATAGCTAGAGTATTTTGCTGGAAACGTATGCACAGGCCAAGTGGGGCAACTTTAATTTGTCAAATCGAAACAAACACGCAACCCTAACAGTGAAAATATTTGCCTCTTAACCCTTTTTCTCAATCTAATTGTTCTCATCTTCACAAGCTAATCAAAGTTACAGCACAAAAATGATTGCTTGTTTTGGTAGAGCTATATACATGTAGATAACCTGATAGTGCAGATAAGGACTTTTTAAGAGATTTCTTTTTTTTCACTGTATTAGGTGGGCAGGATCTTACAGTGGGTTAGTCTCACGATTAAATTCCCAAAACAGGTTATGGTTTGTCATTATGGTGAATAACACTTTCAAAAGAAAAGTATAATTGTTTGCCTTACAACCTGGTCACTTCAGTCATGGATCATGATGTTTCAACAGCATACTGCTAGTCTTCTTCAGGCAATGAGGTGGATTGAGCATGTGAGTGTAAAACTGTTGGAGTTCCATGGCTGTGGTTGGTATATCTTCTAAAGTTTCCCTTAGCAGTTTGCTGCCGCACAGGTCTTCCTGCTGTTGTTTCTCATGATCATTGACATTCAGGCTTCTGAGAATTCTATTCTACTGTCCTTCTTGATATCATTAGGCTGATTGCTTATATGGATTGCCTCTTCACCTTGCATTTGTAGAAATGGGGATCACCCTCAGTAAACTCTACTTTGTTCAGAGAGGGCTGAAACAGTGGTTTTTCTGTATAGGGTTGTGTCCTATTGTCATGTCATGTTTGTTTAATCTTCTTTTTTTCCCAAGGCCCAGTTGTATGAAAAGCCACAAGTGATAATCCAGAATTAAAAGTTTAACTTGCCCTTGATTTCTCTTGAAATAAAGCATATATTCGAGCTAACATTTTGATGGGTTTTACCTTAGCACAAGACAGAACTGAAGGGTAAAATATAAACAATCAAAACTGTCTGGAAAGCTATAACATTTAATCAAAAGTTGTTGTCAAAACCTTAGTCATCTTTGTGCCTTGGACAAGTTTACAGTATGTTCCCTCAGATAATCTGTAGAATCATGGTATTAATTTATAATTAATCTTGTGGTGCCAACCTCTTAGGCTCTAGAAAACTTACAAACAGGAAGGTTTGGAAGGTACCTTTCTTACAGACTGAAAGGGACAGGAGCATGGGAGAATCATGGTCAGCACAGGAGAGGAAAGTACATGAAGGAGAATAAAAATGCAAACATTTGTCAACCATTTATCTGCAGTGTTTTATAATAGGAAACAGTAGGTGGAGGTCAAAGGTGTAACACAGTAGGAAGGAGGGAAGAGATTCTCCTTCTGCAGTCTCTTCCCTTTTTTTTGTGGTCAAGCTTTTACATAGCTGAATGCCTAAGTTTTTGAAGATTATGATCAATGATTTTAAAGACTTAATTTGCTATTTACAGGCTCAGAAAGAGGCAGCAGAAGCAGAGGAGATGGCCAAAGAGCTTGGCTTAAATGACAAAACTGATGATGGTCTGAAACAACTGGTTATGAAACGGCAGAAAGACCGGCAAGGGGCCATGGATGACATGATAGCTGGGCTGGAAGCAAAATACTGCAAACCAAAGAAACAGAAAACATTTAAAGGAAAGAAAAAATAGTTTTTTTACCTGAATCCAAATCTGTACTGGGATGAAAAATTTATATATCCTGGTAGGTTGTATTACAGAAGGGTTCTCCCTCAGTTGCATTCCAGTTTAGCTGGTTATCAGTATTTGACAGTAAATCAAGGGAATATTTATCATCACAGTCTTTTGGTATTAATGTTTAAGTTTACACAAAATTTACATATCTGGTATGTAGAAAGTGAAGGAGTTTGTATTTATCTTGGTCATAAAATTTTCTTAGTGATAACATGTTTTGCTCTGCCTGTTTTATAAAATTATCTCAACCATGCAACTTGTTGAATTTTGTTAAATAATAATGATATAAACATATCGTATTTTCATTATTAATTGTCAAGATTTTGTCCACATTTCCCCTAAATTTAGACCAAAGTGTATGAGATATGCAATGAAAATTATGCTTATTGAGACATTTTGTATTGTTTGATATTATTTCCTCCTGATTCAATCACAACTGCACCATGACATGATTACAGAAATGAACCATTCTATGTGGGGCATGTATTTGGGGGCTATTTGATATACCTTTGGCCAATGAAAAAGAAGAGGAGATGCTTTTTGTATGTATCCCATATAGGCCTGAATTTTTTTCAGGTCCTATTTTCAACTACTTGTTTCAGTAGTGTTTTTAGCTGCAAGGATCTCTTAATTTCATCTCTTCACTGCAGTGCAAATATATGAATTTCATATATCTAAAATCATCACTCATTACTTGGATGGTTTATTTGGACCCAACACACTGACCAGCTCCCAGTTGGCTTGTTAGCTCAGTTGGTAGAGTGATGCACCAATATCACTGAGGTCATGGGTTCAAATCCCCTAAGGGCCTGAATTTTTTTTCAGGTCCTATTTTCAACTACTCGTTTCAGTAGTGTTCTTAGCTGCGAGGATCTCTTAATTTCATCTCTTCACTGCAATGCATGATGAAAAACACTTTAGACCTGTTGTATGTAATTCATTATTTGAGTGCACATAATGACTAAAGATTTTCCCTAAATATCAAGGAAAATTTTATTATTTTGTCCTTTTTCCAGCCTCATTCTCTGGTCTTAAAATGATTAGATTCAGAGACCTTGGGCTAAGAACAAAACAAACATCAATACGATTTTAAGAACATGAGTCTTTCATTGTGTTTCTGTTTTCTTTTTTACTCGTGTTGCTCTTAGGAGTGATCGGAAAGTAATTCTTCACATTTCAAATACCACTAAGTTCAGTTTATCAAGATGTATTCCATGATTTCTGGTTATAGTGCTATTGGTCTATAATTATTCGTATCACAATGTTCATTTGTTGAACGAAGAGAAAATTTTTGCCAGATCCTTTATTGCATGTGAAGAAATGAGGAGCCAACTTACAAATGTTAATTGGAACTTTTGTATTGTCAATGTAAACTGTTGTCTAGTTATTAATTAACAGCTGATTTTTTGCCCATCATTGATTAATTTTCATGTCGTGTGTTTTCCCGCGTTTTCCGCGTAAAGTCTGAATTATTTTGTAATTTATATTCTTTGTTTTTGGTCCTGGCATCAAGTTGGCATTGTGGATGCAAATTGTTGTCTAAATATTAATTAACAGCTGCAAGATGCAAGATGAAGAAGCAACATAAACTAAATAAAACAAAATAAGGCAATGGAAAAACAACTGATAAATTCTCACATCAGTATTGTTTAAATTCTTTTTGGTTTCAATTTCTTAAATAAGGCTGAAACCATTCACTGATCAATTTCCATGTCGCGTCTTCTCCCGCGTTTTTCGCAAAGTCTAAATTATCATATAATATATATTCTTTGTTCTTAGGCCCCGGTGGGGCAGGTGAATTAGGTTTATGCGAAAATTAAAAGCCAAAATAGAGTGGGAGAAAACTTAAATGGAATTTAGTCCAGGTCTTTTGTTAATTTTGTTTATTTATTATTTATAGGACATCATTTAATGAACTTAAGTTCTTTTGTTATGTTCTTAAAGTAATACGCGGTCATTTCCAAAAATTACAGTGATTGGTATAAGAACTGTCATAGTTCTGAGGCTATTTCCAAGTTTCCCATACTAGACACACAAGTTTATAATCAAAGATTTGGAGTCGGTGCAACACTGAAAGATCAGAAAGCACTTAATCCTTTCAAAGGAGGCTGCTGCGATAATGAACTCCCTTTCAGTCAATCCCACTGAGGGAGTGGGCTTTATGCGTTCAGCTTTTAAAAGGTTGATCTTTACTCAGAGAGTCTCTCTGTTCTTGACCGCGAGCCAGACAGATTTAACCTGTGCCTTTGGCCTAAGATAGATTTAGTGAAAAATCCATCAAAGTCCTTTTACCTCGCCAATATTACAGCATTTTCTCAAGCCCAGAACTGTGAGTTTTCTTTAAAGGACTCTTTATGTTATGTCGGGTAATTCGGAAAGCCAAGCCCGCTAAATAGCCTGTCCATTAGGGAGGAGAAAACGGGTGCGTGGTAGAAACAGTTCTTTTCAGAACTTAGAAGACGCAAAAGCCACGCTCAATTTAGTTTTCGATCCTTCGCAGACAATTATTTAATGTTTTGTTTAGAAATGTTGAGAGTTTGTTTTTCTCTCGGGGGCGAGAAGAAATTGGGACAAGACAAGGGCGAGACAGGGTAGGGCACGCACGTGTGGACCCTTTTACTAAAATTATTGACATGACATGACTCCTGCTCTTGTCAAAAGAGAAGCATTCCAGCCTCTTTTACTAGTTAGTTTCAATAACGATTCTTCGTCGCCCTTTAAGTCGACTTTTTCAATGTAAGGATGAACCTTGGAGATCTATTCAATAAGGTTGAAAAATAAGCTATTCTTATATCGATACCAGAGGGGGAGAAGTTGCCCCTATCTACACAACTCTTACATTGCTGAACAATAAACCTCACAACGCTATGCGACAATAAAAAGTCAATAATTGCTGGTTAAATGACATCCTTCTTCTTTCATTACCCACAGCAAACTCACTTCCAGGAGCAAAAATGAAGCAAGTAGCAGTTATCCTTCTGATGTTGTGCATCTTTAGGTAAGTGACTCATTGAGGACCAAAAAAACGAATAACAATTGAAGTACTTCATGTAAGTTTACTTAGTTGGTCCACAAGAAAGATCTAAGGACTAGTCGTCGATTTTTTTCAGGGAGGGGAAGGGGTGAGGACTTAAAGGAGATCACATGGTTTCCAAGAGGTATATGGTGGGGAATCAGTCGTCGCCGAAAGAGGGGACTATAGAAACTTGACTGCCAATTAACTGCCCATGAAGGGGATGGGAGGAGGGGAAGGGTTTAAGTAACTGCCCATGAAGGGGATGGGGGTAGGGGAAGGGGGAAATTAACTGCCCATGAAGAGGATGGGGGGAGGGGAGGGGAGAAATTAACTGCCCATGAAGGGTATGGGGGGAGGGGAAGGGGAGGGAGAAATTAACTGCCCATGAAGGTGATGGGGGGAGGGGGAGCATAGGAGTGATTAGGGAGCCTTATTGGGAGACATAACGCTCGTCCAAAAAACAAAATTCTATTACCATGCTATGTGGCTACCTACCAACGAGAAAGAAAGCCTGAAGACTGGCACAAACTGCAAATAAGACGGGAACAGCGCCAACGAGTCAAGCCGCAAACATTCATAACAGAAAGGAGGAGTGAAAACGTGTCACGGAAAATGAACAAATACAGATTTCCTCGACAAAACTCTCTAAGTAAAAAAAAGGCATAAACAATATAACTTAATAGTAGTGCCATTCCAGTGACAGATTGTAATTTTTTAACTCTTCAGAGGTTATATGGCCGATGCTCGAGAGGTTCACTACAAGCTCACGGTAAGTAATAACAATTGCATTATCTAATAATTGTGGGCGCTAGACACTTCAATGGCAATTTCCTTCTGAATTTGTCATAACCCTTGTTTAATACAATTTTTGATACTTCCTTTTCCAAGGTGACTTCACACTGTGTAACACTGTACATACACTCTTCTACATGTCATGTCACACTAGACTCCTCGGATCATTCCTTTGTATCGTGCTCCTTCCTTCCGCCCACCTCTGATCCACTTCATTTCGCCTGACCCTTACACCAGCTTTACATTCTGACTAATGTTAAGGTTAGATGTGACAAAATTTCAATATCAGGCTTTCAAGTGAAGAATATTCAAAGATCTAAAGAATCGATATTTACAGTCGAGCAATTTCAAAGCTATCAAACACAAAAGCTAGTCAGTTTTTCTTACCATGTGATACAAAAGTAGATGTTTCTCCTTTATCAAGACGAGTGAATCCAATTAATCCTGTAACTCCCAGATGTGATTAACTTGTAACGTATCCTTAAAATATTCGATTTCATACATTATCCAACAAACAGACAGCGAGAGTGCGCAAACTAATCAGGCAAAAGATTTTATCTTGATCTCACGCCAAAAACTCATAACTAATTATTAAGGTAACGTGTAGTAGTAAGAGGAGAGAATTAACAATCAGATCTTGGGTGTTCAAGGTTAATACCTTACTTGTCTGACCCGTCTGTTACAAAGGAGCACGTACCAACCCAACTTTATTTCGCATTCGCTGCATGCATTTATGCATTCGTAAATATTGGGGAGGTGAATTATACTTTTGGCTTTCTTTCCGAATTTGTTCAGTGCTTTGTGACCTTCTTTAATTTCTACTTTGTTATAGTGTGGTGGTTCTAGAAGCGAAGTAACGGCCAGTAGTTGGATGTATACGCAGTATGGCAATTATTTTGTCGTGCTGTGTTGGCCAAAAGGTAAAGAAAGAATTGATTATGATGGGTCAAATTCATTTGCAAAAGAAATGAGAGATAATGCCACATATGTACGAAAATAAAGAAGCTGCTAAAACTAAGGCTTAAAAATTAAGTCACTGTTCAGCAGGAGTCAGTAACCCATGACCTCTTCGATACTTATGCAATGCTCTACCAACGTGGTGATTTCGTCAAATTAAGACAACACCCATCAAACTTCAAGCAGAGTACAGCGCGCTGGAAATCCCGGTTTTCCTGCTAACGTTTAGTGGATTAAGCTCTCGGAATGCACAAGACCTTAAATGTGGCTAAGAATCTAAAAGATAATTCATGGTACTCATGGCCTTTACATGTGTAATTTTCTTGTTGGGGACCATCGTGAAGACAGCAAGCACCAACACCCGAGGAGCAACGTGGCGAGCTCTTAATTTCACCCTCAAAGGATAATCTTTCTTCTCTTTTACGGCTGCAGGTACATATTTGCATAATGTCAGCGGCAATATCTTTTGCTGTAGTGGATCCTCTCTATGCTTTTGGGGGAGTTGGTAAGTGCCTTTATCAAAATTCAATTTTTTTACCCTCGGTAAATAGAGCTATGTCATCTATGGCACTCTTCCTTTGATTATTCGTGAAACTCCTCGAGCAGAAAGATAAACCAAATTCTGCGCTGTCACCAGCCACCCTAACAGTACTCTCTTGCCTAATATTACTGTATTTCATCGCAAGTTTCGGAAAAAATGGAATCAAAAGAAAGCCGGGAGGAATGGGAAAGAATCTCTCATTGGTGAATTATTTTCTGTCTTAGACAAAAGAACCTGCAAAAATATTAGAAAACATTTACGAGGGGTCGCGTGGGATGATTCGCAGTATTTGCTAGTTCAATACTCGGAAAATACTGGACCAGCAAAGGGCTAATTCGATTTGTTAATTCTTATTATTTGCGCACTGGACGAGTTAGCTGTGTGTTATAGGTTGGTGTAATACAGGCTTTTCCCCCTGCACGTACTCTACTCACCGTGAATATCGATTTGGCCTACCTTTGTTTCGCTGGCTCAGTCTTGAAGTGAAAGAGAGGTTCTCATACTAGAACGATTTGTGCAAAATCAAAGCATTCCGATTAAGAAAGAACACGCTTCAGCTCCCTGTATCGAAATAAGTGAAAAGTTTGGGTTATACAAGGAAAGGAAGAACTTTTTTTTCCAAGAGTGTAAATAGTTTGCTCGGTGATTCCCATAATGGCCAAGTGGCTTTCAGTTAAAGCCTATTTTTACCTTACGCCGAGCAATGTTGTTCGCAGCAGACGCGAATAAGAAGAGACTTGCATTTTTTCAAAATTAAATACGAGTTAGTTTCATTAGTTTTGCGATTATTTAAGTCATGGGAAAAAATGATAGACTTGGAAAGATTCATTACAGTGTTCATTTTTGTTTCAAGGGCTGTATGTAGATGCGATGGTAAAAAAGTCACATATGCAAGGAATGACATCAAAGTTGACCTCATAAAGGTTGTATCGTAGAGAGCGGGCTGACAATAAAAAGCGAAGTTGCCATGGACAGTCATTGCGTGTGTGTGCGTATGTTTTCTGCCCACGAACAGGAAAAAAAATAAGCAAAGTCGAAATTGCCATGGGAGAAGACAGCTCTGTAGAACATCGATCATGACCCTGAAATGAGGAGGTAATTAAGAAGAATACGATATTTTAACATGCAGCACAGGGGTAGTCAGGGCCTGTGGTCTTTGTATCACTCGCTTTTTACATGATCCATAGTTTTGTCTTAGATGTACAAACAGAATCCTCAATTTTTTATCATAGGCCAACTGATAAGCAAACATCAGAAGAACAAAAAATTTGAAAAATGCTGTTTCATGACTGGGATGCTTTTTTAAGCTGTTTTCTTGCAAACCGGTTCGACCATCAAAGCGTTTTCGGAAATTAGAAAATTGCAGAAAATCCGTCCTCATTAGCAGCACAAAAGCACTTTCACTTATTTGTTTGTTTTAGAATTTTTTTTTTCTTTGTATCGTTTACTGTTTATTTAGAGAAGAGAAATTCTTTTGTTTTTCAAAAATGCCAACAATGTTTGTATATACGGCGGCTGCAATCCAAATGCTACCGACGGAATTAACTAAAGTGCGTAAACAGGAAACTGAGTCATTCAAAAACCATTTTAAAACTATTAATTGATACTTTTCACGAAGAAATTTCGAGAAAAATCTACCCCGACTCCTGTCGCAAATCAAGATATTTTACATGCTGGAACAGTCAGTCCGCAAGACATCACAACTTTTACGCGTATACACAAGTGATACGTGATCGCGGCGCTTATCCCGACATCCGGGTGTTGTATCATGCTTACATCATCGTTTCTAAGTTTAGATAGGATGTGTACTTATCGTCTAAACGGGCGTTCGGTGACAAGCCGTAACAAAATGCTAACTAAGCGTTGTTTGCGTGCCAAGACGATTTGCATTTTTCTGATAAAGTTACGAAAACATTTGTATTGAGCTTAAGATGTAGGTATGAACGGATTAACTAACTGGGAATATCAAAATAGGTGATATGGATTTGTCTTGCTAGAGCACTAAAGAATTGCGTGAGTCACCAAATCAGCTATTAACTTTAATTAATTAAAAGAAGAACCTTTAGCCGGAAGTCAGGTATCAACTACATGTATCTCTTTTTGTTGTTGTATTCTTGAGCTAAACTAATTATCATAAGCAATCGAAAATCATCTTTACCGTATTTCACTTGTTAATTACAATAAAAATAATTTTCTTCATTGACGCAATTTTTCTGTCTCCTGTCAGAGCTGATGTCCCTAATAAAAGCAAAGTCGGTTCTGCATTGTGTCAACATGTCATCAAAATACACCGTTGAATTACGTTGCCTCATGACCACAATGGAGTCGACTTTCATTGATTTATATTACGTGTATCTATACTTGACCTTTGCCACAAGTTTATCTTCGTTTTTCGCTGAATAGGAATAAAGGACCCGGTGGTAACAACTGCGCCAGTAATTATGGAATCTAAATCATCGGCCGAGCGAATGTGCTGTAAATCGTTCAAAGTGTCTGAAAGTATAGTGGTGTTCTATATCGTAAACTTTGTGCTTGTAACGACCGTGACATTGCCAACATTATTTTACATTTTCCAGCCGGATCATCCTCCACACATAAAACTCAATGGGTAAGTAAATCATCTTTATTTTTCAGTTTTCACCAAACCAATCGATGGAACAGGAGCAGGCAAAACCTGCTTCTTTTAATGATTCGTCGATTTTATTTCTTCCCACCTTGTTGAGCCTAAAAAAAAACTACAAACTCTCAAATAAAAAATATGACTTTAATGGATGTTCTGATAATGGCCGATAACTACGACCGTAAACTCTCCTCAAAGGAGTTTGATGTTCTCTATCAGTAGTTCCTTGCCTGGAAAGAACTACTATTTACCGGAGAGGGTTTTCTTGTGATTTGTTTATAGCACGCTTATAACACCTCCTTGGCAAAGTATGATATAGAAACGTAAATGTTTTCTTTTGGGCATGAAAATGAATGATCCCCTTGAAAACTCATATTTGCGAAGGACTAAGGTGGAACTGTTAATGCTTAGGAAACAACCTTAGTGGCCTATACTAGGATTTCTACTCTTTCTCTTAGATTTAATCAAACCTAACCGTTGTTTCTTGTGTGAAAACTGACAACATGAGCGAGAAATGTGGCGAAAATGTTCTCATTTGGGTGATAACTGACGTAATTATTTAATCGTTTTTGGGGAAAAAATTCCAGTTTAAATTTTCAGTTTTTGAAAGCTTCCTCTTCAAAGGATAAACACCATAAGCTAATTGATTTTTGACAGTTTACGGTGGGAAGATTTCAAGTATCAGTCAGGAGGAAATTCTGAAGGAGTTTTCTTTGTCTGACTCATTCCCAAACCGGACAAATGTAGGAGGCGCAAATAAATAGCATGAGAAGATTTCTATTGCCTTTTGAAGATTTTAAGAAAATGTAAGATCTTATCACTAACATGCGGAATAGGCTAAAAGAATCGGTTAAATGCTCTTTAGTAGTGTGGAAAACAAAACAAAAATATCCCCTGATTAAACTTACATCTTAGTGAAATTACTAAAAATTTATACAGGAATGAAAAATCTTAGCGATGGTAATGGTCGAACTAAAGAAGTTTTAAACGTTTGAACCACGTTTTAATCTTTGAAGTTGTGACGAAATTTGTGACTGAGCTTTTGTTCCCGATCCTTCACAAATAATGTTACTCTCAGTATGTGGTGTTACTTTGTGAGCGAACGTGACTTTGGCAAACATTGCTTTACCTATGATGCACAGTTTGACACAGATAACATCATGATCTCGTTAATCAAAAGCGTCACCAAACGCCTCTTGTCTTCTAGGTTTTATTCTAGATGCATCTAGAAAGTCACAAAGGTCAAAAATGTTATCACATACCACGTTTTTGTTTTATAAAGCTACAGAATTTTACAACAATGAAATAACTTTATCCGGAGTTTTTAACGAAAATGGAAGAGATATCCTTCTTGTTAATGCATGACATGATTACGGTGTGAGACTATCTTCAAGCCAAGGAACGCCCCCGAAATGTCAAAAAGGAGGGGACGTCTTTTATAAGCCAGTTAGCGTGATCTTTATCGCACTAGTTGTGTTGGTGTTCTGTGAAGTATGTGTATTTCTCTACAAAATCGACTTCAGCTCCACGTAACGTTCATGACAAAAACCACCCAGGAAACACCATTATTTTCTTTGCCCAAAACAACATGGTGCATATAAATTTTTTAACTCAGCATGCAATGCGACTTAATTTTAAAATGCGACAACACTAATATGTAAAGCAAACTTTAATACGAGGATTAATTTCTATAATCTTTCGTGTGGAATTTTAATTTTCGTGTCCATAGCCCATAGTTTAGCGGCAAGGCAAACAGAACCGCCCTGCAAAGTAAAGATTTTTCCTTTTTTCGACAAATGTTTACATTGGCAACGATTATTTACATTGGACAGGATATTTACAGAAGGATGCATTTATGACCAAGCGAAAATATGTTGGCAGAGCTTCCCGGAAGGACAGAAAAAAAAGGGTGTTTTTATTAAAAGTCTTAGATCAAGTCTATTTACGGTATACTTGTGAAGCGGTCTCCTTTCAGAGAGAAACCGCCCACGTTGGTAACACACCAAAGACTCGTATTTTTAGAGGAATCTGAAGGTTTTCCTTTGACACTCAGCCCCAAAATTAGCTCCAAATGAGTGCGACTTCCCAGCTGATGGAAATTGAGAAATAAATGGTTTCTATCCATCTTTCTTGCCTCGTTCTTTGACTCTCTGTTTGTTACCATTTGTTAAATCAATCTTTCGTTTGGTTACTATGGATTGATTTTGAATGTGTTTTTTTTTTTATCGTTCCACAGAACTTTCTCTCAAAAAATTGGATATACATTGAATTCTTCTGATTATTTTTCACAGAGGACAAGAAACGTTACAATAAACAAAGGTAAATAGAAGTTTTTAAAGAAGGGTTTTAAACCTCTTAGTACATGAATTCAGTTTAACGGCTGTTTCCTTTTATCGCATAAACAGATTTCCCGCTCCAGTGCAACTCGCCGCTCCTCCCTGATAAAGAAACCGGTCTCTGCCGACCGCCGTGCGCCTGGACCACACAATCTCCTCTGACGCAGAAGGTTTACTTTGTGGTGATAGTGGTTGGCCTGTGGTTGGCACTCATTGCGACAATTATCACGTTTATCACTTGGGCCAGTATAAAAAACCTGTGAGTGTCTGTTAAAGCAAGTTCTTTTGATTTTCGAAAATATACTGCGATCGCACCGGCTTTGCTTCACACTGCTTTTTGATTGGTTCAGAAAACTGGCGCCAAAGTCAAAACCAATAGTAACTTGATTACTCGCATCTTCCCGCGCTTGAAAACGTGCGGTACGCGTGTATTTACACTATCTTATTTTTGTCTTCTTGTGATATTAAGGTTGATTGGTCGTTGATTACTCTAATTAGAATGATTACTAGTGTTTGGTCTCTGGGTTTGCTGATTCGGTTTAATTCTTTTTTCCCTTTGCTTTCAATAGCCGAAAGTTTCCTCATGTTCTGCGATTTCATATCATGGTCTGTTGTGTTATCCTGGGTAAGTAATGCTCAACGTCTGGTAAGAGCTGATAATTTGCATTTTAGACTTTTTTCTATTTCTTTTTAGCAAGTATTTAAACAAGAGGGTCTAGTGCAGAGCTGGAGATATCTCTTAAGTACTTTGTAAAAAATCAAAACATATCCTCGCCTCATTATTTTCAGTAAGCCACATAAATTGGAAAAATTGAAACGCTGAGTTTTCCTAACTGTTTCTTTTTTCAATAATGTGCAGGAAACAGCAAAATGCTTCCCATGCACATGAAGCCAGAAAAGACATTCTGCCGAGGTCAGCTTTTTTGGGAGTCCACTGGTCACTCATCGTTAGCCACCGTAATTCAAGGTAAAGAGAGCAATTTAATGCCATGCGCCATCGATAAAGCTACTATTACCACAAAAGAAATGTTTTGCCTGAGCTTGTGGGGACAGAAAATGAAATGCAGACGAACCTCAACTTCAGAGTGCTTTTTCGTTCACCTCTTGAGGAAATGTGGGATGATGGTCGAAAGTCTTGTCATGTAAAGACAGTGGGGAAAATCTTTCTCAGTCTTAAACAAATCTTGGTTTGTCACTACACAGTACCATGGTAAAAAGAAAGGCCGATATTTTAAAGAAACACAAGCTCTCCTCTCAATTTTCATCACAGCTCTTTCCACCACTTTCCGTCCTCGTTCTTCAAGCAAATCTTTGGGAGGGGGTGACGAGGTGGTTGGAGATTTTCAGGTTTATTGTTGGGTCTCCTGATGCCTTGAACTTGATAGCTGTGACCTTAGGTATCCTTCTCTAATCCTTTAGTCAAAACAGTCTGTTCTTTGTTAAACAGGTGCAATGTCTCACTATTTTGGCCTGGCACATTCATTCTGGGCCATGTGTTTCATAGCAAACACTTATGCTGTAATCGTTCGCGATAATCGAGCCGTCTTCAAACATCCAATCAAAATTCACTTCATACAGTCGGTATTTTGCTGGCTTGTGCCTGCAGTAATTGTGACCTGCTGCCTCTATATTTCTCCACCTGGGTACAAGTTCCTCTTTATAGATCTAATGACTGCAGGTGCCGCAAGTGCACGAATGGCGTACTTTGCTGTCACATTACCAATGCAAGTAACGCTCGGAGTGTCACTATGCCTACTGTGGAGTATTGTGTGGCATCTTAGAAAGGTACGTACAGTGAGAATTTTTTATTGGTGAAACGGCTGACCTAAATTAGAATGCACGCTCTTGTTGTATGATATGAGGAAAAGTATTGCGCCAATAAGAGTGTATCTCGGCATAAAGCTTTCACCTATCCCCTTTACGAGTGAAAATGGTATGTCCCCTTTGGGGTAAAACCCTGCTCTCTTAAAAAGTGGCAGCAAACAAATGTTCATATCTTTTTTGTTCACGCAGGCTCGCTTGGATTCTAGAAAGCGCGTTATCCGCGCCAGAGAAGAAAGAATTTCCATGCGGCGAGTTGAGCGCCAGTTCCTGAGCATGGCAGTAGTAATTACGGTGGTTGTGGGTGTGGTTATGTCGGTGAACACCGTGACGCTCTATCGCGTGAGGGGTTTTGTGCATGATGCTGAAGTTTACTTCGATTGTTTACTGGTAAGGCTACTCTAAACGATCAGCATACAGTTGAGCTACTTTTACGTGAAACCTGAATAATTTTGTTGTCAAGTTAAAGGAGGTTAGTTTTGGGAGAATGGTGGCTAAATCGTTTGTTGCATTTCATTCCTAACGTACCAGTCGGAGTTCAATTTTAGCCCCTATGGGAGTCAGTGTATTGCGTATTTGGCCACTTGACCCCTCCTTCCCCTTGACCCACTGATCAGTCCAGGCACCCCTAAGAAATGCTTTGAGGGTAAGTTATAATGAACTAACATCTCATTTAGCGGGATAAAGGGAGGGGGGGAATGAGGAAGCGGTCGTCGCTTTCCCATTGGCTAAATCCTCATTTTACGAAAACCGTGATAACTCAAGCAGTCGTGGTCTTCGACAAACTGATCTGTTTCCAGTTGTTCATAATTCTTAGTGCGATAACGGCTTTTTATCCTTATTTTTAGGTCTCTAAGAACTGCAAGCCCCCATCCTGTAACACGGTGCTACCTCTGATAAACGTAATAGCCCCTGCCTTCGCTTGTCTTGCATTCTTCTTCCTTCTCCTGATGAATAAAGATTGTCGCAACATTTGGAGGGGCTGCTTCCGTAGATTTACAAAGCTTTTTGAGTTTTGTAAACCACCTCCACTAAAAATTCGCGCAGATACAGACCGCTCAAGATGTTCCTCAACACTCACTGTGCTTTCCACTGATCGCAGGGATTCGGAGTTGTTCTTTCGACAATCGTTCGTGTTACCGGGATATGTCTCAGGATTGGACCTTCAACAGAACCGGCAAAGAGCGTCTACTTTAACTTTCCCTGTCAAGAAACAAGAACTAACTGTCACAGATTTAGATATCGAAATAAAAGTTACTCCTCCATCAGACGCAGACGTAGAATTGCGAGCCAGGCGCAATTCTGTTCCTGTATTTTTGCTGCAAGATTTAGATTCACACAGACGCTATAATAAAACTACGATCCATTCATCCACTGAGTCACTTTCTAGTGACCACAGTGGGGTATCGGTCACTAATAGCGAAACACCGTTGGGAACTGGGGAGAGTTTCATCCAGGAAATATATTCTTCGAAATTATAGCTTAAACTCGTTTAAAGGAATGGTGTTAAGACGAGAGGTGTACTACAGTTGGTGATAAAGTGATGAGACAGAACTCAATATACGTGGTTTTTAGTTTGTTTCGTTATATCTCCTTGGGAGAGAGAAGGGGACTACCTGCTTGTTGCTAAAATATTTCCCACGGTTGTATGGGCAAAGTTGTGAGGCTTTGAAAGGAGACAAAAAAGAGATTAAGCTAGAGTCGTTATTGGTGAAATGGCAAGATTTTAATTTTCCTTGGAGCGTTTCAACGTCACGTTTCAACTGCCTCTGTCGCCAACTGTAGTAGATCTCGAACAAAAAGATAAAGAAATCGTTCTTTTTCCTTCCCCAGAAATCGATTTCGTATTGTAATGTAAATAAAATATGTATATATGGCATTTTTGAACAAATTGATGTACATAAGTAATTGTATATTTTATAAATTTTTTTGAAATGTACTATGCTAATCGCAAACCTTTTTTCACGTTTTAAAAATTCTCTTTACTAAATATTTAGGTCATCCTTTGGAGAAAATTTTACGCGTGAACCCAAGTTAGCGCTCAAGTCATGTCAAGCCAGTGACCCGTGTTAAAAAAGAAAAAGAAAAACAACAATCATTTGTTCCTTTAACGCTCATATCGCTACTTTTATGAAGAATATTTCAAACTTCTGATGAGGCGTGAAACAGTGCTAGTGATTTAAAACTTATGATGGTCAAATGAACTAAAACGTAAATCTAGTGCATTTCAATAAAGATGGATGTAAGTAATAATTATTGACGTTTTGAACGGCAGAAAATGAAATAAATTTGCTTTGTGCTACTGCGATTTGCCCATATTTCAATCTAGATAATGAATATTTGTCAGAGAGACCTTTGACATTTTTAGTAGCTATCTTTACATTGATATCACTGACATCATTCGCGCGTTGTCCTCTTCGCGTTGCGAAGATAATTAGATTAGAAAATAATTAGATTATTTAACGAGGAGAAAACGAAGAACATTCCTCAAGTATTGTATCAAAAAAAGGTCAAATCAAAATCAAAAGGAATCGTATCTGGTGTCAGTCTTAGCGTTCTGAATAGTCAAACCTGTTCAAAATTTAACCGGAAAATTGACCGGGATCGATAACAAATCAAATGAGCAGCCCAAAGTTGTAAAGCTTTCAAATGATTAAGTGTTTTTGTCTTCAATCGATGGTCAAGCTCAGAGACTAATCAAACTAATCGGGTGAATGACGCACAAAGAGGAGGATTCTAAAAATAAATGACAGATGACAGCCTTACATCTACATGTAATAGTTTACCGGAAGTTGACAATACCACGTACACTCGCGAGTGGAACAGTTTCAAAGGTCCTTTGTGTGTTCCTTTCACTCTTTGCTTAATGTTGACAGCTGTACAATTTGGAAAAATAAAGCTTACTCATTAAACTTGGCGTTTCCTGATTGACATCGAAAGAATTCTTCGGGATTCAGTAAACTGTACGCTTTCCATCACCCCAAGTCATTAACGCGTATCACCTCTGTGCAAATACGTCACTTAAATTGGTATAAGTTTACATCTCACGGTCATAATCGTGTCGTCAGTGTTGTCATTTCGCGGAGCGTTTCCTACTTGACCCGTTACTAGAAACTCTCTGCTCTCTGTGTACTGATCATTTTCAAAACAGCTTTTAACAGCTGCACTAGTGATAATCCCCTCGTGAACAGAGCTTCAACTGAAAAGTCACGGTGTTGTGGATCGATGATGTCTCGGTTCAAACTTCCTTATTACGCTGGCCACTTATTTCTTCTAATTATCGTAACAGCGCCGACATTATTTTATGTTTTTCGCCCGGATCATCCGCCCCACTCCGATTTATATGAGTAAGTATCGAACTGAATATACGAACAGTATCAATGATGTAGCTAAGGCTTTTTATACAGATATTGATGTAGATAAATTTCTCTTTTAAATTGCTCCGATTGGAAAGTACAGGACCGCAGTCAAATTTTCAAGATTATCTTTATCAACACCAAGGACCGCTATAAAAACATGCTAAGAAGGTTTAATTCATACAAGACTCAAGACACATTGATGGTAGAAATTGAGGTGGATATGGCTTAAAGAGGTCTTGTTCAGGCACGAATTGTTGCGGGCTGCGAGTGTCAATCGCTACATGCTTATGCATACGTGATCATTGTGTTGAAGATCAAACTTTTTGTCATAAGTTGAGCTGTTCGTAAATACGGACGTATTATATTATATTGCTCTTTCGCATGTTTCAAAGTTTTCTGGCTCACAGTGATCGACAGTCTCGGGAAGATCAGAGAAATAAAATGTCGTCTGTTGAGTTTAGACACTGTACTCACGCGCATATCCACTTTGAGGTGTTGTCTTTCCCGTGATGTTTAAAATCAGAATTTGTGAGATATCCTCGCCTGAAACAATTTAAGTAACTTTAATCGATTTTTAATAGAGTAGATGCAACTTTTCCTGATGATTGCCACTTAAGTCCGCCAATTAATCAAGAAAACCGATCAGTGACAGACTAAGCAAGGCTACTTTCTCTTTCTCTTTCTTGTGTTTCGAACCGGGCGTCCATTTCATCGAACGAGGATTTAACGCTGGTCATAACAAAGAAAATGCGAAACTGAAATAAATCGGACGCTTTTTCGCTGAATCATTATACGTTTGGCTTCGTGTACTGGATGAATGTTTGAGATGTAAATAACATTGACCAGGCTAATTGAGATATTTTTGGCAAATCTATAGGAACGTTTTAAAAAGTAACAAGACGTGATGTTTACGATACGTGATGTTTATGAATAGATTGGCTGACTTAAAGTGATTTACAGGCATACTTTTATTTTGAAGTACGATTCTCTTAATCAGAAGAGGCATCTGTGCTAGAGCAATTTTGTAATATTATTATACAAATGCCACATCATCACATCACGTAAGAACTTATTGTCAGGAGTAATTTTTGTACATTTATTTATCCATTTATTTCATGCTCGTGCCTGTTATCCCGAAGATTGGGACGAATTTCTCCGAGTTATTATTCATGACTTTTTTTGTTTTACTACAAGTGGATTTACTTGAGTTTTGATTGTTCACTTCCAGCTGTCAGTTCTAAAGCAATACTAAAGCATTTACAGAGTTAAAATCGACTTGAACACCATCTGTTAGGTGATCGTTGACGCTTCATCGATGAGTAAGCTTCATGAAATAATTGTGATGACAAAAATTTTACCACAGCAGCGATTTAACGTGCAAAACAAACCCAAATTTGTTCTCTAATGACTCACAGGTAGACTTCAAATAATGCCTCCGGCAACATACAATGGTGTTCTGTTGATCGAGGTCAAAGTTACTTTTAATAGTACTTGATTGTTTCACCTCTTGTGGAGAAGTGATCTAGTCAGTTTAATTTGCCCCATCCCCCATTCAAGGTGGTTCCTAATTACAAACAATTTTGATGCTCCTCCAATGTTTCCTATTTATGCCCTGCTTTGATTGGCATTATTCCCTCTTGAGTTTTTCAATAGTGTTTTACTGTTGTCAAGCGATTTGACATAAAAAACCATAGTAATTTCCGTAAAAGCTGATCACCGCTATAGCCGCATTCGTCACGTGACCTGTAGTGGAATAACAGAACTGAGTTTGTACATTACCCTCTGAGATTCGGTAATGAGGTCTAAGTCTCTTTCTGTAATTTTTTTAATAGATCTAATTTCACAAGGACAAATCAAACATCTAGCAACAAAGGTAAATTGAAACTTTCTTGTCTTTTTACTAATCTAACAACTGTGAAAACGTTCGACTGAAATCACAGCAATCAATGCAAAATACAATATTATTTCTATTATTAGATGCTGGTACTTCTGTTTTGTTCCGTCAAGAAAATCAAAGAGAAAAGGAGAACACGTCTTGTTCAATTTCACCGTAAGTGTAGATCAAGGTTTTTATGAGTCATTGTTAAAGCTCTTTATTTCTCTTTTCCGTAACAGATATTCCGCTTGAGTGCAACTCTCCCCTAATCCCCGATAACGATACCGGCCAATGTCGACCGCCGTGCGCCTGGACTTCACAGTCTTCTTTAACCCAGAAGGTGTACTATGGCATTGTTGTGATTGGTCTGTGGTTGGTGGTTATTGCAACAATCATCACACTCATCACCTGGGCCAGCATAGAAAGCCTGTAAGTTTCGCTAAATATATTAATCTGGAGCAAGTATTTTGCAACTAATTAGTGTTCTCCAGAAACCCAAAGGTTACCAGAAATATTGCGAAATCTGCGGAAGGATTGTTAATTATTTTTTGAAATCTCAACTTGAGTTCACGTTATGTTTCTAATCCGAACTAACTTTGTGATACATTCTTTTCCTTTTTCAGCCGCAAGTTTCCTCACGTGTTACGTTTTCATATCATTATATGCTGCATTTTTCTTGGTAAGAAGTCGTGATGCTTGGGGAGATGTTCTCCTTACAAATTGTAGAGGATGTGGATATATTTTGCGTCGGGTTTTGAACCATGTTGAAGAGATCGTTGTGGATGAATACAATGAGTTTGTGATTAACATTCTTGACAATCACAAGGCCTTCCGGAATAGGTTTAGCAGGCAACAGTTGACGTGTTGGACTAATAAAATTATGTAAAAAAAGGAATCATGGCACTCTAACCTTTTAATTTCATAGCTTGATGTTACTACAAGGCGATACCCCTGCAGTGTGAGTCCATGATAGGCTACTCTCCCTCCCCCCCTTAGCCCCCCACCACGTTACTGCTGGATGGAGAGAGGCATTGTCGAAGTCAACTAGTGTAAATCTTTCAAGTTTCGACAGACTGACGAAGCGCTGTAACATGTGAAGGATTGATTATGTTTAACACTTTGTCTTAACCGCCTTTCTCTTTTACTTAGCTTGCTTCAAAATGATTCCTGTGCGGATAGGACTTGAGAAAGTTTTCTGTGGCGAACAGGCCTTTTGGAAGGCAGGAGGTCATTCCTCGCTCTATGCAGTAATTCTAGGTATGATCTAGACACTCACTCTATCCTAGTTGTTCAGTTTTTCATAGATTTTTTCCCAGGTATTTGTTTGTAGAACAAACTAATCTACATGTGCATGAACACATTTTGAGATTTTTAACTTATTGATAATAGTAAACCCTCACGTAGGCATTGAGCTTTTTATTTCGGTAGCCATCATGACTTCTTTTCAACGAACCTCAAAACATTTCGCGTCCAATCCACTTGAGGCGATCCTAAAATATTCCATTAAGGTAGGAGTCGCGAGCACTCCGTTCACGTGGCAGAAATCCTTAAAATTACAAAAAGTTGAGTCAAAGAAGAATGTGTTCTTTTTTACTGGTCTAAATCATCGAGGATAAACTGTGAATGATTCACTGGCTTATTTTTAGTGGGGCTTCACCTACTTCTTCCTCGAGTTCGCATTCTTGTACGCTAACGACTTCATCTCTTTGTGAATGACAGGTGCGGGGTCTCATTATTTTATTCTGGCACACTCGTTCTGGGCCATGTGCTTTATAGCGAATACTTACGCCGTGATCATTCACGACAACCGAGCTGTCTTCAAACATCCAATCAAAATTCATCTGATGCAGTCGGTGCTGAGCTGGCTGGTGCCTGCATTCATTGTGGCCGGATGTCTTTACTTTGCTCCACCCGGCTACACGTTTCTCTTTATGGATCATATGTCTGCAGGTGCGCAGAGCATTCAAATGGCTTACTTCACCTTTACGCTACCCATGCAAGTCACGATATATGTGTCACTTCACCTACTCTGGTCCATTGTGTGGCATCTTAGAAAGGTAAAAATTTTGCTAATATACTCAAATTATAATTTTACCGCTATTTTCCTACTATCTTGTATTTTTATGAACTTTTCTCCTGAAAAATTCCCCTGCTTCTTGTCTGCATTTTCTCCTAAATTGATATCAGCTGTTTACATGACCGAATTTCTCGTGTTCATATTCAAGTTTACGGCTCCCTTCAACTCTGTGTCAGAATCAATTTTTGCGCAAGCTAATAAGTTTCCTCTGAATAAGGTTCTCAGTGCAATGGACGTGTCTATAAATAGGGATGGGTGGAATTTTTCCCATAGGCACCCCATGACCCTCGTTGAGTTTGTGTTCGCGTCCTCATGGCACCCCTCGCGAATGAGTGCAGTTAACAGCGAAAGGCACTATTAGCCCGAGATAACTCACTTTTGATGTAAGATTGCATGTATTAAAGACGGTTACCAATTTTTTTTAAAAAAATTGAAACAGTTTATTGATGTTGTTGTTTTTTAATTCATAAGGCACGCCTGGACGCGACCAAACGTGTTATTCGCGCTAGAGAAGAGAAAGTTTCCATGCGCCGAATCGAACGTCAGTTTCTGAGCATGGCTGTTGTAATTCTGGTCGTAGCGGCAACTGCTACGTCGATCAATACTATGACCTTCTACCGTACGGACAAATTTGTGCATGGTGCTGAGATGTACTTTTATTGTCTGCAGGTAAATAAGCTGAGAGACATTCTTCCATTGATGGTGCCATTGTGATTCATGTTTCACTTTACATTTCCTAATTTAACACCGAACCCCCGAACCCCCTCATCCCCTCACAGTTTTTCCTGTATCTTTCCTCGAATAATACTGTCGCATAGGCTGAGACTTTTTACGGCAAAAAGAGCACTCTTTGCTCCCCATATACGATACGCAAGGGTGACCCTAATTATATTTTTGGCTTTCACTTTACTGATACTTCCACGTGATTTTTTCTCGTTGTTTTAGACTTCAAGTAATTGCACTTCTCCCAGTTACTTTACGGTGCTTCCACTGATCAATTTAGTCGCCCCAGGCTTCCTCTGCCTGGCGTTCTTCTTCCTGTTACTGATGAACAAAGATTGCCGCCAGATATGGACGGGTTATTTCGCTAAATGCAAAAAGTGTTTCCAGCTATGTGGAGAACCTTTGAGAAAACCTCGTGCCGACACAGAACTCAGTAAAGACTCAAGATGTTCCTCAGTTCTCACTGTGTTGAGTCCAGATCGCAGAGGATCGGAGTTGTACGGCAGCCAAACATTAGTTGATCCTAAGAACAGAATACTTCCATCTTATCCCTTGCCGCGAAGCGTTACCAGATTAAAAACAGAAAGCGTAATACTGGTAGGGATAAAACCTAGAGCATCCACGCTAAGTTTGCCAGTGATGATGAGTCCAAGAGTGACTATTTCAAATTCAACTTTCCAGGTCCCTCTATCTCCAAATGAGTTGGACCCACGATCAAGAAGCAGTTCACTACCTGTAATTCTTCAACAAAAATCAGAAACAGCTAGCACCGAGAATAAACAAGGACGCGTAACCTCGCATATTCTCAGTACACTGTCACGAGATTTGGAAGTTTCGAGAAGTATGAACAGCGAGGATTCTGATGCAAATAGCGAAACTGACAAATTCATCCCGAAAAGTGAAGAAACTTCTTCCCCGTCATAACAAATAAAACGAGAAGCTTAAAATAACAATCGTAGACGCTGAGGCTTCAAAAAAGAGAAAGGCCTTTTAACTATTTAAATTTCAGTAGTTTTATGGGTGTACATTACTGAAAACAAAAATTTTAAAGTTAATCATTGTTATATATTTTCCGTTCACTTTATTTTTGAGCAAAGCAATTGAAAGTGGATGCAATTTAATTTTCAACAGTATTTCCTATCGTTGATAAATTGAGTGTAGTTTGAGTGAAATATCGCGGCCTAACTTGTGTATAGGAGAAGCTTTGATAATGAAAAAGACGTCGCATCGACGGTGAAGACAATAATGATAATGACCAATAGCCAGTTCTAAACGTTCAGTTCGTAACACAAAGCGCGATAAATGGGACGATAGAGACAGAGGAGTGAAAAATCGAGCGAGGCTTGGGTCAGGTACGCCACCCGACCCAAACTTCCTTCGTTTTTTGCTCTGGGATTACGTACCGTTATACTCACGAAGCCTGGAATAGGCTAGATTATGACATGCTGTAGTCGTGATTGTGATGACGGCAACAATGTAACGATGACGAACTCAAAGACGATGACGATAATGGTAATGATGGCGAGATGATGCAGAATAAATATTTATTGTTGTGTGTTGAGATATCAAAGATATTTGTAAATATTAATTTATTAAAGTGTAGCGTATGGATAACACCAATGGCTTATATAGCCCCCTTTTTTTGTGTATAAACCAGACACACCCCACGATAACTCTATTCCTAACGCTCGAAGCGTCAGCTTTGAAATTCTTTACCAGGGCCGTAGCCAAACTTCAGAACAAGATGAGGCAAGTTTCGAGCGCCAAAGGCGCGAGCCGCTCACGGGAGGTCTGGGGGCATGCCGCCCCAGAAAATTTTGAAATCTAGAGGTTCAGAAATGCTCTTTTACGCATTTTCCGTGGCATTTTTCTTCAGAAAAGTCAGTCTCTCAGTTGCTTCGTCTTGCCTCATGCCGGCCAATTTACATTATCCACTCAGTCGATAAAACCAAATTATTTAGCAAATAAGATAATTTGATATTATCAACTGAGTTGATAATGTAAATTGGCCTCCATCGAGAGTCTCAAAGCTGACGTTTCGAGCGTTAGCCCTTCGCCATTCGCTCTGACGAAGGGTTAGCGCTCGAAACGCCAGCTTAAAAACTCTCTACGGTGGCCATTGTACATTATCAACTCAGGTAATAAAACCAAATTCTCTTGTTATACTCACCCACCGACGCAAAACCACAGTTTCTTTACAAACTTTCCACCTTTTGTTTATTTAGTAACTGGCCCTCAGCAGCAAACTTCTTTGGAAACTTACCCCGGTCCCTCTTTCCTTTCCTTACATTTGTTTCCTATATCAGATTTACTTGAGCGTCCCTTTTTTGCCCATATTTTGTTCGGCAGCGGTCGTTTCTCGGGTTTCCATAGTATAAAAAATTTGTGGTGAGAAATTGTGCGTGGCCTGCTCGACGCTAAGCCGCTGATATTCATGTCAGTTGTATTGGCGGCTCGTAAGCCCTAAACTATAACAGAGATCAGCGGATTTATTGAATGGGTATGTAATTCATGTCAAGAATGTCAACAGGAATCAACTTTGTTACATAATCACCCGAGTCATGGACTCGAAGCGTAAAATGAAACGATCTGGAAATATTCAAGAACCAAGTAGCATTACAGATGGCAGTGAGTCTGGAAGTATGTTGTTACGGGTTCAACATGCTCAGTCGTTGCTCACAGCCCTAGAAAACATGCGAAGACAGGAAGAACTGTGCGATGTGGAACTCGTTGTGGCCGGTAGAGAAATCAAAGCACATCGTGTTATTCTAGCCGCTGTAAGTCCTTATTTCAATGCCATGTTTACGAGTGATGTTGTAGAAAGCAAACAGAAGGTCGTGCATTTAAACGATCTGGAGCCTTTGGCAGTTCAGACGGCGGTGGAATTTGCTTATGTAGCTAGAGTCAACATAACGGTTGACAATGTCCAGTCACTTTTGACTGTCGCGACTTTGCTGCAAATGGACACTTTGACGGAAAAGTGTTGCTATTTTTTAGAGAATGAACTCCATCCTTCAAACTGTCTCGGTATACGGCGTTTTTCCGAGAATCACGGCTGCTTTATGCTCAGCAAAACAGCCTACGAGTATACTTTGCGAAATTTCAACCACACTACACAAATGGAAGAGTTCTTTCAATGTCCTTTAGAGGAAGTTCTTAAACTACTGAGTGAGGACTCTCTGTATGTGCGGCACGAGGAAGAAGTGTACGAAGCTGCTTTACGATGGGTGAACTACAAGAAACACGAAAGACTCAAGGCAGTTCCCCAAATAGCTGAGACGATCAGGTTCCCCTTGATGGCTTGGGAGTTCCTTGTAACAAAGGTATTGGATGATGGATTTATCTCCAGCAAAGGCGACAGCTGTCATCTATTTGAGGAGGCCAGGATGTACCATCTGTGTCCTCAGTTGCGAAGTGACATAAAATGTGGCAGCCGATTTCGGCCACGGAAATTGTATGGTCAGGCAGAGTGGATATATGTTATGGGTGGGGAAATTAATCCTGGTGAGCATAAAATTAATTTTCAGCCCTGGCCCGGGTTGTTCAAAGCTGGGTTAAGATAACCCAGGGTTAGTGTGAAATTTGAGTGCAGTTCTGAAGGCTTTAAAAGAAAATTCAGTTCAAATATTTTTGCTTGCAACTTGATCATTGAATGTTCTGGAAAGGAATGGGGAAACTCTAGCCTAAAATACTTTTGAACAAAGAAATAAAGAAACTTGTATTAAAATTTAATCCTGGGTTAGCACTGATTGACCTTCAAACAACTGGGTGCTGGTCTTCTCCTAGTGTGAAAAAAAAAAAGAGTTGAAGTGAGAATCTTTTTTTTGCATAATTTTTGATGCCTCTTTGCCAGCATATATGGATGTTGCAAAAAAGTTTTCTTTTGAATTATGGTGAAATTTATAAACTTCAAACTCATTTAAGTTGTCTGTTCATGGTGCCCTACCAGTTTAAGCAAATGTTTTGTATATGGGGTTAGTTTTTAAACATCTGTAGAGCTGTGTTGAAGTGGGAAGGGAGAATCTTGCAAGTTGATTTGGTTTCATCCACTGGGTTGATAATGTAAATTAGCCAATGTAGAAAATTTCTAAAGCTGATGTCGGAAGATTAATACTCAAACGTTAGCTTTAGAGACTCTTTATGGTGGCCAATGTCATTAACACTTTGGTAAGAGGGTGCTTAATCAAGGGAGAAGGGGATGCACTTATTATTTCTCCTGTGCTGATTCCACTTTAGTTGAAGCTTCAAAAGGTAGAAATTTTGAGGCAATACAAATGGCTTATCCTTGGATCCCTACTGTTTAAGAAAGTGAGGGTGGAGGGGGGTGTTTACTCAAGAGAGGCACTTGTTGACATTTCAGCTCAGGGGGGTGGGGGTGGTGCTTATTAGAGCATGGGTGCATATATAAGGAAATAAGGTAACTTCAGGGGAACTTAAATGCCACCTTATCTCCTACAATGCTATGCTTTTAATCAATTTACTTTAAGTAGTCTCTGTATTTTGGTTTTTATTATTGTTCTGTTAAAAATTTCTTATCTTGGTTTATTAATTATGGCTACTACCCAATGACAATTTTAAGGGCGATGCACAATGAGAACTGTAGAAAAGTACAACCCTACATCAAACACATGGTGTGAAGTATCATCAATGTCAACCCCTCGCCGAGGACTGGCTGCAGCTATTTTAGATGGTATTCTGTATGTTGTTGGTGGATCAGATGGCATAGCTGCCTTGAATCAGGTATTGATCATCATTATTAGCCAGTTTCTGTATGTATAAGGGTGACTAACAGTACATTGAAAAGGCTTTGATCTTGCTGAATTGTAATACAATTGAATTGTATTGCAATCTCAAATTTTGGTCAGTCTTTGTGATATGTCTTAAAAGTTCATTTTTAGTGCATTTTATTTTGGTCTTGGAGTTATTAAATAGGCAATTTTCTTTACTTAAACACGTCACTCCTCTCATTCAGAGGGTTGATTATCTTCAGTCTTCCCCCCCCAATCATATCCTTCTGTCTCCCTTTTCTTAACCTGGTTGTCACTGGCATTCCTTCCCAAAGCTTCCTTTTCATTGCATTTCTTTATTTCTTCCTTCTCGTGCATAACAAATCTCTCACAGGTAGAACAGTATGATCCAAGCTCTGACAAATGGTCTCCTACTACAAGTATGATTGAACACAGGAGTAGTGTGGGGATAGGGGTTCTTGATGGCTTTCTTTATGCAGTAGGAGGGTATAATGGACAAGTCACTGTTAACACAGCTGAGAGATATAATCCACGAACTGGAGAATGGAATATGATCACTGAGATGAACACAGTACGCAGCATGCTTGGAGTGGCATCCATGAATGGTCAGCTTTATGCAGTTGGTAGGTTGATCCAGTATTCAGAGAGATCAATATCTGACAAACGCTTGAAGAAAACTTAAGGAAGATCTGTAAAAAACATTTTCCTCAGAAGATATGGGAAGAAGACTGGGGAAGGTTGTTTGAACCCTGAATAGGATTTATCTAGGGCTAGCTGCTTGCAAAAAGCTTTATGTTATCATGAAAGCTTTTCCTGAAAATACATGTAGTATCAATCTTGCTGCAAAAATCCCTGGTCTTGAGTTATGAAATAAATCTCTATTAACTGTTATGTACTGGCTGGTAGCTGTGCTAGTTAGCTCCTGGTTGAAGATAAGCAGTTAACTAACTAAAGTTTTATGTTCCTATTGATCCAAGCCTGTGAGCAGGCACTAACTATTGATTCCACACAAGCATTTTGTTGCCCATGGGAAATTACGAGGCATTTAGCAATGTGAACTGGCGAGAGGTTTGCAAGGAGTCTAGGAGTGTGATTTCCTTGTTTTCCATTTCCTTGCCAAGCCACATATGCTGGTAAATTTTGAAACATTTTTCCTCAACAAGTTTTGTTTGTATTTTTAAGGTGGCTATGATGGTGTGACAGACCTCTCCTCTGTAGAGTTTTATAGCAATCAAACCAACCAGTGGCAGGTAGTGTCATCCATGAAGACTCCACGTTCTATGGCGGGTGTGACAGTTTTAAATGATGTTTTGTTTGCTGTGGGTGGATGCAATGGTCAGAGTTTAGAAAGTGTTGAAATCTATACACCCGAGACTGACACCTGGATGATAATTGCTCCCATGAAAGAGCCTCGTAGTGGTGTGGGGACAGCTGTTATTGATGGTCTGTTGTATGTTCTTGGTGGTTATAATGGAACAGATTATCTTAATAGTGTGGAGGTTTTTCATCCTCAGAAAAAGCGATGGACCTCAGCAACAAGTATGAAAACAAATCGAAGACGATTTGGCTGTTGTTCATAGCTTGCTTAGAACACAGAAGTGTTTACTTTGATTGATCATCAAATTTTTTAAAATTTTAAAAGAAATCTAAGTGAACTGCATGGGCCCAGTTGTTTTTCAATCTACAGTATTAAGGGCAAACTGATGCTGCAAAGATGTTCTGTTAGTTTTTAAAATGGACAAGTCTGATTTAACCCTTTCAAGCACTAGTCTTGATTGAGTTGTAATACACCTGGTTGTAGGAAACAATAAATGGCTCTGATAAGTCAGGATTTTTGTTTGCAACACTCAATTTTCTCATAATACACCCACTGTCAAATTATTCAAAGGAATGGTAGGAGAAAAGGACACAAGCAACAGGGAGAGGACAGCTCTGCTTTCACTTCATTTTAGATTTCATGTTAAAAAATTGAAAAATTTAAAATAACAAAACAATAACAACCAAAATAAAAACTCAAGAAAAAAGTTAAGTGCTTCTTTAATTGTACTCAAACTACGACTCTTATGGTCTTTACATTAAAAAACAAATTTAGTGTTACAAATGGATTGTTAAAATGTCTGCTGTTGTTTAATGACAGACAAGAATCATTTATGAATTATCACCATAACTTTGAAAGTCCAGGAAAGTATTCATGAATCCTAGAGACTTGGCTCACGTTACTTGCAAATTAATGAAGAATCCTTTAGTATCAATTGGGGATGCTGTTTTATGGAACGACAAGTTCTAAGAACTAACAAGAAATTTCTAGCAGATAGTAAAGGTAAAAGATATTGGGGCCTTGGCACTAAAAAGGATGATTCCCAGAAGTGAATGAAATCTGGATCCTCTTTGTAATATTCATGATCAGCATTATCCAGCTCACAGGTGAAAATAGACAGTAACTTAGCGACTAGACAGTGTTCTCTTGTTTAACCACAAAATTCTCTCACAAAGTCAAAAGAAAAAATATTGAGAAGCACAGCTTAAGGATAACTTACTAAAATCAAAATTCTTGCAACTAATTTACAAGGAAATGTGTGGCAGCTGAAAGTGAGAATTAACAATCAGATCTTGGGAGTTACAGGGTTAACACTATTTTCCTAAAACAAAAGGTATTTCAAAGAACGAACCCTATAAGTATAAGGTTTTGAGGGATAAACTTGAGGTTTCAAACAGTGTATAAATGCATGTTTACCATTCTTCACCTTTGAAGTAAAAACTAACTGAACAATAATTTGGTATTTGTTCCACAAACATTCACTCATTAGTATCCCTGCCTCTTCTCACGCCAATAATATGATTCTCACACCTGTGGATTGAAAAACTTGATTTCACACCAACATGCCTGAGTACCCAAATCCGAATGCCTGGCAGAAAAAAATCAAGGTAGTTTTTTACATTACTGAAAATGTCTCTCATGATATAAACTTAAATCAGTATCAAAGGAGATAAAATCATACAAATGATTGTAAATAACGTTAGTGCTAGAAAGTAAACAGCACCAGTTCACCTTTGCATCAACCCTGTAAAGGGCATCCTCAAAAGTTTTCAAGTCTTTGCATTTGTAGAAAACATCTTCAGAAATTTCTAGGTATCACAGATCTGATCAGGTTTTCTTTGAGAATAATAGCAATCTGAGGATAAACATCTTGGAAAAAGAAAAAGGTAACTGATAAGGTAAAGTGAAACTTTCAACAAGACCTGCTTCACTGCAGTAACATCAATATAAAACGAACTAGAGGAAATTTCAAGTGATCTATGAAAATAAAATGGGAAATTGTCTGATCAAATTAGAATGTTATTTTAATACACTATGTATGCCATGTCTTCAAGTTCATCAGTATTAATCTTTCTTTTTAAGTTGGGCTGATAGCCAGTCAAGTCCTTCATAAAGACCATCTCCACTTGTTGCACATGTAGCTTGGATGTACCATGTACGATTTCTCAAGCCGTGTAAACCCAGCTTGTCCGTAATTTCGGCTGCTTGCATCGCATTGGGCAAATCCTGTAAAGAAAAAATAAATTAAGTTGAACAACAGGAGAAATGAATAACAAGACCTTGCGAGATGATTTATAAAATGTATTGTGGAATCTTACGCGGATATGCAGAATGTCACGGATAGCAAGAAGGAAGAGGAAATTACGAGTTCAAGGTTAAACTAAACACCACGCCTGAGAAAAAATTGGTCACGACAGTTCTTATCTTATATCTGAATGAAATCAACTCCAGAGTTCTTTCCATGTCTTTGTTTGCTGATATCGGTACTTATCCAAGAACTCCAAACTCTATACGAATCCTTAAATTCAAATCACTTTTTTACTTCGACAGTGTAAGAAAGTAAATTAAAAAGAGCAAGAAAACTCCATTATGGCACAGTAGGAGGGGTGAACTGTCACAAATACCACAGCCTAGTTTCTCATAAGATCATGGGCCTCGTAAATTTAAGATGACAATAATAAACAGGAGCGCAAGAAAAAAGCACGGCTACGAAAGGTCGCTCAAGGTACCTGTTTGTTCGCAAAGACAAGAAGAGTAGCATCTCTAAGTTCATCTTCACCCAACATCCTGTTCAATTCGTCTCTTGCTTCGCCAACTCGCTCACGATCATTGCTATCCACAACAAATATTAGACCTAACAAGAGGAAAGCAAAATAGAGATCGATAACTAGAACATTTCATACGAACAATGAACCAAAGATCAACGCAAGAAACTGCTTGATGACGATATTGCACAACATTTCGAACCGGCAAATGTACGGTACCTTGTGTATTTTGAAAGTAGTGTCGCCAAAGAGGTCTGATCTTGTCTTGGCCGCCAACGTCCCAAACTGTAAAGCTTATGTTCTTGTATTCTACTGTTTCCACGTTAAAACCTATGAAATTAAGTTTACGAATATCTCAAATACCAGAATCCACTTATCCATAAAAATTTACGCTATTGCGCGAACTGTCATGGCGTCCCAAAGCATCTCTTTGTACATACCAATTGTTGGAATCGTTGTGACGATTTCTCCGAGTTTAAGCTTGTAGAGGATGGTCGTTTTCCCAGCGGCATCAAGACCGACCATGAGAATTCTCATCTCCTTCTTGCCGAAGAGACCGGAGAACAGTTTGCCAAACACACTCCCCATGTTTCACAGTTGATCGCTCCTAGAAACCAAATCTGAAAACGCGAGAAAATATTGAGAAAAGGCGAGTCGGTAAAAGCTCTTGAGTGGTTTGATACCACTCCTTGACAACAGATATTTCTCTTGAAAGATCTAAGAATAGCAAGAACAGATATATTTCAAACCAGTTCGCAAAATACCGTAGACAAATTCTTACCACGTCGCCGCTTCAAACGCGTCCAACTGCCTACCTCGTTCCCAGAATCCTCGTCTCTTCTAGGAACGAGGCTCGATTTCCGCTACAGCGTTCGAGATCACTTCCGGTCACCAGCAACTTCTTTAGAGAGACTAAGCTGTTCAGTAATAAACCATGGATACTCACAAAATGTGATAAAAACCCAAAAAAAGCGGTACAGGAGGGACAGCTGAGTGTGTCACTGTTATCCTCATCATATTTTGACGTCTTTTGAGATTTATTTAACAAATTGCTTAATTTTTTCAACTATGGTGATAATTGTAAACGTTTCGAGCGTTAGCGTTCGTCGGAGCGCCGGAATGCTAACGCTTGAAACACCAGCTTTAGAATCTATTTGCGGTGGCCAATTTACCATTGTCAACTCAGCGACGCAGCACTACAGTTTCTTTAGAAACTTAGCCCCTTAAAAAGTAAATCTCTTAAGTGGTTCAGTTTAGACTTTAGACTACTTACCTGAATTCGTTTTCATACTATACATATATACATATATATATATATGCATGCTCACTAGTTTTTCTAGTTTGAGCACTCTGGCATGGCTTAGATGATTCCACATGTGTGAGATCACTTGGGGTGGCTACATGGCCTTACCTCCATCCTAGCATCAGCACTGCACTGATGAGGCCCAGAAGGCCGAAACAGTACTGTCTGCAGTTAGTGTTATATATATATATATATATATATACACACACACACACACACACACACACACACACACACACATATATATATATACATACATACGTATATGGTGCAATAGTGCATTAGTGATAGAACTTTAGCAAAGAAAAGTTGCTGGGATAATAAAATGCCTTCTATCGCTAAATGCCCTCTGAGCAGTTAATGTTATTGATTACACAAAAAATTTATATTTCCATGAAAATATAGCGGCGGTGAAAAACTTAACTAAGGAATGTGCAATGAGGCATGACTTCAGAACCATTGGATGGATCTTCATTTCCGGCCCTATTAAAATGACTTTGCTCAAGGATTATTATGTGCATGACTACAAGTTCACCCACATAAATTTGTTTTTTCAGTTGTGATGATAGCCAGGCAAGTCCTTCACATAAACCATCTCCACTTGTTGCACATGTAACTTGAATGTATGGTGCTATTTCTTAAAGCTGTGTAGGCTAATCTTGTCCGCTTTTTCAACGGCATTCGTTGCATTGGGTAAATCCTGAAAATTGGAAATTTTCTCCATTTACGAGTCTGAATTTAACCCTCATACTAAAACCAGAAATACTCTGTTAGCGCTAAAATACATAAACATCTCACATATTCTTCGACGGGAGAGGGAAATTTTGAAATCTGACATTGGAACTCATATCTTCCCAATTTTCGTTTCTGATGGAACATGAAGTGCCAATTACGTAAATTTTCAACTCAAAAAAGAAAATGATTTAGTCAGCAGATAGCCTTAATCTTTTCACTTAATGTGCAACGAGAAAAGCGGTGTTCTCTTCTAGAGAGCAGAGTAATTTTGTCGAATGAAAGAGTTGGACAATTGAATAAAATGTGTCAACCCAATTATTGCCGTGAGGGTTGATCCACAAAAAGGATAACAAGTTTGGTTCAAAGAGAGTAAAATTTTAAAGCAGGGTTCATTCATCACGTCTGAAATAAGAATTAACAGCAAAACAGTAATTTTCATTTGTATTTGTTAAACAAACTGTCATTCATAAACCTGTCACTTCTGGCTTCTATGTATGAGTCTCCCAATAGTACATACCTTCTGACCAAGTCCTCTGCATGCCTGCCAGAAAAGCCCTTCAGTGATCTGATGACACTCCCCAACTTGTCGATAGATTTTGATATCGTCAGCAAATAACTTGGCGGTAGATGTGATGATGTTAGGTATGTCGTTCACGTAAATGAGGAACATAATCGGCCCCAGTATTGAGCCTTAAGGGACGCCAGATATAACAGGCGACCATTCGGAATACGAGCCACGTATCTGTCCTCTTTGTTTTCGGTTGATTAAAAATTCCTAAACCACAGGTGCAGTTTCCCGTTTATACCGTTAAACGCTTTTGAAAGGTCCAGAAATATTACATCAGACATTTTCGACGAATTTCTTGATAAGCACCAGTGGTTATAACAGCTTAAAAGTTGCGACACTGCCGATCTGCCTTAGTTTTAAGCCATTTCTAGATAAGTGGAGCTTATATCAAGCTGTCAGTTAAAGTCATCACTCGATAAGCTGTCAATAAAATTCTGTTGCAGACCATAAGTCACCAATACCATGATATGCGTAGGGAGTTGTCCTTCAAGCATGGACTTGATGTATCTCTCGTCAACTTCGATTTCCATGCAAGACTCTGAAGTCTGAAAAGTAGAAGGAGAATATTTCAGGACTGGACACTGGGTGATGAAGGAAACACTACAGCATGCAGCACTATCTCTGTACCGCCTACCATTCGACCAATGCCAATGATGGAGGAACGTGCAATTTCAAACAGGAAATAAAGCTCTTACAGAAACCAAAGGCGACCATTACATGGTGTCACGAGCGATGATGGAATAGACAGACTACAGATAGAGAACTGGACATTTTTCGAATGGAGCTGGTGTACCACAAGATCACCACAGAACTTAGACACCGATGGAAACGGATTGTCCAAAGATGCGATATTACAAAATGGAGCTGAAAGAACTAGCAATTTCAAACAACAAATAAAGCTCTTTCGCAAACTACAGACGACTATTACATGGTGTCAGGAAAGATGCTTTACGTAGCTTTTTGTCAAGTTGGATTTCCAAGAATGAATCTGAAGTCCTCCTCAGTAGAACATGACGTGGCAAAAAACCGGCAAAGAAGAAAAGGATAACACTACGAGACTGAACGTTACTTGATAAAAGTCAAGTAATCTCAATGGGGTGATGGCTTTTTTTATCACCGTTAACGTTTAAATGTTTTTCCAGTTTACTTTTACGGCTATCAGTTCATTTCTTTCCGTTAAAGCTAGAAAATAATTTTCAGGTGAACTATTCTAACGTCTAACGCATAGAATTTATCAATTCTTACGCGTACCGGCTTATTTTTTCCGTCATTTTACGGCAAATAGTTAACTCCATTGAGACTCTCTAGTAGCAGTACCGTCTGCCTACTACCACACACCCTTTACCAACGATGGTCGATAATAATTTACAACTCGATGAGCTGTTAGTAAAGCTGTGTTGCGGACTACAAATGACAGTCACAAACGCGTCCAACTGCCAATCTCGCTCTCACAACCCACCCTGATCGTCTTAGGAGCGGGGCTTGATTTCCGCCACTCTCGATTTCATTAGGAACCCGCCCAAAAACCGTGAGCGGCTGGTTGTCGAGTCTGAAGTAGTGCACAGGTGATCTCCATACTTCAGAGGTTTTGTTTACTATGGTATCTTGCAGGCTCTCCTGATCAATAGTGAATCCCAACCGGCCATTTAGCAACAGCTGGTCACGTGACCTAAGAATTGTTGCCGCACATTAACCTGAAGAGTTCAAGACACCTTGACTTCTTAGGTTAATTTAGCCTCAATGCGATTTTTTTTGTCGACCACTCAAAGGCTACGATCCTTAAAATGACGTCTACACGTTTCCGTCTGCTACAAACTACGGACTTTAGTCAAATGACACAACAGCGGTTTTCTAAGTGGTTCTTCTTCGAAGCCTAGGGGCCGAAATACAAACCGAAAAGTTCATATCCCCCTTTACAAATGCAAAGTGGGTGGTTCTGACTCTACTAGGTATTCCCTGGGATATCGAAACATTTTTTAGACATGCATTTGATAGAGATAAGTTAGTTACATGACTAATATTTGTAGTGCACGCAGTTACCTGGTGGCTAACATGACTATTAAACACAAATCTTCAAAAAGAATTTTATTAGAATTTGCTTGCACTTGTCTTCAACGCAAGACACTAGCTCTGTCAGATATCAGTTGAAAGTATTTTTTAATATTACTATTAGACAGACACCGAGAAATAAGAGTAATCTTGAAAAACCCTTCAACAACAACAGCCATTTTTCTTAAGTAAACCCTTAGTGCTGCTCTAACATAACAAGTTCAAGCCTCTCCAGAGCACACATCGCTTCAGTATTGGCAACTCATTTTGGATCTTTGATGACTTTGTGTACACCTTAGCAAATACTTGTCACCAGAAAAACTCTCACAGGAAAATGCAAAGCAATAGAGTACATGTATGTACAGTAATCTCATACTAGCTCACTGTATATTGCAGATGTCACAGTTAAGAATTGTTACTGGATTCTGATGTTTGAAAATGCTTGAAAGAAAACACTCTCAAGATTTGAAGTCAAGAGGCAAACCTAGGGAAATTTAAAAATCAAAAATGCTTCTTTTGACAAAGGCATGCAAAATAGGCAACATTTAGATATAATACTTTATTTGTTTTACATGGAAAAAATAACTCAGCATTAACATGCAGCAGGCTTGTCTGCAGAACTTGTACTCCAGATTGGTAGATGATTCCATTGAAAACTATTTTGTGATGTTATTAACATACTTGAATATTTGCCATTTTATGGTACAACAATGAATAACAAATGGCAAAGGGAAAGTTGCTCGGACATTGAAATGCCTTGTATTGCTGAATAACCTCTCAATCATTGATTTTACTAACAGCGAAAAAATGAACAGTCTGTTTAATTACTTTCTATGACAATAAAGCAGTGAAATAATTAACTAATGAATGTGCAATAAGGCATGATTTCAGAGCCACTGGATGGATCTTAATTCCCCTATTAAACTGTCTTTGCCCTTGATTATTACATGTATGACTTCACATTCACCGATATTAATTTTGCTTTTTCAACTGTGATGATAGCCAGTCAAGTCCTTCATATAAACCATCTCCACTTGTTGCACATGTAGCTTGGATGTACCATGTACGATTTCTTAAGTTGTGCAAGCCAATCTTGTCTGTTATTTCTGCGGCATTCATAGCATTGGGCAAATCCTGCAAAACAACAAATTTTCATTTCTATTTGAAAAGTGCAAGTTTTCTTTCTAAATCAAATTATGCTGTACCTCTGTCAAAAACTTCTCCACTACTACTATAAAATTCTAAATTTTACAAAATCCTGAAATGATCATAGCCCTAACATACCATTTCTTATTTTCTTCAACAGGAAAACTAAATTCTCAAATCTGATTATACAAAGTCATATTTTTTATTTCATTGGATATAAAAATGCAACAGATGATAAACATAAAATAAGACTATAAAACTCCTATGCATTCCCTTGTTAACATGCTGCTCTGTTTCATTGTGCAGCAATTACCATGGAAGGGAGCTGACTGACAATTGCCTAAAGGCATGTCTTCTTGTACATTCATTTAAACCTGATGAATAACCAAGCTGACAGAAATTACAGCATGAGTTGACCTTTACAGAGCTAAGGTTAATCAAAACTTTCTAAGTCACAGCATTTGCTAATAGAAATAGATTGAGTGATTGGTGAGATAGCTATCATAGTCCCATGGTCAAGCTTAAAGTTTAAGCACAAAGTAAAATTCTAGTACATGAAAAAAATAATAAAAATAAAAACAACAACAACAACAAATCCAGCTGGTTGATGAACACTCCCACTTAGATTGTATTTGCATTCAATGTTCAACTTCCCACTCCTTTACCAAATATGTCCAGAAAATAAAAAGAAACAAAAACAGTGACTAGAGGCTTAAGATATTATCAAATATAGCCCTACTTAATACTAGAAAAGTGCTTTTTAAGTAATTTTTCAACTCAGTAAACAGAATTATATTACTTTATTGATAAACAGTCATTCTTTTCATAGAATATGATTTTGCAGAAGCTCTAATCTCCTTTAGAGAACAGAGTAATTTTCAGTGCATGAAAAAGTCAGACAATTGATCAAACTGCTGAACTTGATCATTTTTACACCTACACCTCTTTCCCCAGAGTAAGGCTATTTCACTATTAGGCCACAACATCTCTTCCCTTTTGATAACTTTTAGTGATTTTGCCCCAACTACTCGAATGGGCACACAAGCCAGCCAAAACAGTGCATCATTCACTTAGCACCAATATGTCTTCAAAGTTATAGAAGATTGAGACAAAACTAATTGCTTCAAAGCCAGACACAGACACCCCTTAAAACCAGCAGGAGGAAAAAATGGGGAAGGTGTACCCCTGACCAGCACAATGGTGCCATTACCAAAGTTTTAGGGTATTCCTATGTAAAATGTGGTATGCATAAATAGATCACAGTTAATTATAGATGGATATGAATACATATAAAAGTTAAACCTGGTGTCAACATGACATATTTTTGAGACAAAATTTCGATGAAAACCAAAATTTACTATTTAATGCAACAAAGGCTGGTTGTGGAAAGCTTCATCCTACAAATAATTACAATGCCACAACTCTCTGGCCCCTCACATCCATCTACAATTACCTTGCCTTTTTCCTTGAAAGTAAAAAGTTCTTAAATGCTTTATTGTTCCATAGCTCGAAGCAAAGCATTTAAATCTCGAACCGTGCTCTTAAGTGAACTGTGAAATTCTATGCACACTTATTCCGTGACCAAAATTATATAGCTCAAAATCAAAACACAAACAAATAACTATACAGTATTTCAATTTAATCCACAGGACAATTCACAAAATTATAAATGTTTCGTTTGCATTCCAGACGAAAACGAAAGATGGTAGGAAACGTTCTGAACACCAGAGGAAATTAAGTGATTGAGTGTAAGAACTGTCAGTTAAATTTTCACGATTGCCTCTCAATGATTGCAACATAGTCATACGCGGGGAATTTGACTCTGTAAAGTACTGTCAACTAATAAACGACTAAACTTAGCCTTAAAAATTAAGTGCCACGAGAGTTTATTTCCTTCCTACCTGTTTGTTGGCGAACACGAGAAGAATTGCATCTCTAAGTTCGTCTTCGTTCAACATCCTACTCAACTCTTCTCTTGCTTCACCAACTCGCTCGCGATCATTGCTATCCACTACGAAGATTAAACCTGATCACAAACGAAAAACAAAATTTAGACAGATGACTAGTAGATCAGCATAGATCAACGCACAAAGACTATTCCTTTGGATATTGCAAACCACTACGAGTAATTCAAAAACGGCAATCTGTTGAGGTACCTTGCGTATTTTGGAAGTAGTGTCGCCAAAGAGGTCTGATTTTGTCTTGGCCGCCGACATCCCACACTGTAAAACTTATGTTCTTATATTCTACTGTTTCCACATTAAAACCTGCGAAGAAAAAATTCAAGATTTTGTCAAAACCCGATGTTAAACAATGAATGGAAACACGCGATAGAACGCACTGTCATGGCGTCCGCCAGAGTCGTAGTGCACATACCAATTGTAGGAATCGTTGTGACAATTTCTCCCAACTTCAGCTTGTACAGAATGGTGGTTTTCCCAGCAGCATCAAGACCAACCATAAGGATTCTCATTTCTTTCTTGCCAAAGAGACCCTTGAACAAACCACTGATCATACCACCCATGTTTCAAAGTTGATTGCTCCTCGAACGCGACTGTAAACGGCAGAGAATATCGCAGAAGAGAGAAATGAAAACGCGAAAATAAAGGAACTTGTGTTTTCCAGAGGGCTTTTTATGAGAATCAGTTACCCTTAATCGTTCCCGGCGCGAAGTACTTTGAGTATTTATGTATTCGAGGGCAAACTAGCGAATAATTGCCGGCTAAAATTCGACCACGTCGTTAACTTTGTTGAGGAAGGAAACTCGCTATCATTGGGCGCGTCACATGTGCCACGTCATTGTCTAGGATGGGGGGCTCAATACATTCCTCACTGCCTTGAACTAATGGATGAAATTCTTAACAGGAAGGGAAAGAGGTGCGGAGATTCAGGTTTGAATCGTTGATCGAGAACCTGAAAACATTATAATAATGCCCAGCTTTTGGTCAGGTGAAAGCCTTTCCTGTTTGAATTTTACAGTAATAATCCTCCTTGATTATCGATACAGGAGGACTCGATCCATGCAACTGATAAAGTACATTTTTAGAGTAGCATATAACCCCAGACACCAAAATGGCGTCTCTAAACCTAGATTTTCTGCCCCCGCACAAATTCAATTCTCAATTCGTCATCTCCCTCCTGGCTTTCAAATGCCGAGAAGCCGGAAATGTCACGGTGTAGAGATGCAGACGTATTTCGGTTACGTTACCGTTTTTTCCACCCGGAAATACATCTGCGCTCCCAGCCAACTGTCGACCTGCTGGCTCCTTGAAGATCAGGTGCTTCAGCAAGAACAAGGAAGATGCAAGAGACAAAAAGAGCCAGTAGGAGCCCCTTGTTTCTGCTATTGTCGTTATCTTTTTCATTATAGTTCTCAGTTCGTATTCGCCTCTAGCCCTCGACTCTTGTTTCTTTTGTTTACTTCTTATCAGATCTGAGGCTTCCTGGACCGGCTTGTTCTGTACATTTGGCTTAACCAGCTTTCCCTCCTCCATAAGTCAGAAGCATATTTGTCAAGTTAAATAGAACACTAATCAGGATGGGCGGAATGAATGGTTGATACGTACACGGTTTTTAACAAGGCGAATAAAAAGACCCCTCCTCTGTCTGTTTATGGTCAAGCCGGAACATAGCGGACAGCATGTATGGGCCTACCTAAAATCATTAATATCATCATCATCATCATTATTATTATTATTATTATTATCATATAGATAATTATTATCGTAATTAAACTGAATAAATAATCGGAATATAGAAAACAATTAAAAAGGATACAAAAAGAAAAAGACATAGGAAAAGAAAAATATTTATATATAAAAAGTAATTATGTCATGTTCTCCATGTTTTTCTTTCTTTTTGAAGATGAAATACTGATGAAAGGGTACAATAGAAATAAAAGGAAATGTCATTTAGCCATTTTCTTGGCTCAGTATTGGTCAAAGGTCTCCGGAAGACAACAGTGGTTGGTGAGTTTAGAAGATTGTGCCAGCTCGATGAAATTCTCGGTACGCTTCCGCCAAAGTGAAATTTCTGCTCAGAGTTTAACGCTTTATGATCACGACCCTAAAAAATCAGCCGCGACTGGAAAAGCCTCGCTTTCCAAGGTAAAGGAAACACCTTCAAGCAATGCACCAGGGAATAGGCTGAACCAAAATATTATCAACAGGTTATAATCTAATATGGAAGCGATTCTCGCTGAGTTATGAACACCACTTAAGCTGTAGTGAAAATAATGTCAGAAAAAGAGAACAAATTCAGACATATACGGGATTTGAACCCATGATTTCTGCGATACCGGTGCAGCGCTCTACCTACTGAGCTATTGAGCCAACTGGGAGCCATTTCACAAGTTTATTTGGAACCAACTGAAACACTGGCATTTGGCTTGTTAGCTCTGTTGGTAGAGCAGTGCACCGGTATCGCAGAGGTCATAGGTTCAAATCCTGTACATGCCTGAATCTTTTTCAGGCCCTATTTTCACTACTGCTTAAGTAGTGTTCACAACTGCGAGGGTCACTTCTATGTTCGTTTCTTCGACTGCAATTCACATACATGATTTTCATATATTTACAGTCATTTATTCACCACTTCATGGGTTTATTTGGAACCAACTTAATAACCAGCGCTCTACCAACTGAACTAACAAGCCAACTGGGAACCATTTCAAAGGTTTCACAGGTTTATTTGGAGCCATCTTGAACACTGGCAGTTGGATTGTTAGCTCAGTTGGTAGAGCGCTGCACCGGAATCGCAAGGGTCATGGGTTCAAATCCCGTACGTCAGACTGCGAAGATCGCTTCCATATTTGTTTCTTCAACCGCAGTTCACATATATGATTTTACAGTCGTTTTATAATCTCTTGGCTGAACTCGTGCCGCTTAGTTTAAAGATACATCCTCGCGAGGTTTGATTTTTTCTCTTCATGGAGATACAGGGTGTTACGAGAATGAATACCGCAATGATTCGGTTTAGTGTCCTCGTTCCAGGGCCTCCTATACCAATAAGAGCCCTGTTCTGTTTCTGTTTCAGGGAGGTGACTGTTAGGGTACATGTACATTGAGATCAAGCAAGGTTCACCTCCTTTAGTTGCTCACTTTTAAGGCCTCATCACAAAAACAGTGGTCTCCGTCTCGATCTCTCAACTATTATGGTCAAGCGAGTGCACAGCTCCTTCAAACGAAAGATCCCGTCTTAAATTTTTTGCGACTACTACTTGGCTAGTTCTTATAGTCAGAAAGGGTCCAGGGACATGAAGTCCATTTTTTTTTCACCACTTGTTCATTACTGCGAAGGTCGCTTTCATTTTCATTTCTTAAAACCGCAATTCACATATATGATTTTATTATATTCACATTCATGATTCGAGTAATATTTCATTCAACCTTATTGAGATATTGAGACCGCGATGGTACTTAGATATGCAATTTCCAGAGCTTTACCCTAAGAGATGTTGTTCATTAATTGTTTCATGCCAACATTAATTACTAATCACGAACACAGTGTGGTCTTAGTACCCAGACTTCTTGATAGAGTAAGCTTTCGTGGCTGAGGAGGTCAACAGTAACCACCTAAGCATGTGGCGAAATCGCTTTCGTCTCCTCTCTCCTACTAGGAAATATTGCAGTCAATTTTCTCGGAAAATTGTCACCGCAGAACAAGTGAGAACATTTCAGGATCAGGGTGTTATCTGCATTCGAGGTGTTTTCGGAGAATGGATCAAAAGGTTGACGAAAGGCATCGAGAGGAACTTGGCGAATCCTGGAAAATTAAGCGAGTGGCTCAAAAGTGAAAACTCAGAGACGTACTATTTTAATGATTTATTGAACTGGCAACAAATTCCAGAGTTTAAGGAGTTTGTGTTTGAATCACCAGCCGCTGAAATAGCAGGAAAGTTAATGGATGCACAGGTAAGGGTCACGCGCAAGTTATTACAAATTCAGTTAGGATACAAGGTGGCTTGTATCCTAACTGAATTTAATTTTTCCGTCTGGCCCGGCCGCTTGTGGTAAGATTTCAAGCACAATCGCAGGCAAAATTTCCGCACAGCCCCATACATCATTATACATCCATATATGGGGCTTTATTATTCAGTGTATCACCAGTAAGATGTACATGCATAATTAAGTATGGGGCTGTGCGGAAATTTTTCCCTTATCCATGTAATGTATGCACAATGGGGCTGTGCGGAAATCTTGCCATACCTTAGTTGCTCCGGTTGATCGGTTTTAGACATATATTTATGAGGATCAGGCTTCAGTTCGCAAGAATGATGGCGACGTGTTTAATTCACAGGTTTAGAATGTGTAATCGGGTTCAGTAGGTATTGTTGTTTTGGTTGAACTGTTGTCATTTTTGTGTTCATGTACCGAACTTCAACTATTACAACGGGGGAATATATATAACGGCGTAATTATCCGACTAACACAGTCTATATACTGTAAGATTTTACGCCACTAACCCAGTCGGTGATTAAATTATAATAAATTAAAATATAATTAATTTATACTACTGGCGTAAAATGTTACATGTATATATATATATCACCGACTGGAAGAAATTACACCGTTAGTTACTGGCGTAAAATCTTCCATATATAACTACCGACTGGAAGAAATTACGCTGTTAGTTACTGGCGTAAAATCTTCCATATATAACGACCGACTGGAAGAAATTACGCCGTTAGTTACTGGCGTAAAATTTTACGCCAGTAACTAACGGCGTAATTTCTTGCAGTCGGTTGTGTTTATATGTACGATTTTACGCCAGTAACTAACGGCGTAATTTCTTGCATTTTGGGAAAAACTGCTTAAGGTTGGGTTGAACTTATGTTATTTTATGAGGTGAGCTTGTTGGATGGAGAATTACAAATGAGATTGTAGGAATGGAAGGGTTAATGGTAATAAATTAGTAAAGGGTGAGGTGATTTTAGATTATTTTATGAGGTTAACTTTTCTTAATGGGGGCAAACTGGGGGTGGAATTGCAGTGGGGTGGGGTGGGGTTTTTCTTACCACATTTTGCTCTCTGTTTTCTGTTACTGAACAGATACACATCAAGTAGGAATATACTTATTAAATGGAAACTTATTACCACTGACACAGACAACCATGTCTCTCTTCTACTTTTATTGATTAATTATGAATTGTACTAGAGAAAATTTTTAATCTCAAATTTGTGATCTGTTCTCACTTTTGATAAAACACCTTTCTTGCAGTTCACTGTATTTTATCATGAGCATGTTTTCACAAAAGATCCCGGAACAACTTCCACCACTCCATGGCATCATGACCAGTCTTATTACCCAGTGGACGGGTGGAAGGTAAAACTGAATGAATGGATAGCTTGGATAGTCTATGGACACATGATAAGATTGCCAGATTGAGAGGGTATTTACTGTGAGATGCAAAGGAATTGGAGGAAAAAGCTTGCATGGTGAAATGAAGGAAGGGGGAAATTTTACAACAATTACAGGTCTTGGATAGGATTGCCAAGGTCTTAAGTCTCTCTTTTTATGGAAAAGGGGGTCACCTTAAAAAATTCTTGTTCTTTGGCCTATCATGGGACACACCTTGAAACTAAACAAGGTCTTGCTGTAGTGAAATGCCTAGTAGGTAGATAATAATTTTAAAATGGGTAAAAATAGGTGATCACATTGATCTTATTGCTAACACAGTAATGACATAATGGGAAAAATCCCTACAAAGTTTCCCAACAAAAATTAATTGAATGAGTTGGAAATTATTAAGGCCTATGCAGGAAGTTTAGTGAACAGTTTCAGATGGATAGAATTACTGATAAATGTCTATTTCCACTCTGCTTGTAACCTCAGAATGAGTTGGGCATGTCTCTGTTCCCACCTACCCTGTGTCTGTATGAAATAACACAAATGATGAAACATGCCATGTTTTATCACTTTTTTCTGTGAAAAATTCTTTTCTTTTCTTTCCTCTTGCTTTGGTTCAATTATCATGTCCTTAAAATTCATAGATCTCGTAAAGTACCTACTCTTTCCATAAAGAAAGGTTATTCTTTTGTTATTTTTTCTGAACAGAACTGTTCTTTTTGGATTCCCGTTACTCCTGTATCAAAATCATCAAATTTGACTTACATTGGTGGATCCCACAAGTGGGGAAAATGGTTTAAACCTAAGAAGTTTGCATCCTTACAGAATTACAAATACACAAAGACGTATAATGAAAAGGTTTTTGAAGACATCCCTGATATTGACAGCCATCCAGATGCATACAACTTGCTTTCCTGGGACCTTAAGGTTATTATTGCAGTTTTTTTTAATTGTATAAACTCAAAGAAAAAGTGATTTTTAGGTAGTTTGATTTGTAATTTTATTTTATATTTTTAAGGGGTATGGCACCTTAATAAATCTGGAGCTAAGGGAAGTAAAAATCAAACTTGTTTTAGGTTACTTAATATACATGTGAGCAGAAAAACTTTCAGAATAAAGTGTTGTAAGAATTGTTTCATGTGCTGAACCTAACACATGACAGCTAAGTGAAAGGTGAGACTGCATAATGATTCAGATGCTAAACTTTTCATGAGCTAGAAAGGTAAATTAAGTGTGCACTCAAGCTGAGTGATCCTTCAATTTGTAACCTTTTGTTTGATAATGATAATCTTGCACCTGCATGCACGATGAGCATAATTCATGTTTGCATGTAAAATAATATTATATGTGTAAGAAATACTGTTACCAAAATGCCAGCCTAGTAATTCACTTTTAACTTGCAACTAATTAATAAACTAGATTCTTAACATTTATTTTAACCTAAAAATTAAAAACAAGTTAGAAAAATTGTCTATCTTGGTCCCAAAAAAACATCCTTTAGCTTAGTCATCTCTAGCCATGAGTTGCTTTTTTAAAAACACCCTAGTCTACCAAAGTTTTGATTTTAACTTTGTATACTTAACATTACTTGACAGCCTGGAGATTGCTTAGCATTCCACTTTCGAATCCTACATGGTGCAAAGCAGAGCACAGACCCAGATGGAAGGAAAGTGGTTGCCATGCGCTGGCTAGGAGAAGATGCAACATTTGGGGAAAGACCATGGGAACCTTCACCCAATTACAGTGGAGGATTAAAACCAGGCGATCACTTTTATAAAAGTGAATCTTTTCCAGTTGTTTGGAGATCAGAAAAAGCAAATTTAGTTACTTAACAAAAACTGTCATGGTTGTCTGGGGGATCCTGATTGAACAATGTTGATGACAGAAAACATCCTGTTCAGTCAACTCTTTGACCCCTGCGTGACTAGCATCTGATTTGTCTCTTCCATATCACCTCTGTATCACACATTAACCCTTTAACCCATAAGAGTGATTAGCAACTAATTTCTCTTATCAGTATCACCCCTAAAACAAACTTTAGGGTTGTGAGAATGAAGAAAATGATCACCAACCAAAGAAATTCTTGATTCTTAAACATAAAAAAATGTTTAGAGAACAGTAGGGAGAAAATATGTTCTGGTCAGGGTTTAACTTTCGAAATCTAAAGCGTGCTACAGGTAGTATTTTTGTTTACAGTATTCAGCTTTCTACCTATTTGTTCAAACGTGTAACATGCAAGTTTGTGTGCACACCGTCACATTACCGTGTTTATGTTTCTGCATGTACATACTACCTATTATCATGGTTTATTTTCTGCCAAATCCTGTTTAATGTAGTTTGTAAAGTCTTCTCATACGTTCAAATTAAAGTCAATGCTTGACAGTGTGGATTTCCCACAGCTGTGAATGGAGAAGTGCAACAGTTTGTCTTGACCAAGTTGTATATTTCACGCTTGAACAACCACCGAAAGATTGAGGCGTTCACTACCCTTTGTTAGATTAGGATTTGCCGCAACAAAACATGTTGATCAAAATAAAGATTCTGATACTGAAATTATTTCAGCAATTTAAAGTATACTATATGTACACCATATTGACAGCCAGGAAGAAAAAAATGAGCCTTGCCAAAAGCTTACAAATTCATGTTAGAAGCTGAAAAATTATTTTGAACCCTGTTTACTGGTATCAGGATTGAAGGGTGTTTTAGTGCAGTTTTTCTTGATACTGTAGATGATACTAAATTGATTACCTAGCTGAGCCTAATAAAAGCTTGGTAGTTAAATCAGAAGGATATGTTTTACTCAGTGTCATGCCTTTGTCTACGTCGTCCTGGCCTTTCTTCTCCTCTGTCTCTGTGCCTTGCAGTAGTTGTCCTTGATATGTCTCCATCTGATGAATCATGTCGTCTCCTGGAATATCTGTCTCTTTTATCACATGAATCACTACCTGATGACGATGAATCATGTCTCTCACTCTTAGAATTACTTTGATTAACTTTATCATGATCATGTGTTCTTTTCCTCGAATGTTTAGATTTCTTATGCTCATTATCAGCTTCTTCACTGTGGTTCTTCTTGTTTTTCTTTTCTTCCTCGCCATGCCTCCTCTTTTTGTGTTTCTTTTCTTTTTTAGATTTCTTTTCTTTCTTCTCCTTCTTCCTCTTTATCTTATCGCTGGCATGGTCTTCTTCTCTTTCACTCCTTAAAACTTCTCCTGTCTTTGTATTGCTTGGTGTTGCAGGATCTGCATGTCTTTCCTATAAGCATATAAGAAATATTAGGAAAAATTGACAGTATGAAAAAATAGCCAGTTAAATACTCTTAAACAGAACAAAAAAGATTTGCTCATTTCAACATCCCTCTTAAAGGACTTGCTCATCTTATTTGGGTGATCTTAAAATGTACTTTTTTTACAACTTTAAGCAACATATATTTAAAGATATGGTAGAGGAATGGTCTCCCCATCTCTTAATCAAAAATGCAATATTTTGTTCTGAGCATTAATAACATTTTTCAATAACTTAAAATTAATAATGGTAATTGAACTGATTGGAGTGCAATTTGGGCTGAAATCATATGCTTGATTTCAAAATAAAACAGGTGCGCAGCGCGAGTTTGACTTGAAATCACAAGTAAGATTTCAGACCAAAATTGCATGACACGAGGTTCAACCACTTTGTTACATCCATTTTGAAATCACCCAAATACAGGACTTGATACATTCAAATATTTTATTGATGCAGTACTGAGCCGGTCTGAAATTAAATTCATCCATTTTTTTGGAGGGAAAAAGTAAGAGTTTTGGAAACAAAAGTTGCAAAATTTGCCACATGATAATCTTTGTCTTTCATTTTCCTGCAATTTGATCAGTTACTTTAAACAAGCCTTGAAATCTGATCGGTTGTTTTGTTTTTAGTGTAGCCTCCTCATTGGCTGGGAAAAAAAATGTGATTTAAAGCAAAAAATGGTGCAATTCATGAATAAATTGCATCAATTAGAGCCAATCAGATTATGGGACCGGGAAAGGAAAATCAAACTTGACCTGTCATTAGACTTGTAGGTAATTGAAGTATAAAAACAATTCATTATAATGCCCGCAAGAACTACACCTGTTGTGATCCTGTGGCACTCAGTGTCTCCTTCATGGGTGCAGACAGCCCAGCTACAAGAGAAGCTCTTGTGCTGATGAGAAATAAAATGATACACAAAAGGTTTGAAGACATTTTTTCTTTACCCTTCAACCTCTAAGAGTGACTGGCATTAAGTTTCTCTTAATATATCACCCCTGAATCAAACATTGAGGTAATACCTTCCAAATCCCATGCCTTGAACCCTTTCAATGTCCATTGAGTCACGTTCCACTTGACCCTTGCGACATACTTCAGCCAGTTCCTGGTGAAAGTGATGTTTTAAAGTTAAGAAGCTGTTACTAAAAAATTATACATCAGTGGTCACTTAATTTTTAGGGGTGTGTCTTACATTTAGCAGCTCAGTCTACAGCAGCTTAAAATACACGTTTAATTCAGGTAAAATGATCTTGAATCAACTTAAGTAATTAACTGCTCTTGTGACAAGAAGTGCAAGTTGACAGAGTCATTATTCTCTTGGGAGGAGAGTCACTGTGTGATTTAAGAGTAACACCTAAATACACAACTGCAACCAGCACTGACCCTGGACTTCTCTATGTAAATTGACCAACTTTTCGGCAGAGGTAATTTAAAGCTGATGAGCAGTTTCGAGGGAAGATTTAAAATTTAAACACATCTCCATGCAACATACTACCATCAGTACTAGTCAAGTGTAACATATTAATGGCCTCAGACTATTTAGATCTTAGTAACCTGTTTTGAAACACCACTTGCTACTTTCCTGCTTGGTCCTCTCCCTCTAAAGAAAAAAAAATGCATTCCATTTGAATTACAGGTAGTCTTTTGAAAGCCGCAAAATATTGAACCAAAGAATATATAGCAAGTTACGTGACCAGTCTGATTGCAGCATTATTTTGTGGTAGAAAACTAATAGTATTATACCAGTAAATAATTATTCCACTGCTGCTCAGCTCAAAAACACCTCGTATCTAACATGTGCTGCATCAATACATTCCAGTAAGGGCTGTGGACATCCGACTTGGCAATTTACCATACATGAAAAAATTAACATGCTGAAGTGGTATTCTTAACAAATGTATATAATAGATTAAATAATAATAATAATAATTCAATATGCAATTACATGTTGTCTTACAGTGCTATTGCAAGTGCTTCAGCTTCCATTCTCTTAACTGCATCTTTTTCCTATAGATTTAAAATAAAAAGTCAGAAAACTGTTATTAACCCTTTAACTCCCAAGATCTGATTGTTAATTCTCCCCTCTAGCTGCTACACATTTCCTCGAAAATTTGTTGCAAGAATTTGGTGTTAGATTAAGATAAAAACTTCTACCTGATACATTTGAGCATTCTCATTACCTGTTTGCTGGATAATGGATGGATGTTGAAGGGAGAAGTTACATGTGAATCACTTCTGGAAATTAAAGGGTTAAAGCTAATTTTGACTGTTTAGTGCACAACATTTATAAGACAAATAACACCACTTTGAATGAAAGTCAATACAATTTCAAAATATTTGATTAAAATAGTTTCTTTTTTAAAATCTTCACCAAAGACAGTCTTTTGTAATCAATGCAAAATAATTCCTCTCCACCCTTTAGCTCCCAAAAGTGATTAAAAGGTAACTTCCCCTTATGATTTCCATACCTTATTCAGGAAACAGATTATGAGAATTAACCCAAACTTATTTGGTAAGAGTTGTTATCTTGATCTAATACCAAATTCTTATGACTCATCTACAAGGAAATGTGAAGCAGCCGAAGGGAAGAATTAATAATCAGATCTTAGGAGTGTAAGAATTAACCACCAATTTTTGCTTAGTTGCTTATCATTAAATCAATTGTTTTTGTAACCATTTTAGTGATAACTGTTACAGTCATTGGTCCATTACCTCTTGCTTTGACATTCCTGAGTTTCCTTTACCACTTTTTGTATACCTGAAATATAAAATAGTGTATTGCTGTTGTTAAAATCATGCTGCTTGGTTATTCTATGACCATTTCAAAATTTCACATTTTTACAGTACATGTACGTTGTAAACTATACAAGTTCATGTGGAATATTTACCCATGATATATATTTTCCTAAATATATTCTCTAGGGATTGATGAGAATTGTTAAATAAGTAAGTAATGCTAGGGTAACATGTTGCATTCTCAGTCTACATATTGTGAAAATCATCTCATTAGAGGTATTCTGATCTCTCAATTGACAACTTACATACCCAATGAAGATATTGCAAGTAGTTGTGAAGTTTACCAGCTACCGATTCTTAAATATGACTTTTTGATGCTAAACATATTACCCTTTTCACATGTTCATCCTAATAATTAACTGTACGACCATATTAAAGGATGCTCCACAGGGTTTCTGATAGGGCAAGGTTTGGACACAAACATACCACAAGCTTTAAATATGTCAAAAAGCAAAACAAAAGTGGAAACTTGATGTCATTATAGCACGATTGTTATCTAACAAGGTGTATAAAACAACTCAGTTTTTATCTAGGATTCCCAGTAATAGTACCTGTAATATCCAATCACCTTCTACATCAGAAAAAATTTAAATATGGGTAGACAGAAAAGAAAACACCAGGGGAAAGATTGTAAAAAGGGGCAGATTCAAAAATATATGCATGCTCAGATATTGATCAAGGCAAAGTTCTCTTTTATGACAATGTTTAAGGAGTAAGAAAGAGATCTTCCAAGTGAGATTCATCATGTTTCCTCGAGCTCTGGTATAATTTCCAAAGATTTGGTTGTGGGAATGAGCATTTGGCATATTAGTGCCCTTCATATTGCAAACTAATGAAAAAACAATCAGATTCAACTGTTATTTTATTAAAGTGAGCAGCACGATCATGAGAAATAGATGGCAAATTTTATTGGTCTCCAGCTCTTGTTGAAGAGCCTATAAGCTCTGGCTGAAAATAACTCAGTCTTACAAGAGCCAATAAAACAACATCCTTAGTTTGTAAACGGTATTAATGGTAGTTACCAGTGTAGATCTTTTCCCTTTTGCCACCTTCCTACAGGAGCCTTAACCGAATGACCTATGGTCAAAAACACAGAGTAAAATATTAATACATTACGTACAAAAAATTTAACATTCCACAAAGTTAACCTTGTATAAACGTAGTCTAAAATTGTGATTAGTCTCCGCAAATTACATGTATTAAAGTTGAAAATACTGGAGTCAAAATTGATATTCTTTCCCAACCGAATCAATGAAAAATAATTTATTTATCATGCTCATGGATTCAAAAGAGTTGCATAGAAAGGTCCGTGGTCACCTTATTTAATATCGATGTTTTGAGACAATATACCATTGAATAGAGGTCAATGTAACCTTTCACTTACCCAAGTAACTTTCTCGGTGCTTGTCGAGCTTTACATCTTCCCAATCAAACTGATCTTGTCCACCGCGAACTCCGCCTCTTGATGGATGATACATTGTGCTGGCGTTACTTTTGCAAAAGAAACTCGACGACTTGATCAATCAATTCTAAGCCAAGAAGATTGAAAACATTAAAACAGCCGCCATCTTGGTAGTATGCTTTAGTCCCCAGGTTACCGCGGTTATGAAAGGCAAGCATTGATGGTAGTTCCTAAAAAAACTGTGGTGCTGCGTCGGTGGGGGAGAGTATAACAGAGTAATTAAGTATTATTAAATGAGGAAATGGGATCAAAAACTTACTAGCAGGGAACAAATCTGGGTTTCTGGCAATCACACAATTATTGTCTTAGATCAAACACTCAGACAAATGGCAGTAGTTGAAAGAAATAGTTATAAAACTGAGGTGAACTACCGAAGATCTGTCTCGCTCACTTTCACTGGAGAGGAATTCTTTTTGTCTGAGCGAAGCGCAGAATGTTAGTGATTATGAAAATAAAGGGGACACTGAAAAAAATAAAACAATTATTTGATAAAAAAAATTAAAATATGGATGGAAATTATGCCTAGAATAAGGTCAGACTGCTATGATTTAATTTCATTCAGGCATTATTTCTCATGTCTCGTGCTAAATTAAGAATTATGTGTCTTTAAAAACTTGCTGCATCGAGTTGCGTAAGAACGCACGTATATCCCGTCCGGGAAAATTATTTCTAATCAACTTCTGGCCGCAAAAATAATAAGATTCACAGCAGTTTATAGAATTTGGGTTTCTCCTTATTCAAAATTCTCTGAAACGTGCGTCGAATACAAAGTGCGCTGATTCATTCAGATTTTGTTTATAATTGTTAATTACTTAAAGTGGTAGCATTAGAGTTAAAGGAAGCAAGTGATTGTCAGACATACTGATACTTCTGTTGGATTTTCTAGCACGTCCTTTGGCGCTGTTCCTGACAATTACAGCTGAGGCGTGGCGTCGAATTTTCCTAAATTCAAGCCAAATTTCACTTTCTGAAAAGATCGTTCACTTTTTGTTTTCTTTGGGGGGAAATGCGTCAGAAATGAAATGAGAGAAAATAATAGTTGTGTGTCGGCACTGCCGGGTTTCAAGGCGGAGTACATTTGTCTAAAGAAAATGGAAAATTCCGTAGGAAACGATGTGCGCTTTTCGACGTCTAAGTGGCTTCCTTTTGCAATACCTGCTGGCGGTATTTTCAATCACCCACCAAGATCCACCTGCTCCGAAAACTACAACGCATCATTGAAGTGGACTGGTCACGTTTCCTTGCCAATAATTTATCAGACTTCTAGATTCATCGCTTAGCAGATAAGCGGTCGCAAAGCGTCCAATCGACATGCTTCTCTGATACCATCTATCATCGTCTTCTCAAAACACATTTACTACGTAGTTCGGCCTGATTTCGCAAGTATCATTTTTCATTCAAAAATTCTTTATTCCTTCTGTCTACCCAAGATACACGATTCAGAGCTTCGCGTTAAGTTGCGTTGACACATTTCCTCGATAGCATGAAGTTTCATTAAGAAAACCATTATACATTGAAATAATTATGTTGCCTCAAAACCTTTCCATTTAAAACCTTTTAGCTCCTTTTGACAAACTTGTTTTGTTAACCTAGGCCAGTGAATATTAAAAATAAAACATTAAAATTTCGGTTTATATTTACGTCAGATCTGAAGGAAGCGACAAAAGGGAAGATCAGTTATGCTTTATTGAAAAACTTGGCACAAATGTGTCTCAGACCATCACATGAATAAATTTTCGTAATTACTAGAATTTTCAAGAGACTTTTCGTTTTGAAAAAAGGCATAATTTTTTTTTCTTCTTTGGAATTGTGCAGAACATGAATATTCTAACAACCTTCCTGCGCGATCTATTTCCATCTATGACTGACTATTTACATGGTATTTAAGTGACTCTGACTTAATCTGATTCGATTTCAGTTTCCCCATTATGTCTAACCTCCGGGGTGGAAATTTTATCGAACGATACTTAGGAAGTCTAGCCAAGTCGCCGTTGATTGGTTCTCTGCGGATGATTTGTCCCCTAGAGGATATGTCATAGCTATATTAATCCGGTTGCTATTGGCGACTGCTTGGTCATGTGGTTTTATGCCCGCGTAACATAAAAACAAATACAGAGCGAGTCACACAATCGATTTAAATTTGAGCGCTCGCCAATGTATTGCCACCTGCCACATTCAGTTTTAAGTCGTTTCTTGTAGCGCGCACGGCAGTCCAACGAGGAGCAAGATACCACGTATCTGTGAACCCGTGGCTTGGCAGAATACACGCTTCATCCGTTGTTTTTAACGATGGGAGCAACCCTTTCCATTAATAGGAAAGATCTGCTACACGAGTATTCCATATGGAATATCAAAGCTCGCGAAAGTGGCAAGTCCTACCACTGTAAGTGTTGTTATCATGTTAACAGCGACATTCACAGTAAAGAGAACAAGGCGCCTCAAACAACCTGCGATGCCGTGGCCGCGTACCTCCACAAATGCGCTAATGTGGGCAAGAAAAAGATGAAATCGAAGATCGAACCAGCACCTTCTAAATCAAGCAAGTTTAAGGAAACTGAAACGCAAAAAAGCGATCCAGCTCCGCCGCTCCTCGCACAAACCCAAGAAATTAAACTGCCAATCAAGACGACAGACTCCATGCAAGTTGTCAGCCAAGGTGTTGATATCCCTCCAGCGAATCCTAAACTACCGATTTCGCAGTCGTTTCTGATCAGTAGCGACGCTCTTCGCTGTCTGGGAAATTTCGTCCGCTGCCATTGCAAGAATCTAACTCGCTTCCGTGCATCGGAGGTAATTTTATGGCTGCGAGGAGTTGATAGGGCGTTACTACTACAAGGCTGGCAGGATCAAGCTTTCTTGACACCACCCAATCTTGTGTTCTTATTTATGCTGCTAAAGGAAAGTCTGTCGGATAAAATCCCTAATCCAGCCCAGTTACGCGCTGAAATTTTAACATGCCTGTACATGGCTTACACATACAACGGCCCCGAAATAAGCTATCCTTTAAAACCTTTCCTTGTGGATGGAGACAGGAGAGCTTTCTGGGACCGGTGTATGCTTATAACAAACAACCTGAGCGAGAAAATGCTTCAAATGAACAGAGAGCCGAAATTTTTTGGCGAACTCTTGGTCGAACTGAAAAACTATGGTGGATCGTCTATAACTGACAGACGAGATGGGTAGAATTAATACGCAGTGCCCTTTGCTTTCTGAAAATCAAATGGTCTCCTGCTTAAAAAAAAAAATAGGTGTCAATAATTTTCTTGACCGAAAAAAAAAAAGATTGGACAAAGCTTTCGGGCCGGCGTTCCAAGTAAAATAGTATATTTCAATTTCAGAGGCTGCTTGCTAATTAACTATGCGCGTCGCTTTCATCAAAACTAAACTTCCCTCTGTTTTAGAATATTGCAGCTGATTTTATGGAGTTCATAACTTATTCAGCGCATCTTAGCATTGAAAAATTACAATAGCTCTGTAAACAACTCGTTTATTTTACAACTGGCATTTCGACCTTCCATGGATTTCATATATTCTCTTTTGTTAATTTTTCCGGACAAATATGGAAGCTCGAACTCGATAATCTTCGCGGTCAAGGATAAAGAACTGGAAAATACATCTGCGGTTTTTATTGCTTATAAATATGAGATGAAAGTCAAGCTTTGCCCAGAAAACGTGCCCGCGGTGTGGAATTAGGTGAGAAAGTTCCTTTTTAAGGAACACGAGTTTCGTGCGTTGTAAAGCAGAATTTATGGCAAAAAATCGCCCATCAATCAAAATGTAAAATTCAGATTTTATTCAACACAAAAGAAAATGATCATTAAAATGTTTATTTATAACATAACATCTGTTCCTTGGGGTTATTGCTATCAGAAGGTTCAAAAAAAAAATGAGAAACTCTTGATTCTAACAATATAAATGATCTGAATAATTGTTTGGCTTCCTTCCATTACAGATGTCAGTTATTAGGAAATCAATGCACGTTTTCAGCTCAACGCTACTTCAGGAAAGGAGTGAATTTTTTTAACGAGCAAAAGATTCCCACATCAGTTACCTCTGCGCGTGATCGATCTTGCCGTCAATTCCATTATTTTTCCGCGCGCAATCATTGCAAAATAATTTCTTCCTTCGAAGTCAAACGAAAAAATAGTTAGTCTATTCAACTTTCACAAAGAAAAACGTCAAAATCTAAACTCCAATCGTGGGAAATAACCGGTTTCTTCAGGAAATTACGAAATCTCTTAATTTTGACTGCCTCTGATGTTTCGGTATTAGAAATTGAAACCAATGAATCTTCCCGAGAAACCCCCATTTTTTAGCACTAATTTCCTGCTCGGTCTCATTTACGACACGCAGACTGTCATTTTTAATGGATTCCTGCGAAACAGTAGTTTGAAATTGGAGAATAATGTGCGGATTTCTTCTTTAGTTGCCAGATTATTTGCTCGTTTCGTGCAGATGAAAATCTATGCTCTAGGTTATATATTTAGCTTAAGACATTACTTTCTATAGTTCGGTATCATTACGCATTGAGTTTGCTTTCAGGTCCTGTGCAAATCATCATTGCTTTTACTAAAAAAGAATCATATATTTAACGCTTCCAGCAATTCGTGATAAAAGCGAATGTTAATTTCATTATTTCGCGGATTTTCAAGAACCTCTGTGGCTTTGCGGTGTTGAAATTTACGATAAAGTGCCAAAGCATTTTCCGGCCACATTCTCCAGGTAAAAAGCGAAATGGGAGCCAGTTCTTGTTCCCTTCAGAAATACCAGCAGAGCATATATCAAAGGATATTTTGGAATTTATTCTGCTCGGTTTTTTTCAACAATTAATCAATGTTGAGGGTGACAAAGCTTGTTGTTTAGAGCCAAACCGTACACTCGGCCGGCTTTTTGTAAAAGTTTAGAGTATGTTGAAATAAAACTGTCTATCTCACTGCTGCTCTCTTTTCAACTTAGTTCAAATTTGTCCATGTCCAAGCATTTAATTTTTGGATTTGTTTTGTAACAGTCTGAAAAATTTATTAGCAGTTCCTAATCTACGAATAAAAATCATTCTGCTTTTCTGTTGCTTATAGCTGAGAATCGTTTTTAAAACTTAAAAAAAACGGAAATTAAGCGAGTGGTTTTTTTTCTTTGCAAATGAAAATACGACAAAGTAGTAAAACTTGGTGAGAGCCTTAAGAACGTAATGGAAACTCAAGTGTTAGATGTGATTATGAACTGACAGTGTCCGTTTGTAACATGGCACACAAGATCAAAAATTATCTTTTTTCGATCTCAACAATGATCGATAAAAATCATTCCGGAATCGTCAAACTAATTGAACTGCAAACTAACAACAACAACAATAACGATTTCTAAGCCTGGATAAGACCCTCGCCAAATGTTATAGACGAAACTGAAAAAGCTAAAACAACATTCATTCTCGGTGAATATTTTTCTCGATATGCTTTAACTATGCACCGAAAAGAAAATCTATTTCGAAATCAGTGACATCGGCGACTTTTCGAATGTTTTATGCACGTGGAATGGAATTTATGCAGTTCATGCTGATTGTATTTGAATGTTTAATGCACCTTGTGATTTGGTGTACTAGCTTTCGTTTCTAAAAATTCAGACGACATCATCCTTAGACAGCTCAGTTCCATTTTTAGAAGTGCTAGTTATACCTGAAATGTTATCTGTTGGCAAAAGCAAACAAAGAAAGAAATACAAAGCTTGATTAAAAGTGTTCTTTCGTTGTTATGCATTAGCCGGCAATCGGAGTACTTTTAAACCACTAGAATGCTTCAAAAAGAGAAAGAACTCTTCAAAAAAAACAGCAGAAAGCAATTTCCTTGCAAAAATGGAGTCATTGGGCCGACTGAAACGAAAACATTTTCAAAAAGCCCATTACTGAAATGGAAACCTCATTGTTTTGCTCAGTTTTTAATTGACAATGACGAAGGCTGAATAAGCTTGATTAGGCAAAATACTTTTCGGAATTTAATAAAAATGAAACAGCAATTACGACAGAGGAAGACTTTTAGAATAAATGTCATTTCCGCTACTTTGAAAATCCCCCAGCGTTTTTCAACCGCAATTAAAAATTAGATATGAGTGGTAAATGTTTCAGACAGAGCTAGTTGTGGCTTGGAAAATAAAACTGAACTTAGCTTCCTTTAGTTTTAGATACCGATTATGTCTGACAAATACGGATCAAAGTTTCTTTGAACAAGAAGAGAGTAAATAAGCAATACTCACAGAGAGTGTATGTAATGAACTTTTGATTTAAATAATTAAGAAGAGAAAAGTTGAGATAAATTTTAACGTCTATGATAAAAAGTCATTCTTGTTGACAAATGCCATTGACAAAAATTAGATTCTCTCAGTATATATAATTTCAGTTTAAGAAAAAAGTGGTTAATTTAAGAAAACTGTCATCGAAACAAATTGTAAATAAATATGCGTTATAGTTTAAAGAAAGCGCACCAGGAAAAGTCTCGAAATACGTTTGAAATTAAGGTAATCTAAAGTTCCCCCTCAGACAAACACGTCATCTTTGCATGAATTATTTATCAACTAGCGTCAGAAGAAAATCAATTATAAGTGAGAGGAGATGATTTCCTTTGTAAAACACAGTTGATGCTTAATTTTTCAATTGAATTAAAAATAATTTGCATAAAATGTTATATATGTGAGTATTTTGAGCAATGTAAATATTGCTCAATCCGCAGAACAATGTGTTTGATTTCTTACATGAATTGATATATTGCTGGCAGAAAGTGCTTCTTTTGGATGGAATCTTTATATGCACTTTTAAGTGTTTAAGTAGAGGTAGTAAAAATTTATGGTAACTTATCCCACGAGCGAGTTCATATTCAGAATTAAACTGAAGGGTCATTGCGAAATGTAATCCTGCGGTGCACTTCGAACTGAGAATCAGCTCACATTAAGAGGTGTTAAAATCACCAGTTGAAATAAAGTTAAAGCTGCGATCACGTTCTTATTCAGACTTTATCATATTTCTGTCATCAAATTTCACCATAGTATCCATATAAAGATGATCCGTCATCTGCCGTGCAATCTCACAACAGAATTCTAACATCAGACTTCATTTTAGCATCACTTGAATGTTGACCATGAAATGTGATAATTCCGAAATTCAGATTCCTTTACGATATTTTTCTTCGATCTCACAAAACCTTCGCATTAGATTGAATTTGTGAACGTTTTGATGTGCCGTACATCTGATTCTCTACTAATTCAAATTTGATTCAGAGAATTTCCGCTCAAATAAAAGAGGCCGACAAGGCAAATCAAAAGCCAAGATAATATAAGACTAAAAAGATAAACACTACCGAAAGAAAGTTATTAAGTATAAAATAGTTTGCAGATGGTGGATCAAGAAGGTTGCAGTTTGATTGCATCACGCTCTCTCTGCATGATAAAGATTCCGATAAGGTTTGAGTCAATACATTGAAGAAAACCTTGCATAATTCTTTAATGTTTCTCGCACTACTTCCTTAAAGTCCACCCAAACACTCGCTTATTCCAAACACTCGCTTATTCCACCCACGCTGCTTTCCAAATTATTCTCACATAAAATCATGCGTACAGCAAACAAGATTTCAATGACGGAGAAAGACAACCACAGTGCAAGCAAATGATTAATATATAATAATCTTTACCAATATATTTCTTATCACTAATAACACATATGCAGAAATTTCAGCATGCTCATTGGCTGAACACTGAACACGTTAATTAATCCTAGTGCAGAAAGTTGAAATTCAGTGCAAAAGGCGGTTGAAACTAAGTTGATTGACAGCAGTAAGTCGCGAAAGCACAATAAAACAGAATGGCGTACAGGTGAAGAGAAAGTAACGTTTTAATTCAGATTCTGTGAGGTATAATGCTAAAACAAAAACACCCAACACAGGGAAAACAATTTGCTAAAAGTCTGGCTTCCAGAAACGGAAATGAAAGTATGAACCAGACGCCCTAGATAAAATTATCGAGGAGTTTTACGCAACAGTTCTTACGAAAGACGGGGAAGATTACGAGCGTAATAGCTTTCACATGATTGTTACTGCTGTTGTCCGATATCTAACAGAGAGAAAATAAAAATGCTCAATTATTATCGAGAGGTTTTAAGAGTTCGAAACAAATTCTTGAGTAAAATAGCCCAACTACTCCGGCAAAAACTGAGGAAAAGGCAAACGCCCAAACTGGTTGACACGAAATAAAGACAACTAAAAAGAAAAACAGTCATACTTTTGCCTGAATATTATTGACAAATTTCGTTCGAAATCATGTAAATACCTTTACCGACATTATCAGGATTCTGAGAAACTTGATTTTGTTGTTTACTTAAACAGTTTGGATTTTATTTGAAAGTAAATGCTTTATAAATTGCAGCTTATTAGAATTTGTCTTGACATAATTCTTAACTTAAAATTCCGAAAATTCTTCCCCTAACGCCGGACCTTCTACACTTCCCATTTACCTGTGCAGTTAAAGCGTTTATTTGAATGTAAAAAGTAGAAATGTTTAAGTATTAGTGAAGTCAGGGCTTCTTTTGTGGAATAGATATATTCATGTCTAAACTATTTGCCAAGCGTAGCTCCTAAAAGATTACTTCGTCTCTTGCATGGTTTTGGTCCGAACCAGTTTCATTCCGTTTTATCTTCATTGTTGTTCTTTGAACCCAATTTCTTTTTCACCGCAATGACCACAAATCTAATTTACTTACTTTATTTCAAATCGGTTTTGTGGCGTCCGTTTTTCGGATAGTAGTTAGTTTGTGCGAGGTCTGGAACCCACAAACACTCGAAAAGCTCTCGTAGCTTATATTTCAATCGGAAACTGAAGGTATCTTCCGGAAATTTCCAACGCCCAAGACGTAGATGCATGTCCAAACATTGACTGCGTATTAGAAAATTTAAAATGGCCACCACAAAATTCAAACAAATTTCATTGATTAAACGCAACTTTCTTAGATTCTTCTTGCGGAGGGTTGAGGTGAGAGATGGCTTTGAATGAGCTTATTACCGTACGCTGAATTGATAATTGCTCTAATATTGGGTAAACGTGTGATATCTCAGAAGCAGACTCCTTTTTTCCTTTTGTATCTTTCGTAATGGTTGTTGTTGCTGCAGTTTTTTAATACGCCAAGTGGATCAGTCGAAGTCGAATTTAAAGAATTCGTTACGTTCTTTCCTTAAAATTATCTTGTCTTTTAGATTCTTGAATAAATGTCGGCCACCTTTTGTGACCGTAATAACTACCACGATGGCAAACGCAGCCTCAACTGGAAAACAAGGCTGAAAATAGCTCTCAGGTTTGAGGAAATAAACTGTGGGACAAAAGAAGCAAAAGAAGATATAATACCACGCTGCAGAAATTACAGTTTTAATAAAATTTCTGTAAGGGTCAGCCCTTTAATAAGTCCAGCTTATTAACAAACATTGCAGCATATATTAAGTTATCGCAGATCTAAAAGTTAAATTCAACTTACATGTTCCCTTCGTGAATATTTTTCTTAAAAGTCACTCTTTAAAGGAGCGATTATTTTTAATTACAAAAGTGATGACCGTACATGGACTTTTCACTTGTTCAAGTTTCCAGTCAACAAAAAGACCTAAAGATAAAGTTTTGTAGAAATTTATCTGCTCGGCGTCACCCAGATTCCGGCCAGAGTAGTGTCAGATCGTTGTTACCAACCTTCTTGAACGTCATGGCAGAGTTTCCGGGTCCGTTTTTCACCGTCAAGTTGTACGCTTTCTTACCCAGTTCACATTTTACCCGTGAGTCTACGCGAACATTCAGCATCTTACGAGACTTCCTGTGTATACATACAAATCCAGAAATTCTAAACCTTAACATCTTAACACCTTGCTTATCTACTTGTGGCAATAAATAGATATTCCTGTTTTCTTCCAGTTTATTCCAGCATTCCACCTGGCCCGTTACTCTCTCCTCACATTCAACAAGCTATCTCGAGGGTGGGAAAATTGACACTATTCAAGTTGCGGTAGTGTGACGGAAGTGGAAGTGGAAGTGAAAATATTGATTCTCCTCCCCGGATGAGATGTTAGTTCCCGGCATTTTGTCAGGGTTTTTCTGACAGTTCACCGATATCATTTACACCTCTGGGAAGAAAGAGGCACCGTGAAAGCAAAGTGTCCGGTCCAAGAACAAAACATCATATCTTGGTCTAGAATCTAGCTAGCTAGCGTGCTAACAACATGACCAGAATGTTGTAGGGAGAAAAAAAGGTGAGATATAAAAAAAAGAGAATATTTTCAAAAATAAGTTCAACCGATTCAAAAATGATTTCGTACGGTAGAGTCAAAGGAAAAACAGAGAACAGCTTACTCATATATTTGCAGGTAGAGGTTCGCCATAAGTTCTGCCACTCTGTTGGCTTTAGACTCGTTGAACAAACAGACGACCAGGTCATTGTGTTGGAGGTGAACTACTAACAGCTGATCGTCACCTGGAGTAAGACTCACTCCTGTCACCTGTCAATAAATATATCGAGAAGTCAATCAATCTGTCAAACAACTAATTATTCAGTTTGGGAATCAATAAGTCAAAGAATCCATCATAGTCCATTAGTCCATGCAACAATTGTCAATAATCAAGGTAATCAATCCAGTGAGCGACCTGTCAGCCTCGATTGATCAAAGAGAAGGGAAGATAATAATGATAATAATAATAATAATAATAATAATAATAATAATATAATAAACAGATAGTAAGTAAGTAACTCAGTCAGTCACGATCACTTAGTCAGTCAGTAAGTCTACCAATCAGTCCTTCAGTCATTCATTCAGTGATGCTCAGCTAGTCACACAGTCAATCTGTCAATCAGTCAATGAATCCGAAAGACAGTCAGTAATAATCAGCCAGTCCGTCAATCAGTCGATGAATCAGTAAGACAGTCAGAAGGTCAGCCAGTCAGTCAATCAGAAATAAGTCAGCCAGTCTGTCTGTCGGTTAGCTAAGCGGTTGGGATACCCAAGAAACTTACGTTACGCATCTGTTCAATGATGCAGACTCAAGTTATCATCCAAAATAATTTATAATAAACAAATAAAAAACTTGGTGACACAATTACTGCAAGAAGTTCAGTTACCATGTCAAGTGGTATTGTCTTCATGACTTTGTACTTGTTGTCCAACTTAAGAATGGCTGAAGTTGTCACCACCACAATGCGGTCAGCCACCTTCAATTTCATGTTCACCTGCAAACAGAATCACAGAGTGAAACCAAGGGAAAAAAAAAGTTACCCAAAAACTCAGGATTACATTTCTGACAGGTTTTACGAGGCATATTATGTGTGATACCAAGACTATAAAGTGACAAGTTTACCTTCTTAGCATAAGAAGAGAACAACACCTCTTCTCCATTCGTCGTGAATCTATTGACAACATTTCTTTTAAACACCTCAGACTGGGAGTTTTCTTCGGGCTAAGGACAAGATAAAAAAAAGCAAATAAGAGAGCTAGATAATGAAGCTACTCGAAGGATTTTCATGTTTTCCCGCTTTTTTCTTTACTGAGAATTACCACCTTGCACAGAACTTGCGTTAAGAATGCAGTTGATTGAACCAAGCTTTGCTTGCTGATATCTCCCTCTTACTACTGCGAAACAATGAAAACAGGCTATTTCCACAATTACCTCTGCAAGGTAGTTTCCACGCCATCGTGTCTGCAGTGCCCAGTTCTTTCGCTTTCCTCCCAAGCAATCAAACGCTGCAGCTTTCAACATAACCTCGTCACGGTCTTGATCTGGAATGCGTGACAACACCTTAGAGGCCCACCACCTTTGACAAACACACAAAAATAAAATTCCAAAACCGAGCCTGAGAAATATATAACAACCAATGCGTGTCGAAATCTGCAAACTGAGCATTATTTAGGCGCGATAATTTATCGCTTTTCGGGAAAACACCCCAAGCACCGACTGAAGATGAACGAAGACCAGAGTCCAGAACACGACGGAAGTAGAGCCTACGCAAAACTTGGGCTAACTTTAATTTAGATAAGGATTTGGATTCTGGTCTAGTAAAGTTCACGAAGTTTCTGCACATTCGTTCAGCCAGGTGATTTTGCCATCACTTCAAGAAACGAACATGGACCAACAACCTCTGTACTTTCTCATCGATTCATATGAAATTTCTGCATCACTTATTTAAGTTTGCCTCACCTTCCGAAGATTTTCGCGAAGAAAGAGGCGATTTCTTGGCATGCCCTAAGGGGGGTGGGTGGGGTAATAGACTTTCCATAGTCACCGCGCTGCTTACAGTCACTGCAGAGAGAAGGAACAAATATTTATAATGTCAATAATTATTATCGTGAGTCCACTGATCAGGCCTATTCCACACCCCCAGTTGTCTGGACAGTGTACGGATTTTGTTAAGAAGTAAAAGAAAAAGTAAGGTAACACTTGGCTTTGAACAACTTAATCAATTTTCGTAAAAAAGGTCGTGGTTATTTATCGTAGTGAATAACAATAAAAGCTAAGTTTTTTCGTTTGTCTCACGATGTAGTCACGTGTGATGTAGATCGCGACGTTTCGACTGCATACTCCTAGTCTTCTTCAGACACCGCAGTTTTAAGAGAACCTGACGGCCGACTCACCATCAGCGTATACAGGATACCCACGCACACCGATCAATACTTAGCGTATGATTCACACCACCCTCAATCAGTAAAACGCGGTATTGTTAAGTGCCTTTACGAGCGCGCCAAACGTCTCGTAACAAAACCCTCCGTCATCTCCGAGGAGAAAAAACATCTGTCATCTGTTCTGGTTTCTAATGGCTATCCTTTTTCTTTCTTGCAGAAACTTACCAAGACCAGAAAACCACACAACAGTGCCGAACCCGCCAACGAGTTTAAAGCTACTGCGGTTTTACCTTGTGTCAGGTCTGTCCGAACAGCTTCGCCGTTGCCAACAACAACAAGGCGTACGCACTGTTTTCAAGTCGGAGACTACGCTAAGATCTCAGTTAGTACGACCAAAAGATGCTATCAACCCGGCTAAACAAGATGGCGTAGTTTACAGGATTCCCTGTAAATGCGGCAAGGTGTACATCGGAGAGACCGGAAGACCTATGCAAGACAGAATTAAAGAGCACGATCGAGACATCCGACTCGCCCTTACTGAGACCTCCGCCGTTTCAGAGCATGCTCACAACACCGGGCACAAGCCACTCTGGAAGAAGTTAAGTTTATTGATCGTGACTCTTATTACTACACGCGCAGAGTCAAAGAGGCAATTCATATAAGAATTCACCCCAACAACATCAACAGGGATAGTGGAATAGAAATTCCAGAAGCGTGGATGCCCTTGATCAAAAAACACACTAACAGGAGAGCCGTGCGACAGCGGACCACCGAGGGAGCAAATCACTGAGTGAAACAGCAAGGATCGAAATGCACCAATCAGAGCTGTTGAAAAACAACTAATCACAGCAGAGCATCATCATGCTTACAAGATCACGCATGACCAGTCATCGCCTGAAGAAGTCGAAACGTCGCGATCTACATCACACGTGACTACATCGTGAGACAAACGAAAAAACTTAGCCTTCAATCACTGTTGCTTATTCAAATCCATAGTGGCTAAGGATTGAGTTAGGAGTGGTTTGTACCTGTAGGCGTCTTGAATCTGTAATATGAACTTTCTGCACTGATATCTCTTAAAGTTACCCATGATCAGGTATACCGCACGAACCTTCTTCATGCGCCTTCGGACCAGTGCACCTCGCCAGTGCTGTAAAACGAACCGTAAAACAATGATAATATCATATAAAAGGAAGGGAAATTATGAACCCGCAAACAAAGCGCGTTTTTCTAATTAGATAAAAATACCTTACGCCTTATCAGTGCCTGTAATTTTCACAACTTCCACCTGTTGATTGCAAACAACTGCTCCTTACCTTCTGAAGAATTCGCACTAAGTTTGGCACAGTCTCCGCTCGCCTCTTCTCCAGCTCGAACACAGTCTTAGGTGTCTTAATAAACAGCTTAGTTCGACCGTATTTGACATCAGAGGAAAAACCTGACCGGTCGATGATTTCACCAACACCATCTTTGTCAATCCCACTGTAGGTAGGCCAAGTTTTGTCCACAAGCATTTTATACCTGCGGTAAAATATAACAAGGATTAAATTTTAAAGATTGTGCCATCTTTGAAACATTACAGCTGTCATTTAAAGTTTGGCGGCTTGACAAAAGTAAACATTTGGTCTATTTAAGGTCCTGGTGTTGAATTCAAACTTGAAAGAATTCAATAATTTTTTAAAAAGGAATTTCTTCCGGCGCTAATTTTACTTAAAGGTGGTTCCCATCACTGCCCCACCTTTGAAGAAATCGTTTGTAATGCATCCTGAAGGCAAATCCAGCTCGCCTCACACGCAGATTCTGCATCAAGCCAAGGTAGTCCACCTACAACAAATACAATGTCAGTAGTCAGAAATGCTCTCTACTTCACCCCTTGTTATTTGTCCAATACCTGGAAAACGAATTAAGTGGTCTACACCACTAAACCGTTTTTGTGGCAAACGAAAGCAATTATAACTCCCCTGAGCGGGATTCCACTTCAAAACTACTAGTACGGTTTCCCTGACAGCTTGTTGTTTCCGATCTGTACTCCTGGAAGGAGAAATGTCTCGTCTCTCTAAATCACAACAAATCTGTACTCGAGCCTATTGGCCTAGCCAGCCGGAGCTTATCCTGGTTTCCATGTAACGGGTAGCAACTAGGAGTATTACTACTACCCCTAGCTGGGATGCCAGTCCATAGCAAATGTGCCCCCCAACATTTCATCAGGCTTTCCTGACAATTTGCCGGCACCCATCCATTCCACTCCTGGGTGGAGAGAGGCATCGCGAGAGGAAAGTGTTTTGCTCAAGAACACATCGTATTGACCCGGCCAGGTCTCGAACCTAGACCTCTCGACTTGGAGTCCAGTGCACTGACCATTGGGCCGAATCACTAACTGCCTTCCAATCGATGAAAACAACCAGCAGGTTGGGGCTCACTTCTAATTTTGATTGTACGTCTTAGTTACCTGATGACCGACACGTCTATCGTCAAAAAGTGATGGCGACTTCGCATCATTTGGTTTGATGCATCGGACATAAAATGGTTTCTAGAATAGAAATGACGGAAGTTTTTAAATACATCATTCACATTTGGGAAATGTTTTCCGTCTTGTCACGAGCGTGGGACAAAGAAAAGATTCTAAGTCCCCGATGACGATTCCTCATGGGGACTGAATTTTTTCGTCTTGTCCCACGCTCGTGACAGGACGAAAAACATCTTTCTCTATTTCTTCACCGAGCTCAAAACTAACCATCTCGCTTATTCTATCATTCACACTTATTTCACTGAGGATTTCATCAAAGTAACGAGGAAAAAAAATACCTTAACAGTTAGTTTCTCCACAAGAGCTATCATTGAACCTTTGAACAGGGCACAAGCCGTAAGAGGACGCTGGGTAACCTGTGGATAAAATGAATTTTCAGATTGAATTTTAACAACTAATTGTATGAGTTACCCCTGTATCAAAAATCGGAGCAACTCGGACCATGAGACGTCATGAAAGTCATACATTCTCATAATTCCAATCGTCTCAGATAGCACATCTATCGTCGACTCTCATATATCCCTCGATAGCAAAGTCTTGAAGAATGTCTTAAATGAATCCTTATTCGACAACCTGGTATGATTTGAGATTGCTGATCCTTTTACACTTGGAGTAATGCCATTTCAGATCGGTAGAATAGAATAAAACACAAACTAAAGTTCAAGAGAGACCTTTGTTCGTGATTTGATTTCCCTCAACGGAAACTCGTCATTACCATCTATAAATGTATTTCCTGCGTGCATTATTTATTTTCCGATAGGTAGTGGTTTTCTTACGGTTGCACACAAGCAAGAAGACATGCGGAGTTTATTGTCTAAGGAAATTAAATTCACAAGAAACAAGTGGTGGTATACCACGCAGGTTTTTGCTTTAGCGCGCTTTCCAACAGTTGACGACCGTATTCTTCTCGTTTTTTGTCAGTGTTCAAATTCTAAAGATAGAATAACCTTGGCATGAACCGACACAATAAACTTTGTTTTCGATTGAAAACAATTTAGGAGGATTCCATGTTTACAAAAGCGGAAAACTACATAGAGAAGATCGTTATTCGGTATGCAGGGTTGATGTAATAGTTAAGCTTATCTTGCTTTTTTTTTCAGCAATTTGTGCGGAAAAGTTTAGAGATCTTTCTAAAATAGTGCATCTTAGGCTGTGCTTGTTCCTCTACCATTTCATTTACGATAACTAACAAAAAACGAAAGAAAAAAAATCGGTGACAGTGAATAATTGGAATAATAAAATATATCGACAAGGGAGCGGTAGAACTGGGGAATTTCAAGCCACAGCTAAGACGAAGATTTAAACAAAAAATTTTTACTCGCCTTAAAATTTAATTTCCAACGTTGCAAGCATGCCGAGCAAAAAATCTTGCCAGATGTCTCACTTACCCCCTAAAAGGCTTTTTATTTTTCAAACTTCGAAAACCTTTCTAAAAACCAATTACAAAAAATGTCAATTTCCGAACACTTTGCACATTGTAAAAGGAGTGACGACATCTCGCAAATTAGTTATTTTGTCTTTTACCTAAGTAGTGCCATACAAACAACGAATTCGAAAACAAGAGGTTTATTAGAACTATACAAATGTTGAAAATAAAGCTACCTAAGTATTCAACTGCTCAAAAAATCTATTCCAAAATTGCATCAAGCATTCCCCGCCTGCGACAAGGTGCCATTTACCTAGGTGTTCCTTTGATCAAGAACTTGAAGTTATAATTCCAAATTTGAAGAAATTACTCATGATCGTGGGCCGTGGCTATACCTCAAGTCTTATAAGAGGTTTTAAAATATACACAATGTGCGATGCACAAACTGGAAATTTTCATTACCAAACACTTGAGCCCTACCCCCTCTCGTTATGAAGTTTGTTTTTCCAAGTGATAAATTTGAAATTTCCGACATGTTGAAGAGGTCTCCTACAAGGGCCGACCACACGCTGGCGACAGTATATAAAATAAGGATGCAAAACAGTGCTCCTTTAACAAGTAAGATTTTCTGTAAACACGAGCATTACTTTTGCTAGAAGTGCACGCACCTCCTCGAGTTCGTTCGTAAAATCACTGAAATAGGAGGGGAAGCCACGACCACTACTTTTTTGGCAAACTTGAGTACAACGATGAATAGCACACAGCCACAAAGCTGCATCAATCCCACAGCAGAAAAAATTGGAAAAACTTCTTCTTATTTCCTCATATTTATTGTTTCTCTGATTGGAAATATCCTAATCGGTGTGATTGTCTTCAGAACGCCGACCATGCGAAGGCCCATCAACTTCCTCATCGTAAACATGGCCATGTCCGATCTGCTATTCCCGTTGTTCCAGTTTCCTAGGACTGTGACAGAGCTGTACGTCGACACTTGGATGATCAGAGGTCCTCTTGGCGTGGCCTTGTGTAAGATAGTTCCATTTGTTGGAATTGTTTCGGCTCTCGCGTCGATTCAGACCCTAGTTTTGATAGCAGTGGATCGATTTGGAGCAGTGTTTTTCCCCTTCCGTTCTCTACTCGTCAGTTCTAAGCTGTGCGGATTCCTCGTTTTCACAACTTGGATCATCGCCACGGTTGTCATGTGGCCAAATATGTCCTCCTATAAACTAGTCGAGTCTCCAGAGGGGCTGAAGTGCACGCGGCAGTGGGAAGAAACCTTTGGAGAATCTTTATCGTTTAAAAAATACATTCTAGCAATGTTCGTTGTCTTTAGCTACGTTCCAATCATTGTGATTGCCATACTTTACCTTGCAATTCTCTTGAAACTCAGATCCGACTCTCACAAGATTCGCGATGAGCAATCGGTCAACGCGGGAGAAATACGAGCGAGAAGGGAGAAAAATGTACTGAAGATGTCCATTGCGATCGTTCTAACATTTGCAATATGCTGGCTGCCACTCAGTTTCTACTGGGTCTTAGTTCTATTTTCATTGAACCGCTCCACTTTAGCGTCTTGTGGCCTCCAGTATTTCGACGCCATTGTATTTTTCGTGTGGCATTCAAACTGTGCTATAAACCCTTGCATCTGTTTTATTTATGCCGGAAATTATCGTCAAGGTCTTAAAAACATCTTTAAATGCTCTTCTTCTGGGCAACAGGAGTAATTAATTAACGCTTCAGTACTCTGTTACAGTTGAACGAGATAAACATTGCATTACTGTGCTATTGTAGTGTTTGAGTAAACTGTTGAAGAGCTCCTATATTGCTGTAAAGTAGGACGTTTACTGAAATTGATTCAGTTCAGTTCGTTTTCTGTTACTTGATTGCAACAGCATATCAAATCATAAGAGCGTAGATCGAAGCACAAATTGTTACTCAACAATGAACTTAGGTTAGTAACATTTTGCGTAATGTAAAAGCGACAGCCAATCATATAAGTGCATGCAATTTGAAAAAAATCCTCCAACAGGCATTAGAAATTTTCCACGTTTTTGAACAAGTGTTTCTACACCAGGTTTTATTGACCTTTTGGGAAGCCAACAGTTTCTTCAATTAACTTGACAAGGATACAAGCGAGCAACAAACTTTTTTGTGTTTGTATTCTTCGCACTGGACTCCTTTGTACCTCAATTGCTGCGAGTTTTTATCGGTGGTTTGTCTTATTAACGCTTCTTGTCATTTTTCAATACACTTACATGTGATAACTTTCGGTTTTGGATTGAAAAAGTTAATTTTGCACTCGATACGAGACGGTGAAAGATAGATTTTTCCATTCTTCCTACGCAAAATCAATCAACAAGCTATTTGTTTCCCTTTATCCCCCATACACATACTAAATTAAGTAGTTCTGCCAGATTTGGTTTTCTCTTTCGGAAAAATCAGTGGTTAACTTAACAGTTTTTACATCACATTGGTCGAGCGATCGGTCTAAGTCTCTGACTGGACATACACTTCTCTATTTTTTTGACTGCTTTACGCCCACTGTAAACAATGGAATACCTCGTCAAGCCTCCTTACGCAAATTTCTTTCCTTGGCGATAGAATTAACATATTCCTTTAAAAAGAAATACCAACAAGACAAAAAAAATTAAACAACGGTAAATAGGGGAGGCTTTTTAATTTTTCTGTTCTAATTGCGAAAGCCGACCACACAGTTACATCTGTACTTCAGGCAACACGTGGATTTCACTGAACAAAACGCTGAGAATCATGACAACTATGACAAGCCCGAACACAACGATGAATGGAACACATCCACCAAATTGTAGCAACCCAACAATAGAAAGAGTCGGAAAAACCGTTGCCTATTGCCTTATTTTAGTTGTTTCACTGATTGGAAATATCTTCATCGGAATAATTGTCTACGAGACAAAAACCGTGAGAAGCCCCATCAACTTCTTCATCGCAAACACGGCCATGTCCGATCTGCTGTTCCCGGCTTTGTGCCACTTGGATCGCTACATTGGCTGCTCGCTCACGAGTTTTCTTCTACCAAAGAGTCGTCAAGTCCAAGCAGATGAGTAAGCTTGATTGTTTACAAAGGTAGAACGAAGCCTTTGGACAGTTCTCGTCCTTTAAATATTACTATTTGTCAGTTTGTATCATACTGTTGTATTTCCCTTTGGTTTTCATGACCATTATTTACACAATCATCGTTTCGAATCTCAGGTGTCACAAGATACGAGGCAAGCAATCAGACAGCTTAAGGAAAAAAACGCGTGAAGAAAGGGCGACATGGATTGAAGATGTCCATTGCTATCGTGCTTGCGTACGCTGTATGTTTCGTGCCTAAAACATTGACTGGGATATTGATCCATTAAAAAATATTGGACACCACCTGATTATATTCTTGGGAGTTTATAAAACTGAGGTTCGCGCTATTAATCCCTGCATCTGTTTTATTTTCAGTGGAAATCATCGTCAAAGAACTTCCTTGGCTGTTTTTCTACTAAATTCAAGGCTACCCATGGCACATCGTCGTAATGTTCCGTTTCAATACATGCAGTTCTTTGTCCTAGGAAACTAGGATGATCATTGCAGTCGCCGAGTGAGCGACTCAAGTCTTAAGTTAGTCGCATTCTTAGACCTTGAATTCTGTACTATCAATATAGCCTTCCCAAAGATGAACGCTAAAATGTTTACTATGATTCACCGTCAGTCATGTCCACGCGTGTTTGCTTGCAGCAATCGCTCTGTATCAATCCGAGAAACCAAAAACCCCATCAAAACTCTCTGCTTAGGGCATGGATATTAAAGTCGCACTAGTAGTATAGAGGGTAGTTTGTTCTTCTTCATTCAACAAATTTCATCCATTGCTCTGGATACGGAACGCCAATAGGAACATATGCACTCATTCAGGAGGAAGATAGTGGTGTGCACTTAACCAAGTTTACTTTTAAAATTCATCACTTCATGAACTGACAAATTACCGTCCAAATACCCAGGGAATTCTGCAAGGTTTTTCAGTTTTTTACATTATTACTCTGAAAGAATGGTTAAGCGTTCAAATTTTAGTATAAAAATTTTCTACCAAAAGTATTAGAGTCAGAAACATCGCTTATCTTTTTTGTAAGCAACACATCACTCTGATAAATTATCTTTCCAAGACATTGTTGCATCTTTTCGGTTTAAAGAAGGGTCTCTATGTTGCTATTAGACGGCTTACAAAGAAATGATCACCGTTTTTACTTCATATTTGTTGGAGATTGATAATTTAAATCAGCAGTATTATATTAAAAAAATTCACTAATGGATATTTTTCAGCCTCTAACATAAGGAAAGCGATTGATATGAAAATTCGGCGGTTGCATCAAAAGTGATCATTTAATAAAGTACAGAGGCATCGTGTAACAAGCCTTGAACCCTTGAAGCTAAAAAAGGTTATTGTAAAAAAAAAGCTATTTGTTTCACGAAATGAAAGTTTAACCCTTATTTTAAAGTTCCTTAATGGAAACTGCTATTCTTGACAAAAATAATGACAACAAACTTAAAATTTTGGGACGTCATGAAAGTCAATCTTCTGATGCATCTGAATGGTTAATAATAGAGGCTTCCGTTAACTTTGACATTTTTTATCCGGCGAATCTTACCTGAATAAAGTTTTAGGCCACACCTGCAAGAAATGCAAACTAATCCACAAATACAATCCTTTTATTTCTCGAGCCTTAAAATTTCTGAAGAATTTTGTGGCAAAAGCCCTGAACTTAGTTTAAGATTATTGCATGAACACTGACGAAAACCGACCAAACCAAATCGTTATAGTTTTCATTTAATATTAGGATGACCCTGATCTTATTACAGAAGTTCCTTCTATCTGTTTGATAATTCCCAAAACGAAAGTAGGCTCACGCCCACGGAACAAACAAACTTTGTCACTTTAGTGGGCCGACCTTCATTAAGAAACTTAAATAAATTAATTTTTTTGCGTTGGCTTTATGACATCAACGTCATATTTGAAGTGTCTCCTAATGCAAGATCATGATAAGTATCAATTTGGAAAGACTTCGAAGGAAGTCCATTCAAGTAATGTTTTCACCCATAGATTTGATATCTTCTTCATTCAAAAGAAATGACAGCAAATGTAGGTTTAGTTTTCCTTTAAAGTAATCGCCCGCGATGATGGTCCGGCGACGCCTTTCCTCCTTTTGGTAATATTTCCTTCGCCAGCCAAAGTAATTGAAATTGAAGAGTATTTCCGATCTAGAAGACTTAAGAATTGAAGGAAACGTTCTTGAACAAGACAACTAAGGTAAACGATCAAGGTAATTTTTGCAAACTTTACCTCCATGCAAGAAACACGACCATTGAGCTGCTCCTATCCTACAGAAGGCAGAATCAGTCTACCCTTCCTTTACTGTCTGTTCTTTGCTACCTCGTTCGTTGGTAATATCTTCATCGTCATAATTGTCTTAAACACGAAAAGCATGAGAAAACCGAACAACTTTTTCATCGTAAACATGGCCATGTCCGACCTGCTTTATTCTGTAATAGTATTTACACGGAATTCAGCGATGTTATATTTCGACAGCTGGTTAACCAGTGATGGTCTTGGAGAGGCGTTGTGCAAGCTGCTGCCCTTCTTCTCGAATGTTGCCATTTATGTGTCTACACAGAGTGTAGTTCTGATAGTAGTGGATAGATTTGGAGCTGTGGTTTTCCCTCTCCGTTCCCCGCTAATTAGTTTAAAGATGTGCCGAATCTTCATCCCAAGCACCTGGATCGCCGCCATGATCCTCCAGACTCCAAACTTATTTTACCGAAAACTTGTTACTTATCCAGGAATGATAGCGTGCAAGTGGGAGTGGACCAAAACTGATGGAGGGTTGCCCTCCATTAAAAACTACACTTTGGGAAAATTAATTTTATTCTTTTATTTTCCATTAGTTTTGATTACCATACTTTACATGATCATCATTTTCCGCCTCAAGTCGCAAAAGTTTCCAGGTGAGCAGTCAGTCAACGCAAGAGAGCGTTCAGCGAGAGAGCGAAATGTCCTGAAGATGTCTTTTGCAATCGTGTTGGCGTTTGTGCTGTGTTGGATTCCCTTCAGTATCTACTGGGCGCTACTCTTGCTTTCATCGAACAGCACTATGATATCGTCTTGTGGCTTCAAATTCTTTTCGATTATTGCTTTCTTACTGGTTCTCGCATACGGTGCTATAAATCCTTGGATTTGTTTTATTTTTTGCAGACAATATCGACATGGTCTAAAGAATCTTTTTAGCTGTTGTTTGCCTGGCAGACCTCTAGGCTAGTAAAGCCACACTGCAGTCGACCGAGAAAAATGCAGAGGAGTTTCGCTTAACTTCGCTCTGTGATTAGCTCAGAAAACTCGCGCCACTCTCTCAACCAAACATGTGCAAAACTTAACCCAATCACGACTTGGCCACATGCCTTTTCCCGCGCTTTAGACGGTTGGCTTGTTATTTCTTTTTGTTTACCTTCTGCTTTTACGATACTCAATCGAAAAGCGCTCCATGCATTGTTTTTTCGATTTACCAATCACTTAGGTTTTCATTGAAACTTTTATGCAATAACACTGAAACGAGAGCGATAATCTAGATTTTATTTTTGTATCACGACGAACCTTGGTGTGAATTCTCCTTGGTGAAAGAGTTGAACACAGTGCCAGTCAATATCAATTTTCATCAGCTGGAGAGTTAGCTTTACAAGGTCAAAATCAATGTTTCGGTTTACATTGACTAAAACTCCGCAATTTTTCTAAACAGAAGTCGGAAATTCTCCGAAGAATCAACGAAGATTTCCGAAAATAAGATTAGGGATAATACGAGCGGTGCAAATATCTTTGTAGCCAATAGTTATCATGAAAAGTGATAATACAGGAAATAAAGAGTAAAACAAATATGCTTAATCCATGACTGCATTAACCAGGTGCAAGTGCTTGGACTTAAAAAAAAACAAAACAGTCACGTTGGTTTTCAATATTGTAGCTGTAATACTAACATCACCGCTGATTGGATCAAAAGGCGGTCCGTGTTCGGGATGAAAGTAACTTGTCGTCTCCTAAAAATATTGGTTGTTTTCATCATATAGCCAAATAACCCTTACTTCATCAAAAAGCAAGTTTTAGGCAGTTTCACAGTCGTGAACCGAGTAAACGGCAACAGGCATATTTTAACGTTACCATACCTTTGTAATGTCTTCTTTTCCTTCTGGCCACATATCTTGGAGAATTTTGTGCGAACTGTACAAAAAGGTAAAACACACAACAAACTTTCTATTATTTAGTGAGTTGTTCATTCCAACCACACTTCCAAAAGACAATCATTGTGAAAAGTTTTTTTAAGGACAGTCGGCCAATCTTCTGGCAAAACTCGCATACACATTATACACTGAGTAGACCGAAGTGCGACCAGCGGCAGGCCAGGAACGCCGGATCTTCCTCGCTTCGCCCCCACAGAAGGAAAGAAATGACTACGTACGAGCTAAAATGACTTCTCTTGATTATCAACGTAGATGTGCGTGCTGTCAAACTACAAGCTTAAGGCGCGCGGCAGTTTAATAAAACAATACCAGAAAAAGTGCATATACCTGTTGAATAGGAGTCTTTTGAAATCTTGATACAAATTATCCTTGTTTTTGTCCAAGAAATCCACAACTGAATATCTGTAATTAAAAAAAAAGAAAAACAGCCAAATGATCAGTTAATCGAAGATCTCTTCTCCGAAAAATCGCACACAAAAAATTAACTTTCCACCCATTCAAGAACGTGTTTCTTATTTATTTTCCCGTGGAAGTGGTCTCTTCACCCTCTCTCTTCCAGTAGCAATAGCTTATTCCTGGCCAGAAACAGCAACTAGGGGATGTTACTTTATTCAACACCAAAACTCTTATAGCAGAAATTGAAAGAACATATGGCAGACAGTACGGAGAATCGATTGGAGAGGCTACGAGCTTTCGTTTAGAGACAAGTCATCCCTGATAGCATCCCCATTCAATCAATGTTTTGATCATCCTTTGATAATGACTTACATCACATCTCCTGCATAATGTTTGATGCAGAAATGCTTGTGAAATTCCATTGCTTTGTTTGAGGGGTCAGTCTGGAATAAAAGAGTTTGAAAAGTAAGGTCTCAAGAAAAGCAAATGAGAAAATGGTGACCTGTGTCCAACTCTTCAAATTGTTAACCTTTGCACCATGCAGTGATTCACATGGCTCACCCAGGATTGTAGATAATGGTGAGGTTTGTAGGAAATAGATTTATGCTAAGGCTCAAAAATTCCCTGAGCATGGGTGCAAGGTTTGTCCATTAGCCTACAATCCAATTCCAAAGAACATTTTCATCCTAAATAAGGGGATGTTGCAAGGTTTACCAGCATTTAAAAATAGAGCCTATTTTCATTTCATTCGAATCCACAACTTGTTTACTTGTAATTGTCATCTCACCAGCCTGCTCTTATAGTGGTTGTGTTTTCCCAACTTTTGGTCCATGGTTTGTAACAACATCTGTAAGAATAGGATCAACAGGACTTAGACAACCCCTTAATATCCTAAGTATAATTCACTGAAAAAAAATTACTTAATATCATTCTTGAAAGACACTGGAAACTTGGGAGGTGATTGAATCTCTGCCTAACCTATGGTTCATGCAGTAGCACCTCTATACAATGGTACACTTTGAGTTTTGCACAACCTCCAATCAATGACACTGAAAACCTCTGGCTTGCTTTTGACTAATTTTCTATAGATTTCATGTTAAGATCCTCTGTTGTCTAACATTCATTAATTCCTGACCAGAATATACCCATCATTCTATATCTGGAGTAGAGAACATACCATATCAGACACTTTACCAATGCTCCTGCATCCCTCATCCATGATTGAAAAAACACCTTTGTGGTTTTGCTCAATCAGGTCACAGATGATCTTGTTGTTGAAGTATTCAATCTACAATATCAATAAAATCCAAGCAACTTAACATTCTCATACCATGTAGACTTTTTCACTATCTATAAATGTTATTGATATTGTTTAGCACTGCAGCTACATACCTCCTCCCACTGAATTCCTTCTCGTTGGTATTCCTCTTGTTCTTGTTTCAGCACCAGCTCAATAAACAGCTGTTGAAGTTTCTCATTACAGTAATTGATGCATAGCTGCTCAAAGCTGTTGTTGTCAAAGATCTCAAAGCCATAGATATCAAGCACTCCAATCACTGAACACTTTCCATGAGCCACTTCATCGCGCAGTACAGTCGCATCATTAATCCGTCCTACAATCCATGTGAAAAGACGATCATACATGGCCTGAAAGAAAAACAATAAAATCCACCAATACAAAATATGAAAAAACTTATAATGTCTCCCTAGCTACTCTTAAATAGACTGTCTTCTTTCCCTAGAGGATTTTCCCTGGGTTCCTTGCTTTTTCACCCTTTACAACACAACACAACACAGTCTAACTTGGTCTGAGGTATTTCTTGAACTCAGTGCAACATGGACAGCTATCTTCCCTATAGATTAACTCACTGGTACACAACAGTTCAGACAAAAAATAAGCCTGCAATACAAGTACATTGTACCTTAGCAAGAGCATCGCGTCCGTGAGATGCCTCCTTAGCATGGTGTCCTTTGTCCACCACTTCAGAATTGGCTGCAACCACTCGGTAACACAAAGCCTTTTCCACTTGCCTTGGCTCAGTTCCCAAGAGAAATGCAATGATGTTGAGTTTTTCACTATTCTTTATGGATGCCTGTTCTTCATCATCATCAACAAACTCTACATTACCCTGAAGTAAAAAAAATGGCTGCATTTTTCTCTGTCATTTCCTACCACATTATATCTCTTTAAAACAGGAAACTCACCAAATGGAGAATTGCTGCAACAATTTTCCATATGGTTGTCTTTTCTTCAGTGGAGAGGCCCACAGATTTCATAGCCTCAATATTAACTTTGTAATCCGTTGTGTCATTTATCACCTTGACCTGTAAGAGGATTAAAACTTATATGTGAGCCCAAAATGGGACAAAATAATGAAATACTGTATGCAGACATAATAGTCATTACTCAATTCCATAAACAAACCTGATTGGTTAATAGGACTTCAATGACCTGGTACTAGTTATAAGCATGGATTACAAGTACTCTAAAGTCAGGAGCTCTAGAACACAAGTCAAGTATTTTAACCAACTAGACTAGTAATGTTTGTGAATAGAATAGGAGAGATAGTAAGACTAGATGGTATATTAGTAGTATTGCAATGTAACAAATGCAATAGGCTCAAGCTATATACATTCAAGTAAAAATTCTGTGTTCATACCTGTGTGCATCCTCCTTGATTGGCAAAGTGATAACTTTCAGCTTTCTCTTGTAGATACAATTCTTTTAGGGTCTCAGGTGGTGCTCCATTGAGTAACTAGCAAAAACAAATGGTTGGTATTACTGGTAGAGAAGTGGAAAAAGTTTGAAACGAACAAGCATCTATAAAGATCAGCAAACAAATGCCTCAGCCCTCAAATAACAAATTTCCCTAAAGCCTGTGGAAATATGATGTGTACCATGACTTCATGAGGGTCCCTTGCTAAAAAGAAGGGACTTTTCATAATCTAGTCCATCTCATGCAAAAGAAGCAACACAAATTAGATTAAATGACTGTGAATATGTGAAAATCATATAAGTGAACTGCTGATAAAGACGTGAAAGCAATCTTTGCAGTAATGAACACTACTTGAACTGTAAAGTAATGAATCCTCTAGAGGCCTGAATTTTTTTCAGGCCTTATTTTAATTACTGTTCAAGTAGTGTTCATTACTGTGAAGATCACTTTCATGTTTTTATTTGTAGTTCACATAAATTATATCATTTTCATATATTCACAGTCATTTATTCATCACTTCACGGGTTTATATGGAACCAACATAATGACCAGCTCCCAGTTGGCTTGTTAGCTCAGTTGGTAGAGCACTGCCCTGGTATTGCAGAGGTCACGAGTTCAAATCCCTTACAGGCCTGTATTATTTTCACTACTGCTCAAGTAGTGTTCATTGCTGCAAAGATAGCTTTCAAGTCAAAAAATTAGACTATAACATTGAAAAACTAGCTTATCATTTGGGTTGTGAATTGAGGGTCATCTTCCATACAGTAGACATTGAATTATCGTACAATGGTATGCATGAAAGCCTCCATTTACAAACCTGGTAGAATGAATGGAAATTTCTCTCCCCCTCCTGTTGTGTAACAACTCTGGACTGAAAAACAAAGACAAACAGAAATTTGATAAATTAAGGAAATGTATCTTCAGTAAGTTGGATGATGATTTCATAAAGGCGTCAGGAGAGAATAACAATTAGATGCCATCTACAGGAAAAGCTTGTCATGGGTGCTCTTTTTAAGAGATCCTCAAGCTGGCTCTGTGTAAGCCAGTGTGACTGCAAAAAATCAAAATATCAATAAAAGGTTTCCAGATTTGAATACACTATGTAAATTCCAGTTAAGCCCTTCATGAAACCCTCCAGCCCCGAACCTAACTTTTATTCCAACATGTTTAAAAGGTGGGAACTATAATTTACATATTATATTCTCAAAGCTAGAATTTCTGACCAACAGAAGACAATACCCATAAGCACTGATCAAAAATACCAATAAAAGTATTGGCAACTTAAAGTTTTTGGTAATGAACAAGCAAAGAAAATGTTCAAACCTTTTCTAGGAGGTAATTAAAAATGTGTCCTCCCACAGGATCTCCCTTGAAGTCAAAGTCAATGTCCATGTATTTTCCAAACCTACTGGAATTGTCATTTCTTACTGTTTTAGCATTGCCAAAACTCTCTAAAATTGCATTGGACTTCAAAAGAATGTCCTTGACCCTGTTGAGATATACAGTATAAAATATCACTCAAAACATACCTAAACACTACAGCAATTTTTACTAATAGAAATGTGGTGGCAGAATAGTAGTATTAAATAATAGAGGAATCCTCTTCTCACTGGTGCTGCTTTGTAAATATCTTGCTGATTTCTCAAGCAGTCTCAGCACACTTTGCAAAAAGTCTGTGAGTACCTCTGAATGAGAAAAAGCTCAGGCTGCCAGAATTTAGCCACTGGCAAATATTCTGCATAGTAGCCCGAGAGTTCTCCAATCTCCCCTGCCTTATAAACACAATATAGCTATGAGGTTTAACCACCAAATTAATAGTTAACTACAAAAGGTCTGATTTTAGCTCTTGATGCAAACACATTTAAATAATATAATCAACCTGTGGTAATCCACCATTTGTTTAGCAATAAGTTTCTTTGATTTTGAACATTTTGACTCTGTTTGGCTTTGTTAATATACATAAAAACTGATCTACTGAAAATGAGAAATCAGAAAATTACTTACTTTTCAACTTCAGACTGTTTTGAAACATTTGTAACAGCAGCAATATACTTCATGATAATTTTAGAAGCCTCAGTCTTCCCTGCACCACTTTCGCCTGTTAGAAAATATAAATTTAATAATATCAAATACTAAGTAAAGCTTAATTAGCATCAATTGTGACTAGCTGTAAAGAGAGAAATACAATCCATGCAAAACCACTTTTCTCAGCAGTTTGCATGTAATGGCAAGTGATACTTAAAATGTTGATGGGCTCAATACCCTTGCGAAATGGCTTTTGGAATTCCTAGGAATTCCTAGGATTTTCCTAGGAATTCCTAGGAATAAAGGTGTGAATTTTCACGGTAAATTCGGACTGGGAATTCCTAGGAATTCCTAGGAATTCCCAACCATAACAACTCTGGTTCTAAAAACCTAGAAATTCCTAGAAATTCCCAGAAATTCCCAGAAATTCCCAGAAATTCCAAGTTTATAGCCAACAGGACTTGGAATTCCTAGGAATTCCTAGGAATTCCTAGGAATTCCTAGGAATTCCAACTCAGAGAACCAATGACTTTCCCTGAAAAGTTGTAAATCTAAAAAATTCCTAGGAATTTCTGGGAATTTCTGGGAATTTCTGGGAATTTTTGGGAATTTTTAGGAATGTTTCAGAATTACTGGGAATTTTAAGCAAAAATTTGAGGCTAATGATATAAAATAAATACTTTAAATTAAAAAAACCCAGCTACAATTCAAGTATTCAATGAAATTTATTTAGAAGCTTAATTTAAGGCTTACATGTAAAATATTTTTGATTAATTATTAACATCAATGTGTGGTAATATTAGGATGGAATTTGATTTATTTTTCTTTTCTTGAAAACTTCATACGGATTAATCCTCAATTACAGCTATTCATATAAAATAGTTCTAATCAATCATTAAATTTGGTTTGACACAAATTGTGAATAAAATCTGTTGATTCTTTTCCATAAAATACAATATCTTAAGTTATATTTGAAAACCAAGCACTCTTGGGAGTGAAGGGGCTAATTACAGTCAAATAAAATTGATTTTTGATTAAAATCTTGTTGTAACCGTAACAATAAATTAGAATGAAGTTATCCTAAACTGCAAACTTAGCTGCTGTTTCTACTGTTTGTATTTTTTTTTTTTCCTGGGCTCACAATGAGTTGGCCTTGAATGAGGTTGTCAACAAGAACCTTGACCATTTTGTATCTGGATTCCTTGACATCTGAATTTGAAAAAAAAATAATATATTAAAATATGTATATTTAAAGGCTCAGACCAGGCTTTTAAGATGGCTATGAGGAAAAGGGCATTCATTGGATTCTCAAATTGAGAAATCTCTGTTATATTGAGTGACTTTCATATTGGAGTTAGTACATCTCTCTCATGGATTTTACTAAAAAGGGCTGAATACATTATTTTGTTTTTTTTACCAAGGAGGGCTTCTTTATGTACTAAGGTTTGCTTAATAACAGTTCCTATTTTGAATCTTGAATGTTCCCAAACGTGACTAGAGGAATCTTGAAACCTTACTGATAGGTTTATTTCATTGTAAAGCATAATAAGCTTAAGAAACTGCGGCATGCAAGTGACCGATTCGATTCTCAGAATTATTCTAGTTTCAGTTGCGCCGAGCGTTATGTAAGCTTAATTCAACCCGCTACATCTATTCTTTTATAAGATTTCGATCACGTAACGAATATCGCAATTTTTACTCACCACAAACTTTCAAAATCGTAGCTTTACAAACGGCCATTCGACCCTTGTTTGTACCAGTCAATATGTCAACTGTTGTCCCTTCTTTTAACTCCACGGCGCCAACGACTTTCTTTTCTTTTATAACACTCACGCTACTCTCGTTTTCCCATTGAACCACAATAAAAGCTATCTTTAGAAATGTTATATTAAGCAAAACAGTTGAGAAAAGCGATCAACCGACGAAAAGTACATTCAAAGATGAGCGCCAAATGGAGTCTTCTTTGTTTCCGATCACGGGCATGATCACGTGGATCTTTTAGGACTTGTCATTGGCTAGCAGAGAGAAATCCGCTGGCTTGCCGATTGCAGAGTTAGGAGAAGTGCCCAACTCTATTCTGACTTCTCCGACCGGTTCTCTGCTTCTAGAAGATGGATAGCTTGGTCATATAAATAAAGATGTGAGCTCACTCTATGTAGAAATAATCGACAAGAATCGATCGTATTACAAATGCTCGTTTTGTGGCCGAAAGTTGTCGAGGAAAGAAAGACTCGAAACTCACTTGAGTTGTGTTAATGGCAAAGGTGAGAAATAGCACAAGCCAATCACAGTTTTGAATGCGACGACAAATCGTCTTCTACCCTCATATTTATAAAAGAAGGATACCACATTCGGAAGTATAAGAGATACATAGATGATCCCAGTGTACCAGTACCTAAATCTACAAAGCTTGACCGCAGAAAGCGTTCAGCAACACGTTCCAACACCGCCATCTCGATTCCTCAGTCAATCGTTTCCACTGAACTTAAAGCAGTATTGACAACAGAGTAGAGTGCGTCTTACAAAGGAGAAACATTTGTACAAGAGACAGAAGTAGCTATATGCGATTACAGAGGTGCGTTGGAACTCTGGTCCACAAATCGTTATGCACTGCCCGAAGTATAAAACAATTTTGTTGATAGCTGACAGACAGAGAAGAACAACAAGTAAACTTAAGAGCTGTTATTATTGAAGTGTGACTAGCACTTTTCATTTTTATATAAAGAAGGACTTGTAATTTGCACCAAAAATAAAAAGATGTAATGTTTTTTGGGAGATCCAGTGATTGGGACATTTAAGAAATTAAGTTATGAAAGGAAACTTAGTTGGTATTTCTCACTACTAACAAGTCTTGTTGACAAATATTTTCAGATCAGAGTTTCAAATAAAGTAAATTGAAGACGTCATATAAAAGGTGTTTTTCCTCAAAGGGAACATTGACTACCTCTGTCTTGTCTGCATGCCAAATGTTTGCAAAGTGTGTGGATGATCCACAAGTATTGGAACTCTTACAAAAATGTTTTGTAAGAATAAAAACAGCAAAACAAATTACAGCAATTAGTCATGAAAATAGAGCAAAAAACTGAAAAAAAAGCAGCAACAACAATCATGAAAAAAGAAAGATTAATAAGTTGTTGAATTTGTTTGTCTAAGGCATGAAATTTCTACTAAAAGTATTGTCAACAAAAAGTCTCTGACAGCGTTGGAGGCAACTGAGCTTGACTGTTCCAAGGTTTTCTAACAAAGGCAACCAGTAATGTAGGTTAGGGAAGTAAGATAACAATGTAATTATTGTTAATTATTGTGGAAGTTGGCAATTTCCATTTAACATAACTGACAGCTGGTTCATGAGAAAATCCATATTAATGTAAAGATTTACTAAAACTTAGTTTGAGTAATAAATTTCATGATCTTTAAGTTATAAACATGTACATGTATGTATATCTCTTGGTAAGTTTTGTATAGCATACCTTTTATTGAGCCAAAGTTTTAAGCCTCTGAAATTACTCTTTTTCTTAAAACCTTCACATTCAAGGTATTGAGAATTTCTTAGAATTTATGTGGACCTCAGGGTATTAAAATTGCCTCAAATTCAATTCCCAGAAATTCCCAAGAGTTCCACACTTCTTAAATTATAGGTAGTTTGTAAAGCTGAGAATTCCTAGGAATTCCTAGGGATTCCAAGTCCTCACAAAACTGGAGTCTTCCTTTCCCAGAAATTCCCAGTAATTCCAAGCTTTTTAAATCAGAGCTAATTTGCATAGTTGGGAATTTTTGAGAATTCCTAGGAATTCCTAGTTATTCCTAGGAATTCCTAGGAATTCCCAGAAATTCCCAGAAAACTGGGAATTCAGTTTGCAAGGATCATTTGCATAATTGGGAATTTTTGAGAATTCCTAGGAATTCCCAGAAAACTGGGAATTCAGTTCGCAAGGGTACTCCAAGGAAATCATTGAAGGGACTTCTTCTTCTCTTCTTTGAGCCACACACAGTGGGAGAGAGAGAGAGAGAGAGAGAGAGAGTAAGAAGAGATTCATCAATTAATCTGGTGTTTTGGACTTGTACCCTCTAACCAGCCTCTTTCTGGATTTGACTTAAGTGGTCCTAGTTTTAACCCATTCACTCCCACAATCTTATTAAGCAATTCTCCTTACTACCCGTCATACGATCCTTATGATTTTAATTTGGAGAATGTGGTATTTTATCATTATGACTTATCTCCTGTGATATCATTTTGTTATTGAAAGGATTACCTCTATCTTGATCACTTATGGGATTTCAAGGGTTAACTAAGAGCCATGCAGCTAAGTCAATGCATCCTATCAGTTAAGTAATTATTGCTTAATTAATTAAAGCCTCTTAAAATTCATTTAGGGAATTTAACTTGAGGTTTACTTATACTGGTCCTGAAAAACCCCTGTGGGGTAGTTATGGTGTCTTTAAAATATTTAATTTTAGTCTTGACAAATATGAAATATAGTGATATGATCGTTTAGCATAACATTTTGTGAAGTCTTCAAACAAATTTTCTACTTATCTTAAGCCTTTGACACCTGAAGAGAATCATCAATGTTTAAATTTGTATTAATTTTAAAATAGCTTGTCTGGAAAAGAAAGGAAAAAAGAAAGGATAAAGGAGAGAAAAAAGTAACACTTATATTTGATCAAATTTAGGATTAATTTCTTTCAACAGAGCAAACAAAAATTGCTCACCAAGCTCAAATGAAATCTTTCATAAAAGACACGAGTTCCTTCAGTAGATTTCTAATTTATTTCAAACTATTGACTCCTTTCCACAGAAGATCAGTGTGTAAATTCTTGTGAAATCATCCATGACCTCTCAAGTAAAGAGAGTAAGAAAAAAAGGGATCAAAGGAAACGCTTTAATTCTGATATTTTTTATTTCAGGATTGATTTCTTTTGAAGTAGCACAATAGAAATTATTTGCTGATCTCAGCTGAAGTTCTTTTAAAAAGAGATGACATGTCAAAGATTATTCACGATGAAACGGTTAACAAAACCTATCTTAAAAACATGTACACTCCAAAATTTTATTAACTTAATAAATTTGTTCTCTCACTTAGGAACCATCATTTAGCAGCTCACATATTAAGAGAGAAGTCAAGAGCATTTTTATTCGAATTTATAATCGTCAAGGCCTTTGCATATTTATTAAGCACCGAAAAAATCCCCAATAAAGAGAATTTCTGAAATGTCTTAAAATGACGTCAGCCAGATTAGATCTCGAAAATTCAGAAACCGAAAAATTTCAGTAGTTTTAAAGTAACTTTTCGCTTTCTCGATAGGCACTAAAATTGCTAACCAACAAATTACACAAAGTTCTTTGCAAAGTTCAGGCCTGAACTAAATCAAGCGTTAACGTTTTACAGCCGTTCGAAAATTAACAAAACATTACCATGTTGAATTGTAATGTATGCTGAAGGCATCGCAGACGTCAACGAAGTAACATAAACAAAAAATTAAACTTTAACATTAAAATTTTAACTTTACTATTCTTAGCTACGACACAAATAAGAGGCTTCCAATTTTCATTCAATTAAATTTCCAGTAAGAAAAAATTCACATCTTGTTCCGAAAGCGCTTCGTTACGTATCGTTTTCAGCTTATCTCTAAAGTAACTAGGTTTCAAATCTGCATAATAAAGTCCTATATTGACACCTCGACCTCCACTGTTACCCTACATAGTACAGACAACAAACTCACCAGAAATAACGATACAAGCGTCTTCTGACCGCCGTTTCATCGTTCGGTAAGCTGCATCTGCCAAGGCAAAAAGATGCGGTGGTCTCTCGTACAGTTCTCGCATCTTGTATTCTTGAATTTTATCGTTTCCAAAGATATTCAAAGTCTTGTACGGGTTTACTGAAATAAGCACTTCTCCTATGTACGTGTAAATTCGCTCCTTTTGAAAACGTAGCTTGAGGTTGGCCATGAAGGCAGTTTCTGTGATTTCATCCAAAAGGACAAAATCTCCTTTGCCATACTCCAAACTCTCCTGCTCCGCCATACTTGTTGATGTAAAAAGTTTTGGTAAGGTGCGGAGTTTTCACCAACAGATTTAAGTTGTCAGGGTCGAACGTTGTGATTGGTCAAGAAAATCCCTTAACCAATCACAGATACTGACATATTGTGCGTCGTGACCCGGTAAAGTGGGCGGGAGAAATTCAAAACATGATGGAGACGAAAGTAGACAATTTTTTTAAATGATATATCTTCGTTTCCGGTCAAATTATGGGCGCAGCTTTTCCGACGACTTAAAAAACTAATCTATCACGTAGTTTTACAACAATAATTATAAAAAATAATAATGACAAAAAACATGTAAAAAAATATTTTTTCGTCAGGTATCTTTATCAATTAATTGTTTACTTTCAATGATTATCACTTCAATCAGTTCAAACCCATATGTGTAATACATAGTTCAGTACGTATTTGAGTATTAAACCCAAAAAGGTTATTTTACTCAGATCTGAGGGGACACGATATTAGCTGTTCCCATATAATCGGAACTGCTTTCTATATTTAACATTCAGTAAACCCCTCATGGTAATTTTCCGCATTTCATAATTACATATTTTAAATACACGTCCTTTGACTAAAGGTGTCTCATATTCTTTGAATAACGTCCCACTTAATTCTCGACGACGCAAATCAAGCGGCAAAATACTGATGAAGACATTTTTTAAAATCTCCTCTGCGAAATCAACTCTTTTAGTAAAAAACCTACAAGGCTCCGGGATTTTCAACATGATACAAAGTGAAAAATTTCAGTGCCATCTATATACGACGAGTTACCTAATTTTCAGTTTAAGAGCATGCAAATACGAAAAGTTGGGCGCAACCTCTACACAATTTTTTTTTTTTTTTTCAGGGGGGGGGAGGGGGTTTGTCTTTTGCAGTGCAGCTTACCCTGGGAAATTTCGCGCTCGGCATACCCAGACGCAATCAGCCTTGTTTGTTGGATTTTTTCAGTTATCATGAGTTGTCTCGAATGCACGACTGTTTTCCTTTTATTTGTTGTGGAAGCTGTCTGCTCTTTCTTTTTCGTTTTTATTGGTTGTGGTTCAACAATCAGGTGGCTGGGGGAAGGAACAGTTCCAAACGTTTTTTAAAAGCAAATCTTTGTGCTTTGGATTCACGAGTGCTTTTTCGTTGAACATTTCGACTTATTTTAGCGACTTATTCTTCAACCCTGCATTAACCATTGCTTTAGCAGCAAACAGAAATATATTACCTAAGAGGGCTGTATGTTTTGTGTGGGCACAGCTCATTGGTGGTAAGAAATATGATTTAACTCTCAAGGAAACTAGGTGGACTGCCTTGTAATTAATAAATTCATAATATGAGGCCTCTCGATATATTTTAAGAATATTTGTGTTCCCAAGGTATAACTTGTAAGAAAAAGCTAGAAAAATGAAAGCACCGTATTTATTCATGTACAGTACAATCCATATCAGAAAAGTGGATTACGTATTGTTACTCTTTCATGCCTTCACTGGTGTTTAAATGAGTGAGGAGGAATCCCAATGGTTTTTTTTTTTTTTGGGGGGGGGGGTTGGATAATAATGCTATAATTAATTCAAACAATGGTTCATTTTAGCAAAATTAAAGTTGACATTTAGACCAGTCATACCAACTTCAGAGGTACATGCTGAAAGACACCCAAGGAACTTTTCTGAAATTAACATTGTATTACATTAAGTTAAAGTACTTGAATTTTCATTGGTTCATTTTAAAAACCATGAAGCTGAAAAAAACTTTAAATTTATTGGTTCGGATGATTTAATTATGGTTGTGTTTACATCAGCAGTATAAGATTAACTGTAAATGGCACATATTTGTATCTACAGTTGGCAAATACAGGTACCGGAAGATACTTTGCCCTATTTGTGGGCACATATTTATTTACAAAATTGTATAAAAATAGAATACTCAATTACTTATTTCCTCAAAGCTAGCCAGGAACTCTTTGCCTTATATGGATGAGCATTTTTAAAAAATCTCTAATATAAATGTATGTTCACTCTAAATGGTCACTTTGTATTTCTTGCATTTTTGAAATAAACATTTCCGTGAGATATGACCTAGGACATATATTAGTAAACCTAATCTAGACAAATGGTACTTAGTATCATATTAGCATTTTCCTCTACCTCAAATTTGAATAAAGTGCTGTGATAAGAAAGCTATCACCCCAGGGAAATCATTTTCTTCTGCTTCGCTTTAGAGTCTTTTCCTTCTCCCTCTTTGGTGGTGGAGCATTACCAGAAGTAACATGACGCTCGTACAAACTAAATGCAGGGAAAGAAGTAAAGATCATTCATTGTGAGAAGAGGGGCGGTAAAGGATTAATGATTTGAGGAAAAGAATGTCTTCTGCAACAAACCTCTTGTATCCATCAGTTTTGATGTACACAAACACATGTGATGGTCCCAGAACAATTTGATCTTCAAGCTGCTGTATCCATGAATTCCCTTCTGGTTTGAATACATGCCGTGGGTTACCCATGTCTAGCTCACCTTCAAATTCAATCATTTCAGGAGAACATTTTAAAAATTGGAGTAACTGTTGTCAAGTATTGTGCATAGGAAGAAGAAAATTAGGATTGCATGTTGGGTGTGGTCTGTCAGTCAGAATGTTAACTGTCCACAATGGTCCACTTGATTGCAACTAATCTTTTGCCCCTTTTGGAAGCGGGGAACTCTAGAATTTTGAACACTGTACACATTACCTAGTTCTGGAGGTAGAGTAGTGAGTCTGTTGTTCTGAAGATGAAGTTCCTTCAGTCTACTCAATTTCCCCAGCTCTTTTGGTAGTTCAATCAGATCATTGTCTCTCAACACAAGCTGCAACAGTAAAAAACATTATATATTATAAACATTTTACCTTTGGTATCAAGAAATTGTTTTGAATTTTTATTCACACTAAAGACTATAACTATTTAGTCCTTGGCTATGAGTATTAAAATTTAAGACCTTTGTTAAATCTTGATATAATCTTAATTTCAGCAGTTACCACTTGAAGGTTTCTGAGCTCTCCTATTTCTGGTGGCAAAGTTTCAAAGTCATTGTCTCCCAGGTAGAGGCCTCTAAGCTGTTCTGAAAATGAGGTGTACTTTCATTAGATTCATTTAAATGCCTTCAATTCAACCCTTATTTTACAGCATGGTACTAGCAACCTAGAACATAACTTTTAAAAATAGTAAATGAAAATAAAGCTGCAAAAGATTTTATCTATTATATCTAAAAATGAGGGAATCTTCATATACTTGCAAGAAAACCAGACAAGTTTGCAAGGAGTTTGGTAGCATTGATTTTCTGCCTTTCCTTTGGTGATATTTGTAAAACTTACTCATAACAGAGAAGTTTCCTGGTAGTGACTTCTCATTGAGGTTATTATATGTTAAATCCAAGATTTCCAATCCAGATGCTGTTCCCAAGCCTCTGGGCAGGGAACTTAGTCGATTTACCCTGAAAAATACAATCATTAACTGATTCATGATAAATGAACATAGGGGTAATTTTATAAAAAAAATGTAGTGCTACACCAGTTGTTTGTTTTATAAGATAATTGGTCTTGTCATCTGAGTTGATAGTGTAAACTGGCCACTACAGAGAGTTTTTTAAGGCTGATCAATCACGCATTAGCCCTAAGTCAGCTCAAAACATCAGCATACAAACTCTCTACAATGGCTGAGTTACATTATCAACACCTTTGATAAACCAAATTATCTTAAGTTATGAAAAATCTCAGTGTAGACAACTAACTAATCCTGCAAAGAAGGGAAAGAGAGATTTAATTGTTTGTGACCACTAAAATCAGTTGCTGGTCAAGGGCTGATCTAAGAGGTTTATTAAGGGAAAGAGATGGCTGTTACAAAAGTAAAAATAATGTTTCTTCATTACGTTTCAATTGTCCCGCAAATGCCTAACACATTACAATCAGGCAAAAAGATATAGAACAGCTGGTCAGCTTAGCAAAGTTCACAAGAATCACAGACATGTACACTTTAATTTATAGAAAGTTTATAATTATCTTCTTTCGAGTGCTTTTCTTAAGTAGGACTTTTCTCCCTTTTTTTCACCTCAGTTATTGTACTAAGCTAGTGTGGATGGATGAATGGACATTGCTGGTCATGACATATGAGCTGAGCATAGAAAAGTCTACATATCATGATTGAGAGCCAATTACATTCCAGCTGTCAGCCTTCTCAGTTGCTTAGTTGGTACACATTTGTAATCCAAAATACTTACGCTGCATTGAAGTGTCTTAGTTTCTTCAAGGAGCCTAATGACATGGGCAGCTCCTGAAAAAGATGCACATGAGAAGTTGAAAGCTTTTTTATAAGATTTTTTAGCACATTTCCCAAAAACCTGCAATCAAACCAGTGCAATACTGGGCACTTATAACTGGTGAACACTATTTGTAAATGACATACCTCAATATGATTATTAAACACATTCAAGAACTCCAGGTTTTCAAGTGAACCAATGGATTCTGGGAGAGCTAAATTGAAATGACAAGAAATACATGCAATAATATTTCAAAGAATTTATCAGAAAGCACAAGTTTCTCGCTAAAGTTAGAGACTCTGCTGTCACTTTCACAGTCGGTCACAACACCATAGAGTACTACAAACTATACTTCTTACAAGCACCTTCAGAAAAATTTCGCAATTTTATATTGAGGTTTCCAGCAGAACTGATTGATTAGTAAAAAATTTCCTTTTCTTGGCGTTTTGAATGACAAGAACATATCATGGTGTGGTTTACCATTAAAACAATTTCCAACTTATAAAGAGCGAATTAGTTTTTTTTTAGACGGTGACACAACAAAGTTTTCTCTATGATGGGTATTTGCATATCGGACAGTATAACTATGCACGATTTTCAAATAATCGTCAAAACATTCATCATTATCCTGAATTTACAGACTACAGCAATTGTTGGCCTAACTGAATGACTTGACGGACCACTGCGAAAAGTATTTCTCTTTTTACAAATGACAATTATCTCCCTCTCTTTACGAAACATTTGTGACAGGATGTGGCCCTAACCCTACTAAAGAATGTCCAGAATTTCCCTACTTCACACCCTTTTGAACAGAAAAGATTAGATTCTCATTGATCTAAAATAAAACTCACATGTTATTCTGTTATGACTCAAAGTAAGGCGTACCAAATGCCTCAGCTGGGCTGTAAAATAAGAAAACGAGTGATAAATAAACGATAACTCGGAACTCAAAGTCAGGGAAAGCACAGCTGAAAAAAAAACCCTTCGATGACGATCACTGAACATCATTGTTGATGTACAAGTATCTGTTTCGAAGACTTCGCAAAACACTTACTCAGTCCTGGAATATCTGCAATCGTAGACAAGCTTTTGTCACAGAGATCTAGCTCTGTATAACCTTGATCCTTTGTCTCCTCGACAAGTTTCTTCACTGACTTCGACATCTTCTACAGCTTCGCGGCTTTCTAAATCGTCGTGAAATGTATTGGGATTTACTATGTTGTATAGGCCTACTTATAGTGTGACCATGACATTACCTCAGAAGCGCGTGACTTCAGCCTCGGTTTCAACCTGCATATCTCCCGAAATGGCGACATCTCAGGACTAATTTTGACATTTATCTTGTGAAAGTATAGAATTGTTTAAAATAATTCTTTGAACACTTTATCACAATGTCATATCAAAAAGGAAACGAGCTGCTGGACAAGCTTTCGCATCTTCTTCAGTTACACGGTGCGTTTTCAACAACATAAATTAATTTGTATTTTCTTTACGTGCGTCACTCACGTACGCCGTAGTTCGAGATCTTTGAATGGTTTTTCTTTAAAACTTTATTTCCTCGCTCGCTCAATAGAAAGTCTGTTATTTTGAGTGCATGTGCCATGTGAGGAGGAAATTGGCATTTCACATCGTTGGTGAACAACTTAAGATCATTTGATCATAGTCATGTGATGATGTTAGTTAATATATGACATGTACTATAGCTCAAACACTTTCCTCTGGACACAAAAACTTTTCGTTGACTAGTTCATTTGACAGTTAGATCTTCATCTTTTTGTGATCATTGCTTATAGAAGAGAGGGTAAGCGCGCAGATCTCTAAGACGGTTCAAAGCGTTCTATTTCCTTGTTTTTTCATGAATGTAAATGTTCATTTATCAAAACAGAAATTGAAGCTTGCTGAAATATTTCCTATGGGCTTTGAACAGTTATTGCACTGCTCGTTCAATCATTATTAGATGACATATTCACTTGATCAATAGATGATTCCACTTTAAAGAAAACATTTGTTGAATAGAAAATTTTAATCCAGACATTACTCCAATACTTTCAGGACAAATGTCTGAAATGTTATTCCTTGTTTTCCTGGAAGCTATTTAGTGAGATGTTCCTAGAATGGCGAGACGAAGGAATGTTGAATAAATCGCGATACTGCCCAGAAAGTGTTGGAGTCACTTTTCACTTAATACATTGAACATTATAGAGCTAAAACTTCTAGGCAGTCATGTGTGTTTTCCTGGTGAGATATTTTTTCCTATGGGGGTGGGGGGTATGAAGAGTCTCTCTCATTCTTGGTTTGCTTTCACTAAGGAATGAAAGTGTGCTAAATTTAATATAGAGATTATTTTTATGTCAGAACTGATGGAAATTTGACCTTTCCCTGCTTTTCCAGGAGATCCTATCTTAAGACAGGAAAGTCAGTTGTGCTTAACAGCCACATCAGTTGTGTTCCTCACTGAATGCTTTGAAAGTGTATCAGGTAAAGAGGAAACTGGAATAGGGTGTCTCCTGAATCAGTTGTTTGTCTTGACTGATACAAATATCTTAAAGTTTTCAATGAGTGATAATATTACTAAAAATAATTTTAAGAACATTTAAGGTACATTTTGCACAGGAAGGACTTGGTTATCATTTATTGGCAGTGTATATCTGGTATAGATCTGTTAAAAGCTGTACAAAACTTAAGAGATGATATGTGACCCTCCATGGGAGAACAGACACTAACACTTTTCCTGTTTAAAATGTGAAACTGTTTATTTTCCTTTTTAATGCTTTTGCTAAAATGTTTAAGCAGTTTGCTCATCTGTTTAAAAAAATTTGCATTTGTTTAATGCTGTGGCAAAAACGGTTTGCTCATCCATTTTAAAAAAACCAATCCGTTTAACACTCCAGGGAAAACTTTAAACTGTTTCTTTATCATTCTGTTATGAGCAGTTTGAAGTTACAGTCTTACATTCGCTCAATACTTGCTGGTTCTTGAAATGCAGAGTGATGGTATTTTATTTTGGTTCTATCTTTTCTGTGATCATAGAAAGCGAGTAATTGTTCTATACTGGTCTCAAAATTTGTTTTACCTGGCACTTAAAATAGGAGAAAGATATAACTTAAATACATAATTGTATCTAAGTTATGGTTTCAGTTTTTCTTTGATCGAAAATCTCCAGGCCCATGGGATTTTAATGCGAGTATGTTAATTTTTTTTCCATAATCTTAATCAAAGGATGTAATTAAACTGATTTTTTTTTCCACTGGTTTGAAAATTTTTAAACTGAACTTTCATACTTGCATTTCAATTCAGTCCCAAATTAGTTGTACATGTACACTAAACTTAACTGTTTGCCTCGTTCAATTTCAAGCTATGATTCTCTCATACCAGGTCAACAAGGTGTTCATGAGAGAGAAGATGTCTTCAGTCATCAGCAACTTGTTCATAATAAAGACAGAAAAGCTATAACATTCCTTCATGACTTTCTCAGAAGGACACCTTCACTTCGGGTAATACGAGTTTGAATGCAGTGATTTTTTGTTGCATGTATTAACATGTTGATATTTCTAACAGAATTAAACTACATTCCTGACCATATTCAAGGAACCTTGCCTCTTCTGTAGTAGCTTTCTAAGCTAAAGTACTTCTCATAAGTAACTTGACAGTCTCTTAGTGGTGACAACTGTTTCCTATTTTCTTTTAGCTTGTACCAGGAGCATGTTCCCATTTTGATGGACTTATCAACATTTCTTGTTTCCAAGCATTGCAAGTATTAGAGGTAAAAAACCTGTAATTTAAAATCTTATACATGTACTTGTGTGAACTATAGGCAATCTGGCTATTGTAGTATCACTGTTAATATACAATTTTATGACTGCACATGTAGCATCACTACCAAATTTGACATGCAGCTTATTCTATTCAACAGATCAAGAAAGTTCCAGTAGGATTTATTAGAGGAATTCAAAGCTTAAGACCCCAACTCAAGACACTAACATGTAAAAAGTCACTTATCTCACTCAATGTAAGTATGCACTTAGACTGATTATTGTATGTTAATTGGGAGTCATTTTGGCCTTGGTATTGTCTGGAACACATATTTAAAGGTCTAGAATTGTGACCGGCCATGTCATTCTCACTGTTATTTTCTTGGGCTTGACACTTCCCTCTTGCAGAGCTTCAAATTCCCTCTATCCAAGAGTATACAATCATGCAACTCAGTCAATTATATTATTATTTCTATACTAGGAAGTGTTTTTTCATTGTGGTGGCGATCTCTCCAATGCCCCATCAGCTTGGCCTCAACTGAAAAATGTGGATTTCAGTTACAATGGCATCGTGCAAGTTGATGCTTCTGTGGTTCGTACTTTTCTTTACAGTTGGACTTATGATATTTTAAAATCAAGATTAATTTTCAAATACTGTACATAAATTTTAATCCAGCTGTAGTGGCAATTTTTGCCAGAGAAAGTTGACACAATTATCTCCAGGCCTGGTTTGCAAATTGATTTGTGCCATCCAAGGATGAAGTACACTGGTATGAAGTATACCAGGATGAACCATTTAACTGTTCTTAAATTGTACATGCTCAAATAGAGCTTCTGATTATGAATCACTTTGACCAATATGTAGAATTCTTGATTTATATTTGATGAGGAAGAGTACTTCAAATTTATACATAAATGAGCTTAACTGCACACCTTGAAAAAAAACTGCAATTGTAAGTTGTTATTACAAGTGTTACTAACAAAATAGAAAAGATTTTCAAAGTTGATCTTGTCCATTTTATTTTTAATAGAAACTATTGCCAGCAGCTGAAGTCCTCAATCTTAGTCATAACAATATTAATGTCACTGAAGGTGATGAGTCTTTGGTTAATTGGCAGGTAAGAAATCAAAGCAAATTTTGTTATTTTTTCTTTCTTTCATCCTTTATTTTTGGACCATGACTTTTTAAGTGATTGCAATGCCATGAATTGATCATTTTTTTCTGAAAATTTTCCTTTGTTTTTTTGTTGCAGTATTTGTCTGACATCCAACACTTGAACTTGGGATTTAACCAGTTAGAATGTATTCCTGTGCCACCAGCTGAAGACAGAATATTAATCTTCAAGAACATGACCACACTTTTATTGAAAAATAACAACTTGCAGAATTTGAAAGGTGCGACGTACATGTAGCTTTTATTTATGGGAATTGTTTAAAGTCAAATGGAGACTTTGAACAAGTTGAACATGAACCCCTAGAAAGCCTTAACATATAAATTTCATGCTGATGCAGTTATCACATGAATCTATGGCCATTGAGAGACTTTTTTTGAGCCCATCAACATGACCACACTAATTGAACCTTCAAGCAATACGCATCCACTAGCTGTAAGTCACTTGGTATAAAACAACATTTATGTACAACATTTTGACATAAGCTTTTATTTTATAATGTTTCTTAAGATCAACCCTGTTACTTGTGTTTTCCAATGTTATTTGCTTGTATACAGAGTTGGTTTTTATATTTTGTACTTTTCTGTCTAGGTCTCCAAGCTTTCTCCAAATTACGAGTCCTTGATGTTTCTTTTAACTGCATAGTGGCTTTATCAGAACTTACACCACTAGCTTATCTTCATGACCTTATATCAGTGAGTAATTATCATCCTTTCAGTTACAAATCAGATTTTTAGTTAATTAGTGCATTTATGAAGTATTTAAATTATTGTTGATGAAATTATTATGATTATTTTTTCTGTTATTTCAGTTAAACCTTCAAGGAAATCCTGTTGTATTCTGTCGTTACTACAGACGAGCTACAATTGCCTGTTTATATCCTATACCTCGAGTTGAACCAGTGAGTAGACTAGACATTAAAGAAAGAGTGTGTGATTAATTTATTTCACCTCATTGAAGGTCATGAGTATTGATTCCACTTACACGTAATTATTAGGTCTAAATTTCATTATTTCCATTTAGTACCCCTTGGAGTTTGGTCATTTTTGTTATCTATGTTATTACGTGTACCAAACATACTATATTGACTGTAATGACATTCTCTGAGTAGCAATTCCTATTTGGTGTAAGTTTTTATTATTCTTAAAATATTTTTGTCTGTTGCAGATCAAAATTGATGGGAAGCCTCTAGATTCTGAAGAGCAAGTGGTAGGTTACATAGTTCCTTCACAGAAATTTTTTAATTTGTTGAGACAACTACTGAAAAAGTATAAAAACTTAAATTTAATCAAGATACCTTTTTGCCCACTGTAATGCTTTGCCACCAACTATAAAGCATAATCTTATAAATATTAAAATATGTGAACCTCTTAAATATTTTCTAACAGCGCTTAACTCCCAAACTTTGAGGTTTTTTTTTTGCATGTAAATTAAGTATACATAAAATTTCCCTTAAGACCCAGATCTCTATAGAGTGCTGTATGTAAAGTGTACACAAATTCTGAGATGGCATGTTTGGGAGACCAACATTTACATGTACAGTAATATTTTTAAAGGAACAATTTGCTCTTCCAAAAATTTCATGAGGATAAACAGACTTATGATGGTGACAGAGTGTTATCTTCAAGTTGATTTAAATTAAGAAAGGAATATTGGAAGCTAACTAAATGCTTTGTTGAACAAACTATTTTTGCAGCTCCTTGGTAGGAATGTGCATCCAGTATCCATGTTGTCTTATATACCTGAAGCACCAGTGCAACACCATCGTGTCAGAACCATCAGGAAAGTGGAGGAAGATTCAATGGAATCATCGGAGTCTCAAGAAGAGTCGTCAGATTCTCCATCTAAACCTAGAAAATCCAAGGTGAAGAAAGCTATTTGAGCAAAATTTCACTCTAACGTCTCCATGTAAACCTTGAAAAACTAAGGCAAAAAAAAGCATTTAAAGGAAACTTTTGATCTCAGGTCTCCACGTGAACCTAAGAAATCAACAGTGAAGAAAGCTTTTTAGAATAAATTTCATCCATAGATCTTCATAAAAATCTAGAAAATCGCAGGAGAAGAGAGCTTTTAAAGCAAAATTTCATCCTCAGAGAGATTTGTACGTGACACAAATTCTTCTTACTATTTACTTAAACAAATGCATTTACCTCTTAAAGTGTCCTCACGGCTTGGTGCATCAATCAATTTCTTACAGTTATAGAAATCCCTGTCGTCTACACCTTTATGTGTTTTAAGCATTTGACTCTTATTGACAGAAGAAAAACAAGAAAGGACGAAGAGTTGTTACCAGAGAAATTGACTTCGATGATGGCAATGAGGGATTGACTTCACCTACTGACGAACTGCTTACGGGCCCGTCTACCTCGACTGCTAGTGAGTGTCACAACAGATGATTAAAAGAGATACAAACAAACAAAAATAGTTACAAGCTAGGGCACTTAAATTTGTGATTAACATGTAACCTCTCCCTGTCATATCCATACGTTTCCTAGCAAATGGCTAATGAGAATACTCAAACTCACTATCAAGAGGAAGTTTTTGTCTTGATCTTACACCAAATTCTCGTAACTAATTTACAACGAATTGTCTAGCAGCAAGAGGAGAGAATTAACAATCAGATCTTGGGAGTTAAAGGGTTAAGAAGGTCATTTAAATTGATAATGCGCTATGTTTTTTATTTCCCATGGATACAGCGCCTATTGATCAAGCTCTTGAACATGCCGATGATGTGGAAAACCTTAAGAAATTGAGGCAGCTAGGTGGAGAAGGTGCCAGCCACAAGCTTTTTGTTATTGCTCCCTTGATTCTAAGTCTTGTTTTAAATAGTTTTCTAAGTTTTCACAACGGTTGAAATTTTGACAATGCACTCCAAATCACCTTTTGGCAATGGTGATGCTTTTTCTTGTATGCAACTCTGCATTTAATGAATGGTCAGATTTGTAAACACAATGTTCTTTATGTAAATACTACAAGTAGCCTCCATTTGGTGTCAAAATATGCTCAGATATTAAATTTTGTCCGCAGACATTATTTGTTTCGAGAGGCAAAGCTCGAGGAAAATTGTGAGCTTCAAGAAAGAGCAATAAAACACTCTCCCATCTGAATCAAGCTTTGTCAGAAGCTTTCCACTTGATAAACTCTGATATAGTTGATAAGAATTTACTCGCCCTAAAGTGCGCTTTTTCTTTTTCCACACAATCGCAAATTGGAATTAATCGAGTGCCCTTGAAAGGCCTCCATGTCTCGAAAATCAACTCGAGTCTCGGTCCTTTATTTGCGAGGGTCGAGTTTTGTAGGACTGTAAACTTTCTTGTAGATAGAAGTCCAATTTTCAAATTGGAATTAATCGAGAGCCCTTGAAAGGCCTCTATGTCTCGAAAATCAACTCGAGTCTCGGTCCTTTATTTGCGAGAGTCGAGTTTTGTAGGACTGTAAACTTTCTTTCAGATAAATTTATTGTTATCATTCCTTATCAGGATGGTTACCAGCCATTGACCAGGTAGTTCATGCACAAGAGCAGGAAGAAATAGCCCCTGCTAGTGTGCACGTTTCTGCTGAATCCTTGTTAGATCACGGTAAGTGGACCTCCTCTAGTAACACGACTGCTACGAATTCGTTAGTCGCTGACTAAGAATTAGAATCTTAAAACTTTATTAGCATTTTTAAGGAATAGGCATTTCGTTTTCAGTCCCTGTAAAGTCCTTGAAAACTTGCCTGAAAAACTTGTCTGAAAATGTTGCACATTTCTGCCTTCCTTCAGAAGTAAAATTTGAATTATATTATTTGTGAAAGTTCTTTAAAAATCCTTTCAAAGCTAAAATATCGGAATTTTGAGTAAATTGTGTGTCATGTTTCTTGTAATTACAGATACAATGTATAGCCGCAGATAATAATTTTTTTGTTATATTAAAGTGAATTTACTCTTTCTTCTCTTACATTGTAAATGAAAGCTATTCTAACCATGAAAATTGTCATTTCAGGTTTTACGAATCATTCAGATTCATGTATCCTGCACTGTTTAACTTTCGTTATTTTTTTGTTTGTTTTTCAGCATCAAATGTCATTCGCACAGAGTCCATTCAGAGTTTTACGGATAATACAATAGAGATACACAGTCCTTCAAGTACTTTCGGTATTCTCTCTGATGAAGGTAAGCGTCAAAGTTTTTTTTAAAGTAGATATTTCTGTAAATATTTGTATTTTTAAGGGGATTTTCTAGGCAACACATAGCCATTAAGCCTACCTATGAGACTGAAAAGTTCAATGTGCATTTAAAACAAAGGAAACTCCTTAAGCGGAATAAAACCGAGAGTGATCAAGTCGTGATTGATTTTAGTCATGAATCTGATCGATCGAGAGGGTGGCGCGAGTTTCCCTAGACCAATCATGTTGCACAGTGAAGTAAAACCAGTTCAATCCCATATTGCCTTCGATATTCAATTGAAAATGGAAAGATGGTAACTGAAGGATAAGCGGGTCTAACGTCACTAGGTTGATAAGCATCCTGCAGCGTTGAGAGCTTCGTATTAATAAATAGAGCAAGAAAGGTGGAAAATTAAAGTTTTCTGTTTTTGGTGGTTTTCAGATATCTCAGATGGGCATCATTATGTTGTGACAGCAATGTCTACTTTGGATGAGGCTGAAGGCAATGCTGAACATCTGTTTCTGACGGTCAGGGATGACTTTATCATGGAAAAGAACTTTGCTGGAAAGGTAAGTGTCCAGAAGCACTGAAAACAGACGATAGCAACAGCAAATGATTATGATGATTATGTGTAAATTTTACCAATGAGCAGTCGACCTAGAAGCTGTTAGTTTTTATCACACTTGGCAGTAATGTCGCAATCTGATTGGCCAATTTGCCTTTGTTGATGAGAGTGCAGACAATGCTGCTCGCGTCAACTTGCCATTTGTGATTTTGGTTGTGATTTGATGTGGACTCACGAGGCGCAGCAAAGTGAGTCCACAACATTTTGATTAAAATTAAAGACCACGCTAAACCACCGTCGATTTGTTGAATTTCCATTTGAAACGCCATGATCCAATCTCAGAACATGATAAGAACACAGTGAGACTACGATAAATTATGAATGGATGAAGCAAATTATGAGGGAACAATTTTTTCAATTTATATGTTTTAAGGAATATTTCAAAGCCCGCAAAGTCATACTAATTAGAGGTACGATTTAGGTAAATGTTATGCTTGTTGGTATCCGTGATTCCTGTTGAATGGTAAATCTTTGCTTTCTGTGCGATGCGGAGAGCTCAATAACTGGTTTAAAAGTACTGCATAGTACATCAGAGCTTATTCAGAACTTGCTGTGTTGTTTTTTACGTGGGGGGCAGGGGTGGGGGCTTCTAGTACCAGGACCAGGTATGAAAGAGTATAAAGTGACCCTTGAATTGTTATTTTTAGGTCATTTCCCGGTTGGAAACAAGTTTGTTAAGGGATGTAAACATGGTTAGGACGGAAGATAATCATTCAGTTATACATCTGAGGTTCGACTACATGAGTCGTGAGAGACAAAGGCGGGACTACGTAATGGAGGACTACGAAACTGCTGTGGTAAAGATTCTGGATTTGACTCGAGAGCAATTTTCGATTGAGCAACTGAGTATTCTACTGTGGGTTATCTTTACTTTAGTGACAGTTCTTCTCTACCACTCAAATGATACATTAAAAGCAACCCTACCTTGTCGTGGCCACACGCACTTTCTCATCTGTTTCCTGTATTACCTTTGAATTTGACAAATCAGTGCAACTGGATTTTTTCCTAGTGTTTGATATAGGACACGCGACTGAAAAGCACCTACAACTCTTTCTCTTCATGAAAAACAATTCATGGCAACAAACCGGACTGACTGGTGCAAATGTACTGAAGGGTAGAAGATCTCGAAAGGAGATACCTGAAAGTGGAAAGAATCATACTTGTGATTTTTTAAAATAGGATTCAAGTATTTGAGTCTTCTCTACGACATGTCTCTAATATTTAGTCATTCCTTTACCACAGCAACTAGCAGAAATCCTGGAACCTTTTGTTACAGCAAAAGGAGAAATGAAAAAAGTTGCTCTTGAACGTCTACAGGTAAAGGAAGACAATAGTGGTGATGTGCTCTGTTAAATCTCGCCTCTGAGTAAACGTTGTTGTGTCTTGCGATATTGAAGAAGCCTTAAAAATTTAGGCTTGGACTTGAGTCTGAATCCAAGTCTCTTAGATACTTCGTAGGCGCCATCACCAGTTAAGCGGAGTAGCCGGAGATTGGGATAAGGTTCCTTTTCTGCAATTTCCTTTATTGCAGTTCAATTATGAGAATCATTCCTTCCTTTGTAATTATCCATAGGACTGACTGTAGAAAATATGTACTCTTTCGTTTATATGTGAGATAGGTTCTAGGTTGTTCTAGCATAGATAAGATTGGAACTTTTTCCAAACGACCAACTTGAAAAATGTAGCTGAATTTTTCTCGATGCACAAACCATCAATTATCTCCTTTAAGTTACTTTAATTAATACATTAGTAATATTTCTTATGTATTTAGGATTTATGTATATTTTTCTTTAAATTTCAGTGCCTGAAGTGTTCGGCAGAGTTCACAAAACCAGTCGCTCTCGATGATGCATTCTGCCCTGACTGTGGCAGCTCTCTCACTGTTCAAGTATCTTCACCTGTAATTCCGGTCAAACCGGTTTTCACTCTCGATCATGTGACTGGACAGGTAATAGGAAAGCACATGGAAGCGTCTAAACTGAACGTCAGTTCTATCAAGACGCTGAATGGTGACATGTCTGTTACACCTCTCCAACAGTTATCATCGTCTTCTTCCTCATCGTCTTACATTGAAGCTACAGAGGAAATTCAAAAGGTAGCGAAAACAGACCGGAAGATTACATCAGCAGAGGATAAAGGGTATGTTTATATGCAGGTTCACTTACGAAAGTTATGTTTAAGACGACTTGCCATGGTACTGTTACAAAAACTTTCTGCAGGGAACCTACTACAGAAATGAGAAAAATGTGATTATTATTATTAATATAATGATGATGGTTAATGCTATTATCACTATTACAGAAATCTTTATCACTTTCGCTGAATAAACATGTTGCTACCTGGGGAAGAACTTTCACTATTTCACATGGGCAAAGTCAAAAGCTATGAAATAAGGAAAAATTACATTCAGTTGGAGAGCTGTTTTTTGTAAGGCCGAGACTATGACAAAGTTGTTCGGCAAGGTAGCGATAGGATAAAATCAAGCGGCACTGTGACCGCTTGGATCATCTTTTGCACAATTTTATGGTAACTTTCATCATTCCTCAGCTAGTTGGCGTGTTTTTAAAATTCCAGCCTGTACACTTCTCTGAAACTGACTGTAAAAGGTGGATTATGAAATGCACTGTGTCAAGTTGTAGTCGTCAAATACCTTTCAAGTTGATTTTTCTTGGTTATGGTTTAGTTTCATTGCGTGAATTAATGTATTTATGGGTTAAAAAATTTTCAATGAGTGACAGGCAATCGAAAACTCAAATAACACTCACCTCCCAACAGGAACACTAAGTTATTGGGAAGCAGATTTTGATATGCAAATATTGTTCATATCATAGGTATTCAACAAATGGAATTGCAGCTGCAAAACACCCTGATGTTATTCCAAAGTCAACAGAGTCTTTGGATCAGTCTCCAACGGTACCAGACTTGTGCACCAACACTTCTGAAAAAAATTTAAGTGAAAATGGCAAGGATTCGTCTTCAGAAAACGAAAAAGTTCTGAAAAAATATGTAGTGAAGGAGTCTGGAAAGTTCAAAGTGAACGAGAGTGGAAAATATACGGTAAAGAACAGAAGTTCGCCTCAAATAAGAACGAGTGCATTAACTAGCTCATTAAAAGAGTCGAGTAAATCTTATCAGCCTCCGCCCACTGATATGTCATCAACCCAGGTCGGTAGAAATGGTGAAAATTTTGGAGCTCAAAATTTAAATGGTATATCAGGGATTAGAAGTAAACAAGTTGACGAATTGATTGACAACCGTCCATCAACACCACTCGAATCGAAGTGTGAGGATTTTCATCAGGATGATGAGTTTATGAGCAAGTCGCTGCCTGCTGACACCGTGAATATGCTACAAAAACGCCCACCAAAAACTGCAACGCGAAAAATTTCAGAACAATACCTAAGCAGAAGGTCTCCTGTCCAAAGTAAACTTGGTCGAAGTGCAAATACCGACAGAGGGCCGACCAAATCGACGGAAGGCTTTCCTAAACAAACGAAACTGTCTTCGAGTTTACCGAGAACGCCCACGCCAAAAGTGTTTTTTAATAACTTAATAAATCGTTTAAAGCCAGGAAATAGTCCAAGCAGTTCGCTGGATTCACGGAGCAGTTCGAGTGGTTCAAGTTCCCGACCGACGACTCCAAGTAGTAATGTTATCGAGCCTAATGCGACTCTGACCTTTCGTCTAACTGCGGATGAATTTTCAAGCTGCGATCACAAGTTGAAGTTGTATTTCGAGGTGTCGCTGTTTCGGTGGGGCAGCAGCGAGAAGTTCTGCTGTTTGTTGAAAGTAAGATCTTGTGTTTTGCTCTCTGTGAGTCTTAGGACGAAATTTTTTTTGGAAGATATCTAAGGTCTTTATTATTGCGCATTCTGTGGCCTGAGACGAATGTTGCATTTTACTCTGTTGTCGACCTGTCATATGTTTCTGTATCTCTTTGTAATCGAGTGTACTTCTTGATTTCAGGCCCCAGTTGTTATTTATGGCGAGACTGAAGAAACTCCTGCCGTTATGATTACATCCAGTGTCATGTTCTACCTTTGTAGTTTTTCCGTGAGAGGAAGGTACTGTGTTTACTAAGTGCTTAGAGCTGCTAAAACCACTTGTAGTTTGCCTTTTCCCATTAACCCTTAACTCCTAAGATCTGATGTTAATTCTCCCCCCAAGCTGTTACACGTTTCCTTGTAAATTAGCTAGGTGAATTTGGTGTTAGATCAAGATGAAAACTTCTTCTTGATAAATTTGAGTATTCTCATAGACTGTTTCCCGGCCAACGCATGGATGATATAGGGACTACTTACATGCTAATGACTTCTGAGGGTGAAAAGGTTAAGACGACACGCAACTGTGGACAAGTTCTGCTGCACGTATACGAGTACCCTGCCCCCTCTAATAAAAAAAGAACATGGGGATATTACTTACAAAGATACGAACAAAAGTCAAACAAAACAACCTAGCATACAAACAATAAATCCTAGTTGTTGAAGTGTTTGTATGTGAGGCGGCGTGTAGGTGGTTCTGCTTCTGAAATTTCAGGTTGAAGTCTTTGCCGGGTTGTTACATTATGGTGTATTCTTGGGAAAGCCACTCTACTCTCGCTTCGTTTCTTTTCATTGGGAGCCACTCGATGCTAACATTCTTCGTATTATCTTTTAGCGGGACACCCGACGAGTGTCTCACACCACTGGTATCTCATCCTCTAGATAGTTTGCACTTCATTGACAGAGGACTCGGAAGTCAGGTAAATATCAATTCATGTTCAACCGCTGTGAGTGTCCTTTGGTGTCATAAGTAGCGTATTAGGAACAGCCAAACCTGTATCGCTTCGCCTTCCCTCGCGTGTTTCAGCGCAGAACTTTACAAAATCTCGGAGTAAAATATCTGTCATGTTTCCCTTTCGCCAATTTCCTTCATTAGGATCGCGCTTGTAGACATTATTTGTTGTAGCACTTTCTCTGTACAACTGCCCACTTACAAAGAGGTTATAGACACTTAAGATATTTTTGACAGTGCAAAGACTATGCAAGAAACACTTTGGTAAATTTGAGTCTCGATCTGTACTTGGCTTCCTGTAAGATGAGCCCCCCTCCGACAACAAAGACTTGTCTCAAAACGTTCGCCGCCTTTCGTCACACAGCGCCTTGAGCCGCCCTCTGTCTTTGAATACCGATTGCATGACGCGACGAGACCGAACAATGGCTGCGAAGAAGACTCAACAGTCTCATATCTTTTCTGTAGAATTTGAAAAAGCTGACTTTTTCCGCAACTTTTCTGTAGAATATTACGTGAGTGTCTTTGATACTGAAAAGCGACAACTTATTCAATTTTTGTCTTCAGAGTTTTCGTCTTGAATTCTCCGTTCAAGGCGGTTGTTATGACTTTCTGGTCCGTGACAAAGATCGTTGTGAAAAGTTCCTAAAAGTGTTTACAAGTAAGTTATCTTTTTTTAAGCTATGAAATAGCGAAATCCAGTATTTACGACAATGTCGACGATAAAAATGTAGTCTTAGTAACCCTGCTACCTCAATTAACTCATTCGTCCTAGTACGGCTTCCTGCTGTGCATTGCTGTCCTATTTAGTTAAGAGGATTTCGTTTTGTGACAAGTCAACACTTCACTTAACTCTGTGTAATCTGGATACTGTATTGATTTGATTTTCTACTTCGTTTTCCTTTCAGATGTTGTACAACAAGCCAAGATGAAGGTGGGCTCTAGACCTGTTGTCGTTTCCCCGCCTCATCCTCAAACGCTGGCACACATCAGGTAAGCTGATTTAGTATATGACATTTCTTTTATGTTATGGGCATTTAATAAGGCAAAGAAGTTCTTCCTTCGCCGAATGCCTTTGACTACTGTATAGATAAACTTCCTCGTGCTCGTTTCAATTTAAAGTCTTTTTGCCATCCAACTCGTTTGTAACCTGTTTACCGCGTTTGATACTGTAAACAAGTCATCCGCGCTTGTTTCTGGCTACATGCGTCTCAGCGCTTGTCACTGATGAAATGTTTTTCCGCGTTAGTCTGTAGTTACAAGATTTCCCGCTAATCGCTGATTACATGTTTTCCGCCCTTTCCGCTGGTTACATGTTTCCTGCGCTTTTCGCTGGTTACACGTTTCCCGCGCTTGTCGTTGGTTACATGTTTCCCGCGCTTGTCGTTGGTTACATGTTTCCCGCGCTTGTCGTTGGTTACATGTTTCCCGCGCTTGTCGCTGGTGACATGTTTCCCTCGCTTGTTACTGCCTACAAGTGTCCTCTGCTTGTCGCTAGTTACTTGTTTTTTCAATTTTTTTTCCACCTATGATGAAATCAGTCTTTTTATGGCTCGGGTCTTTTAAATCTGCAGAATCCCAGAACTAAACATGTATTGATAATTTCTCCCAGGTCTCAAGTCTTTAAGATAAGACCGGAAGATCCAATTTTAATGGTAAGATTTTGTACCGAATTAACACTTCAGGATAAGTAAGTGGATTTGTATGTGGTGGGGGTGGGGAGGGAGGGGTTCAAGGACCTTCAGTCAAGTAGTTTTGTATCCAGAATGAGCACATAGTCGGTTATAGTCTCTCTGTGGTAGGTTTCTTGTTATTAGTCTGAGGAACGTTTTGCACTTTTCTTAGGGAGAGCGACTGCATCAGCAGGCTGTCCATTTCGCTGATCCCCCGCTGGTAAAAGACCGCAAGGTTAGTGAAACGTTCTGTTCATTGTTAAAAACATATCCAGCTTTGGTTTAGTCTTAGGGTCGTTTTGCGGAATAACTTTTATTTACTACTTAGCTTGAACTTCTACTTTCTTCCCCACAGATTTTGTTACGTAGTTATTCAAGCTGTTTTGTGGGCAGAGAGTTTGTGGACTGGTTGATTCAAGTAAAAGAAGTAGAAACCAGAGACGAGGTTAGTATGATCATTCAGTAAAGATTACTAATTAAGAGAAGATTCCGTGATAAACTGCTATGGAAAGATCTCTCTCCTTAACGAAGCACTTTGTGAGCAAGCGTTATTAATTTTGCAGGGAGTAGGAATCGGTCAGCTACTCTTGGATGTTGGAGCACTGGAGTATGTGTCTAAAGAGCAAGTGTTTGAGGACAAGAATCAGTATTACAGGTTTAACACAGAGGTAAGCTATTTTAATCTGTAACATGAAGAACAGGTTTCTGTGGCATGACTTCACCAAGTCGATTCCTGTAACAAGCCTCAATACCAGAATATGATTCTACGAGGAAATTTGAGATTTCTTTGTAGCACTCGATCAAATTTATAATGCGTTAGGGATAGGGTTAGGGTCATGGTATTGTGTTGTGCCATGTCTAAGGGAAAAGCGTCTTACTTTCTCGCACCTTTCAACAGAAAAGAGAATTACATATTATCGAAAACTACCACGGCAGAATCTTCATTCCGACATAACCCCTACGTCAAAAAAAGTAAGCAGTACTTTTATCGTTCCTGGCCGAGAAAACTAATACCTCCCTCCCCCTCCGTAGTATTCAATACTATCATTCAGCCCTCAATTAACAATGATTTTTGTTTCTTCTCTTACTCAGAGAAATGATTTGGCGGGTGATTCCTTCGCAAGCGAAAGTATCCTTGACATAGACACAAACATCGTGTTGTTTTTAATGGCTTATCGCTGCTCAAATACGGAGAGACCTGGTAAGAGACCTATGGCAATGTCGTTGAACCTAAATTTGTCATCGTTGTTGAACGATCCTAGCAGAAATTAGTCAGGGTTAATCAGTGAGTTTCCTTAAACCTGTGTCACAACGCCTATTGGTACACTTGTTGGGAAAATAATGTGAACGTGAACTCTCGTCCTATAAAATGCTGCTTTACGAAATCCATCCATCGCACAGCCATAAACAAATTTTACCTTTTGGAAAAAGATTAACAAACTGACTTTCTAGATGTTTTTTTTCTTCTTTAATCTATTTTTCCGGTAAGTTAAGTAGTTAACCGCAATTGTCATGCTCGACCCATTTCCATAGCTCGCTGGGCCCAACTTATAAACTGGTGGCTATTCCATTGCAAAGCAAGGGAACGAAAAACTACCTGTGGCGAATTTTTCGACTCAATCGCGCTTCCCTTTAATTTCCAAAGACCCCTGCTGGTCAGTGTATTAGATAAGTTATGTATTAACTTGTCTCCACCAGTTGAGGTCCGTACACGTTCATTAGGGTTCACCTTGTGTTCTCTTCCATTGATCAAACATTTACCTTCCTGTTTTCTCTAGATTCCAGTTTGAATGCTGTCAGCGTGATTGCATCGCGGTCTCATATAGCCCTTGTCAAACAGAATCCTCAGTGGCCCGTTCCACGGTACACAGCGCTGTCCCAACCGCTCAAGGACCCAGCGTTTGTGTGCTTGGCCCGACACAAAATCACCGATGTTACTAGCTTGGTATGTAATATTTTTAAAAGTGTTAGTTAAGTGTTAGCAAATTACAAACAGACTTTCACTCTGAAAAAAATATTGAATTATCTGGAGACAGTTATTTTCTATGCCGGAACTATCTTGAATGTGAAGTGGGGCAACGAAATAAATCAGCTGTACTTGATCGTTTTATAATGCACTTGACGTTTGCTGTTTTCATAGGATTTTTTTGAAGATGATTCATGCTTTATGGGGATCAGTATAACAGACGAGGTAAGGTTTTACTGGTATCACCGCGATGTCATTCAATGAATACTACGCCCTTCCGCAGAGAAGGTCAAGTAGTGATGATCTCAAACGATAGTACCATGATAAAACACCGACTTATCTCCAACTATCCTCGTGACGATTTGTAGCAACTTTAGGGATGAAGAAGTTGGCAATTGTGGTGATGTAAAACTTAAATTTTTTGTACAGAACGTCCCCGTGGGGAACGGCGAGAGTCAGTGGATTTTGAAGACAGAAACAATCACCACCCTCTCCTCCCTAGTCAAAGTGATCAAGGAACCGTGGGAGGCTCAGTTTGGTGTGGAGTTACAAAAGAATCTTTATCCTTCTGTGATGGTGAGGCCTTGAAGAAATATTCTTTAACTGTCATGAATGGGGGAGGGGGTGGGGCTGGGTAGTAACTGAGGTTGTGTCAAAGAGCTGCGTTTCGATAGTATAAGTCATTCTTTTACTTGTCTGTTTACCAAAATGACGCTTTTTGCAGTATGCATGACGCGTGTCACATATAAACTTTGTGACGGCCCTTATCACCACAGAGGTTTCTGTGGCTCATTGATAAAGCATGGAAGTGCTTAATTCGGAGGTCTGGAGATTTCTCTAATCCACGCCCTCCCTCTCTTTATGCAAAGTATTAGTTCGGCAAGATAGAAAAACATAGGAGAGGTAATAATGAACCAAAGAGGCCAAGGATAGCTGTGGATGGTGGGAGTTATGACTGATGATAAATGACGTACTTGATTCATTCAGGCTAAATCTGCTAAGATGGACAAACAATGAGTGCCTTTAATACACGTGCGTGTTTGTGAGTTTAAATATTTTTTCCCCTTTTTTTTCGTTTGCAGGACCACAAAATGTAGACGAAGTGGACTGACATATTCTTTACTAAAATTATTCACAGAGAATCGAAAAGTTACAAGTCGCATGCGCAATAGTACTCTCAACAACGTTCTGTTCGATTTGCTATCCTTGATAATACTCTTTCGACATGGAGCAATCCCTTAGTGTAGAGAAACTAAGGAGATTTGTCTCAAAGTTTGCGGTGTAGTTTAGGAAATAATTCACCTAAGATAGCAGCCTCTATTCTTCTTTTTGAAAGCAACAGAATGACGCGAGTTATGGCGTTATCTCTCGAGCGAGCAATCACAGCGAATTAAGGGTTAACTTCCATGGCAACCGTTTTACCATGGCAACGCATTAGTTTCGTATGCAGTCGACCCAGGACAAGTGTTGATTGGGTTTCGAATAACGCGGCCCTAGGCAGTCATACAGATTCCCTATTATTCACATTAATTTAAAAAATTCACTTTTATCAAATTCGAACAACACGAAGTGAAGCACAGAAACTCCTTTTGATATAAATAGTAATTTATTTCAATGAAAGCTTAAAATTATTTTAATCCCTCTATTACTGATGCGGGAGTTTCGAACACGACAGCGTTCGTTATAAAAATGCCACAATTTTGCTTCACAGAATTAAGAAAGATTATTTATTTCAAAAGCTTAATTTCGTTTTGTCTCCTTTCTGCGGCATCGTAACCATAATTGATCACATGGTCAATGAATAACAAAACCCAAAACAAATTAACTTCAAACTTAATATATATTTAAAACCTTCGTTTTGGATCGAGAATGATAAAGCAAGAAATAAACTTTATTCCATTAAGATGAGGGAAACGTGTCTTGTTATCAGTCTAATCTAAACAAATTTTATTGGACAATGAAAGCAGCGTCAAACGTAATGCATGAAGGGAAGATTCATGCTAGGCGCATGTAAAGGTGTTACCACTTGTGACCCCAACTTCTACGCTTTTCCCAGTTCTCCGTGATTGTTGCTTACCATACACACGTTTGCTTTTTTTATTGTAATATGCTTTTAATTAATGGTATGTCACGTCAAGGCGTAGGATTCATCCAACACGTCCCTTAGTCATAAATAGAAAGTGCCATTGCGGTTGACAAACTTTACTTTTGAGTTTAAAGCTAATCTCTAAGAATGTCGACGAACTTCAACAAAACCACAAATGGAACGCAGACAACATCGTGCTTCGATCCTACAGCAAGAAGAATCGGATACACTGTTACTTACAGCCTGATCTCTGTAGTTTCAGTGATTGCAAATTTATTGATTGCAATTATTTTTTATAAGACGAAAACTTTGAGGAAATCCATCAACTTTTTCATTGTCAATATGGCCGCATCCGATATTCTTTTGCCGATTTTTCTTATAACGCCGTATTTAACATCGTTACACACTGAGGACCCGTGGCTGATCAGTGGTCCTGTTGGCGTGGTATTGTGTAAGCTGGTAATGTTCTTGCCTCACGTTTCTGTTTCTGTGTCTACCGAGAGCCTGGTTCTAATTGCAATGGACCGTTTTGTAGCTGTAGTATTTCCTCTCCGTTCTCCTCTCATCAGTTCAAGGCTGTGCCCGTTCCTCATCCTCGTAACTTGGATCGTTGCAATGGCCGTTTCGTTTCCATATCTCTTGACAATGAAACTTGTTGAGTATCCGGATGGCATGGTGTGTGAGCGAAAGTGGATTGAAGCTTTTGGCGATAGCTCATCGTTAAAACTTTATAACGTAACGGTTTTCACTGTGTCGTTTTATGTTCCATTCGTATTGATTGCAATACTTTATATAATTATTTGCCTAAGGCTCAAGCTCCAGAAGAAACCAGGCGAGCCATCAATCAACATTGAGCGCCAACGAGCGAGAAGGGAGCGAAACGTATTAAAGATGTCCGTAGCTATCGTGTTTGGGTTTGCGCTGTGCTGGTTTCCCTACACGATTCACTGGTTACTACCGACGCATTTCAGACCCGAAAATGCATCCTGTGGCTTCGAATACTTTACCGCCATTGCCTTTCTTTTGGCTCATTCAAACTGTGCTATAAACCCTTGCATTTGTTTCATTTTTAGCGTTAATTACCGGCAAGGTTTCAAGAATCTGACGCGAGGCTCTCTTGTCTTTAATAATGATGTCAATACTTCTGAAAGTGTTGTATTCCAGCGACGGCGGGCAAGTGAATCGAAGACCGATTGTTTAGTCTCAGATGCACATGTAGTGCAGATAAACTGCATTGACTGACCAACTTTGAAAATCGAAGGGGAGCGAAATTTTTAGTCGGCCTTTGAAGATGAAAACAGGGGAACCACCCATTAAAGCATGTAGTAAGAAGCGGTTAAGTTTCAGATCTCTTTATGCGACATGTTATGGAAATTAAAAAGAATTATCAATGGGCATTATTTTGATCGATTTTTTATTTTTTCAGGGGTATTGGGAAAAGCTTTATGCAATTAAAAGAATGCTAATTTCAGAGAAATTGATTCTGACGTAGCCAAAGTGTGAAGAAACTGAAAGAAATTATAAATTTAAGTCGTCCTCCATTATGCTCTATGAAAACCTGGGTGCCACCTGAAGCCTGTGCTAAGAAGCGGTTAACTTTTGTCTCAGCTCTTTATTTGAACATAATTAAAAAATTTGAATTTTTAAACGTTTACTTTAAAAGACGAAAAAATAATTTAAGTTAACATCGACACTTTTTTATCATTATCTTTTTGTCCCACTAGAGGCGTGGGGAAATTGTCATAAAATAACAAGGGAGCAAATTTCTAAATAACGAGAGAATTTCACAAAGTCTGACGTTTCAGGCGTTTCTGCATTTGATGGTCCTGACATACGAAAGTTTGAAGAGAAGAGAAATTCACCTCTCATTATACTCATCTCTCATTATACTTTGAAAATGAAACCCGAGCCAGCTGGAGCCTGTAATAAAAAAGCCATTAAGTTTTGTCTCTCTTTATTTGAACATCGCATCGAACTTTCAATTTTAAAAAAAAAAGGAAAAAAATAAAAAGACCAAAGCTATTGATTTAAGCCAATATCGGCATGCATTCTATTTTATCTTTTTTTTATCTTTCTTTTTCCACCAGAAGCATTTGGGAAATTTTCATACAATTACACGAGAGCGAATTTCCGACACAGATGACTTTATTTCACAGATCTGACATTTTCTCGATTCTGACGGCCAAAGTGTAAAGGAAAAAGAACTTTTTAAAATTCGTCCCCCATTATGCTCTATGTCATCTGAAGCTTGTAATGAGAAGCGCTTAAGTTTCGTCTATCTTTATTTGAACATGTTCACATCTACGAATACAAGAAATCCTCGCAGTGTAAAAGAATCCGTGATCTCTTTCATATCATTAACTAATCATGATCGCTCGACAATCTTGTACTCAATAAGTGAGTCATGGAACACTGGCAGCCCTTTCTCTCATTTCAATTAAGAAATACAAAATGAAACTTTATTGAAACTTCGTCCGAGGAAACCTCTGCGTGCCATCTTTTATGTGCCTGCCTCCCCACCTGTCTTTGCTGACTGTAAGCCTCCGACAGGCGAGATTCATGAATAAATTGAGGGGGAGGGAAGACAAGGAAACTTGATATATTGAATGTTACTAATCGAAATAAAGAAAAGAGATCTGAAAGACGTCAACAAGCGGACTCTATTTGAATAGAATTGTTTACTCAGTTGCAAGAGAATATTAAATGTTTATATTCTCTTGTCTGTAGCTTTCCTCTTTCAGATATTTTTCCACCCACAATATACGATTGAGAGAATCAAATATTTGATAATTGCGTCAGGATGTCGCCAGCATATCGCGTCCTATTTTTGAATCTCTATGTAAGTGTTTGCTAATGTTTTACCAGTATGAGCACCTGTTTGAACAAACGAGGCCAAATTAAAAACTTTCTTATATGGTATTCTTACCAGAAGTAAGCAATATTTGATGCAAAGTAAATGTTTCCTCACGAAACAAAGTTGGTGATTGGGCGTTTGGAATCTAGAAAATTTGGATTAATACATCTGATATGGTCATATCTAAGATAAAGTGATTGATAAAATGATAAGTTTCTCCCTGTGTTCTGTAGAGTATTTATAATATAATCCAAATGAAGATGATATTCTATATCCGACAGGAATTAAAACCCTTTCTAATGCACATGACTGTAAGATTTTATCAGATACTCCTTGATTAATATGTGTTATTCATAGTTGTTTCTAATGCAACGTTGACAGGATTCCTTAATGCATATCAACGGTACACCCCTAGGAAAAAAATGTTTTTACGGCAACAGATTCGTTTCTAAACCCTTAAGTGTGGATGTTCTTTACTTTTCATAATGATGTATTTAATTTAGTTTCAGTTCAGTTTACAAACAATTCTTATTATATTCCAAAGCGGCTGCCATGATGTTACATTGCATCTTTATTAGCCCTGGCAACTACCTCAGCAGCCGAGGAGATTGTTAAGACCTTGGCGATAGTTTCCACTGAAAATAAAACAGATGCAGGGGTTCATAGCGCTATTTGTTCGACTCAGTAGCAGAGCAACTTGCTCTAATAACTGTTTGAATCCACAGGACATTGTAGCATTGTTTTCATCTGCAAACATACGTACTAATGCAAAAATACTGAATGGAATCCAGCATACAGCAAACCCTAACACAATAGCAATGGAAAGCTTCAGCGCATTTCTCTCCCTTCTCAAGCGCTGAATTTGAGCGTTCATTGAGTGTTCGCCTGGTCCTCTCTGGGACTTCAGTTTCAAAAAAATCGCAAGATATAGAATAAACATCAGAACGAAGGGAATATAAAGTGCCATAAAGTATTTTGTCACCGACGAGGAATCGTCAAAAACACGCATCCATTGCCGCACACACTTGTACTCATGATCATATTCGACCAGCTTGAACGCGAGCAGATACGGGATGAATGTAGCCATGGCGATGATCCACGTGGCGAGAATAAAGAAGCGGTACAATTTTGAACTGAAGAGCGGGGAACTGAGGGGAAATACCACAGCTACAAATCGATCCACTGCTATGCGCACAAGGCTCTGAATTGACACAGCAGAGTTGCATTCATTGTTGCGCTCAAGTTCGTGGACATTTCGAAGACGCGTTCTTCAGTCACCGTTAAAGTCAAGTATTATCTTATGGAAGTCACAAACACCTCTATTTGTATTACCGCTTGCTGTGGAAGTGATGTGAAAATTTGAATATTTTATTTTGATGATGCACACTGAAACCAATTATTTTAGGTCTTTATTTGGGTTTGTTGTTGTTTCCAGTTAATAGCTATTTTTAAAATTGCCGTCGGCAACTCTGGTGGAGCCGGAAAGAAGGAGAAATCTAGTAGAAAGTTTCACAGTTTTCTACGTTATCACCCGCTAATTCGTTACCAGTCCACGGGACACTTTTAAGACAAAATAAAAGCGCTTTAGGGCCTGAAAAAAACGAGTTCTAATTTTTTTGAAATTTTTCTTTTATGGGAATTGGTTCGTACACATAATAAGCTAAAGATTTACGCCAAAAAAATTTCGTGTCATGAGCACTTTAACCCTAATTACCTAGAATTCTTTAACTCATTTTGGCAGGTGAAAAAAGAAATTGTAAAAGGGATGTTTGAATTTTTAAATTGTTTGGGTTTGTTGTCATGGATCATGTCTTAAAGTGCCTGTGACGCGAAATTTTTTTTTGCATTTTCCGGTTAATAGCTGTTTTTAAAGTTAGAAATAATCGACCTTAGCGCCTAGCGAGTTCTCCTTGACCAATTTTATGTGCATTGAAAGTACGATTTGGCGCCTAAAAAGTATCGCCATGAAGCGCGCGGCAAAAGCGATCATATTACATAGCTGTGACGTAGAAAACTGTGAAGACACGTCGGCAACTATGGTGGAGCCTGAAGTAGGACAAATCTAGAAGAAAGTTTGACAGTTTTCAACGTTATCACCCGCTAATTCGTTACCAGTCCACGGGACACTTTTAAGACAAAATAAAACCACTGAGAGATTATCACTCTGAAGCATGATGAAGCACTCTTTACTTTTAGTGTTTGGGCTTAGCCTGTTAAAAGCTGCATTCTAGCAAAACTCTTAGTAATGAAAGTCACTTTCAAAACATCAGTATAATCTATCAGGGATCGCAGGGATCGCAGTTTTCCGCCGACAATGAATTCTCATATAAGTTCGTGGTTAAATCGACGTCGTGCATGTGCGTAAAACAAGGATCGCCTTATTTATTCGAGTAAACGCCTTAGGCGCTTAATACATTTTGAGACCTTCAGAGTGAGCGCTTATTCGAGAAGGGCGCTTATTTGATATTTTTCATTTTCAGCAAGTATTTAGTTTATTTCGCTACAAAATGATAGATAATAACAATACACGAAAATGTACCATAGGCAGTGAATTTCGAGATTGTAAGGAAATATTTAATAGAGGCTCTCGATTGGGTTAACCGTTAGACTCCAACGCCAAAGCTTCTTCTTTAATTTATTACACTTTGCCACTACAACGTTTACAGTTCCCTTTCTGATTAACTCCAACTCTAAAGCTTCTTATTTAATTAATAACGCGTTACTGCTACAACGTTTACAGTATTCCCTGACCAATTGAAAATACCTACTGGCTGTCTTTTTTCGGGTGCCAAGTCAAAAATTTCAGAAGCAATATAGCGAGGCTCTTCTAAAAGGGATTACGAACAGTTTCAGCAAGTCAGAAAAAGATGACCAGAGTTGTAAAATGTGGAAAGTTTACTGTCACTAAACAGTAAATCAGTTGATGGATGGGTTAGGCCGCACCAGCTACTTCGTTAGAGTAGTTATTAGGGAGCTTAAGCATCAACGGCAGACGCGGACGGCAGCCGCAAGTTAAAAGTTCTTATTTCTTGCGGTCGATGAATTAGCGTCAAATCGCGCCAGATTTAGTTCCATTTTTTCTCCTGTTGCCGCCCGTGTCTCAAAAACGTCTCTGCTCAAATTCTCTATAAATAGGGATAAAGAACTGGTGGGCATGTTCAGCCACATCAATGCGCGGATAAATCCAAACAGCATGCAGAAGGCTGGGGAGAAAACGATAACTAAGCAGCTTCGCCTGTAGGAAAACAACCGATGAGATTCTTGAGACCTTGACGATAATTACCACTGAAGATAAAACATATGCAAGGATTTACAGCACAGTACGAGCACGCCAGAAGAAAGGCAATAGTTTCAAAGTATTGCATGCCACAAGATGACCATATAGCTATGTTTGATGAATAAAGGGACAGCAAGAGGTAGATGATGAGTGGCAACCAGCATACGGCGAACACCATGACAATGGCAACGGACATATTAAGAACATTTCTTTCTTTCTTCAAACGCCGTTCTCTTGCGTTAGTTGATTGCTTCCCTGGAGGCTTCTGCGATTTAATTCTTAAGGCAATGGCAAAATAAAGTATGGCAATCAAAACCAAAGGGACGTAGCAGACAACAAGGATCAATCCCAGTGTGTAGGTTTGCTGCGATAGGGACTCTCCAAAGATGTCATTCCACTGCCACTGACAAAACAGCCCCTCTGGATACTCGACAACTTTAAGGGCGATCAAATATGGACAATGGACTGCCATGGCGATGATCCAAATGACGAGAATGAAGTACCGGCACTGCTTTGAACTGATCAGAGGGGAACGGAGAGGAAATACTACAGCTACAAATCGATCCACTGCGATCAACAACAGGCTCTGAACTGAAACTAGAGTTGAGACATCTCTAGTGAATAGACTTAGTTTACACACCGCTTGGCCAAAGGGACCGCCAACCAGCCAGTGGCCGGCCGTGTTTAATAGTACAAGAATTCGAGGAAAGCTGAAAATCGGGTACAACAGATCGGAGAGTGCCATGTTGACAATCAAAATGTTGATTGGTGTTCTCAGAGTTTTCGTCCTATAGACAATTATTCCAATGAAGGTATTCGCAGCCAGCGACACAACAAATAGTAGACAGTAGGCGAAGGTTTCACCAATTCTTCTCGCTGTGGGGTTGAAGCAGCTCGACATGGACTGTGTTCCATTCACCATTGCTGTCACGTTTGCAGACATTTTTCGATACCAAGAGATCAGGTTTTTCTTCAGCCAACAGCCTTGCGGTGGGTACCTAAACTCGACTGGATGAAAACACAGCCTATCCATCTTATATAGATCAAACTTTCACATGTTTAATTAATGAACATGCCTAGGAAAATTCTAGAAAATCGACAGTCTTCACCTGAGACCTCTAACTAAGAAAAGTATGGTTGGAATCAGCTGTTGTTCGAAATTAAGCAAACGATATGCTTTTTCAAATATTGTCGGCAAAAGGGACAATTTTCTCAAGTTTATAAGCAGGAGCCCATCCTATATGAGTTTATATAATCATTATCAATATTGTTCCAATGGCTCCAGAAATAGCCCAGCCACAGATGTTTACTGATATAGAATAACGGTTGACAGATGGTAGCGAAAAGATCTACAATCTTCTTTTCAATTCAGAATTTATTTTTAATTATGTTGCCATCGAAAGTTTAATCCAGCCTCGAACTTACTGATTAGTCTTGTTGCTTAGTAAACTTATTGGAGTATTAAAGAAAATTTTCACGAAGTTGTAACAAAAAGGAAGGGTACAGGACAATATAAGGCCGACTTCTTATGTGCGATAAAAAATGGTATGGCTTCATAAGTCTTCTTTTCAATTCAGAATTTATTTTTAATTATGTTGCCATCGAAAGTTTAATTAGCCTGAGCTTGTTGCTAAGTAGACTGGTTGGAGTTTTAAAGAAAACTTTCAGGAAGTTGTAATAAAAGGGAAGGAAACACCGGGACAAAGCCGATTTCCTATATGCGAGAAAAATGGTATGGTTTCATAATTCACCAGGAGAACTTGTAATAATTTAACAAATTTACATGACAGAATTCATATGGCTTACGATGTAAATTTTTCCTTTAATCTTGTTTCTGTATTCGAGCAAAGATGATATCTCCGTTGCTTTAACCGACTTAAACGATCGCATACACTCATTAACCTTCTGTGCCGTGGCGAGGCCATCTATTCAAAATGTAAACATCGTTGAGCAACAAAATTCAGTCCCCGCGGTAAAACCAAAGTACCGGGTGATATGACTATTAAAGAAGAACAAAAGGACGAAAGAGTAAAAAAGAATAAATATCGGTTTCGATGAACCGTATGCCTGAAGTTGTTTTAAGAAAAGGATAATTTTCCTTTCTTCGAGTAGTTCTCGGGGGGCTACCTTTAGTCTCAATAAACAAAACAAAGCTGATTACTGACAAATAACTTTCATTTACTTTCTTTAGTCCAACTTCTTTTACTGAGTTGGATCTAGTATTCCATGAGGAACAGATCCAAAAGATTTTTCCCATAGTAAAAACTCCTTTCTTACTCGCTTATTACCTTTTTTTTCCTGTCTTTATTTTGTATTTTGTTATTTTATAAAAGCTGTAAGCAAAGGTTAATCCGATTCCCTTTCCCTCAGTAACTGGATTTAAGCAGCTCGGTACCTGAGTTCCATTCATCGTTGCGGTCACATTTGCCGACATTCAGCCAACAGCTCTGAACGCTACCTTTTTTTTAGTGAACGGCAGTGATGATCTGCATAGATATTATTATTGTTCTAAATTGCATACGTTAGCTTCTCCAGAAATTCAAGAATATCGACAGATGTACGCTGAACCTTCATTTTGATTAGCAAAAGTATCTGCAACCGTAGTTACCTCAAATGAAATAGTTGGGAATGATCACATTTGGATAATTGTACTTTGAATAGAAATATCATAGGGCTCAGGAACAGTTTTAGAAAGTTCCATTTTCTCAGTGTATTTTCATCTCTTGACGTGTATGTAAACAGCTGGTAATTAGAACATTCAGTTTAAGTAAAGGAGAGACTTCCCTGAGAACTTGTTAGTTATCAAATTTTTTTATTTTGTGTCGTAAAAATTAGCTATAAAGAAGCGATACTACCTCGTGGAAAGAATCTGCCACAAAATAACGTGCATGTCCTTATTTATAAACATCTTTGTTAATTGCAACAGTATATTCGGTGTAAAACTGTAAGGGTTTTTGAAGCTTTCAATACATATCATAAATTTGTGCTTCAGTAACTTGATGCTGATTTTTGTATTTGTTAATTGATCGCTTGTTTGCTTACTATTTTCGTACCAGACGATTGACGGATGTCAGTTCCCCACCCACAATGAGTCGTGAAAAACTTATATCAGCTAACAAAAAGCGAGGAATGTGTGTCAAGTTATGCGTATCTTTTCTTATATTATCTTCCCTTCGTTTAAAAACCATTTCAAGCACACTCATTCAAACGACAGCGCTCTACAAAATATGTACCTAGAATTATAAATATCAAACTATCATTAAGCCATAATTATTCTAAATAATAGCTTAAGCCGTCATTTTCTTAAAAATTCTTTGAGCTGCTAGTTAGGTATATACATGAAGTCGTGCGGTCTGAAGTGACTTTTTTCTAAGGATTTTGGAGATGTTGGTTTATTTCAACTTCCTTGGCCAGTCATTTTGAATGAGCAAGTGCCAGAATACCAGTAGACAAGATATCTGTTTTTTTTTTTTCCCGGGGGCGATTGAGTTGTATCCCGACTTTTAAACTTCGTCTCAAAGTAATTATTCGAAGGAGTCTCACTTCAAAGTAGTATTAATTGCCCATTTTTGTTATATATCAGCAGTAAGTCTGATATATAGAGAATAATACATGGGCGCGCGTAGATATGGAAGTTCTCTTCGAGCGTTGAAATCGATAGCTCGCGAGTGAGCGCAGCGAACGAGTGAGATGTGGAGTTGAACACATTAAGCTGATGGTTAATGGCATTATGTTCACGAAACTTCCCTTCAGCTGAGCGGATGATTTAAGTTTAGCGCTAATTGAAATAAAACTACGATTAGTGCTGGAAAAGATCAATCTTAGAAATTGAAGTTCCGTGTTCTTCTTGACTAATGATGTCACTGTTTTTTTCGCCCTATTGAACTACAAAAACAATAACTACAAAACAACCTTATGGTAAACTATCCCTGTCATAATAACTTAATTAATCTGTCTTTATCTTTAAACACCTTTGCATATTGCGAGACTACTTTTCGTGTAAACATTCCTTCTTGGGAATTTCCAACTGTCAGCTTAATTAATAAGTCACTTTCTATTTAAAGAATTTCGAAATTCTTTTAACGGTGACGTATTAATCGACATAATTCGTCCATTTTTATCGCGTAAAGCCGTGCTCTAAAAAATATCGTATTTCCTTTCTTTCAATTTTAAAAAAAAATAATTGCGAATGGAAAATTAAAAAAATGAAATAAGCTGTCGGGGCTCAAACTACAAAAAACATTTGAGTCAACCACAAAGAAATCAGCTAAAGAGATTCCTAAGGCCTTGACGAAAATTTCCATTGAAAGCGAAACAGATTAGTAATGGTAATAGGACCGAGTGAAGTCCAATTCGGTCTGTAATCATACGAGTGATGAACTAAATCGAACGACTGCGAAGCGGGAGTCCGATTGTTAATCACGAGTATGATTACAGACAGAATTGGATGACGAGAAGTGAAAACAACAATTTTAGAGAAATGTATTTACCCATAAAAGAGGAAAAACAAGTTATTTCTAAGGAAGTTAGTTCGACGCAAGGCGTGATCTGAATCTAAAGGCAAACATCAGTGAATAAAGCACGTGATAGAATGGTGAGTACCGAAATAGAATAATTTATTGATGTTAAGTGACAGTTGACAGCTTGTCTCAGAATCATCACGTATGAGAAAGGAAGTTGTTCTAAAATAAAGAGGTTAAACGTGTCGTTGACGGCAAATAGTATTGCAAAAGGTGACTAAGCAACGTTTTTCCGTCTGCTTTCAGCTTTTGCACTTTGAGACGACAAAAATTCATACAAGCCGTGATCAAGATCAGTATTCTTTTCTAATTTTACTCAAGATATTTTGGAGGATTACAGCAAACATGATATCTCCGTTGCTTTAATCGACTGTATACACTCATCAACCTTCTGTGCTTCGGCGAGGTCACCTATTCAAAATGTAAACATCGCCGAGCGACAAATTTCAGTCCCCGCGGTGAAACAAGGAAGAACAAAAGGACGAGAGAGTGAAACGAATAAATATCGGTTTCGATAAACCGTATCCCTGAACTTGTTTAAGGCAAACGATAATTTTCTCCTTTTTTAACCAATCTTTGGCACTGAACTCAAACTTTTAGTATAAGAATTGAACAGAATAAACAGCGAAATTTTGCTTGAATTAGTTAGTTTATATTGAAATCCATTCAGACAGAAATACGCTTCTTGCTTTAAGTCTTGTACATCTTTTCGGGGAGTTTATTTCACTAACTTGTTAATTTATTTACGTCACCAAACTTCCCTGTTGAAAGCACTCCGTTTACTGACTCTCCGAAGAAGTACAACCGAACCTATTCCCCTCGAGTGACCGCTGAATTCAGGTTCGACTATATTGCTGTTAGTTTCTAAAGGTGCTACGATGTTGATACACTTTTCAATTGGTTGTATGAAAACTCTGCGCAAAGAAAAGTAACTTCTCCTCCGTAGACATCAAGACATTACCTATATGTATATTTCATTTTTCCTCTTAAACACTGAACAGACAACTGGTAACAAAACAAAAACCCCTAAATACTGTTAAATAGTACTTCTTTTCTTTCCTTTACATCATATTTTAATGCTTGGTGTGTTACATCTTAGTCGAAAGACTAAACAGCTCAAGTATCGTCTTTAACATTTGTACCCAGAATAAACACATATGCCACAAAAAAACTGTAAAAACAACGGTTTAGCCGTTGCAGAAAGTTCCTTGAGTTCAACAAGATTTTCCGTTTTAAAAAATTAAGCTTTTATACCTGACTTCTTATCTTCTTCTTATTTTTTGACATGCAGCTGAACGCGAATAAACGACCAGTTTCTAGCGGAACCAGTGAACGTCTTTGTTATTGCAGTTTTTAAAAACATCAAGCTGACAATTGACAAAGTTCACCTTTGTTATTCAATTAAGAACTTTTACTAAAAATACCTTTTTTACTGCAAAGTTGACTTTCCTTAAGTTCTAGTTAAAACGGTCAGTACGAAATTTATCCTTCATTGCGACTGAATAGCATTTTATAGTGTAGGGCTTAAGCTACGGCGGTGCAACTTGATCAGCGCTGAGCGCCATGGAGAAGCAACTAAGGAGATTTTTAAGACCCTGGCGGTAATGTCCAATGAATATAAAACAGATGCAGGGGTTTACAGCACAGTATGAGTACATCAAAAATCGGACAATCTCCGTGAAATATTGAAATCCACAAGACCATATCACAGTTTTGTCTGATGAATAGAAGTACACCTACCACCAGATACTGAGTGGCAGCCATCCCATTGTAAATGCTGACACGATAGCAATGGAGATCTTCAGAACGGTTTTCTCTCTCTTTAAACATTGACCTCTCCTGCTGACTGATTGTTCGCCCGCAGTTTTCTGAGATTTGATTGTTATAGCGATGATAAGGTAAAGTATGGTGATCAATACCAACGGCACATAAAAACCGACAGCGATCATTGCCACAGTATAGTGTTTGAAGTACGGAGACCACAGCGGCGTACATTCCAGCCCGTCTGGATACTCGAAAACCTCAAAGCAGAACAGAATCGGGCACCTGACAACCATGGCAATGATCCAAGTGGCGAGAATGAAGAAGCGGCACTGGTTTGAACTGATCAGTGGGGAACGGAGGGGAAAAGCTACAGTTCCAAATCAATCGACTGCGGTAAGAACCAGACTCTGAGATGAACAAGAGTGGAGACTTCTATTGAGAAGGAGCCCAGCTTACACAATGCTTGGACGAGAAGACTGCTGATTAACCAGGAACTGCTCATGAATAATGAAGCTGCATCACGAGGAAGCATGGAAATCGGATACACCAGATCTGACATGGCCATGTTTGCAATAGAATAGTTGACTGGCTTTTTCAGGGATTTCGTCTTGTAGACAATTATTCCAATAAAGATATTTCCAACCAATGAAACTAGAAATACCGGAAAAAATGCAGCAATGTAAGCGATCCTTAGTGCTTCGTAATTAAAGCAGGACGACACGCTCCATTTACCACTGTAGTCTCATTTACCGACATTCTTGGAACTGAGATACCAGTTCTTCTATAGAGCAGTTTTCAGGAGGCTATCTATATTCTCAATAAAGAAAATAGAGCTGATTACTAACAAATAACTTGATGTACTTTCTGCAGCTAAACTTCTTTTAATGAGTTAGAATTAGTTTACCATGAGGAACGACCTGAATTAATTTTACTCTTAATTCGCACTCTGTCTCCAAAACTTCCCGAGATTAAAAAACTGCGTTATCATACATATCAATAGTTACCCGGAATGGTATGGTTAAAAATATTCTACAACTGGTATTATGATGTTAAATTATAAATATAATATAAAAAAACCAATATGCTCGATATCAGCGATAATAACAGTTTTGAGAAATACTTCTTCATATGTTTAGGAAATACGTGAATTATTGTCTCTTGACGCTTGTAACAGTCACCATGATGACTTTTAGGTGAAAACAAATGCATTTAACTTCTGTCCGATTTACCTTTGGATTAAGGGGCTGCCATCTCTACCAAATTCAAGCTATTCAAACGGATACTGATTTGTTACGGGAAAATATACCATTGAGTCTAATGTTCAAACCCAAACTTAGCTGCTTACGATGTGATTAGAGTGAAAAAATAAGCTCACTTTTTTCCATTGTTGCGAGAAAGCAGCTGGCTGACAGAAAGGAACTACTTAATTACGTTACGTTCAAGGTGTAGACTGGTCTTGCCTTCACCAATCTATACTCGCCACCACCCCGACTATTGAAGTCGTAGCCTCGAAAGCTTTTTGGTTAAAAATCGTTTGAGTTTATATTTTACCAGAGAATTGATAGACTTTTTCTCTGTCCTTGAAATTTAGCTCTTCAGCTGTACTAGTTAATTTTCAAGTTTCGTTGCCAGAGTGAACGTTTTGTTGGTAAATTTAACACGACTCTCTCCCTCGCCGACTATCTCTCTGGGTTCACAGCCTGCGCCTATTGTTTTGATGACTGTCTACGGCATTAATGAAACCCGATTTTGTTTATTAGTGATTGCTATTGTGGCAAGTAACCAATCACAAAGCAGAACTTAGCACAAATGACAAAGATCAACCAATGCCACACACTAGGTGTGGTTCAAAGATTTTGCATCCATTTACAAACCCAGTCTGAGTTCAACTTCCAGCGAATTATCACTTGCAAAAAAAACTCTGGCACAGGAGGAAAGATTTTCACAAAAATTATCCATGTCAAACGACACGGATTGTCGCTGGGACATGTACGCCGCGTAATGTCACCGTACACCGCACAGAGCGGCCATTTTTTCCTCTCAAAATTATTTCTGTTTGTTTGAGCCTTTTACTAGAGAACATCAACTCATTAACTGACATCGAAGGGATCATGTATCCTGTTACTTTGCGAATCATTTGCAGCCAATCCTAAAGTTAAGACAGCAGATCCGATTTTAAAAAGTTTGTTTACCTTGATATTCACCTGATAACCGACTTTCTGAAATGAAAAGGAAGGCAACTGGAGTTCTCGAAAGCTTTGAGGCAGTTAATATTGAATCGCTAGAAAGCTTTTAAATAGATTTTTTGTTCCATAGACGAGGAGAAAAATGATGCTTTTTTTCCTGTCTTTATTTTATTTACTATCTTGTTTCCATTCTGCAATGTCATCTTGAAAGCGAATACTACCTCATATAATGATCATGACGATTATGGTAATGATACAAACTCGACTAAGCTTCTAATAAACATTCCACTTCATCTTTTTTGGTCCACTACATCATATTTGTCACCTAATGTGGTACGTTTCAGCCAAATTTCAAATAAAGTCCTTTCATTAGGTGATCAGATTAATACAGCTCACAAAAACAGTCGTTAGGCAAAAGTTCAAACAACGGTTTGACCGTTGGACACAGCTTCTTTATTGATAAGTTTATAGTAAGTGGGCTGACAAAGGAACATTAAAACGCTTAAAATTTGCTTGCAAGTTTAAGTATTGAATAGAGAGAGTCATCATGTCTTTCTGATAATTCGCAAATGCTACTGTTAGCAAAAACTAGAGCTCCAAGTCCTCATTTTGATCTACCATGTCTTAAAAAGACATCAAGCTGACAATTTACACCATTTCTTTTGATTGATCAATAATTAAAAAAATTCACATTTCACTTTAAGATCTTTAATTACCTTGCTGACTTTTTCGTTGTCTGAAATAAAAACACTCATAAAAAAATTTATCTTTATGCGAAATAAAGTCTTAGAGTCCCGGGGGTCACACTACGGTGCATATCGATCAACGTCAGGACCAACAGACGAGCTACCGAGAAGATTCTTCAGACCTTGACGATAATTTCCACTAAAACATATACAGATCCAAGGGTTCATCGCACAGTTCGACATAGCTAGAAATAAGGAAACGGACCGGAAGTAATAGAAGCCACAAGATGATGTTATTGTTCGGTCTGAGTTGAAGAACATGAACCACACAATACTTTGGGGCAGCCAACATAATGCATACTCCAACACGATGGCAACGGACAGTTTAAGAACATTCCATTGTATTTTCAAGCGTTTTTCTCTTGTGTTAGTTGATTGCTCTCCTGGAATTTTCTGGGATTTGATTTTTAAAGCAATGGCAGAGTAAACTATGGCGATAAAAACCAAAGGTGCATAAAACATTACAACATTCATCACCATAGAGAAGTTTTTGAAGGACGAGTATCCTTCGAATACGTCATTCCGATCAAGCACACACGTCAGCCCCTCTGGAGACTCGACCACCTTCGAGGCGAACAGGTATGGGCACCAGATAGCCATAGCGATGATCCAAGTGGCGGGAATGAAGAACCGGCATCGCTTTGAATTAATAAGCGGGGAACGGAGGGGAAATACCACAGCTCCAAACCGATCGACCGTTATTAGAACTAAGCTTTGAATAGACACAGCACAGGACACATTAGGTGCACAGATAATCAGCTTACATAACACTTGACCAAGCGGACCGCCTATCAGCCAGGAGCGAGTGTGTGTCAAAACCAAATTACAAGGAAAAAGGAAAATCGGAAAAAGCAAATCGGACATGGCCATGTTAACAGTCAAGAAATTAAAAGGCTTTCTCAGAGTTTTTGTCTTAAAGACAATCATTGCAACGAAGGTATTTCCAATCATCGTTGCAGTTACGTTTTCTGACATTCTTGAGAGATCAGTTCTTATTCAGTCAGTGGTTAACTGGAGGCTGCCTCTACTCTATTTAAAGAAAACAAATAAGTTCACACGGCAACCAGGTGGATAATCAGACATAGTTTGACGCTACTCTGGTTTGCAGATTTAATGAATGTAACCGAAGAAGTTACGATTCATAGACCCAACGTTTCGACACTCCTGTCTAGTTCCTTCATCAGGGGTGATCTAAACGCTGCAACAAGAGGTCCTTTTATATGATCACTAATTAGCGGCCTTTTTTCTGACGAGGTGTAAATAGGCGTCAGGAAGCAAACCGCCATCGTCACGATTTAAAGGAGTGTGGGCGGAGTTAATATGCCAAGCCTCCAAACAAAGGCGCCGATGGTAACGTCGATTAGTGGTGATAATTTTAGAATTATCCCACCCAATTGTATGGTTGGTTAGGCATGTATGCTCCGATAAAGCTGAATTTTCCTTTTTGCAAAGAAAAACGGCTTTTTGGTGCTCTTTTAACCGTGTACCAAACTGACGTTTGGTCTGTCCGATATATTCGTTGTCACAGTCATTGCAAGGAATAGAATAAATGGTGTCGGTTCGTTGTTCTTTCGTGACAGGATCCTTAGGTTTGGCTGGGCATATTTTTGTAGCTTTGGGGCATATTTTCGCCAAACCTAAGGATCCTGTCACGAAAGAACAACGAACCGACGCCAGCGGTTTTTCTTTGCAAAAAGGAAAATTCAGCTTTATCGGAGCATACATGCCTAACCAACCATACAATTGGGTGGGATAATTCTAAAATTATCACCACTAATCGGCGTTACCATCAGCGCCTTTGTTTGGAGGCTTGGCATATTAACTCCGCCCACGCTCCTTTAAATCGTGATGATGGCGGTTTGCTTCCTGTCGCCTATTTATACCTCGTCAGAAAAAAGGCCGTTAATTAGTGATCATATAAAAGGACCTCTTGTTGCAGGCTTTATACAAGATCAGTATTATTTTCTAATTTTGCTCAAGATGTTTTGGAGGATTACAGCAAATATGATATCTCCGGTGCTGTAAACATCTTAAACGACCGCCTACGCTCATCAACCTTCTGTGCTTCGGCCAGGACTATTCAAAAGTAAACATCGCCGAGGGACAAATTTCAGTCCCCGCGGTGAAACCAAAGTGCAGGTGATATGACTATCAAAGAAGAACAAAAAGACGAGTAAAGGAGTAAAAAAGAATAATTATCAGTTTCGATGAACTGTATCCCTGAAGTTGTTTTAAGCAAACGATAATTTCCCTTTTTTTAACCAATCTTTGACTTCGAGCAGTTTTCAGAGAACTACCTATATTCTTAATAAAAAAAACAAAGCTGTTTACCAACAAATAACTTTCATTAACTGTCTTTAACCAAACTTCTTTAACTGAGTTGGATTTAGTTTTCTATGAGGAACAGATCCAAAAGATTTTATCCCATAGTAAAAACTCCTTTCCTTACCCGCTTATTAACTTTTTTCCTGTCTTCATTTTGTATATTTTTATTTTATAAAAGCTGTAAGCAAAGTTGAATCCGATTCTCTTTCCCTCACTAACTGGATTCAAGCAGCTCGGTACCTGTGTTCCATTCATAGTTGCGATCACATTTGCCGACATTCAGCCAACAGCTCTGAACGCTATCTTTTTTTAAGTGAACGCAGGGATGATTTGCATAGATATTATCATTGTTCTAAATTGCATACGTTAGCTTCTCCAGAAATTCAAGAATATCGACAGATGTACCCTGAATCTTCATTTTGATTAGCAAAAGTATCTACAATTGACGTTGCCTGAGATGAAATAGTTGGGAATGAGGATGAAACACGGGAACCGCCCCTGAAAGCATGTAGTAAGAAGCGGTCAAGTTTCAGGTCTTTTTATTTGAACATGTTTTCAAAATTAAAAAGAATTATTAATAGGCATTCTTTTTATCGCCTTTTTTATATCTTTTTTTTTCAGAGGCATTGGGAAAAGCTTTATGCAATTACAAGAATGCGAATTTCGGAGGCATTGATTCTGACGTAGCCAAAGTGTGAAGGAACTGAAAGAAATTTAATATTTAAGTCGTCATCCATTATGCTCTATGAAAACCTGGGTGCCACCTGAAGCCTGTAATAAGAAGCGTTTAACTTTTGTCTCTCAGCTCTTTATTTGAACATAATTAAAAAAAATTTGAATTTTAAAACGTTTACTTTAAAAGACGGAAAAATAATTCAAGTCAACATTGGCACTCTTTTTTATCATTATCTTTTTGTCCCACTAGGGACGTAGGGAAATTGTTAACGATAACAAGGGAGCGAATTTCTAAATCATGATATAATTTCACAAAATCTGACGTTTCAGGCGTTTCTGCCTTTGTTGGATCCTTACATACGAAAGTTTGAAGGGAAGAGAAATTTTAAGTCACCCCTCATTATACTTTGAAAATGAAACCCGGGTACCAGCTGGAGCCTGTAATAAAAAAAGCCATTAAGTTTTTTCTCTCTTTATTTGAACATCGCATCGAACTTTCAATTTTCAAAAAAAAAGAAAAGATTAAATGACGAAAGCTATTAATTCAAGTCAATATCGGCATTCATTCTATTTTATCTTTTTAAATTTCTTTTTCCACCAGAATCATTTGGGAAATTTTCATACAATTACACGAGAGCGAATTTCTGACACAGATGACTTTATTTCACAGATCTGACATTTCTCGATTCTGACGGCCAAAGTGTAAAGGAAAAAGAAATTTTTAAAATTCGTCTCCCATTATGCTCTATGAAAACTTTGGGTGTCATCTGAAGCCTGTAATAAGAAGCGATTAAGTTTCGTCTGTCTTTATTTGAACATGTTCATATCTACGAATACAAGAAATCCTCGCAGCTATGAACGCTACTGAACTAGTAGTTGAAATAAGACCTGAAAAAAATTCAGGCCCGTACAGGATTTGAACCCATGACCTCTGCGATATCGGTGCAGCGCTCTACTACCTGAGCTAACAGGCCAACCGGGAACTAGTTATTACATTGGATCTAAATAAACTATCACATCACAGAGGTCATGAGTTCAAATCCCGTACGGGCCTGAAAATTTTTCTTCCGGTCTTATTTCAACTACTAGCTCAGTAGCGTTCATAGCTGCGAGGATCTCTTATATTCGTTTCTTCACCGCAGTGTACATATATGATTTTCATTTATCTACAGTCATTATGTTCATATCTTTTCGTCTGTCTTTATTTAATTTGAATATGTTTATATCATGTATGAAATCTTAATCAGAATTATAGGTGCGGGGGGGATAAAGTGTAAAAGAATCCGTGATCTCTTTCATATCATTAACTAATCATGATTGACAATCGACAATCTTGTACTAAATAAGTGAGTCATGGAACATTGGCAGCCCTTTCTCTCATTTCAATTAAGAAATACAAAATGAAACTTTATGGAAACTACGTCCGAGGAAACCTCTGCGTGCCATCTTTTATGCGCCTGCCTCCGCGCCTGTCTTTGCTGACTGTAAGCCTCCGACAGGCGAGATTCATGAATAAATTGAGGGGGAGGGAAGACAAGGAAACTTGATATATTGAATGTTACTAATCGAAATAAAGAAAAGAGATCTGACTGACGTCAACAAGCGGACTCTATTTGAACAGAATTGTTTAATCAGTGGCAAGAGAATACAAACATTTTTATTCTGTTGTCAGTAGCTTTCCTCTTTCAGATATTTTTCCACCCACAATATACGATTGAGAGAATCAAAAATTTGATAATTGCGTCAGGATGTCGCCAGCATATCGCGTCCTATTTTTGAATCTCTATGTAAGTGTTTGCTAATGTTTTACCTGTATGAGCACCTGTTTGAACAAACGAGGCCAAATTAAAAACTTTCTCACATTGTATTCTTACCAGAAGTAAGCAATATATGATGCACAGTAAATGTTTCCTCACGAAACATAGAAAATCTAGAAAATTTGGATTAATACATCTGATATGGTCATATCTACGATAAAGTGTTTGATAAAATGATAAGTTTCTCCCTGTGTTCTGTATGGTATTTATAATATAATCCAAATAAAGATGATATTCTATATCCGACAGGAATTAAAACCCTTTCTAATGCACATGACTGTAAGATTTTATCAGATACTACTTGATTAATATGTGTTATTCATAGTTGTTTCTAATGCAACGTTGACAGGATTCCTTAATGCATAACAACGGTTCACCTCTAGGAAAAAAATGTTTTTACGGCAACAGATTCGATTCTAAACCCCTTTTTGCACTTTGAAACGAAAAATATTCACACAACCGTGAACAAGATTAGTATTATTTTTTAATTTTACTTAAGATATTTTGGAGGAATAGAGGAAAAATGATATCTCCGTTGCCTTAAATCGACCGCATACGCTCATTAACCTTCCGTGCTTCGGCGAGGCCATCTATTCAAAATGTAACCATCGCTGAGCAACAAAATTCATTCCCCGCCGTGAAGCCAAAGTACAGGTAATATGACTATCAAAGAAGAACAAAAGGACGAAAGAGTAAAAAAAAAAAATATCGGTTTCGATGAACCGTATCCCTGAATAGGTTTTAAGAAAAGGATAATTTCCCTTTCTTTAACCAATCTTTGGCTCTGAGCAGGTCTCGGGGGGGCTACCTGTAGTCTCAATATACAAAACAAAGCTGATTACTCACAAATAGCTTTCATTTACTATCTTTAGCCCAACTTCTTTTACTGAGTTGGATCTGGTTTCCATGAGAAACAGATCCAAAAGATTTTTCCCCATGGTAAAAACTCCTTCCTTACTCGCTTATTAATTTTTTCCCAAAAAAGTCGCTTCAGACCGCACGACTTTTAGGGAAATTTGCATGAAGGCTTAAACCGTTATTTAGAATAATTATGGCTTAATGATCGTTTTATACATATAATTCTAGTTACATATTTGTAAACATGTTTTTGTAGACTGCTGTCGTTGAAATTTTCCCAAGAGGTAAAAGTATCAGATAAAAAATAAGATCGAATTGATCGCATGTAGCCTCCAACCACAGCTCTTTCATGACCATTGTGTTCGCGAAAACTTAACCCGTCCGCGCCTTGTTATACCCGAAAACATATTATTAAAATCCTCTTCTTTCACAATTAAAAGCAAGTTAACAGATTGTTTGAATGAGTGTGCTTGAAATGGTTTTTAAACGAAGGGATCAAAATATATTGAGAGCAATAGAAAGAATTACATCTGTTTATTCTTTGGCATGAAAAATAAAAAGAGATATCAAAGAAGTACATGGGACATTAGGGTTTGACTGAATTAGGAAAATAAATTGATCGAGAATTGAAAGAAATTTTGCGCTATTTAAACTTCATCAATTCCTTCCTTAGCACTCATATCACCGGTCACTTTGTAATTTGCTTTTTCCTCGGGGTCTGCATGAAATTTGCCACTCAGTTATATTTACACCTTGAATAAATGACCTCACCAGAGCACTTAACATAAGTGCGTTTATGCGGTCGTTGATGGCAACGGAAAACAGTAAAATTAAATTTTTCAGTTTACTGGGTTTTTCTCAAAAGAAACTCTTGGTTTCCCTATAATCCTTTAAAATACTGTGCACTGCATCTTGGAACATTTTCCTTCAATAATTATAGGCTGTCATCACACGGAACCAGCTGTCAAACGTTATTCAACAAATAACGCTATTTCAGTATTTGCTTTCCAGTCATTTGCTTAATTTTATTGCCTTTTTAATTCAGATCACGCCTCGCAGGGGAAGAAAATAACAAAATACAAAATAAAGACGGTATATACATTACTGAGTTGGATTTAGTTCTGCATGAGGAACAGATCCAAAAGATTTTTCCCACAGTAAAAACTTCTTTCCTTACTCGCCTATTAACTTTTTTTCCTGTCTTTATTTATTTATTTTTTATTTTATAAAAGCTGTAAGCAAAGTTGAATCCGATTCTCTTTCCCTCAGTAACTGGATTTAAGCAGCTCGGTATCTGTGTTCCATTCATCGTTGCGGTCACGTTCACCGACATTCGATATCCTATTTTTGAAACTCCATGTAAGTGTTTGCTAATGTTTTACCAGTATAAGCACCTGTTTGAACAAACGAGGCCAAATTAAAAACTTTCTCACATTGTATTCTTACCAGAAGTAAGCAATATATGATGCACAGTAAATGTTTCCTCACGAAACAAAGTTGGTGATTGAGCGTTCGGAATCTAGAAAATTTGGATTAATACATCTGATCTGGTCTAATCTACGATAAAGTGATTGATAAAATGATAAGTTTCTCCCTGTGTTCTGTATGGTATTTATAATATAATCCAAATGAAGATGATATTCTATATCCGACAGGAATTAAAACCCTTTCCAATGCACATGACTGTAAGATTTAATCAGATACTACTTGATTAATATGTTTTATTCATAGTTGTTTCTAATGCAACGTTGACAGGATTCCTTAATGCATATCAACGGTTCACCCCTAGGAAAAAGATGTTTTTACGGCAACACATTTGTTTCTAAACCCTTAAGTGTGGATGTTCTTTACTTTTCATAATGATGTATTTAATTTAGTTTCAGTTTAGTTTCCAAACAATTCTTATTATATTCCAAAGCGGCTGCCATGATACATTGCATCTTCATTAGCCCTGGCAACTCACTCAGCAGCCGAGGAGATTGTTAAGACCTTGGCGATAATTTCCACCGAAAATAAAACAGATGCAGGGGTTCATAGCGCTATTTGTTCGACTCAGTGGCAGAGCAACTTGCTCTAATAACTGTTTGAATCCACAGGACATTGTAGCATTGTTTTCATCTGCAAACATACGTACTAATGCAAAAATACTGAATGGAATCCAGCATACAGCGAACCCTAACACAATAACAATGGAAAGCTTCAATGCATTTCTCTCCCTTCTCAAGCGCTGAATTAGAGCGTTCATTGAGTGCTCGCCTGGTCCTCTCTGGGACTTCAGTTTCAAAAAAATCGCAAGATATAGAATAAACATCAGAACGAAGGGAATATAAAAAAATGCAATAAAAAGTGCCATAAAGTATTTTGTCACCGACGAGGAATCGTCAAAAACACGCATCCATTGCCGCACACACTTGTACTCATGATCATATTCGACCAGCTTGAACGCGACCAGATACGGGATGAATGTAGCCATGGCGATGATCCACGTGGCGAGAATAAAGAAGCGGTACAATTTTGAACTGAAGAGCGGGGAACGGAGGAGAAATACCACAGCTACAAATCGATCCACTGCTATGAGCACAAGGCTCTAAATTGACACAGCAGAGGAGAGATCGGCTGAAAAAGGAGCGAGCTTACACAAAACCTCGCCAAGATGGCCTCCAATGGGCCAATCATCGTCATGTATCTCTACTACAGTTTTCGGGATCAAGAATATCGGGAACAGTAGGTCTGACATAGCCATGTTCACAATTAGATAGTTGATGGGTTTTCGCATGGTTTTCGTCTTGTAAACAATTATTCCAATTTAGGAATTTCCAACCACAGAAATAATAAATATTACGCAGTAAGCAATTGTGTGCCCAATCCTCAACGCTGTGGGATTATAGCAGTTCGACGGCTGAGTTGCATTCACTGTTGCGCTCAAGTTCGTGGACATTTCGAAGACGCGTTCTTCAGTCACCGTTAAAGTCAAGTATTATCTTATGGAAGTCACAAACACCTCTATTTGTATTACCGCTTGCTGTGGAAGTGATGTGAAAATTTGAATATTTTATTTTGATGATGCACACTGAAACCAATTATTTGAGGTCTTTATTTGGGTTTGTTGTCATAGATCACGAAATTTTGTTTGTATTTTCCAGTTAATAGCTGTTTTTAAAATTGCCGTCGGCAACTATGGTGGAGCCGGAAAGAAGGAGAAATCTAGAAGAAAGTTTCACAGTTTTCTACGTTATCACCCGCTAATTCGTTACCAGTCCACGGGACACTTTTAAGACAAAATAAAAGCGCTTTAGGGCCTGAAAAAACCGAGTTCTAAGTTTTTTGAAATTTTTCTCTTATGGGAATTGGTTTGTACACATAATAAGCTAAATATTTACGCCAAAAAAATTTCGTGTCATGGGCACTTTAACTCTAATTACTTAGAATTCTTTAACTCATTTCGGCAGGTGAAAAAAGAAATTGTAAAAGGGATGTTTGAATTTTTAAATTGTTTGGGTTTGTTGTCATGGATCATGTCTTAAAGTGCCTGTGACGCGAAATTTTTTTTTTGCATTTTCCGGTTAATAGCTGTTTTTAAAGTTAGAAATAATCGACCTTAGCGCCTAGAGAGTTCTCCTTGACCAATTCTTTTGTGCATTCAAAGTACGATTTGGCGGCCAAAAAGTATCGCCATTAAGCGCGCGGCCAAAACGATCATATTACATAGCTGTGACGTAGAAAACGTCGGCAACTATGGTGGAGCCGGAAAGTAGGAGAAATCTAGAAGAAAGTTTGACAGTTTTCTACGTTATCACCCGCTAATTCGTTACCAGTCCACGGGACACTTTTAAGACAAAATAAAACCACTGAGTGATTATCACTCATGAAGCATGATGAAGCACTCTTTACTTTAAGTGTTTGGGGTTAGCCTTTCAAAAGCTGCGTTCTAGCAAAACTCTCAGTAATGAAAGTCAATTTCAAAACATCAGCATAATCTATCAGGAAGGGATTGCAGTTTTCCGCCGACAATGAATTCTCATTTAAGTTCGTGGTTAAATCGACGTCGTGCATGTGCGTAAAACAAGGATCGCCGTATTTTTTTCGAGTAAACGGCCTTGGTGCTTAATACATTTTTAGACTTTCAGAGTAACCGCGTATTCGAGGAGGGCGCTTTTGTGATTTACTTCATTTTCAGCAAGTATTTAGTTTATTTCGTCACAAAATGATAAATAATAACAATACGTGAAGATGTACCATAGTCAATGAATTTCGAGATTGTAAGGAAATATTGAATAAGTTATACTCCTCTTAGAGGATCTCAATCGGGTTAACCGTTAGGCATAAAACGGCCTAAAAGTTTAGCCGTTAGGCGGAAAAATTGGCAAATTTTAACCTTTAGTCGCAAAAAAAATTAACAGTAAAAATTTTCTTAATAATCACAAAGAAAGGAAGTTAACCGCTAGCCGTAAAATGGCCGACATTTTACCCGTTAACCATCGCCTTCTGAAGAGCCTTCTCCTATACACCACGATTTTTTTTTGCAAGCAGGGGGGTGGGGAGGGGAAGCAGAAGTAGAGGGGAGGGCCCATAATCGAGGTGAGGCGTCAATCCAATAAATACGGAACTTGTGAGGAATAACCGTAATAACAATTTAGCTTATGAGAGAAAAACCAGTCCGCATAGCTTTTTTTGATGTTATTTATTTCATCTTGGATTTAAATCAGACTTTATTTTTCTCATCTAATTATAGCAGCTTATTGATCGAAAAAAGTCTTTCATTTTACAGGCTGAGTCTGAAATATTTAAAATGATTGTTATATAAACATTAAAGTCGGAAATCCTGAAACCACAGTTCAAACAACTATTGGGGCGTTTGAAGGAAACTAGCTTGCATGAGCAAACTGGACGGAAGGTACCAAGAATTGTGCTCACGGAAGCTTCTTCTTTAATGAATTACGTTGCCGCCGCTACAACGTTTACAGTATTCCCTTTCTGATTAACTCCAACTCTAAAGCTTCTTCAGTTGAAAATACATACGGGCTGTCTTTTTTCGGGTACCAAGTCAAAAATTTCAGAAGCAATATAGCGAGGCTCTTCTAAAAGGGATTACGAACAGTTTCAACAAGTCAGAAAGAGATGGCCAGAGTTGTAAAATGTGGAAAGTTTGCTGTCACCAAACAGTAAATCAGTTGATGGATGGGTTTCGCTGCACCAACTACTTCATAAGTGTAGTTATTAGAGAGCTTGAGCATCGACGGCAGACGCGGACGGCAGCCGCAAGTTAAAAGTTCTTATTCCTTACGGTCGATGAATTAGTATCAAATCGCGCCAGGTTTTAGTTTTACTCTTTCTCCTGTTGCTGCCCGCGTCTCAAAAATTTCTCTGCTCAAATTCTCTATAAATAGGGATAAAGAAACGGCGGGCATGTTCAGCCACATCAATGCGCGGATAAATCCAAACAGCATGCAGAAGGCTGGGGAGAAAACGATAACTAAGCAGCTTCGCCTGTAGGAAAACAACCGAAGAGATTCTTGAGACCTTGACGATAATTACCACTGAAGATAAAACAGATGCAAGGATTTACAGCACAGTACGAGCGCGCCATAAGAAAGGCAATAATTTTAAAGTATTCCATGCCACAAGATGACCTCATAGCCATGTTTGATGAATAATGGAACAGCAAGGCGTAGATGCTGAGTGGCAACCAGCATACGGCGAACACCAGGACAATGGCAACGGACATATTAAGAACATTTCTTTCTTTCTTCAAACGCCGTTCTCTTGCGTTAGCTGATTGCTTCCCTGGCATCTTCTGCGATTTAATTTTTAAGGAAATGACAAAATAAAGTATGGAAATCAAAACCAAAGGGACATAGCTGGTAACAACGATCAATCCCAGTATGTAGGTTTGCTGCGATAGGAACTCTCCAAATATGTCATTCCGCTGCCACCGACAAAACAGCCCTTCTGAATACTCAAGAACTTTAAAGGCGATCAAATATGGGCAATGGACTGCCATGGCGACGATCCAAATGACGAGAATGAAGTACCGGCACTGCTTTGAACTGATCAGTGGGGAACGGAGAGGAAATACTACAGCTACAAATCGATCCACTGCGATCAACAACAGGCTCTGAATTGACACTAGAGTTGAGACATCTGCAGCGAAGGAACTCAGTTTACACGCCGCATGGCCAAGGGGACCGCCAACCAGCCAGTGGCCGGCCGTGTTTAACTCTACAAAAATTTTAGGAAAGAGGAAAATCGGGTACAACAGATCGGAGAGTGCCATGTTTACTATCAAAATGTTGATTGGTGTTCTTAGAGTTTTCGTCCTATAGACAATTATTCCAATGAAGGTATTCGCAGCCAGCGACACAACAAATAGCAGACAGTAGGCGAAGGTTCCTCCAATTCTTGTCGCTGTGGGGTTGAAGCAGCTCGACATGGACTGTGTTCCATTCACCATTGCTGTCACGTTTGCAGACATTTTTCGATACCAAGAGATCAGGTTTTTCTTCAGCCAACAGCCTTGCGGTGGGTACCTAAACTCGACTGGATGAAAACACAGCCTATCCATCTTATATAGATGAAACTTTCACATGTTTAATCAATGAACATACCTAGGAAAATTCTAGAAAATTGACAGTCTTCACCTGAGACCTCTAACTAAGAAAAGTATGGTTGGAATCAGCCGTTGTCCGAAATTAAGCAAACGATATGCTTTTTCAAATATTGTCGGCAAAAGGGACAATTTTCTCAAGTTTATAAGTAGGAGCCCATCCTATATGAGTTTATATAATCATTATCAATATTGTTCCAATGGCTCCAGAAATAGCCCAGCCACAGATGTTTACTGATATAGAACAACGGTTGACAGTTGGTAGCGAAAAGATCTACAATCTTCTCTTCAATTCAGAATTTATTTTTAATTATGTTGCCATCGAAAGTTTAATCCAGCCTCGAACTTACTGATTAGTCTTGTTGCTCAGTAGACTTGTTGGAGTTTTAAAGAAAATTTTCACGAAGTTGTAACAAAAAGGAAGGGTACAGGACAATATAAGGCCGACTTCTTATGTGCGATAAAAAATGGTATGGCTTCATAAGTCTTCTTTTCAATTCAGAATTTATTTTTAATTATGTTGCCATCGAAAGTTTAATTAGCCTGAGCTTGTTGCTCAGTAGACTGGTTGGAGTTTTAAAGAAAACTTTCAGGAAGTTGTAATAAAAGGGAAGGAAACAGCCGGAACAAAGCCGATTTCCTATATGCGAGAAAAATGGTATGGTTTCATAAGTCACCAGGAGAACTTGTAATAATTCAACAAATTTACGTGACAGAATTCATATGGCTTACGATGTAAATTTTTCGTTTAATCTTGTTTCTGTATTCGAGCAAAGATGATATCTCCGTTGCTTTAACCGACTTAAACGATCGCATACACTCATTAACCTCGAAATTCTTGTAACGGTGACAGCTTTTCAATCGACGTATTCCGGCCATTTATATCGTGTAAAGCCGCTCCATAAAATATTTAGCATTTTCTCTCTTTCGATTTAAAAAGCATCTAGGTCAACCAGAAGGAAATCAGCTAAAGAGACTCTTAAAGCTTTGATGAAACCCCGACGACAAATTTAGAATTCGATACCGCTCTCATACGTTATGCTGAAGTTGAGATGTGGCGCTGTAGGTGACGGTAAACATATCTACCCATTTGTAGACTTCGCAAAACCCCAACTAAAAATATAAATTCATTTGTTAAACTACATGTTCTTGCCGTTAGGATTGTTTAAGGTTAAAACGTATCACGTTTTGAAATACAACATGTATAGTCGTTTCCCGATTCCAGTTCACATATTAAGATCTTTCATGGTACGAATGGATGGTTTCAGTAATTTTTATTTTTCTAAGTGGTCATTTGGTTGTAAGACGTTTGTGAACTGAACACGTCAACGGAAAAAGACCCCCCATGGATGTTTGCATTGAAAACGCCGCCTAATTACTATGTCTTTTGAAAGACCTGCCGATGAAATATGTCAAAGCCACGGTATTTACACGTAATTTTTATGCACAGGGCTCAACCCTAGTTAGCAATTTGAATCTAATAAGCTTGTGCCTGATGGCACTTTGTTCACGAACTTCCCTTCAGCTGAGCGGATCATTTAAGTTTAGCGCCAACTGAAATGACTTGTGCTGGAAAAGATCAATCTTAGAAATTGAAGTTCCATGTTCTTCTTGATTCATGTTGTGACTGTTTTGAAATAACTTTTTAGATAATAACAAACCTTTCATTCGCCCTATTTAACTACAAAAACAATAGCTACAAAACAACCTTACGGTAAATTATCTCTGTCATAGTAACTTAATTAAGCGGTCTTTATCTTCAAATACCTTTGCATATTTCGAGACTACTTTTCGTGTAAACATTCCTTTTTGGGAATTTGCAACTGTCAGCTCAATTAATAAGTCACTTTCTATTTAACGAATTTCGAAATGCTTTTAACGGTGACAGCTTTTTAATCAAAGTATTCCGGCCATTTGTATCGTAAAGCCGCTCTGTAAAAATTTTGCATTTTCTTTCTTTCGATTTAAAAAGCATAATAGCAAATGGAGATAAATAGTTGACTTAAACGACTGCATAGGCTCATCAACCATATGTGCCTCGGCGAGTCCATCTAGTCAAAATGTAAACATCGCCGAGCGGCAAATTTCAGTCTCCGCGGTAAAACCAAAGTACAGGTGATATGACTATCAAAGAAGAACAAAAAGACGAAAGAGTAAAAAAAAGAATAAATATCGGTCTCGATGAACAGTACCCCTGAGGTTGTTTTAGGCAAACGATAATTTCCCTTTTTTTAACCAACCTTTGGCTCTGAACCCAACTTTTAAAATAAGAACTGTATGAACAGACAAAGCAGCGTAATTTTGCTTGAATTAGTTAGTTTATATTGAAGTCCATTCAGACCGGAATACGCTTCTTGCTTTATGTCTTGTACATCTTTTCGGGGAGTTAATTTCACTAACTTGTTAATTTATTTTCGTCACCAAAACTCCCATAAAGTTTCTTGAGGTTAACAAGATTTTCCGTTATAAAAAATTAAGCTTTTATACCTGGCTTCTTATCTTCTTCTGATTTTTTGACATGCCGCTGAATGCAAATGAGCGATCAGTTTCAAGCGGGACCAATGAATGTCTTTATCATCATAGTTTTTAAAAACATCAAACTGACAATCGACAAAGTTCACCTTTGTTATTGAGCATTTTATAGTGCGGGGCCTAGCTACGGCGGCGCAACCTGATTAGCCCTTAGCGCTATGGAGAAGCAAATGAAGGGATTTTTAGGACTCTGGCGGTAATGTCCAATGGAAATAAAACAAATGCAGAGGTTTACAGCACAGTATGAGTACATCAAAAATCGGACAATCTCCGTGAAATATTAAAATCCACAAGACCATATCACTGTTTTGTCTGATGAATAGATAATATTCCTTTTTCCATTAGAAGCATTTGGGAAATTTTCATACAATTACACGAGAGCGAATCTCCGACACAGATGACTTTATTTCACAGATCTGATATTTTCTCAATTCTGAAGGCCAAAGTGTAAAGGAAAAAGACATTTTTAAAATTCGTCCCCCATTATGCTTCATGAAAACTGGGTGTTATCTAAAGCCTGTAGTAAGAAGTGATTAAGTTCCGTCTGTCTTTATTTGAACATGTTCATATCTTTTCGTCTGTCTTTATTTAATTTGAATATGTTTATATTATATATGAAATCTTAATCAGAATTATAGGAGGGGGGGAAGTGTAAAAGAATCCGTGATTTCTTTCATCTCATTAACTAGTCATGATTTCTCGACAATTTTGTTCTAAATAAGTAAGTCATTGGCAGCCCTTTCTCTTATTTCAATTAAGAAATATAAAACGAAACTACGTCCAAGGAAACCTCTGCGTGCTATCTTTTATGCGCCTGCCTCCTCGCCTGTCTTTGCTGACTGTAAGCCTCCGACAGGCGAGATTCATGAAGAAATTGAGGGGGAGGGAAGACAAGGAAACTTGATATATTGAATGTTACTAATCGAAATAAAGAAAAGGGATCTGACAGACGTCAACAAGCGGACTCTATTTGAACAGAATTGTTTACTCAGTTGTAAGAGAATACAAACATTTTATATTCTGTTGTCAGTAGCTTTCCTCTTTCAGATATTTTTCCACCCACAATATACGATTGAGAGAATCAAAAATTTGATAATTGCGTCAGGATGTCGCCAGCATATCGCGTCCTATTTTTGAATCTCTATGTAAGTGTTTGCTAATGTTTTACCAGTATGAGCACCTGTTTGAACAAACGAGGCCAAATTAAAAACTTTCTCACATTGTTTTTTTACCAGAAGTAAGCAATATATGATGCACAGTTTCCTCACGAAACATAGAAAATCTAGAAAATTTGGATTAATACATCTGACATGGTCGTATCTTCTATGAAGTGATTGATAAAATGATAAGTATCTCCCTGTGTTCTGTAGAGTATTTATAATATAATCCAAATGAAGATGATATTCTATATCCGACAGGAATTAAAACCCTTTCTAATGCACATGACTGTAAGATTTAATCAGATACTCCTTGATTAATATGTTTTATTCATAGTTGTTTCTAATGCAACGTTGACAGAATTCCTTAATGCATATCAACGGTTCACGCCTAGGAAAAAGATGTTTTTACGGCAACAGATTTGTTTCTAGACCCTTAAGTGTGGATGTTCTTTACTTTTCATAATGATGTTTTTAATTTAGTTTCAGTTCAGTTTACAAACAATTCTTATTATATTCCAAAGCGGCTGCCATGATACATTGCATCTTCATTAGCCCTGGCAACTCACTCAGCAGCCGAGGAGATTGTTAAGACCTTGGCGATAATTTCCACTGAAAATAAAACAGATGCAGGGGTTCATAGCGCTATTTGTTCGACTCAGTAGCAGAGCAACTTGCTCTAATAACTGTTTGAATCCACAGGACATTGTAGCATTGTTTTCATCTGCAAACATACGTACTAATGCAAAAATACTGAATGGAATCCAGCATACAGCGAACCCTAACACAATAGCAATGGAAAGCTTCAGCGCATTTCTCTCCCTTCTCAGGCGCTGAATTTGAGCGTTCATTGAGTGTTCGCCTGGTCCTCTCTGGGACTTCAGTTTAAAAAAAATCGCAAGATATAGACTAAACATCAGAACGAAGGTAATATAAAAAAATGCAATAAAAAGTGCCATAAAGTATTTTGTCACCGACGAGGAATCGTCAAAGACAGGCATCCATTGCCGCACACACTTGTACTTATGATCGTATTCGACCAGCTTGAACGCGAGCAGATACGGGATGAATGTAGCCATGGCGATGATCCACGTGGCGAGAATAAAGAAGCGATACAATTTTGAACTGAAGAGCGGGGAACGGAGGGGAAATACCACAGCTACAAATCGATCCACTGCTATGAGCACAAGGCTCTGAATTGACACAGCAGAGTTGCATTCATTGTTGCGCTCAAGTTCGTGGACATTTCGAAGACGCGTTCTTCAGTCACCGTTAAAGTCAAGTATTATCTTATGGAAGTCACAAACACCTCTATTTGTATTACCGCTTGCTGTGGAAGTGACGTGAAAATTTGAATATTTTATCTTGATGATGCACACTGAAACCAATTATTTTAGGTCTTTATTTGGGTTTGTTGTTGTTTCCAGTTAATAGCTGTTTTTAAAATTGCCGTCGGCAACTCTGGTGGAGCCGGAAAGAAGGAGAAATCTAGAAGAAAGTTTGACAGTTTTCTACGTTATCACCCGCCAATTCGTTACCAGTCCACGGGACACTTTTAAGACAAAATAAAAGCGCTTTAGGGCCTGAAAAAACCGAGTTCTAATTTTTTTGAAATTTTTCTTTTATGGGAATTGGTTTTTACACATAATAAGCTAAATATTTACGCCAAAAAAATTTCGTGTCATGGGCACTTTAACCTCAATTACCTAGAATTCTTTAACTCGTTTCGGCAGGTGAAAAAAAAAATTGTAAAAGGGATGTTTGAATTTTTAAATTGTTTGGGTTTGTTGTCATGGATCATGTCTTAAAGTGCCTGTGACGCGAAATTTTTTTTTGCATTTTTTTAAAGTTAGAAATAATCGACCTTAGCGCCTAGCGAGTTCTCCTTGACCAATTTTTTGTGCATTCAAAGTAGGATTTGGCGGCCAAAAAGTATCGCCATAAAGCGCGCGGCAAAAGCGATCATATTACATAGCTGTGGCGTAGAAAACTGTGAAGACACGTCGGCAACTATGGTGGAGCCGAAAAGTAGAAGAAATCTAGAAGAAAGTTTGACAGTTTTCTACGTTATCACCCGCTAATTCGTTACCAGTCCACGGAACACTTTTAAGACAAAATAAAACCACTGAGAGATTATCACTCATGAAGCATGATGAAGCACTCTTTACTTTTAGTGTTTGGGCTTAGCCTGTTAAAAGCTGCCTTCTAGCAAAACTCTTAGTAATGAAAGTCAATTTCAAAACATCAGCATAATCTATCAGGAAGGGATTGCAGTTTTCCGCCGACAACGAATTCTCATATAAGTTCGTGGTTAAATCGACGTCGTGCATGTGCGTAAAACAAGGATCGCCGTATTTTTTTTCAGTAAACGCCCTGGGCGCTTAATACATTTTTAGACCTTCAGAGTAACCGCTTATTCGAGGTGGGCGCTAATTTTATTTTATTAATTTTCAGTAAGTATTTAGTTATTTCGCCACAAAATGGCAAATAATAACAATACGCGAAGATATACCATAGGTAGTAAATTTCGAGATTGTAAGGAAATATTGAATAAGTTATACTCCGCTTAGAGGCTCTCGATCGGGTTAACCGTTGGGCAAAACGGCCTAAAAATTTAGCCATTAGGCGGAAAAATTGACAAATTTTAATCTTTAGTCGCAAAAAAGGTTAACAGTAAAAATTTTCCTAGTAATCACAAAGGAAGGAAGTTAACCGCTAGCCGTAAAATGGCCGACATTTTAACTGTTAACCATCGCCTTCTGAAGAGCCTCCTCCTATACACTACTATTTTTTTTGCAAGCAGGGGGGTGGGGAGGGCGCATAATCGAGGTGAGGCGTTAATCCAATAAATACGGTACTTGAGAGGAATAACCGTACTAACAATTTAGCTTATGAGAGAAAAACCAGTCCGCATAGCTTTTTTTGATGTTATTTATTTCATTTTGGATTTAAATCAGACTTTATTTTTTCTCATCTAATTATAACAGCTTATTGATCGAAAAAAGTCTTTCATTTTACAGGCTGATTCTAAAATATTTCAAATCATATCAAACTCATGGGGTACAAATAGTCTTAACATGAATGTTGTGACCACGCCCACTTCAACACCCCACTCAAATCGAGTGTAATTTTCGAATGTTTTACCATCGTGCGGATTCTCTACGGAAAAAGCACTCAATGTACCTCTGAAATATTAAACTATAATATTGTGGCTTTCTATTTCGCTAATTTTCTAACTTGAAGGTAAAGTTTTTCCCTCGTCATTTTTACCTTTTCTCCGAGCGGTTGCGTGAAATTAACAAGGCGTTTTTGATCAAAACACGACCGAGCGAAGGGTCTCGGGTGATATCTCTTTTACTCAGGCGCAAATTAAAAATGTACCGCCAGAATCAAAAAGAGGAACAAATTTTCTTTGTTTTGATATGTAAAGTGTCGAACAAAAAGCAGATTTACCGTTCAAAACTGCTGTATCTTCCTCCTTTTGATTTTCCTGTTTTGTAAGCGTGAAAGCAGTAGGAGAGGGATCGGGAAACTCAGAAAGCGCTTCGGGAATTAATCTGCCATCGTTTACTTACAAGATAAACAAGTAAGATTTGTGAAGTTCGTTGAAGTATGAAGTCTAAATAAATGCCTTTTTAAAGCTTGTTTGCTGGATTTTTCGTAAACTTCCCTGATTAATTTTTCGTTTCAGCTTATTAGTCTATACTATTTCAAAGCAATGTCAAGACGAAGACGGAGAACCATGAGTCGGTCCTTTCAAAAATCGTAAACAAAGTGTTTGAGCAATCAGGTATACGAGGTGTAATAATCAATAGCCGCATATCAGAAGTCTTCAGAAAGAAAGTATTCTGCCTTCAGAAAGCTGTCAAGAAAGCTAATAATCGTGGCGGAAGGCAATTAAACGGGCCCTCGGTATCGATTTAATATCATATCGATCTCAATATCATACAGTTTTGTATCCCTTCTTCCGTGGATTCGCCTTTCTAACGAGGGTGTATGTTGAGAATTCATTGCAAAATCGCTTTGTGTTTTTTAATTTCCCTCTTTGACCTGTCCGCCATTTTGAAAAGTCGTAACAGAGAGCATGCGCATTACGTGGGGTTAGTGGTTGCGTACACCTGGAACCGAGAAAACAAATGTTCGTCGCACTGGGGAAAGAGTTTGATATGGATTGTTATATAAACATTAAAACTGGAAATCCTGAAACTACAGTTCAAACAACTATTGGGGCGTTTGAAGGAAACTGGCTTGCATGAGCAAACTGAGCGGAAGGTACCAAGAATTGTGCTCACGGAAGCTTCTTCTTTAATCAATTACGCGTTGCCGCTACAACGTTTACAGAATTCCCTTTCTGATTAAATCCAACTCTAAAGCTTCTTCTTTAATTTATTACACGTTGCCGCTACAACGTTTACAGTATTCCCTTTCTGATTAACTCCAACTCTAAAGCTTCTTCTTTAATTTATTACACGTTGCCACTACAACGTTTACAGTATTCCCTTTCTGATTAACTTCAGCTCTAAAGTTTTTCTTTAATTTATTACGCGTTACCGCTGGCGTGTGTTTTAAGGAGATCCCACATTATCTCAACAACGTCTATTGTCACTTTGCCTGACCAATTGAAAATACGTACGGGCTTTCTTTTTTCGGGTGCCAAGTCAAAAATTTCAGAAGTAATATAGCGAGGCTCTTCTAAAAGGGATTACGAACAGTTTCAACAAGTCAGAAAGAGATGGCCAGAGTTGTAAAATGTGGAAAGTGTACTGTCACTAAACAGTAAATCAGTTGATGGATGGGTTTCGCTGCACCAACTACTTCGTAAGTGTAGTTATTAGGGAGCTTAAGCATCAACGGCAGACGCGGACGGCAGCTGCAAGTTAAAAGTTCTTATTCCTTACGGTCGATGAATTAGTGTCAAATCGCGCCAGATTTAGTTTTATTCTTTCTCCTGTTGCTGCCCGCGTCTCCAAAATGTCTCTGCTCAAATTCTCTATAAATAGGGATAAAGAACCGGTGGGCATGTTCAGCCACATCAATGCGCAGATAAATCCAAACAGCATGCAGAAGGCTGGGGAGGAAACGATAACTAAGCAGCTTCGCTTGTAGGAAAACAACCGAAAAGATTCTTGAGACCTTGACGATAATTATCACTGAAGATAAAACAGATGCAAGGATTTACAGCACAGTACGAGCACGCCAGAAGAAAGGCAATAGTTCCAAAGTATTGCATGCCACAAGATGACCATATAGCTATGTTTGATGAATAAAGGGACAGCAGGGCGTAGATGCTGAGTGGCAACGAGCATACGGCGAACACCAAGACAATGGCAACGGACATATTTAGAACATTTCTTTCTTTCTTCAAACGCCGTTCTCTTGCGTTAGCTGATTGTTCCCCAGGAATCTTCTGCGATTTAATCCTTAAGGCAATGGCAAAATAAAGTATGGAAATCAAAACCAAAGGGATATAGTTGGTAACAAGGATCAATCCCAGTATGTAGGTTTGCTGCGATAGGGACTCTCCAAATGTGTCATTCCACTGCCACTGACAAAACAGCCCCTCTGGATACTCGACAACTTTCAGGGCGATCAAATATGGACAATGGACTGCCATGGCGATGATCCAAATGACGAGAATGAAGTACCGGCACTGCTTTGAACTAATCAGTGGGGAACGGAGAGGAAATACTACAGCCCCAAATCGATCCACTGCGATCAACAACAGGCTCTGAGTTGACACTAGAGTTGAGACATCTGCAGCGAAGGAACTCAGTTTACACGCCGCATGGCCAAGGGGACCGCCAACCAGCCAGTGGCCGGCCGTGTTTAACTCTACAAAAATTTTAAGAAAGAGGAAAATCGGGTACAACAGATCGGAGAGTGCCATGTTTACTATCAAAATGTTGATTGGTGTTCTCATAGTTTTCGTCCTATAGACAATTATTCCAATGAAGGTATTCACAGCCAGCGACACAATAAATAGCAGACAGTAGGCGAAGGTTTGACCAATTCTTGTCGCTGTGGGATTGAAGCAGCTCGACGTGGATTGTGTTCCATTCATCGTTGCAGTCACGTTTTCTGACATTCTTGAGAGATCAGTTCTTATTCAGTCAGTGGTTATCTGGACGTTGCCTTTACTCTATTTAAAGAAAACACAGCTGCTTATTTTGACAAACTTTAAAATTGTTTTATTTCGCTCCCTCCATGCAAAGCGTCATACTTTATTCATTGGAGAAAAACCGAAAAACAGTAAAAGAGTGCTCCTACCTTACCGAAAAACCTTCTCACAGTTTTTACTGAAGTATTCTTTCAAAAGAGCTGCAAAACCAATCAACAATTGGTCGTTTAAGGGAAACAATCTTTTTCAGGTACGGATCCAAAAGTTATTCCCGACAAGATGTTTTCGTCTTGTCACGAGCGTGCAACAAAGAAAAAAGTCTTAGTCCCCATGCGGAATCCGATTATGGGTTTCTCCTTCGGCCAACAGTTCTCTGTCTGACTCTGAATCCTACCTATGCTTTATGAAAGAAGACACAGCTAATTGTTTACTTATATACTAATGAATTCATAAATTTCGTCGGAGTCCTTAGTCGTATGCTAAAAGCTCTTAATTGAGAAGCTGCCTACACTCTATTTAAATAAAGCAGAGGTGACTGTCAACGAATACATTAAAAATTGATTAACTAAGAATCTTTAGATATCATTTTACTTTCATTTAATTTCGACTTGCAGTCTGTACTCAAAAAATTTTTTTTTAGGTAAGGAATAGAGTCAGTTGAAATAAGATTGTCAAGAACGAAAAATGATTTTGAATGCTATACTTTTTTTCAACCTTTTGGTATGATTGGTAAATGGTGAAAACAACAATTTTAGAGAAATGTATTTACATATAAAAGAGGAAAAACAAGTCGTTTCTAAGGAAGGTAGTTCAACGCAAGGCGTGATCTGAATCTAAAGGCAGACATTAATAAAGCACACGATAGAATGGCGAATACCGAAATAGAATAATTTAGTGATGTTGAATGACAGTTGACAGCTTGTCTCAGAATCATCACGTATGAGCAAACGATAATTTCCCTTTTTTTAACCAATCTTTGACTTTGAGCAGTTTTCAGAGAACTACCTATATTCTCAATAAACAAACAAAGCTGCTTACTAACAAATAACTTTTATTAACTTTCATTAACTGCCTTAAGCCAAACTTCTTTTACTGAGTCGGATTTAATTTTCTATGAGGAACAGCTCCAAAAGATTTTTCCCATAGTAAAAAGTCCTTTCCTTACTCGTTTATTAACTTTTTTCCTGTCTTTATTTTGTATTTTTTTTTATTTTATAAAAGTTGTAAGCAAAGTTGAATCCGATTCTCTTTCCCTCAGTAACTGGATTTAAGCAGCTCGGTACCTGTGTTCCATTCATTGTTGCGGTCACGTTCGCCAACAGCTCTGACGCTATCTTTTTTTAAGTGAACGCAGTGATGATTTGCAAAGATATTATTATTGTTCTAAATTGCATACGTTAGCTTCTCTAGAAGCTTAATTTCGACAGATGTACCCTGAACCTTCATTTTAATTAGCAAAAGTATCTACGATTGTAGTAGCCTGAGATGAAATAGTTGGGAATTATCTCATTTGGATAATTTTACTTTAAATAGAAATATCATTGGCCTCAGGAACATTTGTAGAAAGTTCCATTTTCTTCTGTTTCCGCATCTTGACGTGTATGTACAACGCTTTGAATACATATCAAAAATTTGTATTTCAGTCACTTGATGATAATTGTTGTGGTTGTTTCTTGATCGCTTGTTTGCATACTACTTTCGTAACAGACGATTGACGGATGTCAGTTTCCCTTCCAGGATAATTAACTTGTGAAAAACTAATATGAGCTAACAAAAAGCGAGGAATATGTCAAGTTATGCGTATCTTTTTTCTTTTGAGCACGAAAACGGCCTGATAATTGAGAGACGGAAAACGGGGAAAGAGGTTAAAATGAAAGCCGTCTGCTTCCTTTCCCTGCGAGGCGTGATCTGAATTAAAAAGGAGATAAATGTTTAGCAAATGACTGAAAAGCAAAAGCTAAAATAGCGTTATTTATTGAATTACGTTTGACAGCTGACTCCATGTGATGGCGGCTTATAATAAGTGAAGGAAAATGTTCTATGATGTAGTACACACTATTTTAAAAGATTATAGAGAAACCAAGAGATTCTTTTGAGAAAAACCTAGTAAACTGAAATATTTGATTTTACTGTTTTCCATTTTCATAAACGACCGCATAAACTTCAACAAAACCACAAATGGAACGCAGACAACATCGTGCTTCGATCCTACAGCAAGAAGAATCGGATACACTGTTACTTACAGCCTGATCTCTGTAGTTTCACGAGAGAAGTTCACAAAGTCTGACGTTTCAGGCGTTTCTGCCTTTGTTGGTCCTGACATACGAAAGTTTGAAGAGAATACAAATTTTAAGTCACCTCTCATTATACTTTGAAAATGAAACCCGGGTACCAGCTGGAGCCTGTAATAAAAAAGCCATTAGGTTTTGTCTCTCTTGACATCGCATCGAACTTTCAATTTTCAAAAAAAAAAGGAAAAAAATAAAAAGACCAAAGCTATTAATTTAAGTCAATATCGGCATTCATTCTATTTTATCTTTTTCAATTTCTTTTTCCACCAGAAGCATTTGGGAAATTTTCATACAATTACACGAGAGCGAATTTCCGACACAGATGACTTTATTTCACAGATCTGACATTTTCTCGATTCTGACAGCCAAAGTGTAAAGGAAAAAGAACTTTTTAAAATTCGTCCCCCATTATGCTCTATGTCATCTGAAGCTTGTAATAAGAAGCGATTAAGTTTCGTCTATCTTTATTTGAACATGTTCACATCTACGAATACAAGAAATCCTCGCAGTGTAAAAGAATCCGTGATCTCTTTCATATCATTAACTAATCATGATTGCTCAACAATCTTGTACTAAATAAGTGAGTCATGGAACATTGGCAGCCCTTTCTCTCATTTCAATTAAGAAATACAAAATGAAACTTTATTGAAACTACGTCCGAGGAAACCCCGCGTGCCATCTTTTATGCGCCTGCCTCCCCGCCTGTCTTTGCTGACTGTAAGCCTCCGACAGGCGAGATTCATGAATAAATTGAGGAGAGGGAAGACAAGGAAACTTGATATATTGAATGTTACTAATCGAAATAAAGAAAAGAGATCTGAAAGACGTCAACAAGCGGATTCTATTTGAACAGAATTGTTTACTCAGTTGCAAAAGAATATTAAATGTTTATATTCTCTTGTCTGTAGCTTTCCTCTTTCAGATATTTTTCCACCCACAATATACGATTGAGAGAATCAAATATTTGATAATTGCGTCAGGATGTCGCCAGCATATCGCGTCCTATTTTTGAATCTCTATGTAAGTGTTTGCTAATGTTTTACCAGTATGAGCACCTGTTTGAACAAACGAGGCCAAATTAAAAACTTTCTTACATTGTATTCTTACCAGAAGTAAGCAATATATGATGCAAAGTAAATGTTTCCTCACGAAACAAAGTTGGTGATTGGGCGTTTGGAATCTAGAAAATTTGGATTAATACATCTGATATGGTCATATCTACGATAAAGTGATTGATAAAATGATAAGTTTCTCCCTGTGTTCTGTAGAGTATTTATAATATAATCCAAATGAAGATGATATTCTATATCCGACAGGAATTAAAACCCTTTCTAATGCACATGACTGTAAGATTTTATCAGATACTACTTGATTAATATGTGTTATTCATAGTTGTTTCTAATGCAACGTTGACAGGATTCCTTAATGCATATCAACGGTTCACCCCTAGGAAAAAAATGTTTTTACGGCAACAGATTCGTTTCTAAACCCTTAAGTGTGGATGTTCTTTACTTTTCATAATGATGTATTTAATTTAGTTTCAGTTCAGTTTACAAACAATTCTTATTATATTCCAAAGCGGCTGCTATGATGTTACATTGCATCTTTATTAGCCCTGGCAACTCACTCAGCAGCCGAGGAGATTGTTAAGACCTTGGCGATAATTTCCACTGAAAATAAAACAGATGCAGGGGTTCATAGCGCTATTTGTTCGACTCAGTAGCAGAGCAACTTGCTCTAATAACTGTTTGAATCCACAGGACATTGTAGCATTGTTTTCATCTGCAAACATACGTACTAATGCAAAAATACTGAATGGAATCCAGCATACAGCAAACCCTAACACAATAGCAATGGAAAGCTTCAGCGCATTTCTCTCCCTTCTCAAGCGCTGAATTTGAGCGTTCATTGAGTGTTCGCCTGCTCCTCTCTGGGACTTCAGTTTCAAAAAAATCGCAAGATATAGAATAAACATCAGAACGAAGGGAATATAAAGTGCCATAAAGTATTTTGTCACCGACGAGGAATCGTCAAAAACACGCATCCATTGCCGCACACACTTGTACTCATGATCATATTCGACCAGCTTGAACGCGAGCAGATACGGGATGAATGTAGCCATGGCGATGATCCACGTGGCGAGAATAAAGAAGCGGTACAATTTTGAACTGAAGAGCGGGGAACTGAGGGGAAATACCACAGCTACAAATCGATCCACTGCTATGAGCACAAGGCTCTGAATTGACACAGCAGAGTTGCATTCATTGTTGCGCTCAAGTTCGTGGACATTTCGAAGACGCGTTCTTCAGTCACCGTTAAAGTCAAGTATTATCTTATGGAAGTCACAAACACCTCTATTTGTATTACCGCTTGCTGTGGAAGTGATGTGAAAATTTGAATATTTTCTTTTGATGATGCACACTGAAACCAATTATTTTAGGTCTTTAATTGGGTTTGTTTTTGTTTCCAGTTAATAGCTGTTTTTAAAATTGCCGTCGGCAACTCTGGTGGAGCCGGAAAGAAGGAGAAATCTAGTAGAAAGTTTCACAGTTTTCTACGTTATCACCCGCTAATTCGTTACCAGTCCACGGGACACTTTTAAGACAAAATAAAAGCGCTTTAGGGCCTGAAAAAAACGAGTTCTAATTTTTTTGAAATTTTTCTTTTATGGGAATTGGTTCGTACATATAATAAGCTAAAGATTTACGCCAAAAAAATTTCGTGTCATGAGCACTTTAACCCTAATTACCTAGAATTCTTTAACTCATTTTGGCAGGTGAAAAAAAGAAATTGTAAAAGGGATGTTTGAATTTTTAAATTGTTTGGGTTTGTTGTCATGGATCATGTCTTAAAGTGCCTGTGACGCGAAATTTTTTTTTGCATTTTCCGGTTAATAGCTGTTTTTAAAGTTAGAAATAATCGACCTTAGCGCCTAGCGAGTTCTCCTTGACCAATTTTATGTGCATTGAAAGTACGATTTGGCGCCTAAAAAGTATCGCCATGAAGCGCGCGGCAAAAGCGATCATATTACATAGCTGTGACGTAGAAAACTGTGAAGACACGTCGGCAACTATGTGGAGCCTGAAGTAGGACAAATCTAGAAGAAAGTTTGACAGTTTTCAACGTTATCACCCGCTAATTCGTTACCAGTCCACGGGACACTTTTAAGACAAAATAAAACCACTGAGAGATTATCACTCTGAAGCATGATGAAGCACTCTTTACTTTTAGTGTTTGGGCTTAGCCTGTTAAAAGCTGCATTCTAGCAAAACTCTTAGTAATGAAAGTCACTTTCAAAACATCAGTATAATCTATCAGGGATCGCAGGGATCGCAGTTTTCCGCCGACAATGAATTCTCATATAAGTTCGTGGTTAAATCGACGTCGTGCATGTGCGTAAAACAAGGATCGCCTTATTTATTCGAGTAAACGCCCTAGGCGCTTAATACATTTTGAGACCTTCAGAGTGAGCGCTTATTCGAGAAGGGCGCTTATTTGATATTTTTCATTTTCAGCAAGTATTTAGTTTATTTCGCTACAAAATGATAGATAATAACAATACACGAAAATGTACCATAGGCAGTGAATTTCGAGATTGTAAGGAAATATTTAATAGAGGCTCTCGATTGGGTTAACCGTTAGACTCCAACGCCAAAGCTTCTTCTTTAATTTATTACACTTTGCCGCTACAACGTTTACAGTTCCCTTTCTGATTAACTCCAACTCTAAAGCTTCTTATTTAATTAATAACGCGTTACTGCTACAACGTTTACAGTATTCCCTGACCAATTGAAAATACCTACTAGCTGTCTTTTTTCGGGTGCCAAGTCAAAAATTTCAGAAGCAATATAGCGAGGCTCTTCTAAAAGGGATTACGAACAGTTTCAGCAAGTCAGAAAAAGATGACCAGAGTTGTAAAATGTGGAAAGTTTACTGTCACTAAACAGTAAATCAGTTGATGGATGGGTTAGGCCGCACCAGCTACTTCGTTAGAGTAGTTATTAGGGAGCTTAAGCATCAACGGCAGACGCGGACGGCAGCCGCAAGTTAAAAGTTCTTATTTCTTGCGGTCGATGAATTAGCGTCAAATCGCGCCAGATTTAGTTCCATTTTTCTCCTGTTGCCGCCCGTGTCTCAAAAAAAGTCTCTGCTCAAATTCTCTAGAAGTAGGGAGAAAGAACTGGAGGGAACGTTCAGCCACATTAATCCTCAGATAAATCCAAACGGCATGCAGAAGTCTGGGGAGGAAACGATAGCTAAGCCGCTTCGCCTGTAGAAAAGCAACTGATGAGATTCTTAAGACATAGACGATAACTACCACTGAAGATAAAACAGATGCAAGAGTTTACAGCACAGTACAAGTACGCCAGAAGAAAGGAAATAGTTTTAAAGTATTGCATGCCACAAGATGACCTCATAGCTATGTTTGATGAATAAAGGGACAGCAAGAGGTAGATGCTGAGTGGCAACCAGCATACGGCGAACACCAAGACAATGGCAACGGACATATTAAGAACATTTCTTTCTTTCTTCAAACGCCGTTCTCTTGCGTTAGTTGATTGCTTCCCTGGAGGCTTCTGCGATTTAATTCTTAAGGTAATGGCAAAATAAAGTATGGCAATCAAAACCAAAGGGACGTAGCAGCTAACAACGATCAATCCCAGAAAGTAACTTTCAAACGATAGGGACTCTCCAAATGGGTCATTCCACTGCCACTGACAAAACAGCCCCTCTGGATACTCGACAACTTTCAGGGCGATCAAATATGGACAATGGACTGCCATGGCGATGATCCAAATGACGAGAATGAAGTACCGGCACTGCTTTGAACTAATCAGTGGGGAACGGAGAGGAAATACTACAGCCCCAAATCGATCCACTGCGATCAACAACAGGCTCTGAGTTGACACTAGAGTTGAGACATCTCCAGTGAATAGACTTAGTTTACACGCCGCATGGCCAAGGGGACCGCCAATCAGCCAGTGGCCGGCCGTGTTTAACTCTACCGAAATTTTAGGAAAGAGGAAAATCGGGTACAACAGATCGGAGAGTGCCATGTTTACTATCAAAATGTTGATTGGTGTTCTCATAGTTTTCGTCCTATAGACAATTATTCCAATGAAGGTATTCGCAGCCAGCGACACAACAAATAGCAGACAGTAGGCGAAGGTTCCTCCAATTCTTTTCGCTGTGGGGTTGAAGCAGCTCGACATGGACTGTGTTCCATTCACCATTGCTGTCACGTTTGCAGACGTTTTTCGATACCAAGAGATCAGGTTTTTCTTCAGCCAACAGCCTTGCGGTGGGTACCTAAACTCGACTGGATGAAAACACAGCCTATCCATCTTATATAGATCAAACTTTCACATGTTTAATTAATGAACATACCCGGGAAAATTCTAGAAAATCGACAGTCTTCACCTGAGACCTCTAATTAAGAAAAGCATGGTTGGAATCAGCCGTTGTCCGAAATTAAGCAAACGATATGCTTTTTCAAATATTGTCGGCAAAAGGGACAATTTTCTCAAGTTTATAAGCAGGAGCCCATCCTATATGAGTTTATATAATCATTATCAATATTGTTCCAATGGCTCCAGAAATAGCCCAGCCACAGATGTTTACTGATATAGAATAACGGTTGACAGCTGGTAGCGAAAAGATCTACAATGTTCTTTTCAATTCAGAATTTATTTTTAATTATGTTGCCATCGAAAGTTTAATCCAGCCTCTAACTTACTGATTAGTCTTGTTGCTTAGTAAACTTATTGGAGTATTAAAGAAAATTTTCACGAAGTCGTAACAAAAAGGAAGGGTACAGGACAATATAAGGCTGACTTCTTATGTGCGATAAAAAATGGTATGGCTTCATAAGTCTTCTTTTCAATTCAGAATTTATTTTTAATTATGTTGCCATCGAAAGTTTAATTAGCCTGAGCTTGTTGCTCAGTAGACTGGTTGGAGTTTTAAAGAAAACTTTCAGGAAGTTGTAATAAAAGGGAAGGAAACAGCCGGGACAAAGCCGATTTCCTATATGCGAGAAAAATGGTATGGTTTCATAAGTCACCAGGAGAACTTGTAATAATTTAACAAATTTACATGACAGAATTCATATGGCTTACGATGTAAATTTTTCCTTTAATCTTGTTTCTGTATTTGAGCAAAGATGATATCTCCGTTGCTTTAACCGACTTAAACGATCGCATACACTCATTAACCTTCTGTGCCTCGGCGAGGCCATCTATTCAAAATGTAAACATCGTTGAGCAACAAAATCAGTCCCCGCGGTAAAACCAAAGTACAGGTGATATGACTATCAAAGAAGAACAAAAGGACAAAAGAGTAAACAAGGATAAATATCGGTTTCGATGAACCGTATCCCTGAAGTTGTTTTAAGAAAAGGATAATTTTCCTTTCTTTAACCAATCTTTGGCACCGAGTAGTTCTCGGGGGGCTACCTTTAGTCTCAATAAACAAAACAAAGCTGATTACTGACAAATACCTTTCATTTACTTTCTTTAGTCCAACTTCTTTTACTGAGTTGGATTTAGTTTTCCATGAGGAACAGATCCAAATGATTTTTCCCATAGTAAAAACTCCTTTCTTACTCGCTTATTAACTTTTTCCTGTCTTTATTTTGTATTTTGTTATTTCATAAAAGCTGTAAGCAAAGTCGAATTCGATTCTCTTTCCCTCAGTAACTGGATTTAAGTAGCTCGTTACCTGTGTTCCATTCATCGTTGCGATCACATTGCCGACATTCAGCCAACAGCTCTGAACGCTCTTTTTTTAAGTGAACGCAGTGATGATTTGCATAGATATTATTATTGTTCTAAATTGCATACGTTAGCTTCTCCAGAAATTTAAGAATATCGACAGATGTACCTGAACCTTCATTTTGATTAGCAAAAGTATCTACAACTGTAGTTACCTCGGATGAAAGAGTTGGGAATGATCTCATTTGGATAATTCTACTTTAAATAGAAATATCATTGGCCTCAGGAAAGTTTTAGAAAGTTCCATTTTCTCAGTCTATTTTCTTCTCTTGACGTGTATGTAAACAGCTGGTAATTACAACATTCAATTTAAGGAAAGGAGAGACTTCCCTGAGAATTTATTAGTTATCGCATTTTTTATTTTGTTTCGTAAAAAATTAGCTGTAAGGAAGCGATACTACCTCGTGGAAAGAATCTGCCACAAAATAACATGCATGTCCTTATTTATAAACATCTTTGTTAATTGCTACAGTATTTTCGGCGTAAAACTGTAAAGGTTTTTGTACGCTTTCAATACGTATCATAAATTTGTGCTTCAGTTACTTGATGCTGATTTTTGTATTTTTTAATTGACCGCTTGTTTGCATACTATTTTTGTACCAGACGCTTGACGGATGTCAGCTTCCAAGCCAGAATGAGTCGTGAAAAACTAATATCAGCTAACAAAAAGCGAGGAATGTGTGTGCGAGAACGGCCTGGTAATTGAGGAGCGGGAAACGGGGAAAAAATGAAGTTAAAATGAAAGCTGGCTGTTTTCTTCCCCTGCGAGGCGTGATCTAAATTAAAAAGACAATAAAACTTAAGCAAACGACTGGAAAGCAAAAACTGAAATAGCGTTATTTGTTGAATAACGTTTGACAGCTGGTTTCATGTGATGACAGCTTATAATAAGTGAAGGAAAATGTTGCAGGATGTAATATACAGTATGTTAAAGGATCACAGAGAAACCAAGAGATTCTTTTGAGAAAAAACTTATTAAACTGAAAAGTTTAATTTTACCGTTTTCCGTTGCCATAAACGACCGCATAAACGCACTTATGTTAAGTGCTCTGGTGAGGTCATTTATTCAAGGTGTAAATATTACTGAGCGACAAATGTCATGCACTCCCAAAGGTAAAAGCAAATTACAAAGTGGCCGGTGATATGAGTGGTAAGGAAGGAATTGATGAAGTTTAAAAAGCGCAACATTTCTTTCAATTCTCGATCAATTTTGTTTTCTTAATTCAGTCAACCCCAATGTCCCATGTACTTCTTTGATATCTCTTTTTATTTCTCATGCCAAAGAATGAACAGATGTTATTCTTTCTATTGCTCTAAATATAATTTCGTCCCTTCGTTTAAACCTATTTCAAGCACACTCATTCAAACAATAAGTTAACTTTCTTTTCATTGTGAAAAAAGAAGATTTTAATTATATGTTTTCTTGTATATATAACAAGGCGTGGTCGGGTTAATTTTTCGCGAACACAAAAGTCATGAAAGGGCGGTGGTTATGTAATATGTTTTGTCTTTATTTACTGGATGCTACATGTGATCAATTCGATCTTATTTTTTTATCTGATCCTTTAACCTCTTGGAAAAATTTCAACGACAGCGCTCTACAAAAAGTGTTTACAAAATATGTACCTAGAATTATATATATTAAACGATCATTAAGCCATAATTATTCTAAATAACGGTTTAAGCCGTCATAAAAATTTTCTTAAAAATACTTTGAGTTGCCAGTTAGGTATAGACACGAAGTCGTGCGGTCTGAAGTGACTTTTTCTAAGGAGTTTGAAGATCCTGGTTTATTTCAACTTCCTTAACCGGTCATTTTGAATTAATAAGTGCCAGAATACCAGTAGACAAGATATTTTATATATATATATTTTTTTTTGGCGGGGTCGATTGAGTTGTATCCTAATCTTTAAATTTCGTTCGTGACTATTCAAAGAAGGAGTTTCACTTCAAAGTCGTATTAATTAACCCATTTCTGTTATATATCAGCAGTAAAGCTGACATATTGTGTACCTGCACCAGAAACATCGTAAGCTAGTGAGCGAACATGCAACAGCTCGGGGGCTCAAACTACAACATAGCATATGGGTCAACCAGAAAGAACTGCCAGCTGTCCAACTGTCAGCTTAATCAATAAGTCGCTTTCAGCTCAAAGACTTTCGAAATTCTTGTAACGGTGACAGCTTTTCAATCGACGTATTCCGGCCATTTATATCGTGTAAAGCCGCTCCATAAAATATTTAGCATTTTCTCTCTTTCGGTTTAAAAAGCATCTAGGTCAACCAGAAAGAAATCAGCTAAAGAGACTCTTAAAGCCTTGATGATAATTTCCATAGAAAGCGAAACAGATTAGTGATGGTAATAAAACCGAGTGAAGTCTAATTCGGTCTGTAATCATACGAGGGATCGACTAAATCAAACGACTGCGAAGTGGGAGTCCGATTTGTTGATCACGAGTATGATTACAGATAGACTTGGAAGACAAGAAGTGAAAACAACAATTTTAGAGAAGTTTATTTACATATAAAAGACGAAACACAAGTCATTTTTAAGGAAGGTAGCTGAACGCAATGCGTGATCTGAATCTAAAGGCAAACATGAATAAAGCACATGATAGAATGGCAACTACCGAAATAGAATAATTTAGTGATGTTGAATGACAGTTGACAGCTTGTCTCAGAATCATCATGCATGAGAAAGAAGTTTTTCTAAAATAGAAAAGTTTAAGTGTGACGTTAACGGCAAATGGTATTGCAAAAGGCGACTATACAACGTTTTTCAGTTTACTTTCAGCTTTAATACCTGCCAGACAACTTTGGATTATTTCCGTCCAACTAATGGCTATTATAATTTATATGTTAATAATCAGACTTTTTTCCATAAATTGAGTGAAGAAAACACTTATTTAAATAGAGTGTAAGAACCCACAAGAGAAGTGCAACCTGAGGAAGACACTCAGAATCTCTGAGCGTGTAAATTAAAAATTCATTTTTAAGCCATAGATGGTCATAGATGTGAATCAAGTTAATGAACCACTTCTCTGTACTTTCTCATCTGATCTGGCTTTATTTTTACGAACTTAGAAATATGATCATACTCAGACGGCCCAGACGAGAACGGAACAAACGAAGGATCTAATGGGTAAAACAAATAGCTCAGCACGTGCGTTTTAAAATTTCCTTCATTATTTTAGCCGTCCTCTGCAAAACATCAACGTGAAATGACCAAAAATTTGCGTCCACTGGGAACGGAAACCCCGAAGGCAAATTTAGAATTCGACACCGCTCTCATACGTTATGCTGAAGTTGAGATGTGGCGCTGTAGGTGACGGTAAACATATCTACCCATTTGTAGACTTCGCAAAACCCCAACTAAAAATATAAATTCATTTGTTAAACTACATGTTCTTGCCGTTAGGATTGTTTAAGGTTAAAACGTATCACGTTTTGAAATACAACATGTATAGTAGTTTCCCGATTCCAGTTCACATATTGAGATCTTTCGTGGTACGAATTGATGGTTTCAGTAATTTTTATTTTTCTCAGTGGTCATTTGGTTGTAAGAAGTTTGTGAACTGAGTACGTCAATGGAAAAAGACCCCCTACGGATGTTTGCATTGAAAACGCCACTTAATAACTGTCTTTTGAAAGACCTCCCGATGAAATATGTCGGTATTGACACATAATTTTTATGCACAGGGCTCAACCCGAGTTAGCAATTTGAATCTAATAAGCTTGTGCTTGATGGCACTTTGTTCACGAAACTTCCCTTCAGCTGAGCGGATGATTTAAGTTTAGCGCTAACTGAAATGACTAGTGCTGGAAAAGATCAATCTTAGAAATTGAAGTTCCATGTTCTTCTTGATTCATGTTGTGACTGTTTTGAAATGACTTTTTAGATAATAAAAAAACCTTTCATTCGCCCTATTTAACTACAAAAACAATAGGTAAAAAACAACCCTATGGTAAACTATCTCTGTCATAATAACTTAATTAATCGGTCTTTATCTTCAAACACCTTTGCATATTGCGAGACTACTTTTCGTGTAAACATTCCTTTTGGGGATTTCCAACTGTCAGCTCAATTAATAAGTCACTTTCTATTTAACGGGTTTCGAAATTCTCTCGACGGTGACAGCTTTTTAATCAACGTATTCCGGCCATTTGTATCGCGTAAAGCCGCTCTGTAAAAATTTTGCATTTTCTTTCTTTCAGTTTAAAAAGCATAATAGCGAATGGATAATAAATAGTTGACTTAAACGACTGCATAAGCTCATCAACCATATGTGCCTCGGCGAGTCCATCTAGTCAAAATGTAAACATCGCCGAGCGGCAAATTTCAGTCTCCGCGGTAAAACAAAGAACAGGTGATACGACTATCAACGACTATCAACGAATAACAAAAAGACTAAAGAGTAAAAAAAGAATAAATATCGGTTTCGATGAACCGTACCCCTGAGGTTGTTTTAGGCAAACGATAATTTCCCTTTTTTCAACCAATCTTTGGCTCTGAACCCAACTTTTAAAATAAGAACTGTATGACAAAGACAAAGCAGCGTAATTTTGCTTGAAGGGATCAAAATATATTGAGAGCAATAGAAAGAATAACATCTGTTTATTCTTTGGCGTCAGAAATAAAAAGAGATATCAAAGAAGTACATGGGACATTGGGGTTTGACTGAATTAGGAAAAAAAATTGATCTAGAATTGAAAGAAATTTTGCGCTATTTAAACTTCATCAATTCCTTCCTTAGCACTCATATCACCGGCCACTTTGTAATTTGCTTTTACCTCGGGGTCTTCATGACATTTGCCACTCAGTAATATTTACACCTTGAATAAATGACCTCACCAGAGCACTTAATATAAGTGCGTTTATGCGGTCGTTGATGGCAACGGAAAACAGTAAAATTAAATTTTTCAGTTTACTGGGTTTTTCTCAAAAGAAACTCTTGGTTTCTCTATAATCCTTTAAAATACTGTGCACTACATCTTGGAACATTTTCCTTCAATAATTATAGGCTGTCATCACACGGAACCAGCTGTCAAACGTTATTCAACAAATAAAGGTATATCAGTATTTGCTTTCCAGTCATTTGCTTAATTTTATTGCCTTTTTAATTCAGATCACGCCTCGCAGGGGAAGAAAAATAACAAAATACAAAATAAAGACGGTATATACATTACTGAGTTGGATTTAGTTCTGCATGAGGAACAGATCCAAAAGATTTTTCCCACAGTAAAAACTTCTTTCCTTACTCGCTTAATAACTTTTTTCCTGTCTTTATTTATTTATTTTATATTTTATAAAAGCTGTTGGCAAAGTTGAATCCGATTCTCTTTCCCTCAGTAACTGGATTTAAGCAGCTCGGTACCTGTGCTCCATTCATCATTGCGGTCACGTTCACCGACATTCGATATCCTATTTCGATATCCTATCCTTAGCAGATACTACTTGATTAATATATTTTATTCATAGTTGTTTCTAATGCAACGTTGACAGAATTCCTTAATGCATATCAATGGTTCACCCCTAGGAAAAAATGTTAATACGGCAACAGATTTGTTTCTAAACCCTTAAGTGTGGATGTTCTTTACTTTTCATAATGATGTATTTAATTTAGTTTCAGTTCAGTTTACAAACAATTCTTATTATATTCCAAAGCGGCTGCCATGATACATTGCATCTTTATTAGCCCTGGCAACTCACTCAGCAGCCGAGGAGATTGTTAAGACCTTGGCGATAATTTCCACTGAAAATAAAACAGATGCAGGGGTTCATAGCGCTATTTGTTCGACTCAGTAGCAGAGCAACTTGCTCTAATAACTGTTTGAATCCACAGGACATTGTAGCATTGTTTTCACTTGCAAACATACGTACTAATGCAAAAATACTGAATGGAATCCAGCATACAGCGAACCCTAACACAATAGCAATGGAAAGCTTCAGCGCATTTCTCTCCCTTCTCAAGCGCTGAATTTGAGCGTTCATTGAGCGTTCGCCTTGTCCTCTTTGGGACTTCAGTTTCAAAAAAATCGCAAGATATAGAATAAACATCAGAACGAAGGGAATATAAAAAAATGCAATAAAAAGTGCCATAAAGTATTTTGTCACCGACGAGGAATCGTCAAAAACACGCATCCATTGCCGCACACACTTGTACTCATGATCATATTCGACCAGCTTGAACGCGACCAGGTAAGGGATGAATGTAGCCATGGCGATGATCCACGTGGCGAGAATAAAAAAGCGGTACAATTTTGAACTGAAGAGCGGGGAACGGAGGGAAAATACCACAGCTACAAATCGATCCACTGCGATCAGCACAAGGCTCTGAATTGACACAGCAGAGGAGAGATCGGCTGAAAAAGGAGCGAGCTTACACAAAACCTCGCCAAGATGGCCTCTAATGGGCCAATCATCGTCATGTATCTCTATTACAGTTTTCGGGATCAAGAATATCGGGAACAGTAGGTCTGACATAGCCATGTTCACAATTAGATAGTTGATGGGTTTTCGCATGGTTTTCGTCTTGTAAACAATTATTCAAATAAAGGAATTTCCAACCACAGAAATAATAAATATTACGCAGTAAGCAACTGTGTGCCCAATCCTCAACGCTGTGGGATTATAGCAGTTCGACGGCTGAGTTGCATTCACTGTTGCGCTCAAGTTCGTGGACATTTCGTAGACGCGTTCTTCAGTCACCGTTAAAGTCAAGTATTATCTTATGGAAGTCACAAACACCTCTATTTGTATTACCGCTTGCTGTGGAAGTGATGTGAAAATTTGAATATTTTATTTTGATGATGCACACTGAAACCAATTAGTTAAGGTCTTTATTTGGGTATGTTGTCATAGATCACGAAATTTTGTTTGTATTTTCCAGTTAATAGCTGTTTTTAAAATTGCCGTCGGCAACTATGGTGGAGCCGGAAAGAAGGAGAAATCTAGAAGAAAGTTTCACAGTTTTCCACGTTATCACCCGCTAATTCGTTACCAGTCCACGGGACACTTTTAAGACAAAATAAAAGCCCTTTAGGGCCTGAAAAAACCGAGTTCTAAGTTTTTTGAAATTTTTCTTTTATGGGAATTGGTTTGTACACATAATAAGCTAAATATTTACGCCAAAAAATTTCGTGTCATGGGCACTTCAACTCTAATTACCTAGAATTCTTTAACTCATTTTGGCAGGTGAAAAAAAGAAATTGTAAAAGGGATGTTTGAATTTTTAAATTGTTTGGGTTTGTTGTCATGGATCATGTCTTAAAGTGCCTGTGACGCAAATTCTTTTTTTTCATTTTCCGGTTAATAGCTGTTTTTAAAGTTAGAAATAACCGACCTTAGCACCTAGCGAGTTCTCCTTAACCAATTTTTTGTGCATTGAAAGCACGATTTGGCGGCCAAAAAGTACCGCCATTAAGCGCGCGGCCAAAACGATCATATTACATAGCTGCGACGTAGAAAACTGTGAAGACACGTCGGCAACTATGGTGGAGCCGGAAAGTAGGAGAAATGTAAAAGAAAGTTTGACAGTTTTCTACGTTATCACCTGCTAATTCGTTACCTGTCCACGGGACACTTTTAAGACAAAATAAAACCACCGAGTGATTATCACTCATTAAGCATGATGAAGCACTCTTTACTTTAAGTGTTTGGGGTTAGCCTGTCAAAAGCTGCGTTCTAGCAAAACTCTCCGTAATGAAAGTCAATTTCAAAACATCAGCATAATCTATCAGGATGGGATTGCAGTTTTCCGCCGACAATGAATTCTCATTTAAGTTCGTGGTTAAATCGACGTCGTGCATGTGCGTAAAACAAGGATCGCCGTATTTTTTCGAGTAAAGGCCGTGAGCGCTTAATACATTTTTAGACTTTCAGAGTAACCGCTTATTCGAGGAGGGCGCTTTTGTGATTTACTTCATTTTCAGCAAGTATTTAGAAGTTTTTCAGCAAGTATTTTAGAAGTTTCACGGAAGCTTCTTCTTTAATCAATCACGCGTTGCCGCTACAATGTTTACAGTATTCCCTTTCTGATTAACTCCAACTCTAAAGCTTCTTCTTTAATTTATTACACGTTGCCGCTACAACGTTTACAGTATTCCCTTTCTGATTAACTTCAGCTCTAAATTTTTTCTTTAATTTATTACGCGTTGCCGCTGGCGTGTGTTTTAAGGAGATCCCACATTATCTCAACAACGTCTATTGTCACTTTGCCTGACCAATTGAAAATACGTACGGGCTGTCTTTTTTCGGGTGCCAAGTCAAAAATATCAGAAGCAATATGGCGAGGCTCTTCTAAAAGGGATTACGAACAGTTTCAACAAGTCAGAAAGAGATGGCCAGAGTTGTAAAATGTGGAAAGTGTACTGACACTAAACAGTAAATCAGTTGATGGATGGGTTTCGCCGCACCAACTACTTCGTAAGTGTAGTTATTAGGGAGCTTAAGCATCAACGGCAGACGCAGACGGCAGCTGTAAGTTAAAAGTTCTTATTCCTTACGGTCGATGAATTAGTGTCAAATCGCGCCAGATTTAGTTTTATTCTTTCTCCTGTTGCTGCCCGCGTCTCAAAAATTTCTCTGCTCAAATTCTCTATAAATAGGGATAAAGAAACGGCGGGCATGTTCAGCCACATCAATGCGCGGATAAATCCAAACAACATGCAGAAGGCTGGGGAGAAAACGATAACTAAGCAGCTTCGCCTGTAGGAAAACAACCGAAGAGATTCTTGAGACCTTGACGATAATTACCACTGAAGATAAAACAGATGCAAGGATTTACAGCACAGCACGAGCGCGCCAGAAGAAAGGCAATAGTTCCAAAGTATTGCATGCCACAAGATGACCTCAGCCATGTTTGATGAATAAAGGAACAGCAAGGTGCAGATGGTGAGTGGCAACCAGCATACGGCGAACACCAAGACAATGGCAACGGACATATTAAGAACATTTCTTTCTTTCCTCGAACGCAGTTCTCTTGCGTTAGCTGATTGTTCCCCAGGAATCTTCTGCGATTTAATTCTTAAGGCAATGGCAAAATAAAGTATGGAAATCAAAACCAAGGGGATATAAACGGGAACAACGATCAATCCCAGTATGTAGGTTTGCAGCGATAGGGACTCTCCAAATGTGTCATTCCACTGCCACCCACAAAACAGCCCTTCTGGATACTCGACAGCTTTCAAGGCGATCAAATATGGACAATAGACTGCCGTGGCGATGATCCAAATGACGAGAATGAAGTACCGGCACTGCTTTGAACTAATCAGTGGGGAACGGAGAGGAAATACTACAGCCCCAAATCGATTCACTGCGATCAACAACAGGCTCTGAATTGACACTAGAGTTGAGACATCTGCAGCGAAGGAACTCAGTTTACACACCGCTTGGCCAAGGGGACCGCCAACCAGCCAGTAGCCGGCCGTGTTTATCTCTACAAGAATTCGAGGAAAGTGGAAAATCGGGTACAACAGATCAGAGAGTGCCATGTTTACAATCAAAATGTTGATTGGTGTTCTCAGAGTTTTCTTCCTATAGACAATTATTCCAATGAAGGCATTCGCAGCCAGCGACACAACAAATAGCACACAGTAGGCGAAGGTTTGACCAATTCTTGTCGCTGTGGGGTTGAAGCAGCTAGACATGGACTGTGTTCCATTCACCATTGCTGTTACGTTTGTAGACATTTTTCGATACCAAGAGATCAGGTTTTTCTTCAGCCAACAGCCTTGCGGTGGGTACCTAAACTCGACTGGATGAAAACACAGCCTATCCATCTTATATAGATGAAACTTTACATGTTTAATTAATGAAAATACCTAGGAAAATTCAAGAAAATCGACAGTCTTCACCTGAGACCTCTAACTAAAAAAAAAAAATGGTTGGAATCAGCTGTTGTCCGAAATTAAGCAAACGATATGCTTTTTTAAATATTGTCGGCAAAAGGGACAATTTTCTCAAGTTTATAAGCAGGAGCCCATCTTATATGAGTTTTTAAAATCATTATCAATATTGTTCCAATGGCTCCAGAAATAGCCCAGCCACAGATGTTTACTGATATAGAATAACGGTTGACAGTTGGTAGCGAAAAGATCTACAATCTTCTTTTCAATTCAGAATTTATTTTTAATTATGTTGCCATCGAAAGTTTAATCCAGCCTCTAACTTACTGATTAGTCTTGTTGCTTAGTAAACTTATTGGAGTATTAAAAAAAATTTTCACGAAGTCGTAACAAAAAGGAAGGGTACAGGACAATATAAGGCCGACTTCTTATGTGCGATAAAAAATGGTATGGCTTCATAAGTCTTCTTTTCAATTCAGAATTTATTTTTAATTATGTTGCCATCGAAAGTTTAATTAGCCTGAGCTTGTTGCTCAGTAGACTGGTTGGAGTTTTAAAGAAAACTTTCAGGAAGTTGTATTAAAAGGGAAGGAAACATCCGGGACAAAGCCGATTTCCTATATGCGAGAAAAATGGTATGGTTTCATAAGTCACCAGGAGAACTTGTAATAATTTAACAAATTTACATGACAGAATTCATATGGCTTACGATGTAAATTTTTCGTTTAATCTTGTTTCTGTATATGAGCAAAGATGATATCTCCGTTGCTTTAACCGACTTAAACGACCGCATACACTCTGTGCTTCGGCGAGGCCATCTATTCGAAATGTAACCATCGCTGAGCAACAAAATTCAGTCCCCGCCGTGAAACCAAAGTACATGTGATATGACTATCAAAGAAGAACAAAAGGACGAAAGAGGAAAAAAGAATAAACATCGGTTTCGATGAACCGTATCCCTGAAGTTTTTTTAAGAAAAGGATAATTTCTCTTTCTCTAACCAATCTTTGGCTCTGAGCCGTTCTCGGAGGGCTACCTATAGTCTCAATAGACAAAACAAAGCTGATTACTAACAAATAACTTTCATTTACTTTCTTTAGCTTAACTTCCTTTACTGAGTTGGATCTAGTTTTCCATGAGGAACAGATCCAAAAGATTTATCCCACAGTAAAAACTCCTTTCTTATTCGCTCATTAATTTTTTTCGTGTCTTTATTTTGTATTTTTTTTTTATTAAAGCTGTAAGCAAAGTTGAATCCGATTCTCTTTCCCTCAGTAACTAAATTTAAGTAGCTCGGTACCTGTGTTCCATTCATTGTTGCGGTCACGTTCGTCGACATTCAGCCAACAACTCTGAACGCTATCTTTTTTAAAGTGAACGCAGTGATGATTTGCGTAGACATTATTATTGTTCTAAAATGCATACGTTAGCTTCTCGAAAAATTCAAGAATATCGACAGATGTACCCTGAACCTTCATTTTGATCAGTAAAAGTATCTACAATTGCAGTTGCCTGAGATGAAAGAGTTGGGAATGATCTCATTTGGATAATTGTACTTTAAATAGAAATATCATTGGCCTTAGGAACACGCATTATAAATTTGTGCTTCAGTCACTTGATGATAATTGTTGTGGTTGTTTCTTGATCGCTTGTTTGCATACTATTTTCGTAACAGACGATTGACGGATATAAGTTTCCCATCCACGACGAGTCGTGAAAAACTAATATCAGCTAACAGAAAGCGAGGAATGTGTCAAGTTATGGGAATCTTTTTTCTTTTGTGCACGAAAACGGCATGGTAATTGAGGGACGGAAAACGGGGAAAAAGGAAGTTTAAACGAAAGTTGGCTGCTTCCTTCCCCTGCTAGACGTGATCTGAATTAAAAAGCCGATAAATGTTTAGCAAATGACTGAAAGAAAAAACTGAAATAGCGTTATCCTGGCCTCAGGAACAGTTGTTGAAAGTTCCATTTTCTTCTGTTTCTGCACCTTGGCGTGTATGTAAAACGCTTTCAATAATAAATTTGTGCTTCAGTCAATTGATGATAATTGTTGTGGTTGTTTCTTGATCGTTTGTTTGCATACTATTTTCGTAACAGACGATTGACGGATGTCAGTTTCCCATCCAGGATAAGTCGTGAAAAACTAATATGAGCTAACAGCGAGGAATATGTCAAGTTATGCGTATCTTTTTTCTTTTGAGCACGAAAACGGCCTGATAATTGAGGGACGGAAAACGGGGAAAGAGGTTAAAATGAAAGCTGTCTGCCTCCTTCCCCTGCGAGGCGTGATCTGAATTAAAAAGCCAATAAATGTTTAGCATATGACTGGAAAGCAAAAACTGAAATAGCGTTATTTATTGAATTACGTTTGACAGCTGGCTCCATGTGATGGCGGCTTATAATAAGTGAAGGAAAATGTTGCAAGATGTAGTACACAGTATTTTAAAGGATTATAGAGAAACCAAGAGATTCTTTTCAAAAAAACGCTGAGTAAACTGAAAAATTTAACTTTACTGTTTTCTGTTGCCATAAACGACCGCATAAACGCACTTATGTTTTCATGCTGTAAATATTACTGAGCGACAAATGTCATTCTACCCCGAGGTAAAAACAAATTACAAAGTGGCCGGTGATATGAGTGCTAAGGAAGGAATTGATGAAGTTTAAAAAGCGCAAAATTTCTTGCAGTTCTCGATCAATTTTTTTTTCTTAACTCGGTGAAACCCTAATGTCCCATGTACTTCTTTGATATCTCTTTTTATTTCTCATGCCAAAGAATAAACAGATGCAATTCTTTCTATTGCTCTCAATATATTTTCATCCCTTCGTTCAATAACCATTTCAGACACACTCATTCAAACAACATGTTAACTTCCTTTTAATTGTAAAAATAAATGATTTTTAATGATATGTTTTCTGGTATATAAAACAAGGCGCGGACGGATTAAGTTTACGCGAACACAATGGTCATGAAAGAGCTGTGGTTACGTAATGTGTTTTGTCTTTATTAACTGGGAGGCTAATGTTATCAATTCGATCTTATTTTTTATCTGATCCTTTTACCTCTTGGGAAAATTTCAACGACTGCAGTCTACAAAAAAATGTTTACAAAATATGTACCCAGTTTTATATATATCAAACGACCATTAGGCCATAGTTATTCCAAATAATGGTTTAAGCCGTCATCCAAATTTTCTTAAAAATCCTCTGAGCTGCCAGTTAGAAGTCGTGCGGTCTCAAGTGACTTTTTTTCTGAGGATTTGTTTTTGTTTTTGTTTTGGTTTTTTTTGTGGGGTCGATTGAGTTTTATCCCGACCTTTAAACTTCGTCTCAAAGAGATTATTCAAAAGTAGTAATAATGAGCCCATTTTTGTTATATACCAGCAGTAAGGCTGATATATTGTGTATCTGCACCAGAAACATCGTAAGCTGGTGAGCTAACAAACTACAAAAAAGCATCTAGGTCAACCAAAGAGAAATCAGCTCAAGAGATTCTTAAGGCCTCGACGACAATTTCCATAGAAAGTGAAACAGATTAGTAATGGTAATGATAAGACTGAGTGGAGTCCAATTCAGTCTGTAATCATACGAGTGATTAACAAAATCGAACGAAAAGCGAAGCGGGAGTCCGATTTGTTAATCATGAGTATGAGTACAGACAGAATTGGAAAACAAAAAGTGAAAACAACAATTTAAGAGAAATGTATTTACGTATAAAAGAGGAAAAACAAATCATTACTAAGAAAGGTAGTTCAACGCAAGGCGTGATCTGAATCTAAAGGTAAACATGAATAAAGCACGTGATAGAATGGCGAGTACCAAACTAGAATAATTTAGTGACGTTGAATGACAGTTGACAGCTTGTCTCAGAATCATCACGTTTGAGAAAGAAAGTTGTTCTAAAATAGAGAAGTTAAACGTGACGTTAACGGCAAATAGTATTGCAAAAGGTGACTATGCAACGTTTTCCGTCTGCTTTCAGCTTTTCGCAGTTTGAAACGAAAATAATTCACACAAGCCACGAACACGATTACTGTTATTCTCTAATTTTACTCAAGATATTTTGGAGGATTACAGCAAATATGAAAACTCCGTTGCTGTAAACGTCTTAAACGACCGCATACGCTCATCAACCTTCTGTGCTTCGGCGAGGACTATTCAACTGTAAACATCGCCGAGGGACAAATTTCAGTCCCCGCAGTAAAACCAAAGTGCAGGTGATATGACTATCAAAGAAGAACAAAAAGACGAAAGAGTAAAAAAGAATAAATATCGGTCTCGATGAACTGTATCCCTGAAGTTGTTTTAAGCCAACGATAATTTCCCTTTTTTTAACCAATCTTTGACTTTGAGCAGTTTTCAGAGAACTACCTATATTCTCAATAAACAAACAAAGCTGTTTAATAACAAATAACTTTCATTAACTGTATTTAGCCAAACTTCTTTTACTAAGTTGGATTTACTTTTCCATCGTAAAAGCTTAGCCTGTTAAAAGCTGCCTTCTAGCAAAACTCTTGGTAATGAAGGTCAATTTCAAAACATCAGCATAATCTATCAGGAAGGGATTTAGCTTATTCGAGGCGGGCGTTTGTTTGATTTCATTAATTTTCAGCAAGTATTTAGTTTATTTCGCCACAAAATGATAAATAATAACAATACTCGAAGATGAACTATAGGCAGTGAATCTCGAGATTGTAAGGAAATATTGAATAAGTTATACTCCTCTTAGAGGCCCTCGATCGGGTTCACCGTTTGGCATAAAAATCAGCCAAAAAATTTAGGCGTTAGGCGGAAAAATTGACAAATTTTAACCGTTAGTCGCAAAAAAAAAATAAAAGTAAAATTTTCTTAGTAATCACAAAGAATAGAAGTTACACGTTAGCAGTAAAATGGCCGACATTTTAACCGTTAACCATCGCCTTTTGAAGAGCCTCCTCCTAGACACTTTTTTTTTGGCAAGCAGGGGGGTGGGGAGGGGGAAGCAGAAGGAGAGGGGAGGGTGCATAATCGAGGTGAGGCGTTAATCCAATAAATACGGTACTTGAGAGGAATAACTGTAATAACAATTTAGCTTATGAGAGAAAAAAACCAGTCCGCATAGCTTTTTTTTTTTTTGTTATTTATTTCATCTTGGATTTAAATCAGACTTTATTTTTTATCATCGCGTTATAACAGCTTATTGATCGAAAAGATCTTTCATTTACAGGCAGAGTCCAAAATATTGAAAATAATTGTTATATGAACATTAGAACCGGAAATCCTGAAGCGAAAGTTCAAACAATTGTTGGGGCGTTTGAAGTAAACTAGCTTGCATGAGCAAACTAGACAAATGGTACCAAGAATTTTGGTTCACAAGAAGCTTCTTTTTTAATTAATTACACGTTGCCGTTACAACGTCTACATTGTTACCTTTCTGATTAAATCCAACGCCAAATCTTTTCTTTAATTTATTTCACGTTGCCGCCACAACGTCTACAGTATTCCTTTTCTGATTAACTCCAACTCTAAAGCTTTAAATTATTACACGTTGCCGCTACAACGTTTACAGTATTCCCTTTCTGATTAACTCCAACTCTAAAGCTTCTTCTTTAATTTATTACACGTTGCCGCTACAACGTTTACAATATTTCCTTTCTGATTAACTCCAAACCTAACTTCAACTGATTTCGGCGACAATTTCAACTACGACTAACAACCATTAACCAAAAGCTACGCGCTTAAATCTCATTTGAAAGTGGGCAAAAGTAAATATATAGTTAAATATGAATAAGATAATGTCGCAAATTAATGACATTACAATTTGGGAGAGACGACTAAAGCTGACGTGTGTTTTAAGGAGATCCCACATTATCTCAATAACGCCTATTGTCACTTTGCATGAATAGTTGAAAATACATACCAGCTGTCTTTTTTTGGGCGCCATGTTAAAATTTCAGAAGAAATATAGTGAGGCTCTTCTAAAAGGGATTGCAGAACAATTTAAACAAGTCAGAAAAAACGACCGAGTTGTAAAATGTGGAAAGTTTACTGTCACTAAACAGTAAATCAGTTGATGGATGTTTACGGCGCACCAACAACGTCGTAAGTGTAGGTATTAGGGAACTTAAGCATCAACGGCAGATGCGGACGGCAGCCGGAAGTTAAAAGTTCTTATTTCCGGTGATAAATACATCTTTTTGGTCAGTTCAATTTGGTACAAAATTCAAAAACAAATACCTTAAGGTCGATAAATTAGCGTCAAATCGCGCCAGATTTAGTTTCATTCTTTCTTCGGTTGCCGCCCGCGTCTCAAAAACGTCTCTGCTCAAATTCTCTATAAGTAGGGAGAAAGAACTGGTGGGCATGTTCAGCCACATCAATGCGCGGATAAATCCAAACAGCATGCAGAAGGCTGGGGAGGAAACGATAACTAAGCAGCTTTGCCTGCAGAAAAATAACTGATGAGATTTTTAAGACCTTGACGATAATTACCACTGAAAATAAAACAGATGCAAGGGTTTACAGCACAGTATGAGCACGCCAGAAGAAAGGCAATAGCACCAAAGTATTGCATGCCACAAGATGACCTCATAGCCATGTTTGATGAATAAAGGAACAGCATGATGCTGATGCTGAATGGCAACCAGCATACGGTGAACACCAAGACAATGGCAACGGACATATGAAGAACATTTCTTTCTTTCTTCAAGCGCCGCCTTCTTACGTTAGCTGATTGCTCGCCTGGAATCTTCTGCGACTTAATCCTTAAGGCAATGGCAAAATAAAGTATAGCGATCAAAACCAAAGGGACATATCTGGTAACAACAAACAATCCCAGAAAGTAACTTTCAAACGATAGGGACTCTCCAAATGTCTCATTCCACTGCCACCGACAAAACAGCCCTTCTGGATACTCGACAACTTTAAAGGCGATCAAATGTGGGCAATGGACTGCCATGGCGACGATCCAAATGACGAGAATGAAGTACCGGCACAGCTTTGGACTGATCAGTGGGGGACGGAGAGGAAACACTACAACTACAAATCGATCCACTGCCATAATAACCAGACTCTGAACTGACACTAGACCTGAGACATCAGAAGTGTAGGAACTCAGCTTACAGAGCACTTGGCCAAGGGGACCGCTGATAGGCCAGTAGCCGCCTGTGGTTAAAGTTAAAAACAACCGTGGAAAGAGGAAAATCGGAACCAACAGATCGGAGATGGCCATGTTTACAATCAAAATGTTGATTGGTGTTCTCAGAGATTTCTTCCTATAGACAATCATCCCTAAGAGGATATTTCCAAACAAGGACACAACAAATATCAGTGAGTAAGCGAGGGTTTTACCAATTCTTGTTGCTGTGGGGTTGAAGCAGCTCGACATGGACTGTGTTCCATTCATCATTTTGGTCACGTTTGCCGACATTTTTTCAATACTAAGAGGTCAGGTTTTTCTTCAGCCAGCAGCCTTGCGGTGGGTACGTAAATTCTACTGGATGAAAACAAAACTATCCATCTTATATAGATCAAACTTTCACATGTTTAATTAATGAACATACCCAGGAAAAGTATAGTTGGAATCAGCTGTTGTCCGAGATTAAGCAATCGATATGCGTTTTCAAATATTGTCGGCAAAAGGGACAATTTTCTCAAGTTTATAAGCAGAAGCCCATCTTATATGAGTTTTTATAATTATGATCAATATTGTTCCAATGGCTCCAGAAATAGCTCAGCCACAGATGTTTACTGATATAGAATAACGGTTGACAGCTGGTAGCGAAAAGATCTACAATCTTCTTTTCAATTCAGAATTTATTTTTAATTATGTTGCCATCGAAAGTTTAATCCAGCCTCGAACTGATTAGTCTTGTTGCTCAGTAGACTTGTTGGAGTTTTAAAGAAAATTTTCACGAAGTTGTAACAAAAAGGAAGGGTACAGGACAATATAAGGCCGACTTCTTATATGCAATGAAAATAGTATGGTTTCATAAGTCACCAGGAGAACCTGTAATAATTTAATCTTTTAGGTTAGGCATTGAGTCAGTTAAGATAGGATTGTCAAGAACAAAAATGGTTTTGAATTCTCTAATTATTTTTAACTTTTTGATATGATTGGTACTGGTGAAAACGATAATTTTTTAGAAAATAATATTTACATATAAAAGAGGAAAAACAAGTCGTTTCTAAGGAAGGTCGTTCAACACAAGGCGTGATCTGAATCTAAAGGCAAACATGAATAAAGCACATGATAGAATGGCGAGTACAGAAATAGAATAATTTAGTGACGTTGAATGACAGTTGACAACTTGTCTCAGAATCATCACGAATGAGAAAGGAAGTTGTTCTAAAATAGAGAAATTAAAGGTGACGTTAACGGCCAATAGTATTGCAAAAGGCGACTATGCAGCGTTTTCCCGTCTGCTTTCAGCTTTTTTGCACTTTTTGAAACGAAAAAAATTCACACAAGCCACGAACAAAATTACTGTTATTCTCTAATTTTACTCAAGATATTTTGGAGGATTACAGCAAATATGATATCTCCGTCGCTGTAAACGTCTTAAACGACCGCATACGCTCATCAACCTTCTGTGCTTCGGCAAGGACTATTCCAATGTAAACATCGCCGGGGGACAAATTTCAGTCCCCGCGGTAAAACCAAAGTGCAGGTGACATGACTATCAAGGAAGAACAAAAAGACGAAAGAGTGAAAAAGAATAAATATCGGTTTCGACGAACTGTATCCCTGAAGTTGTTTTAAGCAAACGATAATTTCCCTTTTGTTAACCAATCTTTGACTTTGAGCAGTTTCCAGAGAACTACCCATATTCTTAATAAACAAACAAAGCTGTTTACTGACAAATAATTTTCATTAACTTTCATTAACTGTCTTTAACCAACTTCTTTTACTGAGTTGGATTTAGTTTTCTATGAGGAACACATCCAAAATATTTTTCCCATAGTAAAAACTCCTTTACTTACTCGCTTATTAACTTTTTCCTGTCTTTATTTTGTATTTTTTTTATTTTATAAAAGCTGTAAGCAAAGTTGAATCCGATTCTCTTTCCCTCAGTAACTGGATTTAAGCAGCTCGGTACCTGTGTTCCATTCATCGTTGCGGTCACGTTTGCCGACATTCAGCCAACAGCTCTGAACGCTATCTTTTTTTGTAATTAAACGCAGTGATGATTTGCATAGATATTATTATTGTTCTTAATTGCATACGTTAGCTTCTCTAGAAACTTAAGCCTATCGACAGATGTACCCTGAACCTTCATTTTTATTAGCAAAAGTATCTACAACTGTCGTTGCCGAGATGAAAGAGTTGGGAATGATCTCATTTGGATAATTGTACTTTAAATAGAAATATCATTGGCCTCAGGAACAGTTGTAGAAAGTTCCATTTTCTTCTGTTTCCGCATCTTGACGTGTATGTAAAACGCTTTCAATAATAAATTTGTGCTTCAGTCAATTGATGATAATTGTTGTGGTTGTTTCTTGATCGTTTGTTTGCATACTATTTTCGTAACAGACGATTGACGGATGTCAGTTTCCCATCTAGGATAAGTCGTGAAAAACTAATATCAGCTAACAAAAAGCGAGGAATATGTCAAGTTATGCGTGTCTTTTTTCTTTTGAGCACGAAAACGGCCTGATAATTGAGGGACGGAAAACGGGGAAAGAGGTTAAAATGAAAGCTGTCTGTTTCCTTTCCCTGCGAGGCGTGATCTGAATTAAAAAGCCGATAAATGTTTAGCAAATGACTGGAAAGCAAAAACTGAAATAGCGTTATTTATTGAATTACGTTTGACAGCTGGCTCCATGTGATGGCGGCTTATAATAAGTGAAGGAAAATGTTGCAAGATGTAGTACACAGTATTTTAAAGGATTATACAGAAACCAAGAGATTCTTTTGTGAAAAACCTAGTAAACTGAAAAATTTAATTTACTGTTTTCCGTTGCCATAAACGACCGCATAAACGCACTTATGTTAAGGGCTCTGGTGAGGTCAGTTATTCAAGTTGTAAATATTACTGAGCGAAAAATGTCATGAATTCCCCGAGGTAAAAGCAAATTATAAAGTGGCCACTGATATGAGGAAGGAATTGATGAAGTTTAAAAAGTGCAAAATTTCTTGCAGTTCTCGATCAATATTTTTTCTTAATTCAGTCAAACCCTAATGTCGCAGGTACTTCTTTGATATCTCTCTTTATTTCTGACGCTAAAAAATAAACAGATGTTATGCTTTCTATTGCTCCCATCCCCTCGTTTAAAAACCATTTCAGGCACATTCATTCAAAAAACATGTTAACTTGCTTTTTATTGTAAAAAAGAGGATTTAATTATATGTTTTCTGGTATATATAACAAGGCGCGGTCGGCCGAGTTAAGTTTTCGCGAACACAATGGTTGTGAAGGAGTTGTAGTTAAGTGATGTGTTTTGTCTTTATTAACTCGAAGCTACATGTGATCAATTCGATCTCATTTTTATCTGATCCTTTTACTTCTTAGGAAAAATTCATCGACAGTAGTCTACAAAGAAATGTTTACAAATCATGTACCTAGAATTATATATATCAAACGATCATTAAGCCATAACTATTCTAAATAATGGTTTAAGCCGTCATGCAAATTTCCATAAAAATTCTTTGAGCTACCAGTTAGGTATATACATGAAGTCGTGCGGTCTGAAGTGACTTTTTTCTGAGGATTTTGAAGATGTTGGTTTATTTCAACTTCCTTGGCCGGTCATTTTGAATGAGCAAGTGCCAGAATATCAGTAGACAAGATATCTGGTTTTTTTTTTTGTTTTGTCTTTTTTTTTGCGGGGTCGATTGAGTTGTTTCCCTACCTTAAACTTTGCCTCAAAGTGATTATTCAAAAGTAGTATTAATGAGCCCCTTTTTTATTATATATCAGCAGTAAGGCTGAAATATTGTGTATCTACATCAGAAACATCGTAAGCTGATGAGCTAATAAACTACAAAAAAGCATCTGGGTCAACCAAAGAGAAATCAGCTAAAAGGCCTCGACGATAATTTCCATGGAAAGCGAAACAGATTAGTAGTGGTAATAGGACCGAGTGGAGTCTAATTCGGTCTGTAATCATACGAGTGATTAATAAAATCGAACAACTGCGAAACAGGAGTCCGATTTGTTGATCACGAGTATGATTACAAACAGAATTGGAAGACAAGAAGTGAAAACAACAATTTCAGAGAAATATGTTTAAATATAAAAGAGGAAAAACAAGTCATTACTAAGAAAGGTAGTTCAACGCAAGGCGTGATCTGAATCTAAAGGCAAACATGAATAAAACACGTGATAGAATGGCGAGTGCTGAAATAGAATATTTTAGTGATGTTGAATGACAGTTGACAGCTTGTCTCAGAATCATCACGCATGAGAAAGGAAGTTGTTCTAAAATAGAGGAGTTAAGCGTGACGTTAACGGCAAATAGTATTGCAAAAGGAGACCATGAAACGTTTTCCCGTCTGCTTTCAGCTTTTTGTATTTTGAAACGAAAAAAATTCACACAAGCCATGAACGAGATCAGTATTATTTTCTAATTCTACTCAAGATGTTTTGGAGGATTACAGCACATATGATATCTCCGTTGCTGGGGATGCTTAGAATGTAATATGTTAATGATCAGACGTTTTTCCTTAAATCGAGTGTAGCAAACATATTTTTAAATAGAGTGAAAGAACCCGCGAGAGAAGTGCTACCTGAGGAAGACACTCAGGATCTCTGAGCAACAAAAATGTTGACAGAAGTAAACGCAACCACAAATGGAACACGAGAAACGAGCTGCTTTGATTCAACAGCAGCCAAAGCCGGTACAACCACAGTTCTGTGTGTGCTCTTCGTAGCTTCGCTGGTTGGAAACATCTTCATCGCACTGGTAGTATACAAGACGAAAACCCTAAGAAAACCCATCAACTTTTTCATTCTAAACATGGCCATGTCCGATCTTCTATTTCCGATTTTCCTGTTTCCACGTATTGTGACCGGGTTGTACGTCGATTTCTGGCTGATCGACGGTCCTTTTGGCGAAGCGATGTGCAAAATTTTTTCTTACTCAATCGACGTTTCCACTCTTGTGTCCATACAAAGCCTGGTTATGATGGCTGTTGATCGTTTTGGAGCTGTGGTATTTCCTTTCCGTTCTCCCTTTATCAGTTCTAAGTTGTGTCGTTTCTTTATTCTCGCCACTTGGATCATCTCCATTGCTATCACGTCCCCAGAACTGTTTGCCTGGAAACTTGTCGAGAGTCGAAATGGGTCAGCGTGTGAGCTGCGATGGAAGGACGCGTTTGGAGATTTATTGCCCTTTAAAAGCTACATTTTGGCATTGAGCGTTGTATTTTGGTTTACTCCTTTAGTTTTGATCGCCATACTCTAC